CAGCTCCAGCTCCAGCTCCAGCTCCAGCTCCAGCTCCAGCTCCAGCTCCAATAGAGTGACAACGTAATGCGATGCGACGCGATGTAATGGAATGCGATGCGATGTGATTCCATTCAATTACAATCGAAGTAGATTCGGGAACCTCTTGACAGACAGAAGATAGAAGGAAAGCCTGGTGTTGTGCGTCTGTCCTCCCCTTCTCCCTCTTCTTCTCCCCCTTCTCCTAGCCTCATCACCCCGACATACCTCCCAATACCAATAGCAAAAGCATATCCCCCCAACTTCAATAGCCCTTAAAACCCCCCTCCTCCCAAAAGGGAGTCGAAGGTCACGACACTTCCTTTTTTCTTTTAAGAGAAAGAAAAAGAGTCGAGAGGCGAAATCCCGTGGGGGCTTTAATCCAATCCATTTCTGGAATGAGGAAATTTAATCTTCCTTGCCTACTTCAACGTAATACCAACTCATGGAAGAAAAAAAGAGTGGAGTTGGTCGTCAAATGAGGAGGTTTGTTGGGGGGGGGGGGGGGGGGGGGGGGGGGGGGGGGGGGGGGGGGGGGGGGGGGGGGGGATTGAGGGGAGTAAGGGAAGGGGAAGGGGAAGGAGAGTCAAGGGGAGTAGCTCCTCATCGAGTGTTCCTTTTCGGTGTGCTTCTAGATGAAACCCATACTGCTGCTGATGAGTCTCGAGGCGACGAGGCCACCCCTGTGGATATGCAATGGAATAAGCGTGGTCAAAGGTACTATACTGATACTGGTACAAGTTGAAATCTGCAAGTCGAAAGAGTCGTGAGGTAAGAGCGGAGAGGAAGGGCGAGCCCACGTAAGAGGCTCAGAATCCCTTTGGATTTGTCCGCAGAGTAAGTCTTGTCCATTTCGGCACCTGGACCACGATAGAGCGGATGGGTGGTCAGTACAGCCCGAGACACACACCCTCTCTCTCTCTCCTCCTTCTCCCTTCCTGCCTTGAGCGACTCACCTTGTGCACCCCCTTTCTGAAATCCCTTCCCTTTGGACTGTACGTGGTATACTTGTCCCTTGCCTCCATCTCCGACTCCTTTGGCAACTCTAATGCTCGATCTAGGGCTTTACAGTGTACCCCACTGGCTTGAACGGTGGAGATTACATCGTCGACTGCTTTTAGACGGAGACGGACGCGGGATTTGCGAGTGGGGGATAGACGGTAGGGAACTTTCCTGTGTATTGGGTAGGGTAGGAGGTGGAAAAGAGGGGTCAAGAGGTGGATACAGGAAGGGGATGGATGGGCAGCACGAGTGCGCATTAGGGACTCACCAGAGGAGACCGCCCATGGAGACCGGCGAGGGTCTGAACACGCCAAACATGGTGAGGTATATGAGATGTGACTGCTATCCTTGCGTGATTGTCTGAACTCTGTCTCTGGCAAGGTCAATCAGGAGGGCAGTGTGGATGAGGTGTGCTTTTCTCGTGTGCGTTGGTTGTGTGACTGACGATGGTAGGAAGAAGTGGGTAGCCGTCCGCCTGGGGCTGCCTTGTCAAAAGTCTGTCTGGCCCTGGTGGGACTGGCCGCGCGCAGAGAGACGCACACACGCACGCCCACGCCCACACTCCCACGACGGTGGCTCGAGCCAAGGGGCCGCGTAGACTCGACATCAGCTCACCCACCAGAGCTAGTCTACCCTCGACTAGACTACCACCTCGCAACACCTTCACCACTCGCCCATCATGTCCAGCAGGAGATACGATGGTCGCACAACGGTCAGTGTAGAAGCGGTAGATGACCTCGCATACTAGCACTTCAGCTCAGCTTCAGCTCACTCACCCACCCTACCCCACTCCACACGCACACACAACCCTACAGACCTTCTCGCCCGAAGGTCGTCTCTTCCAGGTCGAATATGCAATGGAGGCCATCTCTCACGCAGGTACAGTCATTGGAATTCTCGCAAAGGATGGTGTCATCCTAGCTGCCGAGAAAAAGGTCACCGGAAAGCTATTCGAGCAGGACAAGAGTTCAGAGAAGATTTACGTTCTCGGAGAGTGAGTGGAAATGGGCGAGGCGGTAAGGGGCTGTCAGTATGCCCGCAGAGCTGACAATGGAACGCTCTTTCTTACTCCTTTGGTCGCTCAGTAACATCTTGGGAGGCTTCGCAGGTGTGACGTCGGACGCCAATACACTCGTCAACTATGCCCGCAACACCTGCCAGAATGTGCTGCTGAAGTACGATGATGACATTCCAGTCGAGCATCTGACACAATACATGTGTGATCTAAAGCAAGGCTACACTCAATACGGAGGTGAGCAGCAACGTCGGGACATCAGATGACCTGAGGGGAATACAGTGGGACTGACCAATCCTTTCATCCCTCTCTTCCTCGCCTACATACCGCCAGGTCTCCGACCCTTTGGCGTCTCGATCCTCTACGCAGGCTGGGATGCCCACCACTCCTTCCAGCTGTACCACTCTGACCCTTCAGGCAACTACTCCGGATGGAAAGCCACCTGCATTGGATCCAACAATGGTACTGCGACCAGCTTGCTCAAGCAGGATTACAAGGAGGGATGCACCACGCAGGAGGCAATGAGTTTGGCGTGCAAGGTATTGAGCAAGACGATGGATTCGACGGCTCTGGATAGCGAGAAGAGTGAGTCGAGTCGCGCGAAGGTGGGAAGAAAACACGAGTTGTGAGAGGTGCTAATGACAATTCTGCACTGCCTGATCTCTCCTCATAGTCGAGTTCGCCCACCTCACTCTCTCTACACGGACTGGCAAACCACAGCCGCGAATCTTCACAGCAGAAGAGATCGACCGGCTGTTAGAGCGAGAGGGCCTAGCCAAGCCCAAGGACGAGGAGGACGTGGTAGCAGGAGCCGGCGGTGCGACAGATGGAACAGCAGCTCAGGCAGCAGGCAGCATGAGCGGAACCACTGGAGCCCCGAGTGGAGCTGGAAGTGGGACTGGCAGTGGAGGACAGGCAGGGAGTGGTGGTGAGGGAATGAATCTGGATTGAGGGTTAGAGGTAGATGAAATAGCAAAGGCTTTTTGGGCTGTCATTTGCAGCGTGCGGTCGGTCGAAGAGGAAGCAGTCAATCGTGCTTCGCGTGGGCAGTCAATTCTGGTTGCATGGGGATATATAAGATAAGGGGAATAAGCTGATCGTCTACATCGGCTCCGCCTCCCTACTCCTACTCCTCCTCTGCACTCCTAAAGGTAGGCAATTCCCCCTGACCCTCCAGCCTCCTCAGCGCAAATCGACAAACATCCCACCCACTCTGTCCCCTCTCCGTCCAACACCTCTCCACCACGTACAGGCCAGAGTAAAGATATCCCTCTGGCGGCGCATAAGGTTTCCTCCCCTTGAACCCCCTCAAAACCCTCACTGGCCTCTGCGTCTGCACAGATCTCTTCAATGCCGCATTCAATGGGTTTTGAAAATTCTGATGAGCACTCTGAGGTGCTGTTCTCAAATTCTTCCTCTTTGCAGGTGTACCTCTTAAATCTCTCCCTCCCGATCCAGTAAAGGTCACGGAGCAACCCAAGTCTTCATCGTCTTCGTACCCACCACTTAGGCAGAGGGAGTAGGCTCCACGAGAAGAGTCGCCGCTGATTCCGGCGACGGTGGGTGCGTGGAGGGAAGAGGTGGAACAGGCCATTCGAGTTGGGTACCAGCTCCCTGGAGGGATGCCCGGAATGGGACCGAATTGCTTGGGAGAGTAAAGCCGGGTAGAGAGGGTGCGTCCGAGCTGAAGGAGGGGCAGAGTGGTGGCTACTGGTCCTGAGCCGGAGCCAGGAGAGGTACGTCTGCGCTGGCGCTTGGGACGGGTGGACGCAGGCGGGGTGATCAGCCGTGGGAGGACACGCGTATGGAAGGTGAAATCTCCTTCCGCGTCGATCAGGGAGGTTGCTGCTTCTGTTTCTATCCTCGAGTCGGGCACGACAAAAGACCTTTGCGAGAAGCGTCTTGTACCGCTTGTGCCGCTCCCTGAAGAGGTGAGATCACCCGCAGCGGTTGAGGTTCGGGGAGAGGTCCTCCTCTCCTCATTCCTCGCGGATCGTCTCAGAGCCACCTCTGCACCGGCTTTATCTTGGCCTTGGCCTGGAGCTACCGAGAGTACAAAGGGCGCAGATTCGGCTCGCCCGCGCAGCTTCCTCACAGGCGAGCTGGAGCGGGCAGAAGGTCTAGGGCTCTCACTAGCCGCGAGTGGGCGTACCACACTCCTCCCTCCTCTCGCAGAGGTAGAGGGAGGAGAGATGGGGAAGAGAGAGCTGCCTTCTTTGTCCTCGTCCCCACCGCCGATGAAGACACCGGCGAAGATGCCCCAGCCTGGCTCCTCCCTGGTGATGCGCCGACGACCTGGACGCACACCTCTTCCGAGGGACTGCTTGACCGCTTGTCCCTCGGAAGAGGCAGACTCGCTACTCTCTTGGTCCACGATAGAAGAAGGAGAAGCGCTCCCCTCCAATTTCGCCTTCTTCTTCGGCCTGACAGGCGTAGTGGGCGCAGGATCCAGTCCGAGGGAGAGGAGGAGCTCGGCATTGGCCTTTATGGCGGCCAAGCGGGCTAGCTCGTATTCTGTGAGCTCTTCGTCTTCCTGCGCGTGAATGGGGGCGAGGGCGCGCATGGCTGGGGCTGAGGAGGGGATGGATGAGAGGAGGGGTGAGGAGATAGTGAGCACTGCAGACGGACGAGTGATGGAAAACACGAGCAATCCTGGTATTGACCAGTGGTGCAGTGCTATACCACTGCTCCCCCGCCTTTCCGAAGCAGGAAGGCGCCGCCGCCTGGCGCGAAGAAGTGCAGCCCAGTCAGGCGCGAAGTCAAAGTCAGATGTCCGTGCGGGCGACGCGTTCGGTAGATGAGAAGTCGGATCGGAAGAAGGACGGAGGGCCCTGCCATCGACGGAAGCCCGCATTGCTGCTGCCCTCGGCGCATTTGCCCTCTTGGCATTTGGGGGATGGAGGCATCAGGAATATAGACGAGCACACTGGTCACCTCCACTACCATACCATCACTAGCGACAAGAGCCCTTCTTTCAGGAGGACATCCGTCTGATCCTCGATATGGCAGAGGGATCTCGGCGGCCTAGGCTCCGGGTCGAGGCGAAGCTACCACATCGCCAGGATCTCGAAGTAGTCGAGGGTCTCTCGCAGCTGGCCCCGAGCATTCAGTCGGACATAGAAGACAAATATGCCTCTCTGCAAGCATCAGAAAGTGTACAAGAGATGCTAAGCGCAAGAGCAGCTCGACAGCTTCATTCCAGACTACCACCATCAGAAGGACGACTAGCCAGCAGGCCGCGTCTGCGGCATCACCCGCCAGATGTCCCCTCAAGTGACTGTTTGGCACCTCTTACCAGATTCAAGAGTCCGTCTGTGCGAGCAAGCATACATCTTATCCCTTTGCTTCTGCTCCTACTCGCTTCTCTGTCCATCCTCACTCCAGCCGATGCACAAGCGCAGCGGCCTCCACAAGCCGTCTCACGCTCCTACCCCCACCTCGCCTCCTCCTCCCTCTCCTCTCTCCTGTCCCTCTCCGACCCAGCTCCCTACATAGACCATCGTTCTCCCACCTCTTTCCTCTCCCGAATCCTCATACCACGCGTCGCAGGCTCCCCAGGTATCGCAAAAGTGCGGCAGATCATACTAGATGTGTTTCAGAAAGATCTCGCAGCCTCACGTCAGCACGGCCGCTCGGGGTGGCACACTGAGGAGCACACAATCGAGGACAATACACCACTCGGTCGTCTCTCCTTTACCAATCTCATCTTCACAAAGAATCCACGAGCATCCCGACGTCTCGTGCTCGCCGCGCACTACGACTCGAAATACTTCAGCAGGGGGAACTTTCTGGGAGCAACGGATAGTGCAGCCCCATGCGCAATGCTGGTGGATGTGGCCGTTGCGCTGGATGGGCTGATGGAGGCGAAGAAGGACGATGACCTGACACTACAGCTCATCTTCTTTGATGGAGAAGAGGCATTCAAGGTCTGGACGCACACGGATAGTACTTATGGCAGCAGGTGAGTAGCGCGCTGTGAGACGGCTAGGGGAGACGGGAGAGCTCATTCCTCCCCCTCGTTGCACCCCACTTCTGCAGAGCTCTCGCTGCCAACTGGTCCCAAACCTACTTCACACCTCAAACTTCGCCATCCCCCTCTTCCAACCCCTCACGTCGCCGAATCATGTCCACCCCTCAATCCCCACTAAGGAAAATCGACTCCATCGAGCACTTTGTCCTTCTGGACCTGCTGGGGGCAAAAGAACCCGAGGTGCCCTCATATTTCGCCTCGACGGATTGGCTGTACAGGGAATTGGTCGAGGGGGAAAAGAGGCTGAATGAGGGGGGAGTGCTCCTCCCACGGACTTGGAGTGGCGGCGAAGGAGACAATGCCGACGGGTGGGAAGAGGCGGGGAAAGGTCCATTGCTAGAGCACAGGAAGAAGGGCAATCTCAAGTCTTTCTTCCCCGGGGGACCGGTCCTGACCTATGGTGGGATAGAAGACGACCATCTTCCCTTTCTTGCAAACGGCGTGCCGATCCTGCATCTGATCCCACGACCATTCCCGCACGTGTGGCATACGTTGAAGGTGAGTAGCCCAAGGCATTGCGGATTCGCCCTTCTTTGCTCTGCTTCAAACCCGAAACAGAGACAGATGGCTGACTCTCTTCCTCCTGACCTCCCTTTCCTTCAAATTCAACCCCAATCCGCCTTGCCTTCGCCTTCGCCTTCATACGACAGGACGACGCCTCTGCCCTCGACTACCCAACGACGCACGCCTGGAGCATGCTCATGCGGCTCTTCGTCGCCGAGTATCTCGAGCTGGATATGCGTCATGCTTCTTCATTGAGCTCAAGCAAGAGAGAGTCCCAAGGCGGAGAAGAGGAGGAAGAAGCAGAGGAAGAGGGGTGGGGGGATGATTCTTGGTTGAGAGAGAAGAAAAAGGGGAGAGAGAGGGAGAGGCAGAGGGACGAACTGGTGAGTTTTAAACGCGCCCCTACCAATAGTGGAGTGTGAGCCATCCGAAGTAGAGGCTGATCAGATATCATCCTCCTCCCTTCCCCCCTCCCTCCTCTTCATCTCGGCCCTCTTTCGCTCGCTTCGCACCCCCTTTCTGCTGTATGCCAACCCTCGACGGGACGATTGATCAGCAGTGACGAGCTACAGTCTGAACCGCACCGCACCGCACTGCATTCGGCTCAGGCTCATGAAAGAAAGAGGTGGAGAGATGGAGAGATACCCCCCTACCCATCCATCCCACCTCGCGTGATGAGTTCCACTTGTAATCTATTTTCAATTGCTTTGTTTATTTCGATTGAATTCCTTTTGGTTGATTGATTGATTGATTGTCACGTCACAATAGTGAATACTTTTCCAATACTTTCTTGAGTTGTGCTGTGCTGTGCTGTGGCTATGCCCCTTTTTTGAAATCCCCCTTTTTGCAATCACCTGAATTGTCGACAAGTGCTGCATCTCACTTTTCCTTCCACCAAGATCAAGATCAAGATCAGGATCGAGATCAGGATCGAGATCAGGACCAGGATGAGGAATCAGAAGACTGTCCCATCACTCTCAATGGCAATGGGTGGTCCACCACCCATCGCACCTCTAAGCTGAGCCGCAATCTCCCTTCCACCTTTCCAAGTTGCACTCTCCAATACCTGCTTCAATCCCAGCTCTTCCTCTTTGAGATTCCCAGCAGCAGATCGAATTGCGCTGGCGGTTCGATCGAGTAAGACGACGGTTAGGGCTCGCCATTCGACGACGGCTGGATGCGAAGGGAGGAGACGGGGGATCGTCGTAGCACTTGCTTCGCCACTGCTCAGGCTGCTGCTGCTGAGGCTGCTGATGGAAGCGTCCAAGAGGCTCTTTCGTGGTACAAGGACTCCCAAATCGACAAATAGCCCACCATTGCGGTATTCTGGCAGGCCAGTCATGTGCTCTGCATCTGTAAATGTCCAACCGAGAATCTTCTCCATTGGTTCCATGAGAGAGTAGGTCAACCATTGGCTTAGCTTGTGAAAGGGGACTAGGGAAGGGACGTCGGATGCGTCGAGATCGGTAGTGGTGGCAGCGCTCGCAGAGGAGGAGAGGACGGAGCAAGGCCAGACGTCCCCTAGGGGTACTCCGTCGAGGGAGGTGCGCGAGGCGGGCCAGATGGAGGCGAGACCTTGGATCACTACCTCCCAGAGTGCGGGGAGGGATACGGACGTCTTGCCGCCTTCGGCTGGCTTTGTTGCGGGGTGACGGAGGAGGTAGTCTACAGGAGGGGGCGGAGGGGGGGGGGGGGGGGGGGGGGGAGAAAGTTCATGAAGAGAGGTCAGATAAGGAGGAGGGAAACACGCCGTGTCCGTTGAGCTCAGATACTCACCAAGCATGAACCCAGGACGCTTGGCCTTTGGCTCAATCTTCTCCCCCTCTGGTCCACTGAAGTAGCCATACCGGTCCTCCTCCAGTGCTGCACCCAGTCGTGTGAGCAGCGCCGCCCTTCCCTCCAGTCCATCCATGGGATTATCATCAGGGTGAACCTGCATAGCCATTGCAAGCGAGTCGGGGCTTAGCCTCTGCAGTCCTGCCGCCTGCACCGTATGGGCTCCATTACCACTGCCCGCTATCTGCTTCTCATCACTATCCCCTTCTTCCGGAGCATCAGCAAAGAGTCCAGCTGTGAACATGTCCAGACTGGCCACAGCTAATCCTTCTGATCTCCCCACCTTCTGACCCGTCTTTGCCTCGAGGTAGGCCCACTTTGATCCTGCACCTGCGTCCAGCAACACGGAAACGACGTATAGGTCCACTAGGCGCCGAGTGGCCTCGAGAGAAGAGCAAGTGCCGGTTGAGTGCCAAGTTTGAAGTAGACGAGGGATACGGGGTACGCCATTGACTTCAAAGTGACGCTCGCGACCGTGTGGTGGGATCGAGGTGTAGTTGGTGCCATAGTCGCGCTATGAAGATAAGAAAGAGGCAAGATACGGTTGGCTTGTCAGTCACTGGCGGCCGTCATGGGCCTGAGTCAAATGTCTGACTCCCTCGTCTTGTGTCTCACCTGAATAATCTTGAGACAGTAGTCTACGACCTTTTCCATGTTTTCGGGGTGATAGTCAAAGTAATCTCCCTTGCCCTGCTGCTCTACGATGTTGAATACCTTGTAGCATTGCTCCCTGATGGTGGGGAGAGAGCGCAAGCGTTGCACTCTCTCTGAAGGTGGGGGTGGTGGTAATGAAGTAGCCATGTGAGGGTGATGGTAGTGATGCGGGTACAGCGAGGTCAAAAGTGAGTGAGTGAGTATGGGTATTGGTGTTGGAATCCAAGCGAGCTCTTATCGGGGTATTGTCTCTGGAAGCTGATCCGCCCTTGTCCACGTCGGAGCGGAGCGGAGCTGGAGAGCAAGTCGTGCACGGAGCAAGCAGCAGCAGCAGCAGCGACAGGCAGCCCCGCCCACGGAAGTGCACTCTAACTCCACCTCGTAGCCATCCGCAACCCCGCGACCAGACGCCGTTGCAACACCAGCAACCCGCACTGTTCATAGCTATACAGCTTCCTTCATTCAGTCAACAGCCTCGTCTTCTTCTTGAGTCTATCTGTTCCCACCCCACCATGTCTTCCTCTGCAGTCAAGATTGTCCCGCCCGAAGAGGTGGGCAAGAATACCACTGGCCAAACGGACGGAATGACCCGCAAGGCCGCCCTGGTAAATGTATCCGACAAGGTGAGGTAGCGAACAAGTATGCCAGACTCTCAAGTCGGCATCCGTACGCAGGGCGCTCAAGGCTCTTCATCTGACAATACACCCCCTCACTCGTCCACATCCCACCTCGCGCGCAGATCTGCTCCTCCACAATGCTCGCAGACCCACACACCTCCTCTGCCATCCACCACCACGGTCATCTAGACACAATCGTCTACGCTCTTCGTGGATCTGGGGGAACTCTCATTTGGGGACCTAATCCAGAAGATAAACAAAGACTTGCTCCTGGTTCTCATGCATTGATTCCAGCTTGGGTAGAACATCAGGAGGCCAATGAAGGAGAGGAACAAGTGGAGTGGATCATTGTTAGGAGTGGAAGGGAGCCAGTCGTGGTGAATCTGCCAAAGGGGTGGGGATCGTCGAAAGAAGAGGGAGACGGGAAGCAGTAACATTGTGAGAGTATACCAAAGAACAAACAGGGCAATGCAATTCGACCGAGACTATAATGCATATGGGATTGTGTACATCGGATTAGAAGGAAAAGAACACGTACTGCAATGCAAGCTGGACCTCTCCCGAACGAGAGGTCGACGAGGTGACTTGGCCAATCTCTTCCTTAGCCTTTTTCGATAGCAGCAATTGAGCCGGAACCACTCTGCATCATCTTCATGCCTTGCTCTTTGCCTCGCCGGCGTCTTCGTCGGTCCCTTTCGTCTTTGCAGCTTCTTCGTCTGTGACCTGGGCACTCTCTAGGTCCGCCCCTCCTTTTACCTTATCAGCCTCTGTGCTGGCCTCATTGTCGTCGCCATCAGACTCGTCCCTCATCCCATTGAAGGCCCTGCCAACCTGAATGTTCCCCCCTCCTGCAATCTTGTTACCAGGGCTATCAGTACTGGCGGGCCTCTCCCCAGCTGCAGTACTCAGCACTTGTACCTTGGCAGCAGACCGGGGAGAAGGAGGCAGACCCGGCCGCCTCTTCTTCGGGGTGGGCAAGTAGAGTTTGCTGGCCAGAAGCTTGGCCTGGGCATCTGGATTGCTGCCGAAGCCTCGACGGACGTCAGAACTACTGGCGGCGGCCGCTGCTGCTCCTTGACCTCGAAATAGGGAGCGTTGGGCTCTACGTTCCGCATCGAAGACGCCTGCGCCCGAGAGGAGAATGTACTGCATTGAGCCCCACTCAATGATCTTCTTCTCCAGCCAGGGCAGCGAGACGGGCTTGTTGAGGAAGTCGTTGCACCCAGCCGCCAATGCCGCCACTCGATCACTGTTGAGCACACTGGCAGTCAAGGCCACGATGATGACCGAAGCTCTAAAGGGCGTTTGAGGTACTGAAGACCCCGATGGAATCAGCGGAGTGGGCGGCACTGCTGCAGAAGAGGGTGCAGGCATGTCGACAAGTCCATTGACGTAGCCTGGCACGAAGCCAGCCGTGTGCACAGGTGGCGTCGCCGGGAGCTGACCGACATTGGCCATCAGCTCCTGCTTGCGAATCTCCTTCGTAGCCTCAATACCGTCCATGACAGGGAGTTGAATATCCATCTACGAGGGCAGTAAGACCATAAGGGAAGTCAGCAAAGGCTCTCAATGTGGCGCATACCATTGTTCACGCACCAGGATCAAGTGGAAACCACCCGTAGCCCACTTGTCGACTGCCTCTCGCCCATTGACGGCCGTGTCGAATTTGATCTTCTTTCGCGTCATGAATTGCTTCAAAATCTTCTGGTTGATAGGGTTGTCTAAGAGCAGATCAAGAAGGGAAAGTCGATCAGCCATGGTCACCACAATTCTAGCTTGCCAGCGCGCTGTACCACTCACCTTCGACGATCAATACTTGAATAGGAGGAAGGACCTTCTCTCTCACTTGCGTCTTCTTCGGACCACCGCCCCTTCTGCCACTCGGCGCGAAGCCGGCTCCAATCAGCAGACCGGTCTGGGGTTGAGCACTGGGCTTTGTAGCAGGTGACAATGCAGCGAATGATGGGTGAACGCCTCGCACCGCTCCGTCTGCTTCGCCCGCCGTCTCGCCTTGGCTCGCCTCTTGCGCTCGGGGTGGTACAACGGGACCCGCATCTAACGAGGCAGTGGGAACCACAGGACTCGCTTTCTTGCTGCCCAGAGCGCTTGACCGAGCGCTCGGCGCCTTCTTCGTAGAAGTGGCTGGTAGCGTGGTCCGACTCGGAAGGGTAGCCTTCTGTTCCGCCGCAGGCTGATTGTCCGACTTCTCTGAGCCCGGTGCATCTCCAGTAACATTCGGTGGCGAAGACACAATAGGCATCAAAGGGTCCTCACCCTCATTGACGGCAGGCTGAGAAGCTATGGGCGTAGCAACAGGCGGCTTTCCGGAGGACAAGACGTAATCGATGCCAACTTGAGGAGCGAAGAGAGTTCCAGGAGGTGCGTCTCCGAACGTCGTCAATCTGCTTGCAAAGGAGGAAACAGATTGATCGCTATTCCTTCTCGATTGGTCGGCCGACACGATGCCATCGGTGTCGTCATTTGTCTCTTTCTTTCCAGCCATTACATCAGCAATAGATGGATGATGGTAGCTGTGCCGCTCTTCCGATTGCCGTCTCGCGCTAGCGAGAAGGTTCGGCGTATCTGATATACGGGATCCGAACGAACGGTTGGAAGATGGCCCGCTCACGCTACCAGCTCGGCGCCCCTGCGAGCCTCGTATGCTGCCGCTGCCGCTCAGATTGGGATCAAAGTACAGAGCTGCCGGTCTGCCATCTGGAGACTGTATCACCAGACCTGAAGCAGCGCTGGTTCCCATCCTGGCCGCCGTTTCGCTAAAGTACTCTAGGGTCTCTGCAGGCAATGGGCTACTGCTACCTTGCGACGATCGGACTGATGGAGTCGCCAGGGGAAGTAGAGACGGCCGAATCTCTGTCGTCGTCTTCGTTGAGCTCGGGGAATTCGATTTGGTTTCGTGCGCCGCTACCGCATCCACTCCGAGTACTGTTTTGGGATCGGGTCTAGGCAGATTCGATAATTTGAGAGACCCGTCCTTTCTCTTTGCAGACCTTCGAGAAGCAGAGTCTGGAACGGTGAGTGACGATGTTATACTGCTGAGGTCTGCTTCTGGTGAAGTGACGTCACGCTGATCAGATCCTTCTCTCTTCCCAATCTTGGCCTCCCAAAGATAGGGAGACATCGGGCTTGTTGCGATGGGCGCAAAGAACGGGTCGACGATAGGCTTATGCATAGCAGTCTTCAGAGCAGTCAGAATGCGTCGAGGGCCGGCAGGCTTGGGAACGACTAGGATCTCTGGCAATGTATATGCTTGTCCTTCACCAAGGGCCTGGATGGCGGATTCCATGATCGGTTGAAGCACGTCTCGGATTGACCTGAAGTTCTTGAGCGATGTGAAGTAGACAATAGCATGAGTGAGCTCAAGGGGCGGCTTCGAGGCATGGCTCTGATCTGTGTTTCCAGGGCGCAGAGGGAAGCCATCCTTTGCGCTACGATGGAGGTGCTGGGCCGAAGGTGTACCCTGGCCCAGAGCGCCTCGAAGGAGTGGCAACGCAGAGCGCAGACGCAATAGCTCTCTCTGCAGCGTCTCTATGTCGTCATCTACCATGACAAAAGAGTAGGCCTCAAGCTTTTCTGAGGTCATACCACTCTTGATGGTGTCGGAAGACGAATCTCTCTCCATACCTGTGACAGACCGCGAGCTTTTGTGGTCTTCACCTTGCTCGCTTTCCTCTTCCCTTGGCAGGGTGAGAGGCACCCCTGTCACTGGGTCTAAAATTGCTGTGCCCGACATACTTGAAGAAGGCCCAGCTGGCCCTGCGGTCGCGTTACTACTGCTGCAGTCGCCCGCCAATGCTAAGCTGGTAGAATAGCGTATGAAGGCCGGACGACCCTCTGTGATAGCGATAGCAGTCCTTGCAGCAGGAAGATGGTGCTTGTCGCCAGCACCGAAGATGGGTGTCGAGGGCATGCTTGAGCCTGTCGGAGCAACAGATCCTGATGAGACATGACAGCCACAGTCTTGCAGTAGTTGGGCAAGATGCTGTGCAAAGACGGAGCTGTCTGAGGCGTGAAGCGCGACTGTCTTGCCTTTGAGCTCATCTTTGACGAATCCTGACAGCTCCTGTGCAGTGGGCTCTTCTCCGAGAGCGAGACGAGGCAGGAATCTTTGTCGATCCTCATGTTCGATTGTACTTGGCACTGCAGAAGCCGCAAGGTCTGGACTGCAGATGCCTAGCTCCTGGAACTTTAGTTCAACGATCGAGGTCACGGGTGGCTCCTCTGAATGAGTCCACTGCGACTGAGCTTGTGCGATATTCAGTACCGAGTCGTCTAGGCAGCGTTCTAGCAGTTCATGAACCCCCGATACGTCGCGCCCGTTGGAAGTGAGACGCAATTCTAATGAACATGGCGTGATCTCGAGGCCCTGCTTGCTTTTTCCTTTGGTGTCGTCAAATCTGTTGAGTCCCACAGTCAGCGTTGAATGCGGAGGGACGACAGCAAGCATACGAGAGAGGGTATGTATCAAGACGCACTTGACTGCCCCTTCATCGCCAATGGCTGATGTACAGACGCTATGAGAATCGTCATGTTCGTCTATGAAACCTTCCAAAGAAATGACGAGATCAATGGCTTTGTCTGCAGCTTGACCTGAGACAACGTCCGCTGCTCTTTGTACCAGCTCCGAGAGATCGAAAGATGCAGGCGCCGGCGAGGCTGAAGAGCTGGCGGCAGTCGGAGAGCCCTCGCTTTGCTGAGTGGACGAAGTGGAAGCACGAGCTGCTTCGCTGGAGCTCCTTTGTGAGAGTGGCTTTAAGGGTCCCAAACTCGTGATAGTCTCCCGGGAAGACGGACCGCCATCTACGTCTGAGTTCGGGACTATGTCCTCTAAGGTCTCAGCGGACGACGACGCCTTGCCGCTGCTGGCCAGCTCCTGCTCTATGAAGGCATCACAGATCCAATTGATGCTTCGGAACGCTTCCATGACTGCCTCTACACTCGTCACTGGCATGGAAAGACTGGTCGGGCTGAGTGTTTCGTGGCTTGCATCGAGTAGATGAGGTGGGATGATATGGAGCAAGTGAGAAATCGGCAACTGAAGTGTATCAAGGACGAGGTGCGCCAAGGCGGAAGATGACGATTCTGATGCCAGTAGATTGGAGGAAGAGGCCGAGAGGGACGATTTCGTATTGCGACGATTCGGGGAGCGAGGAGTTGGTGGACTACTGCTTCTACTGCCTCCGACGGCAGTAAAGTCTGGCTCTGATGTTTTGGCGATCATTCGAGGCCGCGGATGGCGGAGCGCTCCCATCCGCTCAGCCAATGGTATGCTGATAGATCTGTTCATTGGACGCCGGGCCAGCGGTTGGCTGGGAGAAGCCATGGCTGGAGCGTCAGAGGCCATCGGTGGCAGCGGTCCAGCGGGAGGAGAGGTGATCGACTCATCGGGCGACGGAGGTTGCACGGTCAGGGGAACGCTAGGCAGAGGAGGCGGTGACCGAGACGATGATGACGGTGACTGTGATACCGTGGAATATGATGCCATCTCCAGGAAGGCGTAGTGTACAGGGAGAGAAGGATGGCCCGGCGAGAGAGGTAGGGCATGGAGACGAGTGCACGATACAGGGTCAGCCGTCGCCGAGAGCGGGGGAAACGCGGGCCAGACTGGCGCGTCGGAACGGAAGGGTGAGGCAGGCAGCCTACTTCCCTCCTTGCTCACGCGCTGCCTCTTGACGTCTTTGATACACACAATGCTCATCAGCTTTTGGTTCAGTGCTGTAGATTTTGGTCACGGCTGATGAAGAAAGTGTGTGAGAGAAAGATTGTTACAAAGGGGAAAACCAAAGACACCAGCCGTGAAAGATGCAATGACGTCCTGAGGGAGATGGCGTGAGCTCCTCGCAGTACGTCTATGAGGCTAGAGTGATAGGCATAGGAGATGGAAAAGCAGTCCAACCGACCAACCGCCATCCATAGTCTCATACCAACATCTAGGCCTTGCGGGCGGCCTTTCGTGCAGTGCGGGCAGCTGACGAACGAGCCTTCTTCTCCTCGGTACGCTTGGCCAGCACCTGGTCGTACTCGGCCTTCTGCTCCCGCTGTGCCTCGGTCTTCCTCTTCTTGAGAGACTGCAGGTGCCTCTTGCGTTGCAGACGCTGGGCAGTGATCAGACGCTGGATCTTGGGGGCCTTGGTGTAAGGCTTGGCTCCCTCCTTCTTGGAGGTGACCTCACGGCGAATGACGAACTGACGAACGTCGTCCTTCTTGGTCAGGTTGAAGAACTTGCGGATGTCTGAAAGATGGGATATCGATGGGAGGCATCAGGTTAGCAGACAGTCTCGACTATAGAATCTCGGAAGCAATGCCTCTAGACGTCGTTGATGGCGTCTGACACCTCTCTTCGGCAGAGGTGCCATAGGTATTCCCGCAACAGCGGCCAATTAGACTGTCCACCCCGCCCCTTCCGATGATGTCCCCCTCCTCCCCCTCCTCTTGCACACAAGGTGCTCCTGCCTATACGTCGGACCCTCCCCGTAATTTCTGATGCGCAAGTCAAATTCGCTGATACTCACGGTTAGCTCGCTTAGGGCCCAATCGCTTAGGCACAGTCGAGTCAGCGTCGGTGAGGCCGGGGATCTCCTTCTCTCCCTGCTTGACGACGATGAGATGAAGAGCCTGAATGTCGGCTCCAACGATGCATCCACGGACGGACTTCCTTCGTCGCTCTCCAGTGCGGCGCTGGCGGTAGCACGAGTGGCCCTCACCGAGGAGCAGGCGAACACGAGTGGGGAGCAGGACACCTGGAAGCAAGGACAAGGGGGCAAGGGTCAGTATGATGATGTGCAACGGAGCTGATTCAAAGCTGTCAACTCACCCTGCTTCATGGGGAAACCCTGCTTGTCGTTTCCACCACCAATTCGGACGACGTAACCCTTGAACTCGTCACCGAGCTGGTCAATGGCAACATCCTGACCCATTCGCTTCTCCCAGAAGACTCGGGTCTTGAGGTCATCGTCGATGGAGAATGCCTTCTGAGCGCCAGTGGCGGGGTTGGCGAAGTTCAACTTCATGATGGCTGTGAGGAAGCGAAGTGAGGTGAGGTATGTAAGGTCAGGATGTGTGTACTTCACCCATTTAGAGGCCTCTACTGCCGCCTCAAACGTCTAGCCCCCATTCGAGATTCCCCCCCCGTGACTAAGATCACCATCTCCCAATGCCTCTTTTCGCTCTTTCTATTCTTCCATTCTCTATGTCTCCATCTGCGTTGCCCTCATAGAGTGCAGGTCAGGCTCGAGTGACCTAGCCTGCCCCCGGCGAGACTAGCAATTGAATCGTCTTTCGACCTTTCCGAGATCGTTTTCTTGCCGCTGTAATCGGCTCTGTCCAGCATGACGAATGGGTGGCTTCCGTGTACATGAGTCGTGGCGATACTCACGCTTTGATGAGGATGAAGGGGGGAGATGGGGTGTATGTTTCTGAGGGCGTAGGCGAAGGAAGGATGTCCGCGGCTCACAAAATGCTGCTTGCCTCGCCCCGCCTGCCGGCGCTTGGATTCGTGTCCGTAGTCGCAGCAGCCCCTCTTCGCGCTCCGACACTTGTGCGCGCGGCGCCTTTTCCACGCCAGTGTGCCTGTGTGACCGAGTGCCCGCGTGCGTGTGTGTGGTGTGGCTGCTGCTCGCTCCGCCTGCCAATGACGAAGAATTGCACTTCGCGCCTACGACCCTTTTCTCTTCGTCTCTACAACAACGTCTAGGATCCCCCCGTCACCGTCAACAACCTCAAACTCGTGAGCATCACGACGCCCGACTATACTTCGAGGACAGAGCAGACTCTGATACCACTCTTTCCCAATCCTTTTCCCACGACCAGAAAATGATCATCTCGAAGCAGAACCGCAAGACCATCTACACCTCCCTGTTCTCTCAGGGTGTCTTGGTTGCCCCCAAGAACTTCGAGGTCCAGCACCCCGAGCTCGAGGTCCCCAACCTGCAGGGTTAGTGTCGCAATCAAGGAAGGAGAAAGGGATTGGCGAAGATGCAGCAGACAGGTCTTGGAAGAGGCTTCTTTGTAGTGCGTTGCTCACACCTAGTCTTCCTCTCCCCGCCTTACATCTCACAGTCGTCAAGGCCATGCAGAGCCTCACCTCCAAGGGTATGGTCAAGACTCAGTTCAGCTGGCAATACTACTACTACTCCTTGACCGACGAGGGAATCTCTTACCTGCGAGAGTACCTTGCCCTCCCCGAGGAGATCGTCCCCGCTACCCTGCGAAGGCCCGCTCGTCCTCAGCGAGGCCCCGGTGGAGGTGCTGGTGGTGCCCCCGGTGCCTACCGTGCCCCTCGAGGAGAGGGAGGTGCTGACCGTGGAGAGTACCGCCGAAGGACCGAGGGTGGTGACAAGAAGGACCAGGCTCCTTCTGGAGAGTACCGACCTCGCTTCGCCGGCGTTGGTCGAGGTGCCCCCCGTGCCGAGTAAATGTTTGCTTTGCTTGCATTCATACTCAACATGCCCAATTACGACCGTCCACTACAGTGCCAACTTTCCTTCCATGAACCCGTCAACACTCGCAGTCTCAATTTCCCTCATTTCCTGATCGTCGGGCAGGTGCCCATAGGACCCGACTTTGACTTCTCTCCTGAGAAGCTTCAGCCAGTCCACGAACAGACATCTCCCTGCGTTGTGCGATGAGCGAATGGAATGTCAGACAGCCTTGTATTCTTCGTGTCGCTCCTCTTTCAAAATACAATTCGTGAACAACGATCCCTGATGATCTCTGGTGTGGATAATGCGCTGGGGGGGATATCCTGCACCTGTTCCTAGGAACCGAGACCTCACCCTATGGTCAAGCCTCGGGATAACTGTCCGCAGATAGCTTATGTCCGATGGTGGGCTTGCTTTGGACGGAGAAAAGCCATCCATACTAAATATATTGAATGATGTCTTTCGGTATTGCCGTCGCCATCTGCCTCCGAGTGCAGGCGCCTGGCGGCGGGAGATGCTTCGGGCTCGGGCTAAGGTCTGTGTCGGCCGCGTGGCGTCGTCCGTTGGGCGGAAATAGTTCGACTAAGTTCGAGGCCCGTGTGTCAGAAGTGGATACGCGGGTGAGTACTTAAGGTAGACCAGATAGAAGCAGCGCAGCACACACAGAGCACTTCTTCTCATCCTACTACTACTACCTAGCTACCTGTCAACTTCAGCACCTCTCTTCCACAATGGTGTCTAACATCCTCGTCATCGGCGCCAGTGGTGGAGCCATCGTCGCCCGTCAACTATCCGAATCCCTCCCGCCCACGCATCGTCTAATCCTCATCGAGCGACTCAATTTTGCCTACCACCCCATCTCCTCTCTCCGCGGTGCCGTCATCCCCGGCTTCGAGGAGAACAACTTTGCCTCTTTTGACAACTTCTTCGACAAGGGATCGCGCCATGTAGTCCTCAGCGGGACAGAAGTGACGAAGCTGGGAGAGGATAGTGTGACTATCTCTGGCGAATTCGAGGAGAGCAACACGATCCCATTCGACTATGCCTGTCTGGCACTGGGAGCTACCTACCCTGTCCCTGGTCGACCCAGGAGTACCTCCAAAGAGGAGGGGCTGGAGAACCAGAGGCAGATGCAGAGGGATATCAAGGCTGCCAAGTCTATTCTGGTCGTCGGTGGTGGACCAGTAGGAGTCGAATTTGTCGGCGAAGTGAGGACACAATACCCCAAGAGCACCGGGAAGGCTATCACTCTCGCCACTTCTGGTGGAGAGCTCATCCCTGGTGGATGGAAGAAGTCGCTCGGTCAGAAGATCCACACTTTGCTCACCAGCGAAGGCATCGACATCAAGTACAATGCCAAGGTGAATTTGCCCGAGGATGTAGAGGTTGGCAAGCTCCTCCCTACCTTGCGCTCCTTTGAGCTTCCAGACGGAGGTAAAGTCGAAGCCGACTTTGTGGTCATGGCCACGGGCGGTAAGCCCAACACCTCGCTAGTGAAGCAAGACCACCCTGAAGCACTCAACGACATGGGTCTCATCAAGGTCGAGCCCACCACTCTACGAGTTCTGGACCCCAAGCTAGGAAAATACTTTGCAATGGGTGACTGCAGTGATTCCCCTGGACCCAATACCTACTTTGCCGTCATGCAGCAAGCACCCGTAGTTGTTGCCCACATGAACGCCTTGGCACAGGGTAAGGGTAAAGCGAGCAAGGCGTACAAGGAGCCAATGAATGTAATGGTGGTGCCATTTGGACCTTCTCAGGGACATGGACAGATTGGACCTTTTGTCATGGGATCTTGGGTCACTTCACTTGGAAAGGGAAAGACACTCTTTGTACCCGACTTTAAGAAGCTCTACAGGGTTTGAGCGGCCCGTCGGAGGGGGGCCGGATGAGGATTGGCGCGTACTTGACTTTTGTTGCGTGCGTGCCTTGTGATACCTTTGTTGTGATGTCTTTATACAAGTTCCTTTCAATGTCATTCTCTCTCAAAGGTTGTCAGGTCCCCGACGATCTGATCTCTTGCCACTTCCTACACAAGGATTGAGTGGAAGCCTCTTAGGTGGTGTAGAGAAGTTGTATCATTGTACTGTGTGAGATGAGTTGAACGGAGTGGTCGGGCAAGAGAAGACAGATTCGTAGGAATGGGATGCTTTGATCTAGCGACACATGATATGACATGATAATGATGAGGAGGAGAGTCAATCTATGGGGTCCGGGTGCAGGGGTTCGTGTGCATGAGCAGATCATCATCGAGCCCCCCTTCACAACCCCTCCTCTCCTCTCTTCTAACCCTCCTCTACGCTACTCTGTCTCCCCAGCTCCCACCCGTCCGCTCTCTCTCTCCTCCCCTTCCGTTCCCGACCCTCTTCACTTGCTCTTCTTCTTCTCCACTGCATTCTCGGGTGCATCGACCAATGTGTCCTCAGGCGGGCTAACGTAATTTCTCGTGATCCACTTGCACACCTCATCGATGGCCAGCACAGGTGCGCTGATCCAAAGCACCGCCTGCCATTCCTCCCAATTGAGTGGGGTAATGACAAAGAGGTCCCGGAGGAAGGGGATGTAGAGAATGGCAAAGTGGAGAACCATGCTGAGGGCGATTGCAAATACCAAGAAGGGATTCTTGAAGGGCGTCTGGTAGAAGATGGAGTCTACCTCGGAGATGGCATTGAGTGCATTGAACATCTCGATGGTCACCAGGATGCTTAGACTCATCGTTGTAGCTCGCTTGGCGTACTCGTTGACGAAGATCTGGCAACCAATCTCGGGGAAGAGCTCAGAGCACTTGTGGAAATGGGTCAATTGGTAGAAGGTCACCTGAGGACCGGCGTGGTAGTACATGAACCACCAGGCGTAGCCACCCACTGTGGCTGCGCCGACGTAAGTGCCGACGATCATGTATCGGGTGAAGAGCCACTTGCCCACGAGCGGCTCGTCTCGGCTTCGAGGCTTGTGCCTCATGACCTCGTGGTCGGGAGGGTTGAAGCCGAGAGCTGTGGCTGGGAGACCGTCTGTGACCAGGTTGACCCAGAGCAGTTGCACAGGAATCAAAGCCTCGGGCATGCCGAGCAGGACGGTGAGGAAGATGCTGACGACCTCACCAATGTTGGAGGAAATCAGGTATCGGATGAACGACTGCGTGTTGTTGTAGATGCTTCGGCCTTGCTCGACGGCTACCTCGATGGTGGCAAAGTTGTCGTCGGCGAGGACCATGTCGGCGGCTAGCTTGGCAACATCGGTTCCCGACCCCATTGCAATACCAATGTCGGCTCGCTTGAGAGCTGGGGCGTCGTTCACACCATCACCGGTCATAGCCACAACCTGGCCTTGCTTCTGCAGCAGCTCGACGAGCAGACTCTTGTGTGAAGGCTCGGTACGACTGAAGAGGCGCGCCGTCTTGACCGCCTCCATCTGCTGGCTCTCCGACATCGACTCGAATTCCCGACCTGTGAAGGAGAGACCCTTGAGGCTGGCGGAGGTGTCCTTTGGCAGAATACCGATTTGGCGACAGATCGTCTCTGCGGTCGGCTGGTTGTCTCCAGTGATCACAATCACTCGAATACCGGCGGAGCGGCAACGAGCAATGGCAGCAGGCACTTCGGGACGAGGAGGGTCCATCATACCGACGATACCAACAAGAGACATGTTCTGCTCGAACTTGGCGTAGTCAGCGCTGGACTGAGAGCGGTATGAGCTGGTGTCGAGATCGGCATTGTCCACCTGAGCAAGAGCGAGTGTCCTCAAGCCGAGCTTACCATACTCCTCCACCTTTCGGGCGATCAGGGCGCGAGTGTTGGCATCCAGAGGAGTCCGAGCGCCGGAGCCGGAGTGAATAGTGCTGCATCGCTCAACAACGGACTCGGGAGCTCCTTTGACAAGCAGGAGACCACAAGAAGGCGAGGAAGGGTCCTTGATGAGCGTCGACATGGACTTGCGGTCTCGAGAGAATTCCAGGGTGAGAAGGCGCGGGGCAGCTTCTTCATAAGCAGAAGAAACGGCAGAGCATCTCTGCTTAGCATCCATCGATGACAGCTTTGAGTTGACTGACGCATCGTGGTGACCGAGCTTCTCCACCAGTACCCTCAGGGCAGACTCAGTTGGCTGTCCAATCGAAGCGTAGTTGCCGTGCTCGTCGATTGTGACTTGAGAATCACTGCAGATGGAAGCAATAGTGGCGAGAGCATTGACCGTGGAGCCGGCAACATTGAGCTGTCCACTAACAACCTTGCCGTCAGAGTTGCGGATGTCACCCTTCGGTGCGAAGCTGCTTCCCTCGACTTCGTATTCGGATAGCTTTTGCGAATCGAAGACCGCGAAACGAGTGACACACATCTGATTTGTTGTCAATGTGCCCGTCTTGTCAGAGCAAATGACATTTGTGCTGCCCAGAGTCTCGACAGAAGGCAAGTGTCGGACGATTGCATTCTTCTTGGCCATCTTCTGAGTACCCAGAGCAAGGCAGGCAGTAATGACGGCAGCAAGACCTTCGGGAATAGCGGCCACAGCAAGAGCGACAGCAATCTTAAAGTAGTAGATGGCGCCCTTGAGCATGCCTCCGTGCGAAGGATCGGCGAAGTGACGGATGTTGATCAACCAGACGAGGACACAGATGACCGTGATGACCTTGGCGAGCATCTCTCCGAAGTCGTCAAGCTTCTGCTTCAGAGGCGTCTTTTCGTCACTCTCCTCGCTAATCTCGGCGTGAATGCCGCCGATGGCTGTCTTCGCTCCAGTGAGCACGACGACAGCCAATCCCGAACCGTTGGCGATGGTGGTCCCGCTGAACAGGATGTTGATCATGTCCTGCTTGACCGCTCTAGGGTCGGCGACAGCCTTCGTGTCTTTGTTGACGCTCATGCTTTCGCCGGTCAAGATGGCTTGATCGGTACGGAACGAGCTCGAATTAATGGCGATGAGTCGGCAGTCGGCGGGGATCTTGTCGCCGACGTTCACCGAGACAATGTCACCGGGGACGAGCTCCTCCGATTTGACCTTTGTGGCTGAGCCATTGCGAATTACGGAGGCAGTGTCAGGAGTGTACTCGCGAAGCGCCTGCAGCGGGTCAAGCAAAGGCGTAATAAACAGTGTCAGTCTTGCCCCGAAATGACCGGTCGGTATTAGATCCTGTGCACTCACCTCGATAGCTTGGTCAGCATTACGCTCTTGTATCACTCCTACTGTAGCGTTAGCGATGAGGATGAGGAAGATGACTCCGGGCTCGACCATTGCAGTCGCCAGCGACTCGTTCTCCTCGAGCAGGGCGAGGATGAAGGAAACGACGGCGGACCCGAGGAGGATCTGCACAAGTTGGTCTTTGAACTGATCGACGATTAACCGCCACAGTGGTGTGGGAGGTGACTCTTCCAAAGCTGCGAGCAGAAAGAGCGCCGAATGCGGGTCGGTACGTCAGCTCCCGATACTGTCGTCTCCTATGATGAGCCTGCGCTACGATGAGTACTCACCATTCGGGCCATATTGCTGTTGCCTTTGCTGCACCTCCTTTGAGCTAAGACCTTTCCGTGGGTCGACCTCTAGCTTCTTCAACACATCTTCGACAGAATGTGTCCACGCTTGGTCAAGCATGGTAATTTATCGTGAAGATTGTGTGTATTGATGTTCTAAGACCTTCGATTGGCGCCTGTCCTCAGACACTGCTTTCCACACGGCTTTCGCAGCGTACGCGGGAGAAGGGCCCGATGAGAGGAAGGGAGGATGGCAAATGTAGGGTGATGATATGCAAGCGGGGTGGCGTCCTGTGATTCTGACGCAACAGCAATGACCCAGAAGTGAATGTGGATCAAGGCGAGGTGGGTGGGTGAGGATATGTATGGATAGGTAAGGAGGAGAGGAGGGAGCCAGGGGCTTGTTGTGTGCGCCAAGGGGCTTCCGTGGTATTTCTTCCATTGCTCTCCTTCCTTCTGGCCAAAGTGTAAACGTGGACGCGGACGCGGAGGGCTTGGCTCCACACCATTCACACTCCGACGTCCCAGGCAGCAATCAATCCACCTCTCCGGACCAGCAACCACGGGCCTAGGAGCATATACCCACCACGCGACCTTGGCACGACTGAGCAGGGCGGCCTTCTACAGCTCTCGTTGCGATCATCGTCTACGTCTCCTTGAACAGCACTGCACTCTTCCATGGACAATTCGCACATCACATAGACATCGTCTCGCATCTGCCGCGATGTCTGCGCCGCCCCTCCGCCTTCTCGACCTGCCCTACGATGTCCTGTTGCACAGCCTCCTACCTCTCCTTGCGGCTCAAGACCTGGCCAAGCTACGTCTAGTCAACAAAGAGGTCAAGTCGCTGGTAGATGATGAGCATATATGGAAGGGCATGATCCAGCAGGATTTCAACTTCCCTGCTCACGCCAGCAGCCGGCGATCTGGCTGGCAGACCCTATACCGCGGTTTGTCTAGGCCTACCGTCTTCGTGTGGGGACAATACAGCAACGCTCGGCTAGGAATTCCACCAGAAGAGCTAAAAGATGAGCTTCAACAGTTCATCAGCAGATATGGCGGCGCGACCTTCCCTCTGAAGCTACCCTACAATCTGCAGGCACAGGAAGCAGGGCCGCCAGTGGAGATTGTAGCAGGAGGCTGGAGCTTCCACTGCCTCACCGCAAAGGGGGAGATTCTGTTTCATGGTCAGCTTGATGGCTTTCAGTATGGAGTGGAGCTGTCGTCTCCAGGCTGCAAAGTCTCGCCTCCCCGGGTCCTGAAGCGAGCGACTAAAGATCCTGTAAAGGCTCTCTCTTGCGGCCGAGCCCATGGCGTTGCTCTCACATCTCAGCAAGACATACTCGAGTGGCACAATTGGAGCTTGGCGGTGAAGCACGAGCGACTCATACAATTAGCGAGTCAGTATCCCACCCGGATCGTACAGCTCGAAGCCGGCTGGGATTGTACCGCGGTCCTGCTGCACTCTCTAGACGCAGAGTCAGTGAAGTCTTCCGAAGTGGTCTGGTGGTATACCCAGTCGGTCGACAGCGATAGACTAGCGCAGGATGGGCGTGATGGAGAGAACACCACTTGGAGTGGCGTCCATCGCTCTACACTTCCGCCTCTGCCAGAGGTCTCAGAGGAGGTGGCCGTCGAACTGGATGAGATGGACCACAAGAACCACTCATTGATTGTCCGTCTCGCAGCTGGAGAGAGCTGGATCGTCGCCCTTACTGCATCAGGACTACTTTACAGGATCGAGCTACGACCCGAGCACCCGAACCAAAAGCAAGAATGGATCCTCCTTGATAATTTCTGCCTGCCGTCAAAGCTTGCGCAGCTGGACCATTTTGCAAAGGGTCCAGGGAGCAGCAAAGGGCTGATCGACAGCAATCTCAGGATCACGCACATCAACGCACAGTTCCGCAACTTCGCCGCTTACACTCCTTCGTCAAATGCAGAAGGCGGCATTGTGCTTCTAGGCAACAGCGACAGTGGTGAAGGGTCGCAGCCAATCATCAAGCCTGAGCTTCAAGGCGCAGGAGTGATCAAAGTCTCAATGGGAGAGTGAGTAGTACCTATGCAATGCGAAGTTGAGCTGACATGAGCTGACTTACGATTGCATTCTATCAGCTGGCACTTTGGAGCGTTGACCACATCAGGTGAAGTCATGACCTGGGGCCAATGGTCAGCCGGCGCCCTAGGTACTTGGGACTCCCTGCAACCAGATGCTCCCTCACCTCAAGCAGCGCAGGCAGCTCCCACGTTCAGGGGGCGCGGAACAGGACGAGGGCCGGGTCCTGTCGTACCTCGCATCAACCCCTCGGAGGATGCACCGCATCTTCCTGAACCACTTGGTCACAACCCCTTGCCACGCATCCGATTGGGCTTAGCTGCTGCTCGTGGAGGATTCAGAAATGGCGTGAGGCAACACGTCCACAGTCCGACGCCTACGCAACCTAATGTGCCGCTCACAAGGGCCTCAGCAGCGTTAGCAAGGAGGTCTGATCCGTGGGCAAACCGCCTCAAACCTCGCAGAGTACCCCGATCGATCGAGGAGCCCACTATTGTGCGATTTGACCCCGCGAAGCCGGACAAGGACTTTGTCTTTGACATTGCGTTTGCTGGTGAGTCACAAAAGGGGTCTGAGAGCGACTTTCTGCTTTTCGCTGATTCTTATGTATCTGCTTGATCACAGGCTGGCACTCGGCAGCCATTGCCATTCCGGCCGGCCTTGTCAGGGGCACAGGTTCAGCTGAAGGCGACTGCGAGGGCGGGAGCGTGCACGAAGAAGAGGATGAGGACGAGGTACGTTGAGCATGTCTGCAGAGGTGAGCGCCGACACTGCAAGCGCACATCTCCACAAAGCACGACTGCTGAGCATGCTTTTGCCGTTCTCTTGCTCCTCTCAACAGTCGACGACGACGATAGATTCCTTCCAAAAGGGCTCCCCTACCCTTCCGGCCTCCTCATCCTTCGGCATCTTCTCCTCTACAACACCCGCTCCGCGCAGGCGCCAACTCAACGGCTACACATTCGATGCTGATCCGCGCATACTCCAGACAGTGGTAGCCGAGCGTCAAGCCAGGCGTATATTCAATCTCAGTCTAGGCTTCTTGCTCGTCGGGGTTTTGACATTTGTTGGTGGGTGGGAACGGGTCTTTCCTCTTTACGTAGGGGATGCAACGAATGGAAGGTCAGGGTCAGGGGGAGGCGGAGGAGGAGTTGGAGATCTACTCGGTTGGCCCCATTCGTTACTGAACTTTCTGCCGCTGATGATACCCCTGACGCTCTACCTGGTTATTGCTCGCTGGACGGGTCGGCAGCTGTATGGTGGCTTTGCACAGTGAGCGGTCTGTAAAGCCCGTGAAGTAGCGTTAGAGGAGGTTTTCCATTCGCACGTCTGTACATATCTCTCATCTCTAACGAAATTTATAAAGCAGTCAACAAGCTAGTTCTATTGTCCCAGATTGGTGTATCATCACCATCGCCACAGCTTCTCATCCCGTCTCCTGCGATCCCTGGTCCTGCAGTCTTCCTTGCAAAGTCCCAATGCGCCTCCTCAGCGCCTCGATCTGTCTTCCCTGCGTCGAGACTTTCCTCTTCAAGCGCGCATTGTCCGCTTCGATTTCGCCAAGGAAGGACCTGACCTTCTGAAAAGAGTCGGACGGCCTGGTACTGGCTGTGGTCAGCGAGAGGGTATGCCCGCTTGCTGGCGGAAGGGGGGGTGAAGAGACGGGCGGCACGCTGCTAGTGCTGCTTGTGGGTTCGGACGGGGAGCGGGCGTCTGCTCGGGAGAAGCCGTTGTGTGCGGGTACGGAGGGGGACTCATCGTCCTCCCAGTCCAGCTGACCGCTTGCGAGTGCAGCTTGAGCCACCTCTAGTGCCTCGCTGTCCCCAAATGAAAGAGTGACTTCGGCTATATCAGGTGACCAGGGAAGTGCACCATCATTCCTGGTGTCTATATGCACACGCACCTGACTTCTTGGCCGAGAGCAGGCGCAGGAATGCGATCATTGGAATTCGTATGCAGCTCGAGCCTCCTTTTCTGCCTCGAGCCTGCCAGATGTAGCGATAATGTCAGTCAGCGGCGCATGTGGTTATCCTTCGTGTGCTGCAGGCGGAGGCTTACTTGGAATTGATCGGCTGCCACTGCAGTCGTCAGTCGATGTAACTGCCAATGGAGACACAGCGTCAACATCTGAGCCCTTACGAAGACAGCTCTTGGCTGCAAAGGTCTTGCGTGTGGGTCATATCACTCACTATCTTCCGGAAGACTATCCATTTTGCGAGCTGCTGCTTCCGCATCTGCTGTCAGGGTGAGGGCTGATAGTGTGCACACTTGAGGCATATCGTAAATTGTGATGGCTACCGGAATGTGTGCGCTCACATCTGGCAGACGAGAGAGTACGCTTAGATCTACCTGGCGGCACAAATCATAGGTATGCGCCGTCAGTGCTCAGTCTCCAATGTCATGATCGTGTCTATGTGCATATATGCTTGCCCCTGGCGGTCGCGCTTCTTCGAGCCACTACTGGCCGATTGCCGACTTTTTGAGTCACTGTAAGCATCACAATCAGGCAGAAAGATGAGCAAGTACGACCAAGCGCAGTACTCCGGCTCAAACATCGGGCCGAGAAGAGCTCTGACCAGAATGAGCCACACCACCACAATTTCGGTCTTCCTGCGAGCTGTGTAGCTCGTCCGGACTATGCTCCCGTTCTCGGTTTGGATCGAGATCACTGTCGAGGAGACCGGTCAGTCGAGAGACTGTCCGCATCGGTACTTTTGGAGCTTGAGCTGTCAGCCAAGGAGGCGGCGAAGGTTCAAAGCGAAAAGGTGTCATGCTGTTCTCAGCAGGATATCGACGATGCTTGCCGTGACGACGATGCGACGGATGGAGGGACGCCTGGTCGACGGAAAGGGAGATGGAGGCACTGCACCACAGCGCGCGCGCCCCCGCCTGGCCCAACAGCCTCGGCCGCCTCAGAAGTCAGATCAGATCACTTCCACCCCCAGACCAGCACTGCCGCACGCTTCGTACCTCGACCATCGTACGCCTCAATACTCTCGCAGTTAGGTGACGCAGAGCAAGAGCACAAGTCGTCAGGCGCGTTAGCTTTCAAAGGCCACTCATCGGCCTGCGCGGACCATGTCAGCTCTCGAGGTGAGTGAAGAGCGGGGGCTCCTTAATATTTGCAGTACCGGCCTTCTCACCGTCTGTCCTTCCTGTCCACCTCATGTCTGCGCTTCAGGGTTTCAAGAAGGTTGTCAAGGACTCGATAGCTAGCAACAAGCTCTCATCATCCAGAGTCGAGGCGGTCAAGGTGGCAGCAGCGAAGTGCTTTGATGTGAGTATACGACCCGAGGCGAGGCTGTGCGGGTTGAGCTTTAGGAGGAAGGACGCGTCATGGTGATGGCCCGGCAGCCAGTCCGAGTATCGGAACGATCCTAAGCAGAACGTATAGGAGCGGGCTCGGCGAAAAGCCCAGATCTACAGAGGCCACACCAACTGACCCGATCCTCATCCGCTTCATGCCAAAACTTACCAGCGAGCGCAACCGGCCAAGTCAGAATTTCTGCGGCTACATCTCTCAGCTCCTGCAGGCTCAAAGGTCGTCTCTCTGTATCTCTTCGACGCCATCGCGCGCCATGCGAGGGAGGTAGTCAAGAAGAACGGTGCCGGGCTGGACCCACTGAAGGCGCTGCCCAGTACGCAGGGAGCATCCGACCCCAATGGTACCTTCGTCCGAGCTGCTAAGGATTTTCTGGGCGAGATGGCTACAATAGTGGAAGAGGTGGCAGTGAGCACGGCTGGAAGTGTCAAGGTGGAGCAAAGAGTGAGTCGAACTCTGACATGAATTTTGGAGAAGGCGCTGACACAGTCGTCTCCCCTCCACAGGAAAAGGTGGACAAGGTGATCGATATCTGGAGGAAAGCTGGGACGTTCGAGGCCGATCTTCTGGACAGAGCAGCCCTGGCCGCAAAGAGAGTAGCATCGTCGTCAAGGATACCCTCAAATGGTCACTCAGCTAATGGTACATCACAAGGTCAGAGTCATAGCCTGAGCTACTGTCGAGAAAGAATACCCATTGGGCCGAATTATACCAGCATGTCTATACCGTCATTTACTATACCAGATCAACTGAAATTGCATACATTTCTTCTTCTCTCCCTTTCCTGCTCCACCAATCTCCGCATCGTCTGCGCTCGTCACCTCTACGTCTTGCAAAATCATCTGGCCTGCGCTTGACTTGTGCGACTCTCCTCACAGGTCGATCCACTACCCCTACAGGCTCACCACCTCCTGCTCTCAAGCGAGCTCGTATTGATCGGACAGATGGAGAAGCGAGTGGATCAGCTACTCCACCCGTACCCGCCGGCTTGCCTTCCAGCTTGGCTGCCCTCCTTGGAGCTCAGGCTGGGGCAAGTCAAGGACATGGCGCGTCCCCTCTTGCAGGGGCAAGCTCGGGCGATACCCAGAGTTTCATGAACTCTCTAAGCAGTCTGATGGGGCCTGCAGGAGCTTCGACTTCGCAACAAGCGTGAGTAGGCGTTGTACACGATGTCTATGCCTCGCCCTTTCATGCGAGACTGGAATCACTGCTGACCACGTCTTCACTCCTTTTCTGCCCCTGATACAGCGATGCCTCGCTCTCCTTTGGCTCAGCTCCCGCCTTTGACCTGAGCCAGCTGACAGCTCTCCAGCAGCTAGCCTCGTCGTCCTCCACCACCACCACCACCTCAGGCTCCACTCTACCGAGCACCTCATCGGCTGTCCCTCTGCCCCCACCAGGCCCCCCACCTCCACGTCCACCGCAGGTGGCTCCTTCCACCTCATCCTCCTCCCTCCCCGCGAATTCAGCTCCAGCTTCAGCTCCAGCTTCGACTTGGCCTCCAAATCCTGACCCAAGCATGGGAGACCTTAGCAGCTTCGACGTCCTCTCCTTTGACCCGACACAGCCCCAAAATTGGATCCCGGTGGCTCAAAAGTGGTGCAATTCTTTTGGGTACATGCCTGCACTTTGGGAAGTGGGGATGAACTATCGTGAGTTGATAATGCGTGGAGTGAAGAGTAAGAGAGGGTCAAGATTGGTTTGCTGACATGCTTTCTCACCCATCTTGTCCTCCTCTTCTCTACGGCGCGCCTAGTAATGGTGTATCGGGCTGCACTCATGCAGGGTCGCTATGGAGCAGGAGACGGGACTGACGGCACTGGCGGGGGCGGGGGCGGGGGATGGGGTGACGGCAGTGGCCAGTAGGACAACAGATTTCAGCATGCAATACTTCTTCCTCATGCAATGCATCTACAATCTACAAACGGATTATATTCTAGCTTTCTAGAGTGTGATATATTATTACAGTGACCATCTCAGCTCAATCCACGAATTTCGGGTCAAGGCCATTACGTGCCCCTCAAGCGCCTGCACTGCCCTCGCTCGCGCCAAGGCTGGTAGTGATATTGTCACCGAGGAAGATGGCTATTCCGAACGCAGCTACAAGGAGCAGCTGACCTACCACGTCTACAATCGAGGAGACGTAGGGCAGACAGTAGATGTCTATGCCATAGCAATAAGAGAGGAGAAGAGAAATCAGCCACAATCCTCTTCCTCGATTCGTCTCGTCTCTTTCTTGACTCACCAGGATCATAATCCCTCTTCCACAACCAAAGTGTCAGGGCATGTGCAACCCAAAGTGCAAAGCCCACTGCCGCTAGTCCCAATGTGCAAAAGGTGAAGACGAATTGCCAGCCAAAGTGCATCTGTCCACTGACCCAGACGAAGAGGAGGAAGAGTGTCTCGATGGAGAAGCCAATGACGAGAAGAGAGAGGGGGACTACCCAACCCTCAGTGGGTGGACCGGACTGGAAGAGAGCAAAGAAGTGGGATAGGCCAGAATAGACCCAAGAGCCCGGCCCGCTTGCAGGTCTCGAGCTGCCCAGAGGAGAGTGTCTCGTAGGCGAGTCGATCAGGGCTAGCTCTCCCTTGCCGGAGTGAAGCGTCGTGCTGATCCTACTGACAAAGATGGCCGCGCACGCGCCCGGTAGACCCGTCACTACGGGACTCAGTAGTGCAAAGCCGGGGTAACGCTGCACAAAGGAGTCGAGGACCAGTCCAGCACCAGAAGAGATGAACATGGCGATGATCAGGGGGACCCAACCCGAGGAGAGGAGCTCACGGACATAGGTGTTCCGCAGGGTGACTATGAAGCAGACTATGCAGGCTATGATGAGGAAGAGGAGGATGAGCGAGGCGAGTATCGTGCCCTCGAAGTTGATCAGAAAGGAGGCCAAGAGTCCCACGATGATCAAGGTGAGAAGATCACCGAGAGAGGCAGCTAGAGGGGACGCGATATTGTCCGGATTGGCACCAACTTGTCGGGCTACAACCACTAGAGCGCACATGAAGTTGCCCAGGATGGCAGAGGAGATTGAGGCGGAGAGCATACCTGTGGCGAGGACGAGGACGAACTCGAAGTAGCCATTGCGCAGACGAAGGGCTGGGTCGGCAGGAGGCTTGGGGTGGTGGTGAATGATGCGGCGTGGTTGCAATGGCGAGGAGGGTACCGAGGCCGTCGAAGTCGAGCTGAGCGCACTGCCCATTCCCCTGGGCGTTGCTCCTCTCTGTAGCAGACTTCTGAGTGAGTTTGCCGACCGCGACGATACAGATGCAACCTCCGCGACCTTCGATGACGACTCGGCAGCCATGCCGAGGAGGAAAGCCAGGACTCCAGCTCCCGCAGAGACGATCAATGCCTGCACCTGCAGCAAGGTCATATTTCCTACGATCAGCGTCTGCCTCGTCCTCGTAATGTCCAATTCCCCAATATTGGCGCTGGTGCTCATCCTCAGCGAGAGATTCATCTCCAGATTGCCCTTGAGATTGAGCAAGATAGGCAGTAGAACAAAGAGCTTGTCCACCTTGAGGAAGACCGGCCAGCGGGCGAGGTGCACCAGGAGCTCTCCGGAGAACATAAGGGAGAGCAACGAGAGGACTAATGTGGGGAGTGCTTCTTTTGCAATTTGCCAGATGACCAGCAGGTGGCTTCTGCTCTTGTTCCTCCGTCGTCTGCTGGAGATGACTGCTGCTGGCGGCGCCTGGGGTCGATCCCGGAAGACGGCTGATTCGCCCAGAGAGGCGACTGAAGGAGCCTCAGTCCGTGTACGACCACTCTTCATCGTCGAAGCTCCAATGGTTGATTCGGAGCTGTTGCGCTGCCGTCCTACGAGGGCCTGCTCTTCTCCATCCTCCTCGTCTACGTCTTCGATGCTGACGTCTGCCTGCTCCTGCTCGTACTGCTGCTGTTCTTGCCGTCGTTGCGCATTCCCCGAGGACTCCGCTGTAGTAGGGTCAATTGCATCGCCATGCTCGACAACTGGTGGCTGCAAAACCTCTGAATCGTCTTGGGCATGCGCTGCAGACTGGCCTAGGTCTCTCCTCATGATCTTGTCGTCTACCTGTCTTGCGTCTGGAGTGCGATTATCGGGAATTTTCTGAAGAGACGTAGAGGAGGTACGCCTAGAAGTGGAGGGCAAGAGGATGTCGTATAGATACCGCGGGAGTAAGTTCAAGCCAGTCTAGTACGATGAAAGTCTTGGTGGTACGCCTGCTGCCCCTGAGGAGCTCGATGGGATTGCTAAGAAGGGTTGTATGTTCCATTCCATCTCCCGAGGTTCCCCTGCCTGCCTGCCTCTCCTCCTTTCCGCATTGACCGGGGCCGCGTGAAATTAAGGCTCATCGCGTACATTCACACTCCGACACCCACTCACCCTCCCTCGCGACGCTTCCTTCCTTGCCGAGAAGGAGAGCAAGAGTCCAACACTACTTCTCTGCAGTCCAACTCATCTGTAAGAGGATCATAGAGCGACCTCATCTCCAAACTGGCAGCATGGCATCTTCAAGTCTCTTCCCACCGCCTCTGACGCTTCACTTTGCGCCTCCAGCAGGCAGCAGCATCAGCAGCGGTAGTGGAGAGGAGCCCATAGACCAACCGCCCAACCTTATGCCCTTTTCAATCGAGTACACCGGCCCAGCCAACGTAGACGGCTATCTCGTCTCCCATCAGGCGGCCAAAAAGACCTCTTCTTCTTCCGCCACTTCCTCATCATCTCAACATCAACAGCATGCACACAGCTCACTAGCTGGACCCTCTGGAGTGGATATCCCCCAAGAGGAAGTCTACACTCACTTTCGCGGCCGAAGACTCTGGCGTACCACACTCCCTCTACCGGCTGACTGGAGCGGAAGGGTCTGTCTGCTACAGCGAGAGCGACCAAGAGATGCTCCCGTTGGGGCCAGAACAGGCTCATCGCAGACTGCAATGGGAGAAGGAGCTGATACCGTTGCGGGAGAAGTGGCTCGCCGACGCTTGGAGCAAGAGGAGGCGGCAGAGAGAGAGGAGATGCGCAGGAAGAAGCGAAGACTGAATGCTGCTGCTGCTGCCTCGAGTAGTTCGGGGAGAAACGGACCTGCGGTCAAGAAGCCGGCTGCGATGGCTACTTTCTCCATGGACGATGACGAAGACGAGGTTGAGGATGAGGACGAGGGGGACATGAATGGAGGAGCGGGTCTGAGCGAGGAGGAGGAAGCGGACGTCTATGACCTTCGTGATGAAGAAGATCCACACGATGACGACGATCATCCTCAAGAAGACGACTTCCTACCCCAAGACCTCCCCACGGCGCCTTCGGACACTCGGAGCACCGCTCCACCCCTCCCGCAATCAGTCACAACCACGTCTCTCCTCCCTTCTTCACGCTTCTCGACTATCCACATATGGAGCCCAGACGGGAAGCTGGATGCAGGAGACGAGGAGCTGGTAAAGGTGCTCGGCGAGTGGAGGTCCATCAATACGCTAGTGAGTGCAAGAGGGATCGCTTGAAGGTCGGGCTGTTGCCAATTCCGAGACGAGACGAGACTGGGACTGATCATTCTACTTGCTTCCTTGTGTCGCTTCTTTAGCTTCATTCTGCCTGAAGCGCTGCTCCATCTCGACCTTTCTCACACTAGACAGTCCTTTCCGCTCCTTGTGCCCTATCTATGTGTACAATGAATGTCTTTATTAGCGCATGCGTGACAGTGGGAGATGGCGTGAAAACGGTGAAGAAGAAGAAGAAGAAGTATACAATGGGAGACGGGTCCCGGGAGAGAAATCATGGGAGGTACAAGTTCGCAAAACGTCTATACAAGAAGGCTCATGAAAACAAAAAGGGAAGAGTGGGCGGCGGCGCGACCGCACCCTGTCCGTAGTCTAGTGACTGCAATACTGGAAGACCATGCTCACGTCTTCAAAATTCTTCTCTGCTCTGAGTAAATCATCATGCAGCTCTCCCAATTCGGGTCGCTCATAATGGTTCCAAGTAGAAGTATCACCATAGAGTAAAGCCTGACTCTTCTTGACTTGTCTACCCGCAACACACCTCTTACACTTGTATGTATCGTGGGTATTACTCGTCGTTGCGTCCTTGAATTCAAAGAGTTCTCGCAAGTCTCCAGCGGAAAAGTGGCGCTCCACGTCTTCTCCACAGTCGACGACGGAGGCGGAGAGGGCCTGCTTGTGCGATTGACGTTGGAGGATCTTCTCCTCGATGGAACCCGTGCCGATGAAGCGGTACACGAAGCAAGACTTCTTCTGTCCATCTCGCCAGACTCGAGCTAGAGCCTGTTGGTCCGCGGCTGGATTCCAATCTGGGTCAAAGAGCACCAGTCGATTGGCACCAATGAGATTCAGTCCACAACCTCCTGCCTTGGAGCTCAAGAGGAAGATGAATTCTGGACTCTCGGGGTCATTGAAGCGATCCACGAGCTTCTGACGCTTGTTGATCGCCATGGTACCGTCGAGCCTGAAGTTGCCCCATCGATTGTTCCTGCACATGCGGTCAAAGACGTCCAGCGTCTGTGTGTAATTGCTGATTAGCACGATCTTGTCATTGGTGGTGGTGCGAATGGTGTGCAAGAAGCGCTCGAGCACCATCATCTTGCCAGAATACTCCGTGTGGACGTCTCTACGATCTCGCGGAACGTAGCCTTCAGGCCAGAGCTCTCTACTGCCTGGTAGATCCTCGTCCAGATTGAGGAGGTCAGGATGGTTGCAGAGCTTCTTGAGAATATTGATCGCCTTGAGAGGCTGCGATCCTGTACCCCTGAGCAGCTTCTTGATCTCAGGCGAGCGAATGAAAAGTCGGTAGAGGTCAAGCTGGAAAGGGGCCATCTTGCAGAAGACCACATGCTCGTACTTGTGAGGAAGGTACTTCGACAGCAGATCGTTCGTACGACGGATAATGAAGCGCTGCACAAGATCAGCGAGCTCCTTGAGTTTCTGATTACCGACCTCCTTCTCCTTGTCGGTAGCAAGAGCGTCTCGACCCTTGAGGATGGCCAGCTCGTAATTCTTACGGAACTCCATCTTGCCACCGAGGAGATCCGGAATGGCAAAGCTCAGTAGAGAAAAGTACTCGGACAAGTCGTTCTGGACGGGGGTACCGGAGAGGATGACTCGTCGCTGGACCTTGATGGCATTGAGCGCTGTGAAGGTGAGTGAATCGGCATTCTTTAGTCGGTGGCCTTCGTCGGCCAAGAGCAGGCCCACCTCCGTTTGCCCCAAAACCTCTGTCAGATTTCGCAGAGTCTCATAGGAGACGATCATGACTGGTTGGCCGTTTGCTCTGCCCTTTGCCTGGGACCATCGATGCACAGCAGTGATCATCTCGTCCTTTGAGAGCTTTCCGTCCAGCGCCAAGTTCCCAGGTGCAGCTGATCCAAGCCACTTTGTCAGCTCATTGGCCCAATTGCGGACCAGACTCGAGGGACAGACGATGATGCACTTGTCGATGGTAGACTTGCCGGGAAGCGGAGACTGCTTCAGCAGGGTCCACATGAGCGCAATGCATTGCAGAGTCCTGATGGAGGACGAGAATGGTATGCTGTCAGTCACCCGTTCCTCTGTCACATCTGCCGACAACTGAACTCACTTGCCCAAACCCATCTCGTCGGCCATGATACAGCCCTGTGCCTTAGGGTCGATGAGACCAGTTGTACATTTGTACAAGAACTGAGAGAGCAAGGTCAATCGAAGGCGGTCAGCTCAGCATCTCTCAGCGGAGAGCGTATCACTGTTCCGTCGATCGAACTCACCTTGACTCCTTCAATCTGATGCGGCCGGAGCACCTTTGCCAACCTGGGATCAATCACCACCGGCACCTTCTCCACCACCTTTGTCTTCTTCTTGTTCAACCCAAGCAAAGCCGCCAGCGACTTGTGCGGTCCGGTATTTTGTGCACTTAGCTTTTCCTGCTCGTCTTGCTCCTGTCTGAGTCGTTCCTTTTCCCGCTCAGCTTCCGCATCGTCAATGGTCGGGTCAAAGAGGACAATAGCGTGTTCGCCCATCGGGTCATGCAGCGGTCTCGGTGGAATCTCAATCGCTCGCCGTGTGCCCAATGCAGCATAAGTCGGCTGCAGCTCAATAATCTTGCCGTCTTTGCTCTTCATAGAAGGCAGTGAGAAGCCCCGCTTCATTGCTCCATCCTTGGGCTTGAAGACGGACCATTTGCGCGTGTCTACATTGAGCGAGACGCCTGATGCGTCGATGCCCTTGTACATTCCCTCGAGCGTCTTGGCCGCCTTCTTGGACCTCTTGCCACCACCACCACCATCGTCTGGTCCCGCATCCGCATCATCATCATCCTCCCCCTCGACACCCATGCCTTTATAGTCTACCCGCTTGCGTTTCCGTCCACCTTCATCGCCCCTGGCAGCCGACTTGAGAAAGGGTGACTTGAAAGGTTTGCTACCGAGAAGAGGTCCGAAACCTCCTCCGTTAGCTGTGCGGGCCGTGAGTGCCGAGGAAGTGGGCTTCTTGAAGGAGGGTGGGGACGCGGTTGAGGCGGAGGCGGAGGCTGGGGAGGCGAGGGGACTGGGACTGGAGGGCTCGTTTTGCTGGAGGGCGGCGAGGATGATGCTCCTGCGCATGGCCGGCTCAGAGGTATGCCAAGGTAGGACTCTAGGGATGCTTCGGGAAGGATCAGGACAGGGAGGGAAAGAAGTGGTGTGATGCTATAGCAAGGCAAAAGTGAGAGGGAGCAAGGCTACCTTTGATTCCTCGCCTCGCCACTGGGAAGTGCATTCATTCACCCCAAGTCGCGTCCTGTTCCTCTTTCCGTGTGGCATCAGGTGCTCTCAAATGTTCACACTCCGCCACCTCCCCCCGCTTGCTCATCACACACTCGCAGGCATGCTGACAAGCGTACAGACAGACGAAGCAGCATTGATCCTAATCGAGCATGAACGACCAAAGGCCTGCAAGAGGTGAAAAAGGCGCAGATCAGGTGATTCATTCAGGCTGGTGTGTGATGAAGAGCAACAAGAAACAATGTAGTTGTTCAAGCGACAAAAAAGGTGAGGACAAAGAAGAGGGACTGGGAAAAGGAAGAAGAAGACAGGAATGAATTTGAGCTTAGAGGTGAAGTGGAAACTCTGTGATGTGATTGTTATGTGGAGCCGAGATGAGGGGGCAGCGAGCGAGTGACTTTGAGAAGTTGAGAGTCCTTTGCAGTCGTAGCCTCCATCCAGTTCTCAGACGTGGCGGCCTTTCAAGGATCGTCCATGCCGGTCAGAATCGCTCGGTGAGAATGTTTTATTGTAGATCTGAGAGAGAGAGAGACCGGTGACTTGTCGTAGAGGATCAAAGCAGGCGCATAAGTATTGAGCCGGGCGAGGCTAATAGGAAGGATCAGCCTAGCTGCAGCCAAGGCGAGAGCCAGCTGCGACGGCGCCGACATCGGGTATATGAGGAGCAAGCCTGCAAAAGGAAGAGTGGAAGCGAGGGCCGACGAAAAGTGCGTCGAGGCTCACGATCCGCACCGACACGAGAGGAAGTCTGCCAGCTTCTGCCCGAACGTCTTCCTCTCTGCAGGATGCATCTCTCCATTGCCCATACCGCCAGTGGCGGCTCTTGCCTCTGGCCTCCGGTTGCCCTCGATGGCGCCGGAGCTGTTGGTCAACATATTGGCCTGCGAGTGCGCACCGCCGCCACCTCTACTGCTGTCCACGTGAGTGTCTCTGCCGCCATTGGGTTGGTTCGAAGGCGGGATGCCGGCGACGTTGGCGTCGTGCACAGCAATATTGGAGCCTTGTCCAACGCCAGCAAAGCTTTGCGCAGCTGCAAAGTCGCCATGAGGAGTGCGTAGACCACCACCTGCGGAAGACGAGTAACGACCATCGACGGGGGAAGGTAGGCCTGATGATGAATAAGGGTGACGATGTGGCTGCGACGGCATCGACGACGAAAATGGTTGCTGCTGCTGACCCAGAAGCTGCTGCTTCGTGGCAGAGGACAACTGACGCTCACCTTGTCCGCGACTATCGCCACCTTGACCCATCTGGGGTGGCACGCCCGACTTCCGACCTGCTTTTGAAGCGCTGCTCGTCACTCCCTGGGCACCAGCCACAGCAGTCGTCGACTGTTGTGCGGCAGGTGGTGCCTGAGGAGCTTGCGACGCATGCCGACGCTCGCGCTCCCTCTCACGTTCCCTTTCCCTCTCACGGTCACGATGCTGAAGAGAAGAGCAATAGTGTAAAGGGGTCAATCAAAGCGCTGCGAGATGCACGATGAGATCCAGATGCATGATGTCAACTCACTGAAGCCGCTTCCCATCCTTTGCCTCCATTCAGCATCATCCAGTCATACACTCCGTCCTCTGCCTCTCCTGAACTCTTGAGGACCTTTGTGAAGAGCTCCCTGAGGAAGTCATAGTCAGGAGTCTCCTCGAAGCCCAGCTTTCTCACGTAGTTGAGGTAAATGCCAAATTCTTCGGGGAAAGTCTCACAGAGCTCCTTGATGGGTGTGCTTTGCTTCTTCTCTCCAATCTTTTCGTACTTCTGCTTGTTCGTAGCAGCCTTGAGGCCTTGCCACGGCAGACCACCCCGCAAGAAGTACATAAAGACGTGGCCGAGAGCTTCCAAGTCATCTCGCCGCGACTGCTCCCTTCCCAGGTGGGTATTGATGGACATGTATCGGGCTGTACCGCTCAAGCTCTTCCTCTCACGATAGGGGATATGCTGCTTAGTCTTGGGATCTCTGTACTGCTTTGCCATACCGAAGTCGACGACGTGAACGACGTTGGCTCCTTTTGTCATCGGACGTCCGATCAGGAAGTTGTCTGGTTTGATATCTCTGTAGATGAGATTCTTCTCGTGGATAGTCTGCACACGAGTGATCTATAGCGCAGCGATAGGAGAAAGCAGGGCGACTGTCAGATGTATGCTCGCCTTTTCTCACTACCCCTTTCAGTACCACCACTTACCATCTGCTTTGCTGTCATGACCACCGTCTTGATGGAAAACTTCCGACCGCACATATCAAAGAGGTCCTCCAGCGATGGACCCAAGAGATCAATGACGAGAATGTTATGCAGCCCCTCCTGACCAAAGTAATAGACCTGAGGCACACCAGGGCACCCTGCCAAGATCTTGTACGTCCGGTATTCGTCTCTCAATTGGGGTGCATCGCTCTTCCTAGGCTCAAATTTGATGGCTACTGTCTGGCTGTTGAGTAAGTTGGTACCCTCGAAGATGACTCCGAAGGAACCCTCTCCAATCTTTTTGCCCACGCGGTAGTGAACACCGACAATGTTGGAGCCGGAGCTGTGTGTGCTGTGTTGGGAAGTCATGGTTGCCGTAGGGGGTAGCTTGTCAGTGGGATTGAAGCCCTTGACAAGGCTTGCAGTTGGAGGTGGTGGGGGTGGAAGAGGTTTCACTCGGGAGGATCGAGGGGTTGGTTGAGAGGACAGAGCTGCAAGCAGAAGTGCAGGTAGTGCAGGCGATCTCTAGGTGATCGTGATGCAACGTCTCTAGGTCGTGATTTGCTGGGTCGTCACTTGTTTCGTAACTGCCTGTGCCCGCGGTACTTTTGTTCGATTGTGATGATGATGATGAGGGAGTTGTTGAAGAATCAATCTAGAAGATGTGAATGTCCGCGAGAGAAAAACCAGGGACGATGCAGTTTGTGATTGGAATTGTGCAAAGGGAGTGACGATGTAAGAGGGGGAAAGGGGAAGGAGGGGTTGAATGGCAGCGCGGACTTGGCCTCGAGTTGCTTCTCTGAAGTGGGGGTGCTGTGACCAAGTTGACTAGGTGGTGCCTTGCAGCGCACTGGTTTCCTCCCGAATGCTGATGGGGCAAATGTTGTGCCTCGTCTAGAGCTTACCTCCCGATGGACCACTGCCTGGGCAAAGATGGGCGTCGAGGGCGGAGTGGGTGGAAGATGCGGTTGTGCCGTGGGGGGGACCGAGCGTTGGCGGCAGGGCAAAGAGGGGTATGGGGGGGAAAAGGACCAACGAACGCGGACAGTCGTGTGGGTCAGCGTGGGACGCGCTTTGATGTAATCCAAGGGAGCAAGGAGCAGTGAGGCAGCCGATGTCAGATGCACGAGCAGTTGTAGGGTATTGAGAAGTGGGGAGAGTGGTGGGAGGTGGGGGAAGAGGGGGAGCAGGGGCAAAGGGGGGGGGTAAGAGGACAAGGCAATGGTGATGGGTAAAGTGAGATGGTCGGGGGTCACTCCTCGATGAGCCAGACGCCTCCTCGTCGGGGAAGTGGTCCTGCGTGCCTTTTGCCTGCCTGCCTGCAGCCACGAGCCGTGCCTCGGGTTGATCGGGTTGGCTGGCAGCCACGGCGCGGGACGCCTGTCAGTTTAAGTCAAAATCTACCTTGCGCTTCACCCAGGCCACCAGCCCCGACTCCGCTCCTCCGAACCCCCCCCCCTCCTTCCAGACTCATATGCCGGCAGGGGGGACAATCCAAGCAAATCACAATCAAACTCATCTGGACGGACGGACACAATCACAAATTGTACGCAAGAGAGAAAACAGTAGACGAGTAGAGCTTCTTTTCCATTGTCGTAGGGCACAGCTCACCCATGCGGCCATGCCAAGTCAGGGGTCAGCTCATGTCGCCTTCTTCGCCTTCTTCTTGGACCCTCCGGATGAGCTCTTCTTCGTGTCCTCCTTACTGTTGCCACTGTGTCCATTGGTCTGGACCGCCCCTTTACCATTGACCTCGCCCTGCACTTCCACGGCCTCCTTGGCTTTCCTCTTCTTGTCCTTCTTGCCCTCTTCACTCTTGCCTTCCACAATGACCAACATCTGCTTCAGCAGACTCTGCAGCGACGTCGAGTTCTTGAAGCGCTCCTCCTTCTCAAGAGCAGCCATTGCTTCCCTGATCTTGCTTGGCTTCCAGACCGACTTGGTCGCCTTGCCTTCGACGTCCTCTGCAAATACTACGCGCTTGGTGATACGTACAGCCTGCAGTGCGAACTTGAGTACCTCCTTCAGGTGGGCAGCATTGGGCAATGAGCCGGTACTGCTAGGAGAAGAGCTTGTCGACGTGGGCAGTAGAGTGAAGACGAGATTGGCTACATCGGGCATGAAGACCAGGACATCCTTTTGGGTTTCTTGAGCCTGTGCGCTCTGGCTCACCAGACTCTGCAGCATCTGCATGCCCTGCTGTTGACGGTAAGTCTTGACAGTGGCCATTGGAGAGCAGCTCTCCACCAGGGTACTGCGAAGAGGCCAGCCCAGGGAGGGGAAGCGCTTGAAGGCATCGATGAGGAAAGATGCCTTCAATTGACATGCGCTGCGACCAAGGAAATCTTGCAGCGTCTCTTCGTACACCTTGACCAGGGCAGCAGAAGGTGCCGCCTTATTCGAGGTGGGACCAAGAGCAACGCGTGTGAGGTACAAATTGACAGTGTTGGCAACTGACGCCAGCTCGGGGCTGGCGGTTCGGCAGGCGAAGGAGTGGACTGCACGGAGATCCTCCTCCACAACCTCGATCCCCGGCCCAATCGGCATTTCCTTGGCTTTGCAGAGGTTGTTCCTCAATATGGTAGAAGCTTTGTTAGCCACCTGTCGATCGAGCTCGTCTGATTCTGTCGCCAGCAAGAAGAGAGGTCGTACGAGGTTGACTACGAGCGGATTCGACACTTGCTTGCGAGCATAGATTGCAAGAAGATCGAGAATCTTGTTCCGGAACGCCACGGCTTCTTGCTTTGCCTCTTTTTTGTTCTGGCGAGACGACATACGCTGACGGAAAATCTCGGCTAGCTTGTCGTCGATGGCCAGCATCTGATCATCTGTAAGGTCGGGCACGCTCTCCTTGTCGTCATCGTCATCGCTGCCGCCGTCCTCATCGTCCTCGTCCTCGTCACTCTCCTCATGGGCGATGCCGCCCGCTTTGAGAGCCTCCAAGACGTCACTTCGGAACTTCTCGTCGACGTCAACGTCCTCCTCGTCATCATCTTCGACCGAAGCCGACTCGATGGAGTCTTCTGAGGTCTCTGACTCTGCTTCGTCGCCATCAGCGCCGTCTACGTCCATTGCGTCGCCTCCTTCCTCTTCCTCGTCTGCGGGCTCCTCGTTCAAGCCGAGCTGATCGATCAAGTGGTCCAGACTCTCCTTGGTCATCTCGGTGGCAAAGACACCAAAGACTTGCTCTGCGATCGCTCTGAGGAAAGCTGATGGCTTCTCGAGAAGACCAATAATGTAGTCCTGAAGGAGTTCGATACCAGCGGGCTCTCGCTCTTCCTCCCCATCCTCAGTCGACTTGGGCGCAGGCGGAGCAGCCTTGCTGAGGAAAAGACTGCTGAAGCAGTCGTTGAGTGATTCAACGAGCTCGGCCGCCTCTTCCGGTGACTCGAGGGCAAATAGGAGCGATGCGACAACGAGGGTCTCGAAGGCTTGCAGCCTGTCACTCTTCTGAGCCTTGCCAGCTTTTCGAACCTTCTGCAGCAGCTCCGAGCCATCAGCAGCGATCTGAGTGGCGTCCTCGCTCATGACCGATGCAAAATTCTTGGTGTCCTTCAGCAGAGAGTTGAAGATCTCCCACGCTTTTGACACCCAAAGCTCCCCGGCACTAGTCACACCTTGTACTCTACGAGGCTTGGCGGCCTCGATCGAGGTAGTGACGGTAGTGGTCCTCTCGGCTAGCTCTGTGAGGCACGAGAGGAAGCGCGAGCGGCAGACGTCTCGAGCCTCGACGCTGAAGGAGGGCTTTGGCTGGTGCGAGAGCAATCCAGCTTCGGCAGAGGGAGCCTTCTTCCAAGAGAAGAAGCCTCCCGCGGCAAGGTATTTGAGGATGTCTTCCGTGCTGCTCTCGTCGGTAGGGATGGCAGTATTGCGCACGAGCGAAAGTAACTGGTCGAGAGCCCATCGCCTCTTGGCATCATCGGCCGATGTGGCAAGCAGCTCGACCACCCAAACAATGTAGTCCTTTACACCTTGACCGTCCATGGCTGACAGCAGTCCCTCGATCGTCTTTGTCTTTGTCAGCTTGTCGAAATTCTGACTGCCATGCTTACCCAGAAGCTGAGCTACGAGCGCGAAGCCAGCCCGGGGAGTCTCCTTGACGACCTCGGTGACAATTTCGGCTGCACTGGTGGCTGCGTTGTGCAGTAGCCTCTCCTTACCGGCGAGCTGGTTGATCCAGGTCCGCATGAAATTGGGGGTAAAGAGGAGGGGCTTCTCAGCAGCAGGCGCTGCTATTAAGGCCTTGCAGAAGACTTGGAAGCCCCAGGATTTGCGTTCTGGTGATGCCGTAGCAGCAAAGAGGGATTCATCGACGCAGACGCGGTATAGCTCGGCGAAGGGTGCCCGAGAAGCAGGGACAGAGCTTGTGGCAGGGCCGAAATAGTTCTGCAAGATGACATCCCAGATGAAGTGTACTCGAGGGTTGTGAGAACCGGAGTTGTCGCCTGCCTTTGTTGCCGCTGCTGCATCCTCCTTGTCCTCTGTCGGTGTAGTGTTGCAGAGTACCTTTGCGATGGTGGGCAAGTTGGGTGCGCTGAGGATATCGCCTCCCTTCTTGAGACCGGCTACCTTGCCGTCTGCCTTGAGCTTGGGGGCGAACTCTTGTAGCTTAAGTATCAATGCTACTTTCTCCGGGGTAAGATCTCCGGAGACGGCGTCATTGAAGACGAGCTGAGAGACGGCACTCTTCAGCTGCTCATTGGATGACGCAGCGAGGGAGTCGAGGAGCTGCACAAGAGTCCAGCCGCAACTCTCCCTCAGATATGCCTTCTTCTCTGACAAGTTTCGAAGAAGCTCGATGACCTTTTCAACTTCAGCCAGATCCGTAGTCGGCCGCTCAATAAGCATGCCGGAGCGGACCAGGGCCTGAATGCCAAAGAGGCGAGCGAAGAGCAGGTTGCGCTGCTCTGATCGCGAGACCTTGCCGGAAGGAGAGGAGTGCTTGATGATGAGGATCAGGACGTCGGAAGCATTGATGGAGGTGAGGTGAGCCAAGAGCTCGGTCAATGCAACGGCAAAGCCGACTCTGGAGTGCTCTCGCGGCGAGGCGAGGCCGCGAACGAGACGCCGGAGGGAGTAGCTGACGTCGGAGGCAAGGGTGTGGTCGAGCTTGCGCTCCACGTAGAGGCTCTGTTGCTCTGTCACGGTTTCTACGGCTGCGAGTGCTGCTCCAGAGCCATTGGTAGTCGCTGCTGCAGGCTCGGGAGGGTCGAGAGTCCACCGCGAGGTGCTTGCGAGGGCTGACTGCTGCTTTACAAGTCCAGATACGAGGTGAGAGGACGAGGCGAGGCGCTTCTCCTCTTCGGCAGAGGCCAAGTCCCAGAAGAGGGGCAGCGCCGAGGAAGACGCAGCTGTGGAGGCCATCGAGGTATTGTATGGGTAAGGAGACGACGAGGTGGCCTACAATCAAGGGAGGATATCTTCTTCCCAGTGGCCTCTGCCTCGCGCCTTGGTTGCTGCTGCCTTCCGCTTCTCCTCTGCTCTGTGCGTTGCCTCCAAATTTTTGGCTCGGGAAGAAAACTTGTGCGCACAAGAGGCACACAGGCGCACACAGGCAGCCAGGCAGCCCAGCCACACTCACGCTCACCAACCAGAAGAACAGGACACCATTCACCTTGAACACCACCCATCATCACCCCCGCATATACTCACCATGGCAGCCACAGACGCATCGACATCCGCAGTCATCGGCGTAAACGTCGGACACTCCTTTAGCTCCATCGCAGCCATCAACCAGCATGGCCGCGCAGACGTCATTGCAGACGAAGACGGAGGAAGACAATTGGCAACCAGGATCGCATTCAACGAGGACCAGGTCTACATTGGAAACCAGGCAACACCCCAGCTCGTGAGGAACGGACCCAATGTCATCGACCAGTTCATCAACTTGCTCGGTAGGAGGTGAGTAATTCTACGCGAGATGTCAGCAGCACCCTCCTCAAGCGGCGCCTATACAATTCTCCTCGATCTGACTGTTCCTGACCCGTCTTTGCTACCTCTGTCCCTGCCTACAGCTTCTCTGAGCTGAGCGATGCCGACAAGAAGCGAGCATCAGCTCCCGTCATCGACAACAATGGAACTCCATCCTTCAAGGTGCAGATCAATGGCGCCGAGACTGTCCTCTCGGCCCACGAAGTTGCCGTCCGCTACATCAACTCCCTCTTCAACACCGCTCGGGATTTCCTCTCAGGAGTACCCATCGCCGGAGCAGTCATGTCCGTCCCCCTCTCCTACTCTGCTGCTCAGATCGCAGCTCTCAAGGCAGCCGCGACTGAGGCCGGTCTGATCGTTCTGCAGATCATCTCGGCCCCAGCTGCCGCTGTCGCTGCCTACAATCTCACATCACCCCGGGAAGGAGGTTTGCTGCCTCTTCACCCCGATGGCGAGACCGGCGAGACCTACGAGGTGGGAAGCGAGCTGGATAGGAACGTCGCAGTGGTGGACATGGGAGGTTCGTCGACCTCCGTCTCCATCCTCGCCGCTCGGGCTGGTGTGTACACTCTGCTCTCCTCTGTGCAACAAGCCAACCTTGGGGGTCAGCAGGTAGACGAGGCTCTTGTCAACTACTTTGCCAAGGAATTCACAAAGAAGACCAAAGTACAGGTCGAGGCTTCAAATGCTCGAGCTTGGGCAAAGCTGAGGAATGAGGCAGAAGTGACAAAGAGGGCTCTCAGCGCCTCGCCATCGGCCCAGTGCGCCGTCGAGAGTCTTGCCGAGGGCGTCGACTTTGCTGGACCGATCAACAGGATGAGGCTGGACATGCTGGCTGGACCTGTGTACGGTCAGGTGATCAAGAAGGCCGAAGAGGCCCTCAAGTCGGCCGGTCTCGACGCTTGCCAAATCGACGAGGTCATCCTTGCCGGTGGATCGGCTCGGCTGCCTGGTCTGACAAGTCAGCTCATGTACCTCTTCCCCGAGGAGGGCCACACTCGGATCACCGCTTCGATTGACTCAGACCAAGTCATTGCTCGAGGCTGCGCAGTGCACGCCCATGCCATTGCCTCTACTCCTTCTGATGCTCCAGAGAGGAAACACCTGCTGGACCTGCCCCAGGCTCCCCCTACAGAGATTGCTGCTCTGAAAGCCCCCACTACCTCGAAGCCCCTCGGACTGGTGCTGCCCGAACCAAAGGGAGCCGTCAATGGCCTCAGCTCGGCCATTGTGGATGGTCAACTCTTCGTCACCCTTCTCCCCGCCTACACCCCTCTGCCAGCAAGGAGAGTCTTTACCCTCCCCGCTTCTGCAGCTGGAAATGTTCTGCTGAGCTTCGCAGAGGGTACGTCCGAGGTCAAGGTCGAAAAGGTCGTGCGCGCAAAGGACGATGATGACGAGGACGATGACGAGCTGGACGATGACGAGGAGGACGAGGAAGAGGAGAGGAGGACGTCCATTGTCAAGGCGGACAAGGCTCGTTTGGCCGAAGTGAGCTACGAGGCAAAGCAAAAGGGAGAGAAGATTCGAGTGCAGATTGTAGCTGCTGCGGATGGAGCTGTACAGATTACCGTGGGAGATGCAGAGGGACAGAAGACGGTCAGTCTGCCTGCTCCCTGAGTGGAAGGAGGGGCGGTAAGCATTCAGCGCCAGAGCGATTGAGCGGGATTAGAGTAGACTCCTCTCCTCCCTCCTTCCTTGCTCGACTCCACTCCATGTCCATCCTTCCCTTTCGTCAGTCACTGTAGAGGTAGTAGACGCTTTCCCCTTGTTCTTATAGACTTAGACCGAGGGACGCACCAAAACCCCCCACCCCCAGACGACGTGTAATACACTCTCTTCTGCATCCTCTTCCAGACCAGATGAGCGACATTCCAGCTCTGCCCAGACTACCCTTTGTTGTGCGTCTGCCTGTGCCTCTACCGTCGACTGTAATCTGTAGCGAAAGACGCACCACCCAGACGCGCTGTAAGAGTTGGGATCTTTCCACTTTTCTTTTTTTTGAACCTCTACTTCTATTATCTCTATGTGGAGTGTAAGAGAGAAGCGTAACAATGAACGACATCTACACGAAGGTCTATGAGAATGAGAGGGAAAAGGAGAAGGAGAATGTGCGACGTATATGCCGAAAAGGAAGACAAAGAGTGTTGGAAAATGGCTGGCTGGTGATCCCGCTCTGCTCGTCGATCGGTCGGGCGGAGGGGTAGGGGTAGTGTCGATATCTACTTTGTCTATCTACCTTTTGGGGAAGAGACGCTGGGGATGTCTATATAGCAGGAAGGGGGTGCCAAGGAAAGGTGTGGCGAAGTGGAAAGAGTACAGATGAGGAGTCACTATAGTGGACTTTGTGAACAGAACTGCTTGAGGCGATGACTTTTGGTAGCAAAGGGGGGTCCATCTTGAAGCCACGCCCAAGTGCGGGGCTGAGGACCTCATTCTTCCTGGCTTGAATGCCGGTATCCTAACATGCTTGAATGCTTGTATGCTTGAGGGACTCGATGCGAAGATAACTACATGACGCAGCAGCTATCCGCAGCAGAAGTGCCCAGTGCGAGCTTCTCTCCAACCTCGTACAGGTGGATATTTCCATACGTAGTGATCAGCTCGCACGCATCCCCCCTCGTAGCAGTTCCCGAAGCCGTGGCACTAGTAGCTGCCGCATGCGCAGGCAGACCCAGCTCAGGTCCATTGGGAGTGTCACCAACCGAGACGAGGGAGCGTGAGGGGCTGTGTGAGTTTGTTGGAGAAGAAGGAGCCGTAGAGTGGTTGGGGGAGCTCCTGCCTGAGACGAGCGTGGCGGATCCATCGTTGGACGTTTCCCTCGATACGGACGCGGAGGAGTTGGCAGAGGTCAAGACTCCTCTTGACGGTGTTGCTGGTGTTGCCCCAAATTGAGGCCCAACGCTACCGGCACTTCCTGGTCTGCTCTTGCTCCCCCTCATCATCAGTCTGGGCTGCAGACCTTTCTTCTCCACGACTGCCTTGGCTTGACCTACTACATGTCCTGCAGGCAATGCCTGTCCATGGGCAACGACGATGCCTACTCCTCGATGCTTGAAAGCTTCGCCTAGACCGGTGTAGCGCGCCTTGATGCCAGGAGAGAGCTTCAGAACGCCTGATTCCGTTTTCCATGAGACGAGGCCGGAGAAGGTTGGGGGAACGCAAATGTGCAGGGATCCGCTGTGGGATTTGGCTCGTAGATGGAGGGGACGAGAGGGGGTGTATTGCGGCTGCAGAGCGGAGAGGGCAGGAGCGTCAGTAAGTCTATCCCATCCCGAGCTTCGTTGGGTTGCACAAGCAGCTGCACTCACAATGGAGAGGTGAATGCGGCCCATGTAGCTTTTGGCAGCTACGCTGACAGGCTGATTCTTGCCCCTAGACGGACTATCCCCAGCCGTGACACCTCCTTTTCTCTGCTCATCGAAGCTTTTGCGTCGACGATGAAGTGCCGGTCCTTCCTCTGCTCCTCCTTCCTGCAACTTGTCATCCCCCATGATCCACACCTCGGCACTAATGGCGCTTCCCTTTGTCTCAAAAGAAGCGCTACTGCTAGTTTGGCCTACGACTTGTTCCAGTGGTGCATCGTACAGAGGTGGACGATGATCCTGTGCGGCAGGCCCGATGGTATAGCGTCCTTTGATGGAGTGTGAAGGTTGCTCGATGCGAATGTGGCGGGCGTAGCGAGAGTGGGTCACCCCTCCGGACAGGGCTACCGTGGCCCACTCTGGGAGGCGGTCAGTCATGGCGAGGGGAGAAGGGGGTAAGAGGCTGCTCGAAGGGAGTGGCTCGTCGTCGTCGTCGCCGTCCTCGTAGAGATGATGGATTCGAGAGGGGACTTGGGAAGAAGAAGCTGTCCGTCTAGGGCCCCCTCTTGAGTGATGATGATGCTGTCGTAGCCTGTCACCACTGTGTTGCTGCGCTGCCCGTGTGCTTTGGCTTCGATGCTCAGTGGCCTCGGCGACTTCTTTCTTCCTTTGTGGGCGCTGCCACATCTGATTTCCCTCCACCCCTTCACGCCCTCAAATCCGCCGGCCACGCCCTCGGCGGCGGCGCGCCGCTTCGGTGCAGACGAGCCGAAGGCGCGATTCCATTGGTCCGCATGCCTTGAGAATCTCTTGGCGGCTCAGACCATGCCGAGACAAAGGGCACTGCAAAGCTTGTGAAGGTGAGGTGCCGGACAAAAAGCAAAAGCACAACGCAGTACAACGCAGCATCATCCTCTCCAAAAAAGGTCCGTCGGTCGCTCCAGCTTTTCATTAGCGGCAAAAAGGCACCGTCATCCCAACGTGCAAAAAGCAAAAACGAAAGCGCCCATCCAGACTCGAACTGAAGACCCCTGGTAGACCGGACGCAACGTCGTCTTTTTACAGAATGACGAAGACGTGAAACCGAAGACCAGTACTCTAACCAACTGAGCTATGGGCGCCCTTTTTGTGATTTTCTCATCGTGTCCATCTTGACGTACTTGAACGCTTGCACATTGGGCGAGCCACTGCGAGAAGCGTGTGTCTTGCGTTCACCCGCTTCCCTCGCCTCACCACCCTGACCCGTCTCATTTTTAATCGCTTTGCATTCAGATGTAAGAGAGATGCCTGCTATGTTGAAATACAGATGACGTGTGTGGGAGGGGCGAGAAAACCGATGAAGGAAAGAGACGAGAGTATCGACAAAAGAAGTGGTCAGAATGGAGAGGGGGAGAGTGGTGGGGGTGGCAAGGGGGGAGTCAGGTGGACGAGGTGAAGCGTCCCGAGTGGTGACGAGGTATGGTGTGGGGGAGAGTGACATGAGATGAGATGCTGGGAAAGTGTTGAAATGGGTGTTTGTGTGACAGTACGCTTCGCCCGTAATGACGCGCGTACCGTCTACGCTTTTGGTCGAGTCTCGAGAAGACCTGTACTTGATTATCGTGACATTCGTTGAGATGACGAGTCGGGCATTCGCTGCTGTGGAGCTGCTCTCCTCTAGCCTGGCAAGCGGCGCAGCTGATCACCTGTCAACGGTGATACGGCTAGCACCATTAGCGCCATTGACCTGTTTGCCCTCCGTGCTGCCATTCAGCACTGCACTCTTGACGCCGTCGAGCGTTTCGGCAATGGCCTGTCCGTAGCCCTTGACTCCATCCACCAGTCCCGTGACAGCATCGCTCAGTGTGCCCTTTGCGAGGCTCTGAAGTGTCGAGGGGTCAGCTGCAGCCAGGAAGGGCTTGAAGATGGCCTCCGGAGACTTGAAGTCATTGTGGACCACATTCACCAAGAACCATCCACTGTCGTCATCAGCCTCATCCGAAGCATCTCCGAAGATCTTCTCCAGCATCTTGCGTGACGTGCTGCCCTCGTCGTAGATCCTGGACCAGTTCCTGCCAATCTCGTACGCCTCATCCTTCCATGCTAGGAAGGAGATGGACTCGACGATGGTGGGCTGTACAATCTCCTTGTGGGGGAAGCAACCCCATGTGACGGCATTGGGCGCTTCAGAGGTGGTGTTGGTCCTCATGTCACCGCGAGCATTCACGGCGTGGTATGTGATTTGTGGGTCTGCTTCGATCTGCGCAACGAGCTTGTTCAGCTGCTTGGGTGAGATAAAGAACTCAAGGTACGCCTTCTGGTAGACGTATCCGCCCTTGGGTCCCCAGCCGTGTACTTCGTCTTCACTTCGCACTCCATCAACAGCGGGCTGCGAATTGATGGTCAAGTAGCCCAGCGCATTGAGGAGCCCCAGCTGTCGGTTGATGACAGTGGTCTCCTTGGCAACACCGCTGTCGCTCCAAGGAAGGGCTTTGACTTCCCCATTACAGAAGCTTCTGAACAAATTCTTCACCTGCTCCAGAGATTCCGGCTCGCCCCACAACTTCTTCGCCTCTTCGTTCGTGTATCTCAGCTTGACACCGTAGGCATCGAAATCACCAAACGCAGGGCTTCGAGCGTCTCCCCACCGTCCATTGGGGAACTCGTCCCACGTCTCCGTCCTGCTCACGTATGACCTGGCTCGGTTCGCCCAGAAGATGGGGCGGATGCCCTCCTCTCGTCGCTTGGGAGTCAAAGAAGGGGTCCAAGGCAAAGTCTTGACCTGTTGTGGGGTGGGAGCCAAGTCGAGGTACTCGAGCAGCATTCGAGACCCGCGCTCCAGATTCATGGTGTAAATGTGCAGACCGGAAACGCCTAGACCATTCTTTGGGTCGATGATCTTCTTGCACATGTCTCCGACCAGCTGTGTTCCGACCTCCCTGACCTTCTGATCATCGTCCTTGATGGGGTCGAGTGCATCGTGGAAGTACTGGGGCACTAGGGTACCGAAGCGTTCCGTAGCCCTTTGATATCCTCCATATGTCTGGATGGGCATCACTCCAGGTACGATTGGGCATGTGATACCTGCAGCCCTGACTTCCTTGACCCAGTTGGCAAAGATGTCATAGTTGTAGAACATCTGAGTGAAGATGAAATCGGCTCCAGCATCGAGCTTGTCCTTCAACCGCTCAATCTCGAGCTCTCGGCCATCCTTCGACTCGGGGTGGCCTTCTGGGAAGCCAGCAACAGCAATGGAGAAGTAGTCTCCATAGTTCTTCTTGATGTACTCTACCAGCTCCCGGGCATAGGTGAAGCCAGCAGCATCAGGGGTCCATTCGTGCTGTCCCGCAGGCGGATCACCACGCAGGGCGAGGATGTTCCGGCAACCCGCCTCCTTTGCCAGCTCGAGAGCTCGGTCGATCTTCTCTCTAGGCATGTTCGTGCAGGTGAGATGCATACATGTCTCTACCCCAAGATAAGTCTGGATAATCTTGACGAGGTCGTTGGTCAGGTCTAGTGTGCGCCCGCCTGCATGCATAGTCACATCCACGAAAGCTGGTCCCAAGTCTGACATGCGGCCAACTCGGTCGAAGAGATTGCTCAGACCCTGGGAAGTACGAGGGGGAAAGTACTCGAAGCTCCACCATGTTCGACCTTCCCGCTCTGCCTGAGCAATCTTGGAGGTGACTATGGGAAGGAGGGGCAGGAAAGCGGTTCAGTATGAAGGCCCGGGTGGCTGAATTTGTGGTGTCCATGCCCTACTCACTACGCCAGTCATCTGTAGCCATCATCATGGAAAAGTGACAGCAGTAATGCTAAGCTCGAAAATCGAGGAAAGAAATATTGGCTATGTTGTAGTGGCGGGGCGGAGCAGCAAACGTGAAAGGGAGTGTGTGCGGCTTCGCAAAGGCAAACAGGACCCGGGTCTTGGGTCGTGGCGCTGGCGCAGCGTCGAGCAGTCCAGGCGATGCCAATATGTGAAGGATGAAGAGGAACGGCCAAAGAGCGGGAGCGTATTGCTGACGATGGCGATGAATGGAAGATGGTATGCAGGGGGCGATGAAGGAGTTGGTGGATCCAGGATGACAGGCGTTGCTTCTGGCGGGGGAAGAAGAAGTGAGGCTGCGAGCGGAGTCAAGTGGCTTGGCTGCAGGCAGTCCGGAAGTGCACTCCACGCGGGCGGGCGAGGCCAGAGCGGAAGTTCACCCATACACGCCTGTGCGGTGTGCAGATGACTAAGGCACGTTCGAAGATCACTCACCGCACGAGGCATCAGATCATACAGGCAGGCAGGCAAGACAATTCGCAGAATACATGCAATGGTAGACATCAGAAACAATGGGGCGATGCAGAGTTGACTTGGCAGAAGCTTTCTGAGGCTCGAGTTGTTGGCAACACACAGCTGAAGATGCGACATGGTTGACTGTCGGGTCATGGCAGAACGCTCGATCTCCTGTCACCAGCTTAGCTACAATCGAGATACCATCACAGACGTCGGAGGCTCCTGAGAGTCCGCAGAAGCATCCGCATAGGCGATGTTAACATTTGCTAGCTGGAGCTCAACGGCTTCAGTCCCCAGGCGGCGGATGTGCCGCCCCCTTGGCGCGAGGTCCAACTGCTCCACGCCAATTGGCCTCATCTCAGCCTCAATTCACTCTGAACGGACTCTCTTGCGGTCGAATGCAATACAAGATTGCAGTTTGGCCAAATTGGGCCCCTGCAACTGTATGATCCGCATTTCGAGGACTCCTGTGCGCGACTCGGGGTTGCGCCGCCGCCGATGGCAAGTGTGTCCCACCTTGATCCCGAGGCCGATCGCAAGCTCGCGGGCGTGTTCTCTATGATCTTCAGGTCGACGGATTGGGCAAATTCGTACGGGGTGCCACCGTTCACCAGCCATCCGTCTGCATCCAAGAGCCCGGCCAGCACTGCCGCCCTCGTTGCCTCGCTGCCGTTCAGGTACCTCTGGGGTATACCATTTCCTTCGTGATTATCGTAGACGCCCTGCTCTCGCAGTCCATCCGCCAGCTCATCCCAGTGGTGCGGTCGCTCGTCTCCCTGTGTGTGTGCCGGAGACGCGGAGGCTCCAGCACTTTTCATTGGTACTGAGTGGGTGATCGTACGGTATCAGGCTGGGTGTGATCACTAGGTCGAGGGGATTCCTGTCGACGGGACGGCGAGCATTCATCTCGTCTACATAGGTTTGAAGCGGCGCCCGTGTCTCATTCAGGACAATGGAGAAGACGAGCTGTTGGCTGTGAAGACCGTCCCCCAGCCAGAAGCCCAGAAACCAGGGCTTCACTGGCATATCGGCCGCGTTCAGACCCTTTGCAGGCAGCAGCTCGTAGCGATGTCTGGCGAGTTCCAGAAAGGTGCCTGGAAGGTGCCGTGCATATAGTGGGTGTCGACGGAATGCACGACGTGAAGCGCTAGTCTCTCTTTGGCTCTGGCTCGGTCTTGAAAGTTCAGATGCCCAAGAAAGCCTGCGTGCTGATCTTCCATGAGGGCCTCCTTGTTGTCGTCGGTGCTTTGTGTAGCAATGCACTTGACTCTTTCTGTCTGTTGACGAGGTCAGGAGTGCAATTAGCCGGCCCTGCGATGCACCGAAAGACGGAAGCGGAATGTGATGGGAGTCCAGCTCTGACTGCTGCAGAGCGTACTCGACACATCACACCAGTGTGAGGTTGGTGATGCCTCTCACGAGCACACCCTTCGTGCCTGCGAGACTTGCAACCCCTCTGATCTGGTGCCTACGTATCTCTTCTACATCACATTGTGCCGTGATCGCGGTGGTGTTGCTTGCTAGCCGGCGTCAGAGCGACAGCAATGGCGCCGTTAGAGGCCAGGGCAAACCCAACAGCATCGTCGGAACGGATTAGCGTCCAGCATACACACCGCTCCCACCCACCTGCAGTCACACAATCCACCTCATGTTTCACAGCGTCAGGATGAAAATCTGAAGAGCTAAATTGCAATGATTCGCTCATGTCTTTATGGAGACAAGCTATTGACAGAGGTACAGGGAATCCAAATCGGCCCTGGCCGTACCTTGAGAAGGAATGGGTGGCAAGCACACCCACGTGCGGCTGCACATGCCCGCGCACTCGCATAAGCCGCTCTTGTGGAAGACGCTCTCGCGCTTCGCATAACACAGCCTTAGGCTGTCTGTGTCATACCCTTGACACCAGGGTTCTTGCGAGCCTTGTCGGTCTCCTCTCCCGTCAGAGGATCGGGCTTGGACTTCCACTGAGGCGAAGGGTCGTCGATGTGCGTGGCGTTGTCGTCCATCGAGTCCTGCGCCTTGACCTGGTCTCGAGACTCGTAGCCCTCTGGTACCCACTTGCGGGAACGCCATGCTGGGATGCCAGCATTGTACAGCTGGTCCACGGCCTCGAGAGTGAGCGATTCAGTCTCGTATACAAAGCAGTATGCAATGATACAGTTGGCGATGTTGCATCCCATGAAGACGTAGCCGTAGCCAAAGTCGATCGCGCTCGCAATGGCAGGCGAGAAGTACGAAATCAAGAAGTTGGACACCCAGTTGGCCAGCGTTGCGAGGGAAGCCTGCTTGGCTCGAGTCCTGTAAGAGAAGGATTCACCCACGAAGAGCCAGATACCGGGTGCCCAAGTTGTGGCGTAGAACAAGAGGAAGAAGCAGGCAGAAACAATTTGAAGGTCTGCAATCGGCTTGGTGTTGGCGTTTCCAGCCACGCCAGCAGTCGCAAAGACGCACAACCAGACGGACATACCTGCAGCCCCATAAATGAGCGGCAAACGTCGACCATAGGTCTCGAGGATGTATAGACCACCAAAGGTGCAGACGAAGTTCACTGCTCCCAGAATGGCTTGAGTATAGAAAGCGTTCGAAAGACCTGCACCTGTGAAGATGGTAGAGCCATAGTAGAAGAAGTAATTCGCGCCAGTAAACTGCTGTCCTGCTTGGAGAGTAATTCCGAGGAGCGTACGGTACAGGGTTCTGCGCTGCGGTCGGAAGCAGGCTGCCCAACCAGCGGGCTCGAGCTTCTTGTCGGATTCAACCAGGGCCAGGATATCAGCGTACTCCTGCTCCACCCATGGGTTGCTCTCCTCCACTGTACAGCCTCGAACGTTGGCCAGACTCTTGTAGGCTTCGTCATTGCGGCCTCGTGCTGCGAGCCATCGAGGCGACTCTGGGCAGAACTGGATTCCGATACCCAAGAGGAGCGCAAAGGGAATGCTCAAGGCAATGAGTAGACGCCACGAAGCCGAGTTGGAGATCTGGTCTGTTCCGATACCGATGAGATAGGCGACGAGAATACCGAAGGCTGTAGCACGAAAAGGTGCAGACGCAGACGCCGTCAGTATAGCATCTACCACGCCGCGCACGTCCATCGCACCGTATTCTGTTGTGTCAACTCACTAATGAAGAGCTGGTATGTAGCCACCAGAGCAGCTCGCACCTGTCGCGGCACAGTCTCGGACTGGTAAAGAGGTACAGCGGCAGACAGAGCTCCGATCGCAAGACCAGTCACCAAGCGTCCAATGGCGACCTGGTACCATGCAGTGAAGGCCGTAACCTGAATAATGACACCAACGAGGAAGACGCCCACCTCTACGGACATAGCATGACGACGTCCAAGGCCATCAGCTAGAGGAGCTCCGCAGAGGACGCCAATTGCCGTTCCGATGGAAAGGAAACTGGTGATGAGACCTTCAATCCAGGAGTTCCATGCCGGCAGGCCATCGGAGCCAATGGGACCAGTAGCAAAGCGACGCTGAAAGTCAGGCATGATGATCATACAGGCAATCTGTCCTGTGTCATATCCGAACAAAAACCCGCCCATGCTTGCCAATCCAGCAATGACGATGGACGTCACGCCGATCGGGCTGCCGTGGACCTGAAGGACCATCGTGTGTGACAGTGGAGGTTGGATGAGTACTTGCTTTTGGTGGGAGAGAATGGAAGCGCAGAGGCCCTCTAGAGGTCGAGTTCAGTGAACAGTAATGGCAGGATGATTTATGAAGGTTAGTTATAGATTTATGCTTGGGTCAGAGGAGTGGGGTAAGAGTGGGGGCCCTCAATAAGAAGCTGCGTCACTGGACGCCAAAAGGTCGGCACGGGGCGTTGTCGCTTCTCTCGAGGGCTGTCGCCCTAAGTCCGTAGAGCTGTAGTGCTCTTTGCTTCATCTTCATCGACTTTTCTTCGGATGCGGGCGCAGCGCCGATGGGTCAGGCACGGCATCTGCGGGAGGCCCGGGATTCTTTGGCGAGCGGTACAGACACTCCGTCATCGAGGGGACAGTGGCAGCAAGCGGGAAACTTTAGACTCCGCTTCAGTGACGACAAAACACCGGCAGCGCCTTGGCGCCCATCCGCGGCACGAGCCTTCGGACGCTGGCCGATGCTCACAACCATATATCGATCGCGTGGAATTATTCTCCACTCGGCTCGAGATCCGGGCCGAGGAGGTCTTGGCCTCGAGCGATTGGCGATCGCTTGACTACTCGGCTGGGTACCTGACCCTCCTCCGTGGGAAGTATTAACCATCAGACATCGGCTCTCTTGCCATGACAACGGCGTATGCGAGGAGATCAGGGCCGGATGGAAGCATCCGCGATACGGCCTGACGAAGGAGGTCGGCATGCAAGCTTCGTGAGGGGGCCCGCCTCGCCTCGGCTCTTAGAGGCCCCTGTCATATCGGAACCGGAAGATATGTTCGGAAATCCCTGTACTGTACGGCCCTCTCACACCGGCTTTTCCGAGGGCAACGATTCTCACCTTGGCATATTCCGCTACGTGCTATCAATGTGACGCAGCAGGTTGCTGCGATGCGATGCTACTCGTCGCCAGATTTTGTTCTATTTGAGTCAACAGTCCTATAAGGGCCAGGGCCCTCTATTGCAACGTCCAATAGCGTCATCATGGCCTTTACAAAAATAGCCTGACTCGAAGTTAGCATTGGGGACTAACAAACACTTGCGAAATCGTTGTGTTCGTGCTTGACTGTAGCCGAAGAATGAATCTCGTCTGTTGAGGAGCGCCTGAGGTCGGGGCTGTCTGCGCAAGGTGGTGGGTGCCTCACCAAAGCGTATTACGTAAGCGGCGCGCCTGTGCAGCAAAGTCGAGAGATCCGAGAGCTCATCCATCTCATCCGTGACCCGACTATCACATCTTCTGCCGTCCAGCAATGCCGTAAGTACCGCTCGCAAGGCTACACTATGACTGGATCCATACACATACTTACTCGGAGCTGCTCCGCTATTTTTTCCCCTCTTTCGCTCACTTTGCTCCGCCTGCAGTCTCTACGAGCTCTTCTGCGTGTCAGCGGCCTCGCCATCCTCGGCGCCCTTCCGAGAACTCATCCGGTCGACATCGCGACTGGTCGTGGACAATGGCGGAGTGGTGAGAGGCATGCAATACTGGGGAAGAAGGTACCTACCGCAAAGGACAAAGCGACACCAGCAATATCATTACGAGGGAGAGTAAGTACCTCCTGAACGATGGTGGCTTGCAAAGGCACATAGCTCACCACATCTACATTTGCCTCCCCTGTTTTTTCCTCCCTTCACAGCCACTTCCTTCTCCAGTTTGATACCTCGCCTCCGGTTCTCTCTGTTCTGAACTCTCGTCTACGAGCCGATCCTCGTGTGGTGAAGTGGACTGCGCTCAAGCTTGGCGAAAAGCTGCACGAGATTACACCGAGGGGAACATCTGGGGGTTACAATGATCTGCTTGGACCTCCCTCTGCAGACAGGGCCGGGCCTTCGGGCAAGACTGTCATGGGTGGCGGCAACACCATCGCTTAGAGCCCAGGGGCAGCGCATTTCGAGGCAAGGAAGGAGTAGGAAGCTGCGCAGGGTTCCGGCCTTGCTGTCAGGGTCTCGATCCCACCTCGCCCAACATCCGGCCCTCACCACCATCAACGATCTTCATTGTACTATAAGCAGGCTTTTACTGTCATCCTATCATTCTCGCATACGATCCAATGTGTGCCCTTGAAGATGCGACTGTACGTTGCTCAGTCCGGATAGTCTATGCGTGAGAAGGACGCCCAGCGCGCTCCTCGAAATATTTGAGAAGATTTGACCCCTTCCGCTTCCTCACCACCACCAAGCTCTATTGTGCCTGTAACGCACACAATGTCGTCCCCCTCTGCTGCCTCGTCATCCTCATCCCGCTCATCGTCACCAGAGCTCGCAGAGGCTTCTTCGTCTTCAGCGCCCACCCAGCGCCTGCAGACCAATACTGCGAATACCAGCCGTTACATCCCTCCTCTCAACTATCAGCATGCGCAATTCCCAGCCTCCAGCGGCCGCGACTTCAAGGATCTTCGAGCTCCGGGCCAGACTGGAAGCAGTTCGAAGAGTCAGTCGCAAGGCAAGCAGGTATGGATCATCAAGATCCCTGACGGAGTGGATCCCTCTCAGCTCGATGGCCTGAAAGTCTCGCTGCCGGATCGGACCGCCAGTGACAAGCCCCTTGCGACTCTCACGAGCAAGCGCAAAGAGGCAAATGGTCAAGTGAAGGACACTTACCAGCTCTTTGGCTCCTCTCTCTCCACAAAGCATGACCTGCCCTCCGATGCACGGAATCCTCAGTCGGGTCTGAAGAAGTCGAAAGCTAAGCGGGACGGAGAGAAGAGTCAGCTGGTCGAGGAGGCAGAAGGCCAAGAGCGCAGCGAGGGAAAGGAAGGCTACGCAGGACATATGAGTGGCATCAGAGCCTACATACCCGTGGCAGGCTCGAAAGAAGGTCTAGTCACTGCTGCTTCTGTTCCAATTGTGCAACACCTCGAATTTGTGATGGCACCGCCGGCAGTCAAGAACGAGGAGAGCAGCTCTTCTGCCAAGACACAAGCAAAGCAGAAGGTCGGCCCCAAACTGAGAGAGCTCTCAGGCTACTTGTGAGTCCAAACCAAGCTTCAACACTCCTATTCCTGCCCTCACTGACAGCTGGTCTCTTCTCTGCTCCTTCGCAGCGCTCCCGCCGGCTCGTTGTACAACGAAGAGGCGGCCTCCTCGAAAACTTCGGTCTCCTCCTCGCCTCAAGAATCGCAATCCACATCGGCAATTAGCGCTTCCGAGAAGAAGAGAAAGTCAGCAGAGGTCCATGCTGACGACAGTCTAGAAGGCTCGTCGAAGAAGAAGGGCAAGACGGAGAAGAAGAAGGACCCGGACGCCAAAGCGGCCAGCAGTCCAAAGAAGGAGAAGAAGCGGAGAGACAAGGACGCAAAGGCGTGAATGCCAGCCTCCGATCTCACAATCTGGTGCATTACTTTAAAGTTACATTCTATTACAAGACTACTCGTACCTCAGAGACTGAATATCTCTTTCAGGAGCTGCATCGTGTGCGAAGGCCCCTCGACTGTGTGGCCAATGGTCCGGGGGTCAGAGAAGATTTCGTAGTCGTTTCCTCCCTACATGGGGCGATTAGTGAAAGAGTGTCAGATGTCTTTCACCGCAATGGCTCCGACGGACGCTTCGACATTCGGCCAACTCACCTCGTAAGTCTTGTCTCCAAAGAAGTGGATCTCCTCCCACCCGTCCTTTTCAACGTGGCTCAGGGCAAAGGTCTTGTCCCAGCCACAGGGAAAGACGTCAAAGGAGATTTGACCACCAATGGAGAAGGTCAGTCCATAGTCTCCGAAGTTGTCCTTGAGCGCTTGTACGAACTTGGGGCGAATCTTGTGTTGCTTGTCGTAGGCTTCGAAGGTATTGCGCTCTTCGATGCTGTGACGCAAAAATAGATCGAACGATCTAGTCAGCAATTCATAGGTACCTCCACGCAGCTCCCAGTACTCACCTTGCATTCCTTCCGATGGGTGAAATGTTGATCATCCCATTCCTGAATTCGATGAAAGTACCCCTCATGATGGGAATGTCCAGCTCGCTGATGTACCTCAGGCAGAATTTGACCATCTTCTTGTACTTCTCCTCTCCTAACCACCCGATGAATGACTGCGAAGCAAGCGCTTTGCCCATCCTGAAAGCGATCAGGCCATTCTCGGCAAAGCCATAGTCGAAGATGTCGGTTGCTGCGAGCGGCGGGAACACAGGGTGTGAAGGACGGGGGCACCAACGATGAGCGCTTACCAGTAGTCTGACCTGGCCGCTGCTACTTACCATCAGCAGTGCCATCAGGAGCACTGATCTGCTCGCGGATCTTCTTCAGGTCGCTTCCTCCCACGAACCCAATGGCACACTTCTTCCTGAGCTGTGCCAGAAGAGAGAGCATCTCTGGTGTTGCATGCTGCCTGGCCTTTGATAGTGTCTCGTCAACGTCGAACAGGCAGAGCGTCTTCGGCAGAGCCCGCTCCGAGAAGGGTAGAGGGGTCGGTACAGAGGAAACTGCCATGCTGTAGTGCGGATGAGAGAAGAGGGGAGCGGTGAGCTGTTCGAAGGTGTTGGTGTTGCTGGGCGAGCTTAAAGTGACACAACACTGGCTTCCGTCCAGGCTTTCCGTGGCGCGCTTTGGCACTGGCAGGTCCGGCAGCGAGGGCTTCTGGATCAGATACAACAACAAACGGGAATGATGATTGGAGTAGGCTTGGAATCGTTACGACGAAATCAGAGCACCAGCTATAAGGGCCTCAACAGTCCTCCGTAGCAAACAAATTAACAAACAAGTGCGAGGCGAGGCGTAGAGGCGGCGGCTTGATTGCACTGCTTCCGATTCCGACATGGCGCGCTCGCCTTCACTTCCGCTTCTTCGTGTCTTGACGTGAGTTGCGCCCGAAGCTTGTCCTCCTCCTAAGCGCCTCTACCTGTACATATCTGAGCTCCTTCGCCTCATCATCCTGGCTGTGAGAGGTGATGTCGAGGCATCCAGGGTCTCTGCATACCCAATCGCCTTTGGCGGGAAGGGCGATGCTGCAGCCGCAATACCAAGGCCAGTATGCATCGCATTCTCAGTCCCACTCGGCAGCTCGCTCTCCGAACCTCGCCCCGCGGACCAGACCTTCTCATCATGCCGGCGGAAGCTCGCTCAGGCACACAACAATAGACGGAGAGGAACGTGAGTGGGCAAACCAAGACGTGCCTGCAACGTCTGCTCGCGACTTAGACTCTTCCTACATGCATACAAAGTGCCGAGCAGAAGCTGACCATGTATCCTCCCCATTTCGGTTGTTGTCCCGAATGCTGTCCTCCACCCTCGTTACCGCCCGCAGACCAGTACCTGAATCCTCCATCGCCGCATTCTCGTCTCCTCCTGGCGCTCCTTTCGCCCATCAAGGAAGAAATCACGTGGGCGCTCTCGAGACTGATACAGGGATCAGCATTATACCCGGAGCACTTTGTCCTTTCAGAATGGTGTGGGCTCGCTCATCGCCTACTAAGCTTCGTCCGGAGATTCAACAGAGCCGCAAGAGGCGAGACCGACTGGGAATGGGCTAATGAGGAGGATCCCATAAGCTTTCCGGACGATGATCTCAGTGACTCTGAGGATGAGGAAGTCTCAGGTGGGAGCTCTTCTCGCTCCATCAAGAAGCCTGCCCCACCCTTTGATCCGAGACACAACGAAGAGCATTACTTCATCCTGAACGCTGCTGTCTCTGCATCTCTTATACTTCGTAACGCATCGCAAGACAAAGCGAATGCGGAATTCTTGACAAGAGACAACGGCAACCTTCCACAGACAATCTTCGACGTGCTATCACTTCCGGAAGACCTCTTTGGCTTTGAAACGCTCCTTGAAGGGGAAGGTCATCACTCAATTGAAGAGGAAGAATTGAGACTGGAAGGCGCAAGGGAAATTCGTCTCTACTGGATGGAGATCCTACGAAACATCGCTCCTCGCATCTATCTCTACGAGAGGACTGACGTAGTCCGTCTTCAGGACGGATCAGTGAGGCGAACAACCCCACAAGCATCTTCCACCACTGTAGTAGGCGATCGAAGCCTCGTAGTACGAACCCCTGGCGTCATGTCCGCACACTATACCGATCGTATCTTCACACATACCCTTCTTCTGTTCTACACAACTGGTGATCGGGCGCTGCTGCTTGCCGTTACACGCTTTCTTGCACAGCTCCTGAGCAACGCAAGGGCTAAAGGAGACATCTTCATCGAGCGGACAGTCACGCTTGAGAGTCAGATTGGCTGGAGCCCAGGCATCATTGGAAGATGCAAGGAGCTCGTCCTCCTTCATTCCCTCGACGCTGAACTGGCTGAGGCAGCCATCGACTGTCTCGATGCCAGTATCGATGTTGCCATTGAAGAGACCGAGCCGCCAGGCCCGACCGGCCAGACTGGTCCAGAAGAGGCTCATCCGGAATCGGTTCGCCACGTCTTCCCAAATGCGCTAAAGGTGTTGACTACAGGAGCCGGCCTCGGACACACGTCGCTCTCTTTGAAGCAGCCCATTCTCATACTCATTGCGCAACTATTGGCCGTCAATGCCTCTTCATGGGAAAGAGTCGAGGCTTTGTTGCTGCACGGCTACTTGCATCCGCTACACCTCATTCCTTCAAGACGGATACACCGAGAGCGCTTGCTGGAGCATGACCCAGATGCTGCAGAAAAGGCCCGGAGCTATCACGCTCTGCGCAGCATCAAGTCTGAGAGCGGCCTGGTACACTACACGACTCCCACTGAGAAGCGCTGGCTCAAGCAGCTGGAAGAGCCCCAAAGGTTGAAGACATGGCTGCAGCTTGTTGCTCGACCGGCTGGTGGACCTGGCACCGAAGACAGGAATCCATTCTACATCACGCAGATGCAAATCTGGACGTCTTACCGCGACAGCTTTGCTCCTCTGATCGACGCAAGCCAACGAGCTGCTGCACGTGATCCCACAACACCTGCATTGCCGCCTCTGGTCCCCGCTTACGATGTCATTTCCAAGATTGGAGAGGTCTTCCCAACCACGGCTGCTGTCCTCGTGCCAGAGGAGGACGTCAGGCTAGGGGGCACCAAGTTTGTCATCAGAGGGCTGGAGGGATTTCTTCGTCCAGAAGTAACGGCCTTCAAGTGTCGTTGGAGGGGGTGCCCTCAGTATCAGACTGCGACGAGAGATGCACAAGCCGCTCACGCACGCGCTCATGCTAAGCTGGCCTCAAGTGCTGTCAAGTGCCGATGGGCCTCCTGCACCTACATCGTCTCGGCTCCTCCATCAGCGACCGACGCAGAGAAACGGGAGATGCTGGCTGCTCACACCATGACGCACCTGACAACGCTCAAGGACGAGCCGAAACCAGTCGCGCCGGCTACTTTTGCCGGCTCATCAGCGGCTCCTTCGGCCCCTCAAGTGAACGGCAAGCCTGATAGTTCTCAATCCTCGCTCAACCTTTCTGCTCCTGCGGGCAGAGCGATGCCTCTGCAATCCACGAAGCCTTCGTCTGAAGTACCAAGTCAGGTGAACCCGCATGCCGTCTCCGCACCCCATCCCTCACGCTTCACCGTCGATCGACCATCGTCGATGCGCTTCCACGTCTACCGCACCCCCTTTAACCTGAAGACCGGTGTTCCAGAAGGTCCGGCTGCCTCAGCTGCCCGCATGCTGCAACGAATAGCTCACATGTGCCACTTGGTCCTCGGGAGCGGCTTGCTAGGCCGTGGATCGGAGGTCAATGGTGCCGCACAAGAAGAAGACGACTTCGACAAGGACGAGAAGAAGGTCAAGCTGGATTTCTCTGATCGTCTGAAGGATACCGACAAATTTGGGATGCCATTTGCTTTGCCGGTCAACTTTGCCAGCGTGGTAGATAGGTCTGTGCCAGAGGCAGCGGAGGACGGTACAGAAGACTCAGCTCTGAAAGAGGACGATGATGCGAGGGAACAGATGAGCGCTGCGGAGGCAGAGAAGGCACAGCGGCGGCTCGAGGCGTTGCAGAGCTTGCAAAGCCTCGAGGCCGTGGAAGATGAAATGGTCAAATGGGCGGGTCAAAACGATATCCTGTCTGGGCAGCTGCTCGAGGCACTTGATGACATGGCATCGATTAGAGCCAAGGAGCCAGGGTCCAAGCGTAAGAGGTCTTAGTCAGGCGGATGTGACGGCCGAGAGCGGTGTGCAGGTCTTTGTTGTAGGCGCAAGTGATTTCCCTGTCACACTGTCAATGGTAGACTGAGATGAGTCCTTGGCGCATGCCTGGTTGCCGAGGTCGCCGTGTGTTGGGGCGACTGTTGTGGTGCCTGCGCCAAGAGGTGCGCCTGACGCGTGGGAACGGGCGGCGAGATGGCGTGGCTGTCGGTCTGCCGGCGTTGCGGGGAACATTCCTCCGACGCGGTGGATGTTCAAACTCAAACGTCAGGAAGCCCTGCTTCCGTGTCGCCCTCGACCAACAATGGCCGTTCAATGGCAACCAACAGCGGCGGGGCGGCGGCTGTCTTTGCATTCATTGTCAGGGTGACGTCCTTTACCATTGAGTCGACTCTCTCATCCTCCTTCACTTCAGCTTTGCCATTTGCAACTACTCTTCAAGCACTTCTTCAAGCTCACTCTCTCCCTCGAAGATCCTCCTCACCATCTAGATCCCCGTCCATCGAGCTCAGTATACCTCTTTTGGTCTCAGATCTCCTTTCTCTCTTTTTTGCCAAAGTAGCACATTTGCGTCGTTGCCTATTATGATGACTGGGTTGGGCATCGACTTCGGACCGCCAGAGGAGCAGGTACAGCGTCCCGTTCAACACAGACCCGCACTTCCTCAGATGAATTCTGCTCCATCTGCGCCAACTTCGTCAAGGAAGCCTGTTCCCCTGCCCCATAACCTCCCCAAGCGTCACACAGCTACGGGCTCACAAGGTCAGAGCTCGAATGCCCAGCTCCCGACACCTCGAAGGAGAGTGAGGATCGCTAGTGGACAACCTGGCGTCATGGGGCTAGGTATCACCCAAGCTCCGGAACATCTTGAGGAGGACGGACACTACGATTTCAGCTCTCCAGAAGCAGGCTACACAGGCCGTTCTAGCTTCTCCGGCGCCACTGCTCGTTCATCAACAGGTACTTACTACAACGGCTACGATTCGAGCGTCCCCTCGCCGCCCTCGGACTACGGCGCTTCGCCCTCCTCAGAGACGTCCCCTGCTGATCTGTACCCAACAGCAGCACAAAGATCTCGCATGCTTCGTAAGCGGGCTTCTCAGCCGGCTTTGGGCTACAACGAAGCCGAGTCGCCTGTACATACCATGTCAAAGAGTGTCAGCACCCATGACCTTGGAACCGCTGCAGCTGCTGTGACTACCAGACCTGGAAAGGCTGTCGAGCCCCTCTCGCATAGGAAGACGCAAAGTGTGGGAGCTAACACTTTCGCCAAGCAAAAGGCACCCAGTGCTCTTGCCGCCTCCATCTCTGCTCCTTCTTCCCCTCGTCAATCCGATAAGAAAGCCCAATCGGCAGGCTCTGCTTCGCCTTCGAAGATTAAGTTGGCCCTTCTAGAGCCGGAAGCGCCATTGACACCTCGAGAGGATGGCATGGTGTCGGACGGCTTTGGCGGTTACAAGCGACCTGATGCACCCAGCGGTGGCAGTAGCTCCTCATCTACGGAGACTGTCACTTCGCCAGAAGCTGAGAATGATGCGTCGCAGCAGCTGCGGGACGAGCCAAGCCCTTCTGACGTGTCTCAGATGCCAGCTTCTCAGTCACGCAGAGCATTACCTCAAGTGCCCACTACTGCGCCGCTGCAGTTCCGACCTCGAGGCGAGAGGACCAAGACGGAACCACCGACGGTCGTACAGGCCATCGCTGCGGAGAGACGTTCAATCCCCTCGGCGAGGAGTCAAAGCTTTGATGGGCACATGCACCAGTCTGCGCAGCAAGCAGACGTTGCCGAGGCGAGACCGGCTCTCTACGACACGAGAAGCTCCTTCTGCGTGGGGGAAATCATCTCGCCCAGTAACGTTTACGTGAATGGAGCTGTAGAGGACTGGCAGCCCGAGGAGCAGGCGGAGGAGTCTTTCGGTCAGACAGACTACGGTCACTTCGATCCTCGCTTTGTCCAGCAACCGTACGAGTCGTTCGATGCTGTCGAGACACGGCCCGCTCGACAAGCCAGAACTTATTCTGAGACACCGGCGGCAAGCTTAGATCCGCAAGTGGAGAGCTACAGTGACGTCGATCCTGTGATGGCAGATCGAGGCACGAATGTTCAGTTCATCGCTTCCTCTTCTGAGGCGATGCCCATGCCGAGCAATGCGCCGAGGAAGCCGCTTCCTTCGCCAACGTCGGACTTGGACTCTCGCGCTGCTTCTCCCATCAAGGGCTCCCATCTGATGGGCGCCATTCAGGCTGCACCCGAAGCGAGCTCTCCAGAGCAGAAGAAGTCTCGAGTAGACATTGACCTGCTTTTGGAAAGCGAATTGGTAGTCGAGGGAGGAAATCTTCGTGGTCGGCTGATGGTCAATATCGGCAAGGACAAGAAGGGCAGGGGCGAGCTGCTCCTTGCTTATCCGAAAGTGCGAGTCGTGGGCTTCGAAGAGCTCCTCGATGACGAGACTCGGCACATCTTCTACCACCATTCGACGATCGTGGATGGTGATACCCAGCCTGGCGGTTCTCAACCTTACGTACTACACGGATCACCATGTCTTTCCTCTCCCGGGTTTGAAGGTCATGAGCCACTGCCTTGCTTTGCTTCTCAGCCGGACGAAGAGGGCTACTCGGTCGGACGTGAAGGCTCGCACTCGATCCCCTTCTCCCTCGAGATGCCCATTGGCAAAGGTGCCAAGGGTAGCTATCGTGGCAAGAAGGCTCTCGTCCGCTACATCGTCATCGGGTCTGTCAAGCTCAAGAGTTCTGACGGGAGCAACAGGTCCATTGCTCACTTCTACCGACATGTGGATCTACTCCCGTACATAAACCCTGCTGTCGTTCTGGCAAGTGCCCCTCGGCCCATCCAAGCCACGACCGAGAGAAACAGGATTAGTCTGACTGCATCGTTGCATCGACCGACATGGGTGGCAGGTCAACGTGTGTATGTGAACGTTGCTGTTCGCAACGACACATCAAGGCGTATCAAGAATGTGACCCTGTCGCTTGTCCGCACAGTCACTATCTACCAGCCAAGGCCAGAGCTTCGGGCCCATGGCTCGACAACAGAAGGCTTTGACCCAGAGGCCTGCGAGGCAATAGTATCTCGCAAGAGGGTGGCAGAGGAGGTCTTGGGAGTGGCTCAAGACGCTTCCCCGGATGGAAGCGCATCTCAGAGCTGGTGGACTGGTGTACAGCCAAACAGTCACCTGGAATTCGCTCATCACCTCAACATTCCGGTCGAGGCGCTGAGCATCGCGCGCAGTCGTCACGTCGAGATCTCATACGAGGCCAGGGTCTCTGTCGGAAGCTCTTCTCACGCTGATGTCATCATCGACTTGCCCCTACGAGTTGTCAACTTCACTTCGCTTGACCCGCCACCTCTCAAGAGCATCAGCGGGAAGAGCCTGAGCAGTATCAGCGTTGCACGAAGCTGGTTCGCTTCCTCGCCTCTCAGCAACCGTGGCGCCATGTCACCCGACGAGGCGCCCATGATTCAAAAGGTGAGGGCAGCAGAAGCTCTACGCAGCCCGGGTCAAGTGCAGATCGGCCAAGGGCAACCTCACTTGCCGTCTGGTCCACCTAATCGCCTTCTAGCCCTCTCACAGCGAGCAGCCGAGCGCAATGGGCACCTGCAGCCCAACGGTCACCTTCAGGCTCCTGAAGCCAGTGGAGGTCGTAGCATCCAGCATCAGAAGTCACTCGACTTTATCAATCACGCGATCAAGAGCGCTACTGCTCGAAAGAATAGCTCACAGCAGACCAGCACCGAGAATCTGCCCCTTGGTCTGGGCATCGACATTGATGCTGCCAACAGCCTGCAGCGTGACCTCGACGAGGACCGGACACCCACAAGTACCACAAGTTCGACCTTCACCACTTCCCAGGCAAGCTTCGCAACTGCCAATTCTCGACGCCGCTCGAGCGGTCATCGCCACTATGAGAACATCGATGTTCCTGCCCCTAGCTTCGGCTTCCCTTTCCTGCAGCTGCCAGTCGTATCGGTAGACGATGGTGATGCATTTGACTCTGATGACGAAGGAGAGGATGCTGGCAACCGTACCTTGGGCCTCAATCAGGACTCGGTGGACGAGGTCGACATGGTTGTCGAGTCTACGCATCGCAGAGATCAGAGCGAACGATTCAATGCGGACGAAGAAGAGAGTTTCGACCCCGACGTCAGCGTCGAGACCGTTAGAGATGGCGATGATAGCCAGGATGCTGTGGTCGGGTACACCGGCCGGAATGAAACAGTGTCGCAGCACGGATGTCCCGCTATCAAGGTGGAGTCTCCAGAGAGATCGATCCTCGGGCAGGATCGAGGCCAGGCGGTTGGTCGTAGGGTACTTCACCCCACACTTGCAACTCTACCCTTGACCACTTCATCTGCAGTCGCCACGCTCAAGAAGTCCTCGGGCAACTTGCGAGCACGAGTAGCTGTTACGCCTGCTGAGAAGCGGGCGGCAGTAGTAGTCGAGCCTGCCGCTGCCGCCTCTTCTCCAACAGCCAAGGTCCTCCCTCTCAGTCGTGACCATACCTCACCGACTAAAGCAGCTCTCAAGACAAAGTCGAGCTTCACTTTTGCCACCTCGGACGCTCCTCTGAGACAGAACAAGGGTCCTCGACCCATCTCGGCTTCCCTCAAAGATGCGCCTCGCGCGAAAGCCGCCGCTGCTCAATTCGCGGACGCCGTATCCGAAGAGTCTCCCAGAGATGCAAGGACGGTGAAGAGTCCCACCAAAGCACGACCTACGTCCAAGCAGCCTCCGCTCGTGAATGTGCCAGCTCCAGTTGCTGCACCCACGGTCAAGACGTCCTCGCGCCTGTCGCCACGCAAGAGCGTCGCTGTAAGCAGGGAGCTCAGCTCCTCCTCCGAATCCGACTCGGCTCAGGAGGCCCTCACTCCCGAGGCGCTACACGCTGAGGCGGATATGGGCGCAGCCGATGACTACTTTACTATTTCCAAACAATCACACACTCAGAAGAGTGTCGCCTCTGCTGCTCTGCTCGCTCAGTGTACCCCACCTAGGGTACGAAGAGAAGCCACTGCCGAGCCAGCGATCGCCACTCGAGTTTCTCCCGCTACACCGACCCGAACAATGCGTCACTCGGCGAGCGTTGCCTCTTTCACGCTGGAGAAGGAGAGACTGACTCGTGGCCACTCTTCACAAAATCTTCGCGCAGCAGCAGCTGCAGCTGCTGGAGGAGCAGGGACTGCCGTCGTCCCCTCAGTGCGAAATAAGATTGCCCAGCTGGAGAGTCGTCAGCAGGCGCTGCGGCAATTCATCAAGCCAGCTAGTGCAGACAGTACCCCGGTCAAAGGCGAGAGCGGCACTGGCAGTGCTGCCCTTGCACCTAGGAGGGGCTCGGCACTCCTTGTCCCCGCCAGCGAATCGAGGTTGACCGCCAGGAGTAGAGGGAGCAACTCTTCCCTCCGTGCTTCCTTTAGCGCTGCCACTGGACTGTCTGCCTCCTCGCCCTCCTCATCGCCTACTGCCCACGCCACTAGTGCTGGTAGTAGCGGTAGACTGATCAAGAGGGTCAGCGCTCTTTCGCTTCTCCAGTCCTCTGAAGCTGACCTGGATCTAGCCCAGGACAATGACGATGAGGACGACGAGATTGGAGGACAGTGGCTAGGCAGGAGAGGTTCAATGGACTCGCTCGCGAGCTTCAAGGCGCCTATGCTCCGCGGTCTAGGCGCTTGAAGAAGCACCCATTAGCACATCCCCACACCCTCGCTCACTCCTTTCTTCCTAGATCACATTCCTTTTACTCTCAGAATTTCCTTGCCCATTTCTTTACGTTGCTCTCCCAGGATCGAAGCACCTTATTCTCTTTTTCCTTTCTTCATTCTCTCGCTTCCTCCCGGCGACGTACACTCTTACTCAGTCCTGCCCTGTTCGATCCCATTCATCTGTCCATATTTACACACATCTCTACTCATACACTATCATTGAATTAACGATCCTCTTCTCGCTTTCCCCTTCGGTCGAGTCCCGCATCGTACCATCTCCGAATCTGCTCATGGGTGTACGAACGTTATGCTAGTGTGAGAGTTTTGATTGCTAGCCTGGATACCGTGCAAGGGCTCAAAGGCCTGCCGGCTGCGACTTGATCGACTGAGGATTTCCCTTCACCTGAGCCCCAGCAAGACGTGGTCCAGGAGTCAGACTCGAGCATCAGTACCCGTACTTCTTGCGTGCAACGCTGCCCATGACATTAGGTCTGCAATTACGACGATGAGGGGGGATGCAGTACGATCAGTCGTCAAGCCAGCACTCCCACGCTCATCTGTACCGTCTGTACTCACACCAGTAACTGTGCAAAGCGCACCAGCTTGTACTTGGCTGGAATAATCTTGACGCCCTCTGCCATCCGATCTGCTCCACGAATCGCATCGTGAGCCACCTCTCCCACTTCGAGTAGATCGCTGCTTCCTCCCTTCTTGTTCGCCGCCTGATCCCACGAGGCATCGCGAATCGAAGCGTCAATCGGTCCATCCACTGCCGATAGCCGGAAATCGGTACGAATGGTCCCTGGTGCCAGGACAAAGCACTTGACTGAAGCCCGGTGGGCCTGACCAGTCTTTGTGGCGTGCTCACTCTGCGCCTTGGCTTCGAGGGCAGCAGTCTGGAAGATCTGCATCTGAGCTGCTTTACTACCTGCGTACAACCCGCGAGTAGGTGGGGGCACCAGGGCGGCCACGCTAGACATGAGCACGGCTGCTGGAGCGGGCGAGGAGAGTTGCAGGAGCGGGATGAAGGTGACCATGATCCCTGCTGTGGCGGCAGCATTGACGTCGAGGATTTTGCGGGCAGAGGTCATAGTCTGGGTGATGCCTTCAAGAGTGGCATGGGCGTTTGCTGGAGTGAGAGGCTGTGAGGAGGTGACGGGATCGATGCCGGCTGTGCCTAGCACAGAACGAAGCGCTGAGGCACCGAAGACGATGTGCAGTGTATCCAGTCCTCCCATTGCTGTCACAGGCCGCAGAGCAAAGGTGACGAAATGTGAGCCCTACAGATATGGGTAGCCAGGCTTCTGCTGCTCTCTCAATGCTTGCTACTCACTCTTCCTGACCAGCTGCCGGATCTTGAGAAGGTCCTCTGGCTTTGTGCAGTCGGCCGTAATGGTCGTGACCGTCTCTCCTACCTTCTCCCACCCAGGCGCCTCTTGACTCTGCTCCCACTCCTCTCCCTCTTTTCTCCTCTCATCACACTTTGCCTTGACCTTTGCCAGCTCATCAGCCCGACGCGCAACTAGAATCAGATTGCGGCATCCCCTTTGAGAGTACTGCAGCGCCAGCTCTTCGCCCACGCCAGAGGAGGCGCCGAGGATGAGCACTCGCTCGCGGTAGGGAGGGACGATACCTTGTCTTGGACGGGCAGATCTGACAAAGAGGAAGACGATGGGGAGGGGAACGAGGATGACTACAAGGGCGATGTAGAGGTTGAGGTTGGGTGGAGGTTCGCGACCGAAGAGGTGGAAGAGGTCGTCGACCCAGCCCAGGGCAGACTCCATGGCAGGAATGACGAGGCGACGCTACACTTGTACAAAAGGTATCTTACAAAGCTGTTGGACCAGAGAGAAGGTAGTCGCAGATTTAGGAAAGTGAAAGTAAGTTTGGTACGCTCGTTGTGGAAGGGAGGAGGCTCAGTCTGGGAAAGCGACGTGGTCGGTGCAAGTGGAGTCGCTCAGCCGTGAAAGCAGCCGAGGCGCCGAGGCCCAGCTGCCGTTCCGCTTCTTCCTGCCGTCAGCTTTCCGGAGAGGATTATTACCACTGAAATCCAAGACGATACTCACAATCAAGTAGCCTTGACAGCGACGGCTACAGGGATGATCAAATCCGCTGCTGCTTCCACATCACGACTGAAGCTGCCCTCTACCGCAGCTTCTTCACTGTCGCAATATGGAAGCGCTCATCGTCCGCGGTCCGCTCCAATCGCATGCTCCTCGAGCTCCCCTTTGCACTCCACCCGCAATCTCGCCTCCTCTTCCGCCACTCTGCAACAACATCAGCAACAACAGCAACAACGAAGCTCCGTCCACGCCTCCGAAGTAGAACACTTCACCCGCCTTTCCTCAACCTGGTGGGATCCCAATGGTGAGCTCAGTCTTCTGCACAAAATGAACAAGGGCCGTATTGCTTTTCTCAGGGACAAGGTCGTCGAGACGCAGGGCTGGGATCGAGCGAGGGAGACTGGGAGGAGCCTGCAAAGTGGAAGTAGACAAGGTGGTGCTAGTGCTGAAGTGAGGGCGGAGGAGAGGAGGAGAGAGAGGGAGTGGTGCAAGGGTCTGAGGGTGCTGGATGTGGGATGCGGTGGAGGATTACTGAGCGAAGTGAGTCGACTTCAGGGAGGGACAGGAGAGTCCGTCATATATGAGCTGAGGCCAATGACCTACACTTGACAGTCTTTGGCTCGGCTTGGCGCAACAGTCCACGGCATCGATGCCACCGGTACCAACATCGCCATTGCACAGCACCACGCCTCTCTCGACCCCTTCTTCTCCACTCCCTCCCCCTCTTCCTCTCCAACCTCCTCTTCTCCACGGCTCACCTATTCGCACACAGCAGCCGAAGACCTTCTTGCCTCTCCGAGCGGAGACCACGCGGAAGGCTACGACATTGTCGCCTCGGTCGAAGTCCTCGAGCACGTCTCTTCGCCAGCCGCCTTCCTGCACTCCCTCTCCTCTCTCCTCAAGCCAGGAGGTCATCTCCTCCTCAGTACCATTGCCCGAACTCCACTCGCAAGATTACTGACTATTACGCTTGCGGAAGAAGTCATGGGACTGGTCAGTAGGGGGACCCATTCCTACGAGAAGTACGTCAAGAGTGAGGAGTTGAGGAAGTTCATTGCTGAAGAGGAAGGTGGAGGATTGGGCTGGTACCCATCATCCAAACAAGGAGGAAAGCAGCCCTCTAGTAGCGTAGACAACAGCAATGACGCCTTTGCTTCTCTGGACGGGGTTAGGTCACTACCAAGTCGACTGCAGATGGAGTCGCGTGGGATCATTTATGACCCACTGATTGGCGATTGGCGATTGCTGGATAGAAGTGGTTGGATGCAGAGGAGCGGATGGGGGGAAGAGTGCAATTACCTCCTCTGGGCTAGGAAGCCTATCAGATAGAAGACGAACGACCTCTGACTGTACTGTACTCTGCGACCGACAGTCCCGTATAATGACTAGCAATGCCATGTATGGCTCACTCACAACTACCGGTGACAGAGTTTTTTGTTTGTCGACAAGAGTCTTCTGCCTACACACGATGGGGTCAATTGACTTCGTGACGGCGGCGGAAGGGTCTTGAGAGATGAGGAAAGCAGGTCCATGATTCTACAGTGAGCGTGGGTACACAGCAGGGAAGGCGAAAGGGAAGCGAGGGGGAAGCGAACGAACCTGAAGTCAGTTGCGGACCAGTCGTTGGCAACGCTAGCGCTGCAGAGGCAGCGATCTTGGGACCTTGGGAGCAGCTTGTACGTTGACATTATTCGGCGTATTGACGGGAGTGGTAAGGTATGTTAGTGGGCACTGCCGATGACACTGAGACCTTGGAAAGGACAAGGCCCCTCTCCGAAGGCGCCAGGTTGATGATTAGGATTGGACAGAGTCATGACGAGCCCCTTGCGGTAGGTTACTCAGAGGAATGATGATGACGACGAGGCAGGTTGCTTATCCCGAGTTTGAAGGCTTGCACGGCGGCTTCTACTTGGTGCGGCAGCATTTGAGTCGGATCGAAGTCTTGGAGGTCGAAGGAGCTGAGCTGCGCTTCTTCGCAGGCTGCTCTCGTTCCTCTGAGTTGACTTCCTCAGTCGTTTCAACAACTGCCGGCTGCAGCTGAAGTGCTGTAGATTTGGGCTTGGCAGCCTTGTGATGACAATGAGAAGCGTGTACGAACCAGTTCTTCCAAGTCCTGTGACGCATCATCTTTCGCATGATGTTCACCCACTCGTCACAATTGTGGCAATGAGCATCGACCATCTTGAGTTCTTTGCACCATCGAATCTGAGTAGGAGGAGCAAAGGGACGGCCCGTTCGGCAGGAGACGCCATGACAGATGCTGGCATGGTAGTTGTAGACGGATGACTTCATGCCCAGCCACTTGCCGCAATCGCACCAGCCCTGTCGATCAGTTCGATGACCTTTGACGAATTTGGGAGTGTAAAGGTCGCCAGCACCAAGCTTGGGCTCCTGTGCAAGTGCTCTGGTATCTTCGTCTCCCTCAAATTGCTCTCGTGAGGGAATTCGTCGGGGATCTTGGTCGGTCTTGGTAGAGTAAGGCAAGGATTCTTGATCGCCCTCGGCGGGCAGAACAACAGCAGCCAAATACTCATATTGCCTGCTCCCTTTCTCTCGCTCGTAATGGGAGTCCTTGTTGTCGGCCCTTAGTGTCGCCAGCTCAGCCTGTGCTTGCCTTGTCTCACAAGAACCAGGGGAGCTGCCCCTGTCCGTCTGGACTTCCATCGCTCCAGTCAGTGACCGATCTGTGGTGATAGAACCACAATGATCGGCATTGTCCGACATTTCCGGCTGGCCGTGGCCATCGAGTGAGACAGAAGAGCTGGCGGAAAATCGTGCACCTTCCTTTTGCCACATGAGGAAGCAGGACTTCGAGGTAGAGGCAGCACTCGAATTGGACGACTGCTGACCTAGTGGAGTGTTTGCCGCTGGACTAATGCAGGCCGAGTCGACGAGAGAGATCTTGCAACCACTCGGATAATGGACGAGGTAAGACTCGCTAGAAGCAGTCGCATAAGCCCTACTCATGAGCGCTAGGGACAACACGTCAGCATCGACACAAGTTGCCCCTGCTTCTGACAGTGCTGACTGTGAGAGCGATGACTTGCAAGCTAGCTTCGTTGGGTCATTGGAAGCTGAATCCTGCTCGTAAGACTCCGTCGAGCCGCTCTTGGAGCTCTGCACTTTGGCCGAAGCCTCGTGAGCGCGGCCGTTGCTCTTTGTGGCGTTACATGAGCCGATGATTTGATCGAGGATCGAGCCAGTCGACTTTGTGTTCCTATGGTTGGAGAGACTACGCCAGTCTTGTAGCCGATAATTGACGAAAGGATATAGAAGAGCACTCGTAGCCGCGGCAGATTCTTGCTGGGGGCGGGCCTCATGCGAAAGATGGGCAAAAGGATTCGGATCTTGAAGCTCTTGAGAATGAGATGGTGCCATGTCGCTTAGGATACTGGCAGAGCCAAGACCAGGCGCGAGGGAGTCATGACCGCCCCTCAATGCTGTCGAGACGGCGCCGTGCAGCAGCGATGTCAGAGTCTAGGTTGGAGAACAGCAATCCGGCACAGACATGCATATATGCATGCGAGGACCTGCCGTTGACTCTGGTGGACTCACCATTCGTATAAAGAGCGACGGCAGCAAGAGTTCTGCCATCGACAGCATTGAAAGCTTTGCTTGTCGTCTGTTTGCAAGAGTCCGTGCCAGCATAGGAAGTGTTTGGAGAGATGTGGGGCGCTGTTGACGGGGTAAGGAGGGCTGAGGCTTCGTCGGAGCTCGCGCTCGAAGGCGTAAGGTAGTCGGCAATGTTGCTCAAGCTGCCGTCGCTGAATGCTGAGTGCTGCTCCAGATTGTCTAGCTGCACTTGAGGAGATGCTAGCGTCTGTGACTGAGGTGTGGTCCAAGAGGGCCCCCAGCACGGCTGATTATCGGAAAGTTGGTCTGAAGAGCTGCCAGTGGCAGCGTTGGAAGCACTGCTGCTGCTGTCGAAGCACGACTGGTCTGTGAGATGCAAGTCTAGCATGTCTGCTGAGGCTGTTTGGGAAGGTGTGAGGGTAGACCAGGAGTAGCACGGGGGAGATAGCGGTAGTTGGTAGCTGTGGCTGATCGAAAGGCACTGATGTATGCAATGAGATAGCAATGAGCGTGAGGGGTGTCGTAAGCGTAAAGGGCAATGCCTGAGCAGGGTGTGGATATGAGCGTGAGGTGTGGCTACCAGGGAAGGACGAGTGGGGACTGATTGGAAAGAGGTCGAGGCAGGGTTGGCGAGGGAGGAGTGGCCCTTTCTGTCTTTGCATCGGCTCCTCCAAGGCCGATGCCGGTCTGGAGTGCCAGGCAAGGCGTGAGTCAATCCTTCCTGTGACAAAGAATCTCTCCGATCACAATTGGGTGTCAGCGAAGAGGCTGCGAGCAAAGGATCAGTGTCCTCTCCCTCCCCCTTTGAGTCCCTCGCCCGCTTTGCTTCCTAGCAACTCCGGCAACTCACCCAGATTCTGATGAGGTGCCCTTCCTCCAGCGGCGTTTGCACTTAGCTCGATCAATGTGATCGAAGGTTTGCGTTGATTTGAGATGCTCGGTGTAAGAGGGAGTGCCTCGGCCCAATTCACCTAGTCGGAGGGAGTAGAAACCGTCGATCGTTGGTTGGCAGCTGGGGTCGCTATGGCCATCGCCACGGAGATGCGGTGAGCCCCAGTCGAATCGAATCTCGCAGACGGCAAAGTCTGAGTTCTCGGAGCCCGGGCACACTTGCGAAGACGAGGCCAGCCTAAAGCAGGCGACCCTCAAGGATGGCCGCGATAGGCTGGCTCACACTGAGTCTTGGGCGCGATGGCCTAAGCCTCAAGCTGGATCGTCCTAGCGATCAGAAACCTTGGTGAAAGCAAAGGAGCGGCTCGAAATGGAACCTCCTTGCTTGTTCGTGCTTGCGAGCAAAAGCGGAGCAATCTCGTCCCGCAACCCAATCGAGGATAGGGTCCCCCCTCGCTTCTCATCGTTCCCATGGCCAGCGCCATTGCTTGAAGCCCCGCGCGGCGGGTAGACATGGGGTCAAGGGGAGGTTGTCGACGCTTTTGGCGAATGCGAGAGATGGAGCGCGAAGGAGACCGGAGATCGATGGCAAGGACGTCACTCCAATGCGGACTAGGTACATGTGTGAATGTAGAATGTATTTGTCGAGAGGTAGACATACAAATCAACCATCGTGACATTCCTTGTCCGTACATCAGAGTCTTCGGTCCACCACCGCCAGGACCAGATCGAATCTACCCGCAATCGCCCTCTTGATCTCTACCAGTCGCAACATCCTCCGCCAGGCAATTGCAGCTCCACCACTCGCAACGGACCCACCAGGACCACTAACACCACCGCCATCAGCTCCCATAGGCAAACCAATGCTCCCATGATCATGATGATGCTGACCAAGCATACGTTGAATCTCCGCCGCTGCCGCTCCGGCCGCGTGACTCGTGAGGGGTTTCAGACCTTGGGCATCTGGCTGATCACTTTGAGGCAGCGTCAAAGACCCCTTGGATGGGTAGAAGATAAAGTCCGCTGGGGAGAGCATGGCCCTGATCAGTGAACCAGCGAGGAAGCAAATGATGGCCACCAGAAGCAGCGTTGCTAGACTGTAGCGCGCTTCGTGGAACAGCCGGCCGCCCAGTATCCTCGGCGCATTAGCTCCCAGCCTAGCCGCTTCGGCCGATCCTTGGCCAGCCGCATCTGCACCTTCACCCGTGCCTTGAGCTGAAGCTTTGCCCTTGTCGACAGGCCCTGTCGCATCTCCGTTTCGCTGTCGCAAACCGGCTTCTCCATTTGCTGAGACGGTCGAGACAGCGGTTGATGGATTCAGACGTGAGAGAGGGTAGGATTGAAGTAGGCCCATGAGGTGAGCAGTAGCTGAAGACGCAGTGATCGGTTCCTTCTTCTGCGTGCTGCTAGCCGCAGCCTCCTTTTCACTGGAAGGCTTCGAAGGCTCCTTACTGCTGGCAGTCGAAGCTTTAGAGCTTGCACCAACTTGCACGGGAGCAGAAGCAACAGGCGCCACCGCTGCGGGCTTCGCAGCCTCAGGTGGTGGAGCTGGGGGTTCCTTCAGCTCTAGAGCGGCCGCAATGGGCTGAGCGAGCGTTGGAGGGATCTGATCTTCTGCCTTGACGGTCTCTCCTGCAGCACTGCTGGCTGCATTACGCCGCGGCAACCTTAGGGAACAGAAGCAAGATGAGGAAAGACCTCAGTCAGTCAAGGTTGAAGCTCTTCTGCTTTCACTCGCCGGTTTGACTTACCTTCTCAGCCGGGTGAGGCCAGAACCTATCTCGGACTCTCTCTGCAGCATGGCAGAAGTCTGATTGACATGGACGACTTCAAGCTTCTGCCCTCCTAGATGGACCGGGACAGATTGTGAGTCCATCTCTTCTGCCTCCCTCTTCAGCTCCGCCTTCTGCTCATCCGTAAGAGGGGCAGTGGCAGTAGCCTGGACCTCGACCCCAATTGAGGACGCTTCCGAGCGAACCGGTCGGACGACGACTCGGATCGTGGCACCTCTCTCCTTCATCTGTTTGAGCCATGATGAGTCTGCGCGTTCCGTACCACCATCGCCTTTGGTCTCTGCTTCGCTTTCCGTGGGCAACGATAGCCGCAAAAGGTGACGACGGGGTCGTGCAGAGGGGTCAAGCGTAGCAGCGAGTACTGCCGAAGGGGGCAAGTCATACACTGTGGTCTCGATGGGAAGATCCTTCTTGGCTTTTGCCGCTACGTTGAGCGATGAGACACGTGAGCCAGTGTCTGCTTTTTCTTCGATGATCTTCTTCTCTTTGCCTACTTCCGCACCGAACTCTGAGAAGATCTCGATCTTGTAGCCAGACATGTAGTGTTTGAGCTCGATTTCGACATCCGCAATGAGAGTAGGCCGACTCTGTTGACCCTTCTTGTTCATCGAGATACGGGGCACTCGATAGGTGGAAGGCGTCGGCGTCTTGACAGTGGCAGAAGAGCGAAGTGACGACGAGCTGGCCTTGCGAGCAAGGGACATTTGATCGGACGTCAACGCGGTCGGCTTGAGGGGCGTCATCGGATCATGATCGGTGACAGTAGGCCTCGCAGCAGCTGGACTACTGAGGAGAGCTGCTGTCGGCTTCTTTGACGATGCTTTCGAGGGAGTCACGGGTGGGTTGGGGGTGGTACTGCCATTGCTGCTTTCTGACTTGATCGTCTTTGTGGCCGAAACAAGGACCAGGACCTCGAGCCTCTTTGCAGTAGGAGAGAAATTGTTGAACAGAAGCGTTGCTTGGGGTTGGCTGGGTGACGCCTCACTTGACTTCTCGTCTTCAACCACCCATGTGTAGTCATGGTCTTCGTCCCTTCCGTCACCCAGCACTTGCAGGAAAGCAGGGGGTGACCTCACAGCCGGTACTGCACCTCTGCCCTTGAGGAAAGCCTCCACAGACAAAATGCTCCTGGGCAGGTTCGAGTTCCAGATGGTGTTGACCGCTGCCGGTAGACTTCCGGCGTAATCAATGGCTACGATGTGCGTACATCTCGTGGACGGAATCTGATAGTTCAGAGTTGAGCTATAGGGATCCAACGTCTCGAAGATCCAGCCGTCTACGAGGACCTTGCCAATCGGATAACCGGCACTGTTCAGCTGAGAAGGGCTGAAGCGAGAAGTCTGCTCCGGGAAGGAAGCGGAAGCGTGGTAGTATACGCCTTGCGAGTGCACTGACGAAGACGAAGTCGACGAGGTGGGCAGAACGGTCGGCAAAGCCTTCGCTGTCAGGCTAGCCAGATAGAATCCTCGACCTCGGAAAGGAAAGGCGCCCGTCGATGTTATAAAGCTGGACGTGACGCCATTGCCGTAGCTCTCTAGAAATCTAGTGCTCTCTACTCTATCGTCCCATTGCTTTCGGCAGCCAAGGCTTGAGACTGCCGTGACCAGATCTTCCGCCGTGAGACCTTGGACGACCTTGTCACCGCGCTGAACAGCAACGGTAGGGGAGATGGAAGCCATGACCTTCCTTCTCACATAGAGTCCGTTGCGATGAGATACCAAAGCCCAGCCAGCCGGAGTGACTGCTGGATCGGGACTTCTTTCTGCATAGATGCGTCGTAGGAGGAAGAGAACATCAAGGGCCGGTGTCATTGGGAACTTCGGCTGCTTGTCGGAAAAGGGCGTTCCCGTTGCCGGAGCAGAAGTACCCTTGTCCTCCAGCGGAGTCGGCGTACCTACTCGCGAAGGGATGCTCGCAGGGTAATCATCGAGCGAATTGACTGATGCGCTGCCTCGGCGACCTGCAGAGCCGGCCCCTCCCACGGCTCCTGATCTTCCGCCGGCCAAAAGATCCAGAGGGATCCTTTGAGGTTTGCTCCGCTTCTTCTCTTTCAATTGAGCAGCCTCTCCTTCTTTCAGTTCATCTACGTCCACTTTCATCCTAGCGCCGTTCACTATGACTGTACCTCGCTCTTTCGGAGCTCCATTGTTGCCCCCCGGGCCACCTTTGCGCACGGTGACCTTCGCAATGTCGTCTTCGAGACTTTCAGGAACATGCTCAATGGTGAGCCAGAGCCCTCCACCGCCCGGGCTTAGTCTATGCCTTCTCAGGCAGCTGACATTGATCGGAGGTGGATCGACCACAAGATCGAGGTTTTGTGACCACCCTTCGATGTCGCATCGTAGCTCACATTCCACATTTTGCGAAGCTTCGTTCGCCTGCTCGGGATCTTGACAATATTCCAGGCGGTAGAAGCCCTTCTCGTGATCGTACTTCGAATCCGTCAGAGTGGCGCCGAGCAGACGAGTCAAAAGCGGAGGGGCTCCGACTTTGATAGCATACTCTCCCACACCAGCGACTGCATTCGTCATCATTGTCGGTGTGGCACTCTTGCTGGTCCAGCCTTTTGGATCACTCTGCTCAATCAACGTGACATGCACAGTCGTGGGACTGAGCGATTCTATACTCCAACCACGCAGATCGACTTGCGTACGGATGGTACCGTTGACCGGAGCCGGTATGGTAGGAAACAGGCCTCGGTCATCGGTCGAGAATGAGAAGAGGTGGACTGACGAGGGCGACTTGTAGGACGTCTCAACCATGACCGTATCTCGCGGGCTAACAGGCCATGCTGCTTTCGTCTTGGTGTGCCAGACTGCACTCACATCGCCCAAATCCTCAATGAGCTTGGCGTCTTCCAGGTTCTTGTCCCAGTATGGCCGTGTTCCAGGACTACTGACCGAGGCGAGAATGTCCCACACTCCGACGCCAACGAATGTAGCTTCTGCTCTGTAGACCACCAGTGTGGGGTCAATGCTGTCGAGCTGTGTGACTGCCACACCCTTGCTGTCACTGAGGTGTTTCCACTTGGCATCCGGCTCTTGTAGCATTGATGTGAAGTAAATGTAGTTGCGGCGGACGATGGAAGCAATTGCCGAGCTACGCTTACTGGAAGAGAATTGGTGCACGCTTTCGGAATGCTTGTGCGAACGTCCCTCAGGCTGTACATTACTGATGCCGGGCGTCTCTTGCGAGCTGAGGCTAGCAATGCTGATGCCTGACAGGCTCGCTGAATCGTTGAGCAGGCCCACTTCTTCCAAATTTGGAACGGGCACAAGTGCTTCTGCCGAGGAGCCTGTCTCCACTACGTCGTGATTCTCGTCATTGATCCTGAGTCTGATGTCTGAACTTGCTGCTATCCTCTGAATGGAGATCTTGACTCTGGTACTCTCTTCGTAGAAGGGCAGAGGACTGTGGGTGACCCGAAGAGTCACCAAATTGGACAGTGCGCCATTATCCTGTTTCGCTCTTTCGGCAGATGTATGCCACCCTTGCCCTCTTCTAGGGTCCCCTTCTTCAGCGGTGTGTTGGCTCCTGACCTGCACTTTAACGTCCCATCCCTCTTCTGCTGGCAACGCAAATTCGATACCACTGCCCAGGATCCGCTGCTGGGCTCGGATTGCCTCCGCCAGTGCGTCTTGAGGCTTTGCCGAATCGAGTGATGCGCCTCGAATCTCGTCACCTTCATCTGCTAGCACACAGTACTCCGTGGACAACGTATCCCTGCTAGTATCGTAAGATGTCGAGAGTATCTCCACTGTGGACCCATAATTTCGCAGACTTGGCAGGTGGGAAGAGCCCTGTCGAACGAAGGACAGTAGGCCAGTAACGAGTGACACCGAGTGGGAGCCAAGCCCGCCTGGCGGCATTCCTACCCACATGCCCTTGATATCCCATGACCAGTATAATGTTACGCGTATACGTGATTGCTCGGATTCCATCTGCTTCTCTTCAGGCAGCTGGACACACCAGGCAGCGAGATGAACGTGCGACCTGACATAGGGCGGAGCCGGACGGAGGTATGCTGGAGCATCGGCGGAGCGCTTGAGAGAGGTGGAAACATCAATGAGTGTGTTCCCATCATTGATGGACCGTGAGATGCAAATGGCGTCACGAGGACTCGCTGGCCATCCCAGTTTGAAGTTGGTCTTGGTGATCCGAGTCTGAGGGTCCAGCATCTCGATTGTCTCGGCCTCATCCACCATCCGGTCCCCTGAGCAGTGCGAGCGAAGGGAGGCAGTGATTCAGTAGTAATCCTCCGCGCAGTGTGGGCAGGTTCCACTTCATCTGCGTCTGTACTCACACTTCGTTCTGGCCTCCGGCGTTGTCAATGCGCTACGGAACGGATCCAGGTCTGGTGATCCCTCATACGGGACTTCCACTACTGCCCTGTACACATCTACGCCGGCCGGGAGGCCTACTGCTTTTCCTCCGCTTCTCCGGTGCACCTTGACCGAGGAAGGGTCTGCCAGAAGAGGCGCAAATGGTGGGAACTCATGTGCGGGGACGGTAGAGCTGTTGAATTCCTTTAGATCGACACTGGCTCGTCTACGATCGACTGCCTTTCCTTTGGGCGAGGGAGCCGACAGGGGGCTGGAAGGAGCAAATAGACGGGATGCCTGGGGAGTCACTGTCCGCTCTCTTGCTGCTCTGGGGAAAGTGGCTGAGCCGCTGCCAGTAGCTACAGAAGACGCAGAAGTAGATGCTTGTCCACCTATGGCGCCTCCTGTATGGCTGGAGGACTGTGCCAGCGGTGGGACTGGTTTCCAGCTCTTGGCATCGGTCTGCGAGGTGAGAAGACGAAATGAGTTCAAGGCGGCCCTGAGAGCATCATCCCACTGCGCCTTGGCACTACGAGAGCGGGGAAAAGTCAGAAGTCAGAAGTCAGACGAAGAGGTCCAGTCGACTCCTTGAGGGCCTGGCTTCCTCGACTCACTTTGCAAGGTTGATGCCGTCCATGTGGGAGCGGGTCGCGCCCCCTTGACGCGCACAATGTCAGGCTGGAAGGGAGACCTTGGCCCACCTTTGAGGACGAGAATGGATGGCAAGCTCTATCAGAAGCCCTGTTGCCGCCAAGGAGGACGACGAGGAGATGGTGTAGGGGCTTATGCAAATGCGGGGTCCAGGGGGGGCTGGCAGCGAGAATAACAACCGAGGCAGGCGTCGGTGTCGAATGCACCTCACCTCGACTCACGCAGCCTGTGGAGGAGGCCACGCCGCTCTTTCCGCTCTTGCCGACCAAGGAACAGCCAGAAGGACGTCAAGGTGGGGAAAGAGCAAGGTAGAGAGCAGAGGTAGTCTAGCATCGCTTACTTCTACAAGACGTTGCTCAACAATTCATCACCTCTCTTGATCCTGCCTGTTCACCATGGCAATCGCATATAAGCCCGTCACGGCAGTCCTCTTCGACATGGACGGCCTTCTCATCGACTCAGAAGGTAGGTCTCGCAAGCTGAGGTGCCTTCAGCGTGCTGGTACATTGGCATTGATTTCACCTTCGCCTTCTCATACGCAGGCGTCTACACAAAAGTCGTCAACGAGGTTCTCAAGCCTTATGGACTAGAGCAGGGCTGGGACCTGAAGATGAAGCTGATGGGCATGCCCGAGAAGAAGGCTGTTGGTGAGTGGACAGATGATACTACCCGCCGTGTCAAGTGAGCCTCTTCCCCACTGACTCTCTGCCCCGGCTACCCCGCAGAGACTCTCCTGGCTAACTTCTGGCCACCCGAGAAGGAAGGGGAGATATTTGCTGCAGAATGTCCCTTCACCATCGAGTCCTTCCTGAGCCACCGGAATATGAATCTTGACGAGGAATTCAGCAAAGGTAAGGGCATGGATCTGCAAAGAAATCTGCGAAGGGTGCACTACTCACTCCTTGTCTTGCCTCGTGACTGAGCTAGTCAAACCAATGCCCGGAGCACAGAGACTCATAGATCATCTTGCGAAGCACAACATCCCAGTTTGCGTGGCTACTGGATCGTGAGTAGAGGAGATGCATGTACCGGCAAGGGACGCTGCAGTACACTGACCCTTTGAGGCGCTGGGTTCACTACACCAAACTTTGTAGCAAGACTCGCAATTGTGAGTTTCGAGCGCCCATTCAATGAGATCACTGCCATTAGCGACGCCGCTGACTTGTCCTCTGCCGGTTCCCTCGTCACTTGCCAGTCAAAATCAAATCGTCAGCCAATCCGGACCTTTTCGCTCCTTTCAAAGGCAGGGCCATCTGCGGTGATGACGAACGCTTAAAGCGAGGCAAGCCCTTTGCAGATGTCTTCCTCCTTGCCGCGAGAGAAGGACTTGGTGAGCCCTCAAAGTGGCAACCCATCGTACGGGAGCCCGGGCCAGAGCATGATGGAACACTGAAGGGAGGAGAGGAGCAATTCTTGGTCTTCGAGGACGCGACTGTAAGTAGATGCCCAGATGAAGCTCTTCTGCCTAAGACCGGACAGCCTCTGACGAGATCTCATTCTGGTCTGATACCGCCAGGGAGGAGTGAAAGCCGCCAAAGCAGCTGGCATGCAGGTCGTCTGGGTGCCGGATCCGCAGGTGAGTTGTAATAGAGACGCGAGAGCGCCGACACGGACTTGACCTGACCGACGTTCAAATCCCTGCCCGATCAGCTGCGAGCCATTGCAGATGAGAAAGAGGTTGCTGCAACTCTAACAATCAATAGCCTAGAGGACTTCAGGCCCGAGCTATTTGGCCTGCCGCCTTTCGATAATTGATACCTTTCTAGATCATTTTTGTTACAATACAAGTACATAGACCTCGAACTTTGTAAGAAGGCACATCGCATCTAAGCAGCATCTATGACTCCTCCTACTTCCTCACTCTCGCCTCATCCCCACGCCAGAGTCACCTTCCTCTGCGATCCTTCGCGAATGTTCCGCTACGCCCTGCAACACCTGCGCAGCAATCTTGGCAAAGACTGGGAACGTCTTAGAGTCTCTGTATCTTTGTAGCAGCGTCCTTGAGAGCATTGTGCCAGCCGGCGTAGTAGTCTGCGCGAGGATAGCTCGCGTCTCCTCGTCTGCTGGTGCAGCTGCCGAAGTAGGGGCAGGAGTGGGTGGTAGCGGTTGCGTGACATCGACGTCAACTTCCATTGCAGCGACCGAAGCTTGTCTTGCAGGTCGCTGGTCAGTCTCTTTCCCATCATCGCCCCTTGCTGGTGCGCCTTCCTTGGCCCGCTTGATGGCTTCCTCCTTTGCATCGTCCAGCACCCTGACCAAACCGGGGTCGATCGGTATCCGTCCCAGGAACTTCAGTCCCTCTCGTGCAGCTAGCGCCTCGCCACCTCCCCTTCCCCAAACGTTTGTGCACTCTTCACAGTGAGGGCAGACGTACCCGCTCATATTCTCAATGAGACCCACGAGTGGCAAACCTACTTTGCGGGTAAAGTCGAGGGAGCGCAGGTTGTCTGCCAGAGACACAGCCTGGGGAGTCGTTACCAAGACGGCTGTAGGGGAAAAGGGCCGTAGATACTCGAGTAGAGAGATGTGTTCGTCGGATGTACCTACGAAGAGCGGCAAGCGTGTCGGGAGAAAAATCAGTCATGATCCTGGCGCACATCAGACTAAGACCACTCACCAGGAGGCGTGTCGATGATCAGATAGTCTAATTCTCCCCACCGGACATCGCCAAGGAACTGCTTGATCATGGCGTTCTTCTTTGGTCCTCTCCAGACCACACTCTCATTCCTCGACTTCAGTAGAAATCCGACCGACATGACCGCAAGGCGTTGCTCTCGATCCGCATACACCGGGACCCACCCATCGGAGGACTGAAGGATCTGCTGACCGTCCAGCCCTAGCATACGGGGTATTGAAGGACCCGTGAGGTCTACATCAAGGATACCGACTTTGGGGAGCGCGGTAGAAGTGGAAGAAGAGGTGGCCGAAGGTGGCATTCCAGTCTCGGAGATAGAGAGGGCAAGCTGAGCAGCCACTGAGCTCTTGCCTACACCTCCTTTCCCTGACAAAACAATGATGATATTCTTGACGCGTCCATTGCCTAGACGGCGGACGATCTTGGGGTCCGGACCCTGCTGAGAGGCCGACATGACTTGTGTGCGAACTTGAATGATGCGATGGTAGAAGCAATGATGGGTAGCGGAGAGAAATTCCTTGGGCGAGCAAGCTTCTCCTTGAAGCCGAGAGTGGAGCGGAAGGAGCTCTTTCCGCTTCCGCTCCTACGCTTGTCAGCCGGACCCCTGTACCTCTCACTCAACCTCTCTGCAAGCATGGAATCTCGCCGCCGATCAGCTCGGCTGACGGCAGTCAAACTTGAGGTGGAAGCAGAGGCAGGGAAATCCCTCGCTGCAATAAGCCCTGTGAAGGTCGAGCAGGAGGCTAGCGTCAAGCCAGCGGCGAAGAGGAAGAGGGTCAAGACAGAGGCTGTCGGAGATGAGAGCAAGCCAAAGGCAGGCCAAGCTTCGCAAGCAACAGTCAAGCCTCGACGCAAGAAAGTCAAAGCTGAGGATGGGCCAGAACCAACGCAAGAAGAGAAGAAGGTAGTTCGCAAGCGAGCAGTCAAGAAGGGAGCAGAGCCGCTGATGGATCCGACGAATACCGAAGCTGAGATGTACGCCTTCGAAGGAAACGAATGGTGGGTAGGCGCCCACATGTCAGTAGCAGGCGGGGTAGAAAATTCGGTCTCGAACGCTAGACTATACGGCTGCCAGGCCTGGGCTCTCTTCCTGCGGCCGAAGATGCAGTGGGAGTGCAAACCTATCCGTGAAGACAACATACGTCTCTTTGCAGAACGGCTGCCTCTGTACAAGTACGACACGAAGAGGTGTCTCCCTCATGCAAGCTACCTCATTAACCTCGGCAACCCTGATAAAGAGAAAAGGGCCAAGAGTCTAGATGCATTCTTGGACGAGCTGCGTCGGTGTGCTCTGCTGAAGATCGGACTGTACAATTTCCACCCTGGCGTGAGTGAGCGAGCGAGCGAAAGTGCAGCTGGGGCCGTCTGGCCACAATGCGATACTAATTTGGAAGCGAGCGCTCTTTCCATCTGGTACAGAGCGGAGTGGGTGAGATCTCCAAGGAGGAGGCCTGCACGAATATAGCAATGAGCATCAATGCAGCTCATGCAAGCCTCCTCGCAGAGGGTCTGAATTGCCCGATCATATTGCTTGAGAACATGGCAGGACAAGGAAAGCAGGTCGGTGGACGATTCGAAGAGCTAGCACTCGTCATCGGTGAGCAGTGGTTTGCTGATAAGTGATGCAGCAGAGATGAACTAAGCTGACCCTGACACCTGACATTGCTGCGCTGGTCAACCTCCAGAGCAAGTGCATGACAAGACAAGAGTTGGCGTATGCCTCGACACCGCTCATGCCTTTGCCTCTGGCTTCGACATCCGCACGAAAGAGGGGTTTGAGAGCATGATGAGCGATTTTGACAGGTGTATTGGTATACAGTACCTTAAGGTGAGAAGCAACTCAGAGCAAATTTGGGCCATGCTATATGTTACTGAACACCCTCTCTTGATTGGCACCTGCAAGGGAGTGCACATGAATGACTCCCTGACCCCTCTAGCCTCGAACAAGGATCGTCACGCCAACATCGGAAGCGGAGAGATCGGCCTGCCAGCTTTCCACTGCATCATGAACGACGCCCGTTTCAAGGGGATCCCCCTCGTTCTGGAGACGCCTGCTGCGTCCTGGAAGATATGGCAAGGCGAAATTCAGGCTTTATACGCGTTACAGGGACTGCCACACCGGCAGGATGCTTGGACTCATGTGGCTGAGAAGCTAGCGGAGCTGCGCAAGCTCGAAAAGGAGATGGAGAAGTCCAATTCGCTTGCAGACGGGAGCAAGGCCGCCAAAAGAGCAGCTGAAGGGAAGCCCCCACTAGTCAAGAGGAAGCGTCAGACGAAGACGAAAGGGGAGCGGAAGGTGAACACTCAAGACGGAAGCGAGGCCATGGATCGGCGGGGCTCAGAGACCCTGGGAAGCAAGTAGCGCCAAGCTTCGAGGATGGCACGTCCCCACGTGACACTTTGTTGTGTCACCACTTCAAAGCACCCTTGAGCGGATGAGCCGTGGCTATCTTGCGTCAGCGCTGCAACCCACGCAGAACAAGGTGATCCTGGGCTGCTCACCGTCTCGAGCACTCGGCACTTTCGGGGCAAGCTTCTTGCCGCTTCATGCACAGGGTCTTTCAGACGAAGGACCTTCAGGCAGTACTCCGCTTCTGGGCCACCACTGCCCCGCCGGCGACTTGTTCTTTGACACACTCCGCCGGCCGACATGCACGTCACAGAGGCGGTGTGCCGCGGGGCGGGGTAAGTGACGCAAGGCCTCGTCTCCTCATATAACCCATCCGCTCTTACGCTCGTACTCGTGTAAGAAGCTCGTCTTCTCTCGATCCCGTTCATCTCTTCCATATTCCATACCAGCCTCTTCGTCTTCTCTTCATTTCCCTTTCGACAGCACTCGCTCTCCTTTGTCTTACTCTATCGTATTTCCTTCCTCCTTCCGCTCTCATGAAGGTCACTGTCGCTTCCGTCTTGGCCGCCACCGCGGGAGTGGCAACTTTTGCTGGGCCAACTTCCGCGTTCGTGCTACCGTCCGGAGCTCGTGGTTTTCCCAAGCTTCCTGAGAAGGTAGACTTCGCTTCCAAGCGCGATGCAGGCTCGCTGCGCTTGCCACTTACTCATCACCGAAGATTCAACATTGATAGCCCCGATGGAGTCTTGAAGTTCGCTCAGCGCCAAAAGGGTTATGTCGAGCACAAGTACGGCGCTAGGAGCGGGGATGTCACCAAGAGACAGCAGGCAGCGCTCACCGACGTTGGACCAGACTCGTGAGTGGCGATTGACCAGCCGATTCGTGATTTGTGCATCGGCGGCTGATTCTGTGTCCTCCCTTCCAGCTTCTATGTAGCTGAAGTTCCGGTAGGGACACCCGCTCAGACCTTCGACCTTGTACTGGACACCGGGTCCAGTGACATGTGGATCGCCTCTTCGGCTTGCACACAGACTGTGTGTCAGCAGGTGACTCTCTACAACGCGGCAGATTCCTCAACTAATGTCGCATCGCAGACACCATTCTCTATTCAATATGGAAGCGGTTCAGTCACGGGAACCCTGTTTGCGGATACGATGTCTCTCGGCGGTCACACAGTGTACAACGCTACTATGGCCGCTGTGACAGATGTGGAAAGCGGCGCCATCAATTCGCCAGCTTCCGGCATCATAGGAATGGGGTTCCAGCAGCTGGCAACATCCGGCGCCACACCGTTCTGGGAGGTGCTTGCGAAGAGCAACGTCTTGTCCGTGCCTGCCTTCACCTTCCAGCTGGCCAGAAATCAGGACGTCTCTACTGCTACCACTCAGTCAGCGGGGGGGATCTTCACCCTGGGTGAGATCGACAGCTCACAGTACACCGGCGATATCACCTACATTGATATCCCCTCAACCACAATCGGCGACAGAGGCTACTGGGCCATTTACATGGACAGTATTACCGTCGCCGGAAAGGTCGTATCCACAGCAAACCAATACGCAGCCATTGATACAGGAACAACGCTCATTGCGGGTAACCCCGATGCTGTTGCAAGCATCTATGCTGCCGTCCCCGGCGCTCAGACTGTTACACAGAACGGTCAGGACACGGGCTACTATGCGTATCCATGCACAACCACCGTCTCCATCAGCCTTTCCTTCGGTGGAAAAGATTTCACTATGAACTCGGCCGACTTCAACGGTGGAGCGCTTGGATCTGGCTACTGTCTCGGCGCCATCTTCGAGATCGACCTTTCCACAACTGGTCTCGACTGGGTCGTCGGCGATGCTTTCTTGAAGAACGTCTTCTCTGTCTTTGAATTCGAGCCCGCCCGAGTCGGTTTCGCAAGTCTAGTTGGCGGCACCGCCCAGGAAGTGGCTGCGATTGAGACTGGCGCAGCGGCCGCTACTGGCTCTGCGACCCCTGCCGCTGACGTTGGCACCTCGACCGTTGTGCTTCCTACGGCCTCCGGTGCTGCCAGCTCCGCTGGCATCGTCGGAGGCTCTGGTCTCCCTACGCCTGTGGCATCGAGCGGTACGGCAGCAGCTGTAGCTTCGTCTCCTTCTTCCGTTGCTTCGACGACAGCGCCAGCAGCGGCAGATACAGTTGCCGTGACATCGATTGTATCAGCGAGCACGATCGCCTTGTCCTCAGCAGGCGGAGAAAGCACAATCATCGCAGCATCGACTCCAGCACGCACCTCGACTGCCGCTGCAAGTACTGGCGCAAGCTCGAGCAGCTCATCTGCCTCAAGCATCTCGAATGCAGGCTTTGGTGTTCTATTCTCCTGCGTCTGTGCCATTGCTGCTGGCGCGTTCCTTGCAGTCTAGGCAGGCTTCGATCCTGCGCCCAGCATCGTCCATACCTTGCCCACAAAATACCTCATACCGTATTCTTGCGTTGTTCCTGCCTGTACATAGCTATCTATGCAGTAAAGCACCTCTGTACCTTACCCCAATCAATACGACTCGACATTCCTCCATCGCGCGCGTAAATCATCTGTAGCCGGCATAGCTCCTAGCAAGCGGCGGCGGAGGGAGCAGGAGGGTGCAAGGGCACATTCCGCTTCCTTACATTCAGGGGGCGATACCAACGATGTCAGGCCGTGCCCTGAAAAGAAGAAACGATTCGATGCGCTGGGGCCTCGGTCCTGCGCTTTGACATGGTCCCTCTCATGCGGCACTAGAACGAGCCGGCCATGCTGCAGGAATTCGTCGACTGGGGGATGGAAGCTGCTGTCTCGAGCCATGTCCGTACCTTCTTGCTTTCCTAGGCATCACAAACCCTCACATCTTCCTATCTACCCACACTCTTTTCTCCCACATCGTCCCACGCCTTGCCGTCGATTACGATCGGGCCAAGGTCAGGATGTACTTCGACCATGGCGCCGTTCCTCTTATTCTGCCGGACTTCTCCCAGGCGGCTGCGCCAACGGGCGAGCTGCGGGCTCACATGAGGAGCTTCTTCTACCTCAAGCTCTCCAAGTCCTACTTGTACCAGATGTACCTCGTCACCGGCATCATCAGCTGTCTCGTCATCATGGGCGCTGCAGTGGGTATTTGGCGTCTTTGGGAAGGCTCTCTTTGGGTCTTTCGTATCCAGCCAGCTTCACGCTCCAACTACTCTTTGATTGTGCCCAACACTGTCATGTCCTTTGTGCTCATCGAGGCTTGCTTCGGCATAGTCTTCATCATATACATCTGGTGTCAGATCGAGGCATTTGAGAAGGGATACGACATGGCGGGGCAGGGCCCATGGCTTCTTATTGTCTGGCAGCTACTCTTTGCAGGTGCCTGGTATGGCTCCGTTGGCACCTTCTATGCCTCGCCAGGAGTTCTATCGCGGAGGCACCTACCGCCCGGTCGCTTTGACATCGCCAAGCTCATTCCGGGACCAGGCATTTGCAACCTCTTCTGCGTCGGCATGCCTTTCTTTGTCATCATCTCCACTGGCGTCGTCGCTGTTATCCTTGGTCAGCACTGGCATGACACCTTGCGCGAATGGGAGGCTCTAGACAAGGCACTGTCCCATTTCAAATCCTCAGATGCTATACCTGCAGGAGCCCTGGAGGCTGCGCTGCAAGTTTGGGAGCATTGGAGTCTGACATGGTGGTACGTCCGTGTGGGCTACTTCATCTGGTTTATTTGGGCCAGTCTCCTCTTCCTCTTCTACCTTCCTGCTGGCGCCAAGCTCGCTCTTACGCTCAAGAAGCAATTCGAGGAATCTCGTCGAGCTGAGCGTGATCTGCAGATGACGCTGCAGCGGCGAAGAAAGGAGCGCGAGCAAAAGAAACAGCAGCAGTCACCTGCGGGTGATGCTCCTGTATGGAACGATGCTCCCGAAGACGACGAAGGCCACTCAGCAACGACCCGAAGACGTGACAGAGAAGCCCTGGCGGAAGCTAGGCGGGCAGCAGAGTCTACATTTTACCCACCTATCAAGGCTACAAGAACGAATATCGACAGCAGTCAGGCTGGGCCAGCTGTGCCTGTCCTACGCAAGAGTGAGTATGCGAAGAATAAGAGAAAGCTGCTGATTCTGTTCTGACCCTGACCATCCTCGTATGACATGGGACAGGTCTGATCAACATCATCGTCATGTGGAGCTCGATTTCCTCTGCAGTCGCTTCTTATGCCGTCCTCTGCGCATGGATCAGCATCAACATGTATAGGTCTTCCTTGCAGGGCCCTCGAGAGCTCGCAGAGTCCTACATGATCTACAATCTGGTCGCTGCCTGGCTCGCCTGCTGCTTCGGTGGCCTCAACTTTGTCGTGAGTATGAGGCAGATGATCTGTCTCAGGTGACGTGCGGGTTGACGCAGACACCTGACGGATCCACTCCTGCGCTTCGTAGTGGATCACCTCTCGTACTTTCGAGCCTGTCATTGAAGGACTGCAGTACAAGCATGGCAGAACCAGTGAGGTGGTCAAGAGCATCACGACCTTTTTCTCCTCGAGCAAGAATCAGGATCACCCTGATTTCGCTACCGGCACGCGTACGGGACGATTCCGCAGAGGGAGACAGAGTATGGGTGAGGCGCTAACAGCCGCAAGTCACGAGGAGTCCCATCTTCGAGAGACTCCTGATGTTGGTGAGTAGCCACACGGTGGCTGCGAGACATTCCTGCTTCTTGTCCTTCGATGTGACTCTCTCATTGCTGTTTCTTGCCGCAACCTGATACAGAAGACCTAGCTGCGAACGGAGTCGCGCGGACGCACGACATGGCGATCGATCCTTCAGCTGCTTCAGAGTCTTACGAGCAACCACTGCAGTCTCCCTTCGGTACAAGCCATGTCAGAAAGGGCAGCATGGGAAGCCGAACCACTCGAGACGAAGAAGAGGCGGCTCCATTCCAGCTAGACCCTGCCACACACGTCCCGACCTACCCTGAACCATCGCACCATCGTGACACTGCTGTACGAGGCGGCGAAAGAACTCAAGGGGAACTCCGACCCAAGGCAAGCGACGTATCCTACAACACCACCTCACCTCGATCTTGCCTCAGGCAGGCAAGGGACAGTGATGAAGACTCTCTCGAGCCTCCCTCCAGGTCGCCAGTACAGATCCACATCGAGTCTCCTCCGCCTAGTCCGCACCGTCCAAGTCGAGGGACGATGCAGCAACAGCAGCAGAATCTTTCGCCTGCTGAAAAAGGTGCAAAGTCTCGGCCCAGTGGCAGACGACCAGTGGCTCGATTCGATGACCAGGTTCACACTTTCCATCGTGATGATGAGCTCTAGATTTCCCGCTCGAACTCTGCTTGTTTTTATCAGATCATTCGCTCCATCTGCTGTCAATGTCATTCATCCTTGTCTGTATCTCAATAAGATTATACATGACTTGAACATATACACGTCATATGTGGGAAGAGGGCCTGCCCTCCAGGTGCCAAAGACCGGTGATGAGAGTCCGACGAGACAGGTCTGAGCCGTGTGAGTAGTCAGAGAGTATATATGAAGATCGAGCAGACGCAGTCAGCCTCCAGTGCTCAAGCATAGGCCGCAGTGAACCACGAGATCGAATCTGCGTCATCCTCCAAAGAGACGCGTCCTTCCGACTGCAATGGTAGACCGTCCTCTCCGAAGCGGGGAGGATCCGAAAGATCCAGCGAAGGCAATGCCCATCGTGTGTCCGGCGCGGCTTCCGCGATATCCTCGCTCTGCTCCTGGTACTCTGCAGCATCATGTGCAGCTGTGCCGGAGAATGGATAGCTGCCTGTGGGTGTTGTGTTCTTTTCCTCCTCTTCCTCCTCGCCGTCATTGCGGTATCTCGACATGAGAACATCGTCCGAAGAATGCATAGATCCCCGAGGTTGAGGTTGAGGCATCGTGTTGACCCTGGTGATCGTCTTCGCTCTCGAGAGACCAATCGGAGAGGAGATGACCATGGGCGTAGGCTCGAGAGACTCGCGGTAGTCAGTACTTGATGAGTCTTTGCCCTTGCCCTTCCGCCACGCTTGACGCAGCTTCTTCATTGCACTCCCCTGTGTACTTCCTTCTACAGGGCCAGCACTGAAGAGAGCCAGATTGGCAGCTTGTTGATGCTCTTTTCGGCCAGGCAAGACTGTGCTTGAGGGGTATTGCGGGAGATCGATGTACGACTTGCTTGCTCTTAGCATCGAAGAGGAGGAAGAAGAAGAGGAAGCAGTAGTGGTCCGCACAGGGTTTCTCTTCCGATGCGCAGCGCTATCAGGGCTCCAGCTAGGATCTCTTCCTGTGGGTGTCCTGTCGCCGGAATACCCCTCTGAGCTTAGGTGGCCAACTCTTGACCCGCCTGGGCTCGGTCCAGGTCGATGGCGCCCGGAGTGCAAATCATTTTGCGTCGTCTGTGGTCCAGCATCAAGACCAAGAAGTTTCAACGCTTTTGCCGAAGGCGCGGCGAATGGAGCTACCACATCTGCATCGTCCTCGTCTGACGAGTCATTTCCAGACGAAGTGTCCCGAAGATCGGGGCTGTACACACGATCTCGGCTTTGACCTGATTTGGATGGGACAGCAGGATGTGCAGAAGACCCAGGTGCCGCCCACGAGTCTGGAGCTACCCAGGTGTCAGAAGCGGTCTGCGGCCTGATCACCTGAGCTGGCGATCCTCCTCGTGGAGCAGCAGGGCCGCTTGCCTGCCTCGAAGGTGAAGCACTGGAGCCCCAGCCGGGCATGCCTACTCTCGACGCGAGACTGCCTTTGCGACCCAGAAGAGGTGTGCCAGCTGCAGGACTCTGGCCCCGAGGATTGGTCAACTGAGTACCGAGCTTATCCAGTGGCGAAGTAAGCTCCTTGAACGTGCTCAGCACATCTTGTAGCGATGGACGCTTGCTGTGTGTATCGGTACGCTCTCTCTTCTTCTCTGCTGCCTGTGAGAAATTGACATTCTTCGGTGGCAGTGGAGCAGATCTCTCCGACTTGTGCGGGGTTGCAGAAGCACTTGCCACCGTGTTGCTACTGGCAAGTGTTCGTAGCAGATGAGTTCGCTGGACTATGATGTGATTCCGACTCGAACTTCCTTCACTCTCAATGCTTGAGGCGAAGGTGCTCCTGCTCTCGCGCAGTCTCTGTTGATACGGCATCCTCTCATCATCAGACTCGATCTGTCGGCGGCTGTCAGGAGTCACAGTGACTGTAGAGGGCATAGGAGGAGGAGACTCGTTCGGGAAATCAGAGGTATGGGCAGGTGCGCTGCGGAGGGAACGACTGGATGTTGCGGCCAAGGCAGCACGCCTCTTTTGAACCCTAGCCTCCGCCAGCTTCTTGGCTCCCTCGATTGCTGAAGCTGCATCTAGTTTTTTGGGTGGTGGAAGGAAGTCGTGACCACACTTGGGGCAACAGACTCCCAATGCGCTCCGCAAAGCCGACTTTGGCTCCGAACGTGCGTCTGGGACAGAGAGGCTGGACCCTGGATCTGCCGCTGCAACAGTGTCGATACGGAGATCCGGGCGGCGACTTTTTCGGCTCGCCTCCTTGTTGACTACATGTGAGGACGAGCTCTGCCTTTGATCAGTTGATTGGATAGCTTCGTCTGGTATCGCCTGTACGCAGGCTTCCGCATACTTCTTTGCAGGCGAACGCGGGACGAGGAATTCCGGTCGGGCAGGCGAAGGCGTTCCCAAGAACCGCATCATGACATCCGGACTGGACACGGTCCCCTTCTTGGCAGTTTGAACGGTGACGTGAGGAGTGCTTAAGAGCCCACTTTGCGTCTTACTGTCGATGAGATTCTCTTCATACCAGCCTTCGCTATACTCAGAGTCAGCCAACGACATCATTGTCTCGCGATGGCCTCTACCATTCGATCTTGGTGGAGTCTTGACCTCTTCGAACCGACCAGCCGACCGGCTGCTCCGACGGCTTGAAGGCACTGGTCGGTTGAGGATAGTACTGGCACTACTAGCACTTCGACCTTTCTCAATCAAGGGAGGTTTGGAGGAAATTGCAATGCTGAAGATGGGATGCGAGCGACGCCAGCTACTGCCGGAACCTCTCCGGGACGCAACGTCTGCCACTTGCGGCAGGACGAGACTTCTGGAGGGTACAGCTTTCTCTCTTCGTTCTATGGGGAAGATGCTTGAGTCGCGGTGCGAAGTCACTGATGAGGCCTCCCACACACTGGTGGGCTGGGTGTCCGAGTTCCCCTCAATGCTCGGTAGAGGTGTGGCTGCCGCGGAGCCACGATCCGAGCCAACCCAGAAACGCTGCTCTTCATCGCTGTCAATGTCATGAGCGCTTGTAGCTTCTTGTCCGTCGGCAGCAACACGTTCAAGAGTAGTCGAGCCAGCCCTGCCTCCAGCCATAGCTTCTGAGGCCGTGTCTGAGCCAAAGCTACGTTGTGTGAAGCTCGCTGAAGACATCGAGCCCATCCTCGCAACCATGGAACAGTCGTCGCCATCGCCTTTGCCTTCGGTGCCTTCCGTAGTAGCGCTTCGAGGAAACACATCATTCTCGTGGTCATCGTCGAAGCCATGGCGGGCGTAGTCGGCGGAAGTTGTGACCTTGAGATGTGCGATCAAAGCTCGATCAAGCTCATCGACGAGCTCATCCTCGCTGCTGTCTTTCACATCGTTCTGCCGGGGAGGGCATGTCACTTCCAAGGTACATCTTGTCTCTTGTGAACGCCTCCCGGTGCTACTCTGAGGTCGGGGACCAGAGACCCTGCGAGGCGGTGCACTAAGCGCATGCTCTTCTGTGGAAGGGCGATGCTGAGCAATTTGTTTTCGAGAGTCGGAGCTACTTTGCTGAGTGATGAATTGCGTTTGCCCTCCAGGCGAAAAGAGCAGTCCTGCCTTTTGAGTTTCTTGCGCTTCCAGCCAGTTGACGATACTATTGGATGCTGTCGCCAGTAGTGTTTGCTCGCAATCTCTTCTCGAAGCATGGTACAGCTTGTCTGTCCGTTCCATGAAGGCGTGCTCCCCCTCATGCGTAATGCTTGTAGGCGAAAGCATCGTGTAATTCGCCTGCTGTGCATTTGCCTCTGCAGCGGCGGCAAATGTGGGCAAGCTTGGCGATGGTCGATCACTGACCCAGCTTGGCCCACTCTTCGATACGATAAAGATGCCAGCGCCCACCATCTTCCTGTCACCTGCCGAGGAAGAGGTGCCCTGTCGACGTGCCCGAAGGGATTCGCCGCTGCCTCGTGGCGCACCAAAGGATCCTGCCGGTGTGTTCCCTCTGTTTGTTCCCAGCTCGGAAGATCCATGGCTGTGTGTGGTAGGCGTCGAAGGTAGGGAAGCTTCCTGCCGGTATGGGTCTCGAAGGTGAGGAGGACTTGGCTGGGAATACACAGGGGCTGAAGCGTTATCAACGGAGGGCGCGCGCGAGTGCTTGTCAGGCGTAGGCGGGAAGATGGCGGTATTGCGCCAGACGGTGGTGCCATGGCCTATCTGGAGGTCACCATCCGACCCTGAGTGGTCAGGAGAGACATTTTTGCTGCTTTGCTCTGTGTCGCCTCCTACTTGCGTAGTCCAGTGCTCGACAGTGGTCCCATTGTTTCCGTCTTGGGACCACAAAGAGTAGTCCATAGTCTTTGCCAGTCGGCGGCTCTGAGAGAAAGAAGGCGAGTACGCAGATTCGAGGAAGATCACGTCAGGAATGGGAGGTAGCTCATCTGTTCAGAAGGTCAAGATGGGATCAGCAAGGGTCACAGCCACGCAGAGGCTCCAGAAGCGAAACAAGGCACGCAATTATCATCGTCTGTGGGCTCTTCCTCCTCCTTTGCTCGCTACTTTGGTACCTCAATCGTGTCGCGGCTGCTCCGTTGCCTCTGCTTACATTGCCTCGATCGCTTGCTCCGTCATCCAGGTACATGGCAATGTAAAGAGACTTGGCGCCGAGGACCAAAGAGCAGCAGGCAAGGAGGCAATGTATCACTTTTCACGCGTCTTGCTAGCTGATGCTCTGCGCTCCCACAGCTGCGTAGCGCTCCTGCGGAGAGCGGGTAGAAAGTGCCGCTGCTTGTGCCTGCCTTGGATCGGCGGCGAAAGCATCTCACGGCAAGAAAAGTCCGGAGTCGAAGGATCTCACGGAAGGCAATGGCTCGATACAAGGTGACACATTTGTTGCATTGCGATACGACAGCCAATGTTCTAGGCGGACGGTCCCTCATGGTTGACCCGCGGTAGGAGGCCCCACCTCCCTCTTGACCTCATTTGAGAGAGGCAATCGATGGGCAAAGTTCGACTGCATACCCCCAAGCTCCGCATTCCCGGACCCCGAAGCAACGATGTTCATCTCGGAATCAACGTCCTTCCCATGGTGGCCTTCATGTACGCCCCTCGAATCCGGCGAATTATCGAAAGCCTTCGGACCTAGTGGAACCTTCGTTGGAGAGGGAAGCGTGTTGGGTGCTGATGGTCCCATTGCCGGAGATGCAGAGGGGGGTCTGCCGCTTCCGTAGGCTGCTGCCACAATTCCAGCCCCTGGCGGGGGCAGAGGCGAGCGAGCACCATGAGGCCCCTGCAGCCCGCCACCAGAATGCGCCGGTGGCAAAGGCGGGAAGTGACGATTGCTTTCCTGCTCATCGCTATGTCTGCGAACGTTCATTTGTGGAGAGGCCGAAGGGTGTCGAATCTGATTCTGCGAATGCGAAGGCCGATGATGTGGGTACGATGAGGGTGACTGCCCCTGCTGATGACGGTGGGGCAGATGTGCCAGACCCCCTCGTGGACTCGGCAATTGGGGCTGAGGAGGTGATTGAGGCATCGCCGCATGCACGTTACGATGGGGCGAATGGGGAGGTGCGAGGGCTCGTTGCTGGTACTCTTGTTGTTCACGCTGTCCAGACGAGCTCGAGCTCGGGTACGCCAGCTGCTCCAGCTGTTGGGGATAAGGCCCCTCTCGATATTCCCGCTCGTCGTGATGTCTGTTGCCGCGCCCATTCGCGAAGGGCTTGGTGTCTCGCTCCCGCTCTCGTTGCTCCCTCTCGTCCCGAGCCCTTGCTCCAGAAGTAGCTTGTGGCTGAGGCTGATGGGAAGACGATGAACCCTGAGGATAAAGGTGACGTGACTCACGATCGTCTGGATGTCGACCATTGCCATTGTTGGCATGCATTCGACGACCAGGCGAAGGAGGAGCTTGTGGATAACGCTCGCCTTGCTGACGCTGCTGAGCGTGACCGGGGTGAGTGTTGTATGAGGCGGCATTCATCCTTTCTCGGTCCCTCTCCCTCTCTCTGTCCCTCTCTCGTTCCCGCTCCCTTTCTCTTGCCTGCTCCCTCTCCTTTTCTCTCTCCCTCTCGCGCATAAGCTCCCGCTCTCGCATGACCTCCCTTTCGCGCTCGCGCTCACGTTCGTATTGTTGTTGCTGCGCGATCTCATGCGGGGAGGGACCAGGAGGATAGCCTGCATGAGGATGATGATGACCGCCGTATGCCTGTTGCTGCTGTTGCTGATGGTACTGCTGCTCAGCATACATCTCTTCTTGGTACATGTTTAGCTCGGCCATTGTCATTGGTCTGCCGTTGGGATGCATAGGGGGACCGTAGCCCATGGCAGCTTCGTGCGCCCACGCCGGGTGCTGCGAGGAAGGACCGTCCATAGGCCCTACGTAGTAGCCAGCCATCTCAGCTTGCTGACGAGGGTCGAGCATCTGCGGATGCTGCTGTTGTGCTCGTTGCTGCTGTTGCTGGTGGGTGGGGGCTTGCTGCTGTGAGGGATGCTGGGGAGGCATCTGCTGTGCTTGCAGCACTGGCGTACCTCTCGCGTGCGTTCCTGTACCCATGGCTCCCATCCTGAGATCGGGCCGGAGTATGCCCATCCTCTCCAGATCTGACCATGCTTCGTAATCCTCTATGCCGCGCAGGTCAGGAAGAGCGATATGACTGCCAAGCTCGGCGAGGTCTTGTGCTTCGCGAGCAGCCCTCCTGCGTCCTACTACGCCAGGCTCTCGGTCGGCCTTGGCGGCTCGGGCCGCTGCGCGTGCAAGCTCTGGATCTCCAATGATCTCGGTCTCGAAGACTTGGTGTCGACGCGCCGGCCGAGGAGCGTCAAGGTTCCGCTTCTCGCGTTCCAGCTTCCTCCTCTTACGACTGAGCTCGTCCATCGAGTTACGCCTCAGATCAGCGACATCATGTCTCCAGGACTGCCAAGCAAGGCGTTCTTCGGTGGCAGCCATCTTTGCGAAGTGGCGTTGCTCCTCTTCCAGCCAGATCTCCACCATGCGGAGTCGATGCTGACGGCGAGCCTCAATGAGAGCCGTGAGGTGGATGAGCTCAGGGTGGGTACCTGCGCGGAAGCAAGGGGGAACATGGGACATTTGTGAGCGATGTTGTAGGATTGCAGCCACTCTCAATCATGCCGACTCACCATCCAGAACCATTTCGCCTTCCTTCGAGACCTCTTCGATTCTCTCCGCATAGAGCCGATCTCTCAACATTGCGAATCCCAGCTCAATCTTGGTGAGAGCATCCAGAGCCTCCGTCCGGCGAAGGGCCGCTTCGTCAGTTGCCGCTTCATCTTCCAGCTCTGGAGCATCTGGCAAGGGCGTACCTGCTGCTGCTTTGCCAGAAGGACTAGCAGGTCCCTTGCTTGCTGCTCCCGAGATGGTTCCTTCTGCTTCAACCGGAGCTTCGGCCATCTCTTCGTCTACATCTCCGTCCGCATCTGCCTCTCCTGCTTTCTCCTCTCCTTCTTCTTCTTCTTCCTCGTCTTCATCGCCCTCTTCAACGCCATCTGCGTCAACACTTGGCTGCCTTGACGTCGCAGGCTCGGAGTCGTTCGAAGTGGGGTCCAAGAGGATCTGAGGGCCGAGGAGTGAGTGCTTGCGGCTCTTGAGCGTAGCATTGGCGGCTTGCGTGGCAGCAGGTAGTGACCCAGGGCGATCTTCGGCTTCCGCGTCCTCTTCGTCGTCGCCTTGAGGTACAACATCGACATTGGTCGCACCTCCAGCGAGGGCAGCTAGACTACTCGCAGCATCCTCATCGTCTTGCTGCTCTTCCGGATCCGCGAGGACAATGCGATCGCGCTCTTGACGCGAGCGTCTTCCGCGAGCAGCGGAAGCTTGGGGAGCATTGTCGGTCTGTGCTTCTTCGTCGTCGTCCTCAGCTTCCTCTTCGTCTTCCTCGTCTTCGTCATCGTCTTCGCCGAGAGCATCCGAGGAGTCTCCTTCGTTGTCATCTTCTTGATCTTCGCCTTCATCGCTGGAGCCTTCGCCGTCTTCAGAGCCACCCTCGTCGGGCACATCTGAGAGCTCGCTTTCGTCGCTCAGGCCATCGGTGCCAGCAGTCTTTGAGGGAGACACATTGGCCGCAGGAACACTTTCGGTTGCGAAGTCTCCCAGACCTGCCAATGTTGCAGCGGCATCGTCGAGGGAGTCGGGGCCTGCGGAATCAGCCATGCTTGCTGTGTTCCGTGATGGGACCTTGAGCTTGAGAGTACTTTTGTGCAGCGCAGGTGGGTCTGCAGCAGCGGGTGTCTCCTCTTCTTCGTCGTCGACTTCACCCTCTGCGTCTTCGTCGTCGGAGAAGGCTAGCGGCTCTGTTTCGGCGTCAGATGTCGCTGCTGCTGCTGATGTTGCTTCGATGGGAGCTGTCTTGGAGGCTGCAGCCGCCTGGCTCGTTCGCATCTCTCAGGTAGGAGGTGGCGTCGACACCCTTCGCCGGATCGAGTGAGATCGCGGGGGCAGGTAGATTCGGTGTAGGCTGGTTCCACAATGTAGTTGCAGAGAAGATGTCGGAGGATAGTCTCGGAGGGGGATAGCTAGATGGAACGAGCTGCTACACGGCCTCTACGATGGCAGTGCCGCCGGAGCAAACAGCCGAGGGTTCAAGAAGGGGGAGGGACACGAAAGAAAGGGGTGATGGTTTGAGACGAAGAGGGAATGTACGATGGGCAAGGCTTGGATGAGCGGGAGGCCTGTCATCGGGAGTAGGAGCCAAAGCAGGCGGCTTCCCTGCTTCCTGGTCCTCTGTGCGAGCGAGCCACGCACCTGTCACACACACGGAAAGCGGGGTGGCTGGTGGGCGCTCCTCGTCGCGCGCGCTGTCTCTCTCCCTCCCTCTCTCTCCCTTCCTCGCTTCCGTTCCGAGCTGCACCCTTTCGTCTGCCCGCCCGCCCGCCCGCTCGCTGCACGCAGACGCAGACACGCACAGGTGGAGCAGCGATGAGGTCACACGAGTGGAAGGGAAGGTCCTGGTTTTCAGGCTTTGCGAGATCGAGTAGAATACATAAGAGACGGCGGGTAGATCACTCTTTACCTGCGCTTCCAACAACTCATCACCGTTTCATTTTTGTCCTTCATACGTGAGTGTCGCAGTTGAAACAGCTCACGATTGATCTAGTGCACGCCAACTCACATTCCTACGTAACCCTCCACTCCCTTCCGCAGACCCATCACCCTCCATATCTATTCATCATGTCTGAAGCATACGCCGGCAAGTCAAACGAGCAAATTATCAATGAGCAGGCTGCCTCTCTCGACAGCAAGTCCTCTTCTTCGACCTCAGACTCCTTCCAGCCCCGCACAACCGTCACCTCTGAAGAGTCTGGCGTAAACGAGTCCGGTCTTGGCGAGTTCCCTGGTGCAGAGGTGCACGTCGGCCGTACAGGAGCTACTGGTGGAGGTACAAGCGCACAGAACATCCCACCCGAAGAGGGAGGACAGGACTCGACGGGTGGTGAGAGTTCGGCGCGATTCGAGGGACTGGGTGGACCGGAGGACAAGAAGGCACAGACTCTTGCCGATGCACCGGGATCATACGATGCTAACCCTAGGGGCATTGATGAAACCTTTGACCGATCGAAGAAGGAGCCTGTGCCCATGACCGAGGGACAGCAGCTGGAGCCCGATCAGGAGGAGACCGCACGACTCAACCCGTAGAGAGCAAAGCGTTAATGGAAAGGAAATGCGAATTGTACGAGGATTCTCTCTTGTAGACGCTTAGGCAATCAATGGATCTCAGTACCTCTCCATACATGATAGTGATGTCTGTTAGTGTCAGATTTGCTCTCAGCACCAATGAGAGGCTCCAGAATTGAGGAAGAGGCAAAGCAGATGTGTATTCTATGACGGAACCGTGCAAACCTCTCCACAGGTCAGGCCACATCCCTCGATACCGCTGCGCTCTTCTACACCTCTGTGGACCGCCCTCAGTAGGCAGAGTTGTGCACAGTCTGAGCTCTGCCCGAAGGGTCTGAAGCGCAGCCCCAGTCACCACGGGGCACCCACCTGACGGCAGTACCAGCAGCAGCCTTCGAGGGGAAGTGCTTCTCAAAGATCTCGCGGATCCAGTAAGCCTCCTTTGTGTCAGGAGTAGCCTCAGGGAAACGCTCAGCAGCCTTGGCCATCTGCTCGTCGCTGACCACCTTGGCAGCTTCGTCCTTCATGCCGTCGATCCAGTTGTAACCCACACCGTCAGAGAATTGCTCCTTCTGCCTCCACAGAATCGACTCGGGCAAGTATGCCTTCTCATCACCCTCGGGAACCATGTCGAAGGCCTTCCTGAGAATGTACTTCTCCATGTGTGGGCGGCCATCGCCGTCCTTGGTCTGCATGCTGCCCTTGGAGAACTGCTTCTTCTCGGCATCAATGTCCATGCTAACGTCCAGGAAGGCCTTGTCCAGGAATGGCACACGAGCTTCGAGACCCCATGCCATCGTCGACTTGTTCGCCCTCAGGCAGTCGGCGGTGTGCAGGTTCTTCACCCTGCGGACACACTCCTGGTGGAAGGAGTCGGCGTCGGGAGCAGCGTGGAAGTAGAGGTAGCCACCGAAGATTTCGTCCGATCCCTCACCGGAAAGCACCATCTTGACTCCCATGGCCTTGATCTTCCTGGAGAGGAGGTACATAGGTGTCGAAGCTCGGACCGTCGTCACGTCGAAAGTCTCCAAGTGGTAAACCACATCAGAGATAGCATCGAGACCTTCTTGCACTGTGAAAGTGTGCTCGTGGTGGACAGTACCCAGGTACTGCGCGGCCTGACGAGCGGCGAGGAGATCGGGGGAGCCGGGAAGACCGACTGAGAAAGAGTGCAGGCGGGGCCAAGCGGCAAGAGTCTCCATTTCCTCCTTTGCCTCGTCATCGATACCAACGGGCATCGAATCACCGTTGGGGGTAGCAATCTCAGGAGGGATGCCGTTGACCTTTGCACGAGACGCCTTGCGTTGCTCCCAACGTTGCCTCTGTGCCTCAGCCACCTTGTTGGTTTCCCTGGCTGCAATGGTAGCGATTAGAGACGAGTCGAGACCACCTGACAGCAGTACTCCGTAAGGCACCTCGGACATGAGACGCTTGCGAACAGCCCTTTCCAAAGTCTCCCGGATGAGCTTGAGGTCAACAGGCTTCTTCGGCCGCTCACTGCCTTCAACATCTCCATCGAGCCATTGCGGGTTGTAGTAGCGGACAGTCTCCTCGCCCTCTGGTCGGGCGCTGTCGTAGTAGTGTCCGGGAGGGAAGCCCCGAATGGTGTCACATTCTTCGTGAAGCGACTTGAGCTCACTCGCGAAGTATAGAGCGCCAGGGTACTTGGAGGAAGAGCCCTGGTAGAAGGTGGTAATACCAATGGGGTCTCTTGCTGCAAGCACTCGAGTGGGTGTGACGGATGTGTCCAGGAGAATGAAGGAGAACATACCGTCCAGCATGTGAACAAAGTTGGCTCCGTGCTCCTTGTATAGGTGGAGGATGACCTCGCAGTCAGAGTGGGTCTTGAAAGTAGCCTCTTGGTCCTTGAGGTTCTTGCGCAGGATGCGGTGGTTGTAGATCTCTCCGTTGACTGCGAGGATGAGCTTGCCATCAGTGCTGACCAGGGGCTGAGCGCCAGTGTCTGAGTAGACGATAGCCAGATGTCACAGTGTCAGTCCGGCAGCTCTTCCAGATCGACATCACATTGCTCGGTCATGCTTGTCACTCACCTACACCAACGATGGCCAACCTCTCGTGGCAAAGGATGGACCCCTGTGTTCCCTCCTCCTGAGTCACCACGCATCCAGACCAATCTGGACCACGGTGACGAAGACACTTGGACATGTTGAGCATCTGGGGGCGGTATGCGGCCGCATTGGGGTGGTGAATACACCCAAGGATACCGCACATGATGGATGTAGCTTCTGCGAGCGAGGAGGGAAGGTGGTCGAGAAAAAGGTAGTCTGCGGTCTGAAGCGAAGGGCTAGAGAGCTCTGCTTCAGTGTGAGGTGTCTAGAATGACTGTGTTGGTAGCACAGGCGGTTTGTGAGGGGAGTAGAGGTGACTGCGAAGGACAAAGACGAGGGATGCAATGGGGCTACTGATATCGGCACGTCCGAGTCACTAGAAAAAGCGTCGCACCAAGGAGGCTTGCTCACTTCTTCCTCCGCCCCGTTCCTGCGCGCTGCTGCCACGCTCGCGTGGGTGAGACAAGGCCCCTTGGAGATCCTTGTACGCCTCGAGCAGTCCGAGTGGTGAGACAATTGCCTCTTCTCACCCGTCCAGAGACGGCAGAGACATTGTCACAGTGCCTTGCCAGCAGCTCCATACCTTGTGAGCCCTGACGAGTACCCAGCCCGGACATAAAGCGGTGGGACGGTACGGTTGCCCTGGACGGCGACCAAGCTCTCTCGCCCCGCCCGGTGCGTAGGGTCCGCCAGAATTCCGCTGCCGAGCGAAGGGCCGCCACGCGAGATGACTGGGAATCACCGCCCCCGGGAGGCAGCGCAAGGCACAAATCGCACCCGGCCGCCCTTGTCCCCTCACCCTGTGTCCCTCTGCTAAGCACCACCCCTACATCTACCATCTCCTCCACCAATCACCACCACCTCCGATCAGCACCTCCCTCGTATCTTCATCCTCTTCAGTGGCAGCACATCGGTGTCAATCAACGCACCGCTTTCCTCTCCCTCGCACGTCGTCTGCGCTGTCAACGGCGCATAAGTTGAGTGGGCCTCTCCTTTGTGGGCGACCAGGCACAGCCAGTCAGCCAGCCATCCCATTCCGAGTAGCCATTCCAATCATCGTCGGAACCCACGTCGTCGATCACAATGGTCAATGCTCGCAATCCCGGTCAGCTCTCGCGTAAAGTACGCATCAGCATCGTGGCGGCTGATGGTTTGGCAAAGCGCGACGTCTTTCGCTTGCCCGACCCCTTTGCCATTGTCACTGTTGATGGAGAGCAGACGCATACAACTTCGTGAGTGCGATTATTCGCATGTTGCAAGAGATATAGATTATCGTATTGACCAAGCATCTTTTCATTGGAACACATCTCAGTGTCATCAAGAAGACCTTAAACCCTTACTGGAACGACTCCTTTGATATGTGAGTGACAAGGAGTGATGCGCACCCCTCTGCTTCGTGCCACCGTATCGGTTCTCAATCAGTCCTCCCGACGCATCGGCCCATCCCTTGTTCCACCTGTCACAGAACCGTCTCCGACTCCTCTGTCATTGCAGTGCAAATCTTCGACCAAAAGAAGTTCAAGAAGAGGGATCAAGGCTTCTTGGGCGTCATCAACGTTCGTGTCGCAGATGTGATTGATCTTGAATTGGGCGGAAAGGGTGAGTACGGCTAGAGCACATTGACCTCTGACAACGTCCAATTTCTGACAAGGTGACTTTGCCCTGTACTTCGCGACTACAGTGCTCCTGACTCGAGAGCTCAAGAAGTCAAATGACAACCTCGTCGTGCACGGCAAGCTCATCATCGATCTCAATACCAACGTGTCCGCGCCTTTGCCCAATCGACCCGCGAACGCCCCCGCGGCATCGGAGGCCCCAGACGCTTCGGCTTCATCCTCATCTCTAGCGTCTGGCGCTCAGACTGGCTCGGCAGTACCTGCCAGTGCAGGTGCCCAGTCTTCAGACTCCACCGTAGCAGACGACAGCGTCTCCAGTCGAGCAGCAGCAGCTACTGGAGGCGCTGGCGCCGGGGCAGGAACTGCAGCTACTTCATCTGCATCCGGCCCAGCCACCGTTGCACGCAATGCCAGTGGCACCAGTGGCTCTGCGTCTCGTGCCAACGACGCGCGGTCGGATGAGCACGGTCCCCTGCCCACCGGCTGGGAACGTCGCACTGATCATCTCGGACGAACATACTACGTCGACCATAACTCCCGTTCCACAACCTGGAATCGTCCCACAGCTGCCACCAGTGCCAATCAGGCCGTAACAACGGCTGCCGACAGGCAGCGTCACAACAACCGAGCGTTGCCAGATGAGGTTCTTGGTGTGGAAGGCGGTCGAACAGTCAGTAGCAGCAACGTGGGCGGCTCATCGTCAGTCGGCACTCCGACTGGTACCTCTACCCCGAATGGTGGTGCAGGCGCTGGTGGAGCTGCTGCAAATCAGGCAATCCCCACTGGGCAAGCCACTACTGGCGCTGTAGGACCTCTGCCGTCGGGATGGGAACAGCGAAACACGCCAGAAGGGCGTCCCTACTTTGTCGACCACAATTCGCGCACCACCACCTGGGTCGATCCTCGTCGCCAGCAGATCCTGCGCATCATGGGCCCCAACGGCAACAACCTAACGGTACAGCCACAGAGTGTGTCTCAGCTGGGTCCTCTTCCCAGCGGATGGGAGATGCGCCTCACCTCGACTGCGCGGGTGTACTTTGTGGACCACAACACGAAGACGACCACATGGGACGACCCTCGTCTGCCCTCTTCCCTCGATCAGAATGTGCCTCAGTACAAGCGCGACTTCCGACGAAAGCTCATCTACTTCCGTTCGCAACCTGCGCTGCGTCCCATTCCTGGCCAGTGCCACATCAAGGTGCGACGTACGCACATCTTCGAGGACTCGTACGCGGAGATTATGCGTCAGCAGCCTGCTGACCTCAAGAAGCGTCTGATGATCAAGTTCGACGGAGAAGACGGTCTTGACTACGGAGGAGTCTCGCGAGAGTTCTTCTTCCTGTTGAGTCACGAGATGTTCAACCCCTTCTATTGTCTGTTCGAGTACTCGGCGCACGACAACTACACGCTGCAGATCAACCCCCACTCGGGTATCAATCCTGAGCATCTGAACTACTTCAAGTTCATTGGTCGAATCTTGGGTCTGGCCATCTTCCACCGACGCTTCTTGGATGCTTACTTCATCGTGTCTTTCTACAAGATGATCTTGAAGAAGAAGATTACCCTGTCCGACATGGAGTCGGTGGATGCAGACTACCACAGGTCGCTGCAATGGATTCTGGACAATCCAATCGAGGACGTTGTCGACGAGACATTCACTGCCGTCGAGGACAAGTTCGGTGAGATGGTCACCGTTGAGCTGAAGCCTGGAGGAGAAGAGATTCCAGTGACGGACAAGAACAAGGCCGACTATGTAGAGCTGATGACAGAGTGGAGAATCAGCAAGCGTGTCGAGGAGCAGTTCAAGGCGTTCCAGAGCGGTTTCACCGAGCTGATTCCTCAAGATCTGGTCAATGTATTTGACGAGCGAGAGCTGGAGCTGCTCATTGGCGGAATGTCTGAAATTGACGTGGATGACTGGAAGCGCTTCACCGACTACCGAGGCTTCACTGAGCAGGACGAAGTTGTGCAATGGTTCTGGAAGGTGGTGCGAGCCTTCCCACCGGAGCGCAAGTCTCGTCTGCTGCAGTTCACCACTGGCACGTCTAGAATCCCCGTCAATGGCTTCAAGGATCTGCAAGGTTCCGACGGTCCTAGGAGGTTCACGATTGAAAAGGCAGGAGACCCTAGCCAGCTGCCAAAGAGTCACACTTGCTTCAACCGCTTGGACCTGCCACCCTACATCTCCGAGGAGCAGCTAGAGCAGAAGTTGATTATTGCCGTGGAGGAGACGGTCGGATTTGGACAGGAGTAAAAGCGTTGCGTGTCGTGCTGGTATACTCTTTTGGAACACTCTCTATCCCTCTTCGATGATGAGCCCGCCTTTGCTGTGCTGTTACCTTTATTTCTTTCCTCATTCCTGACTGTCATTTACGCTGTAGCATCCATCAGACTCGTCTCGTTCGTCTGAAGCGGTGCCTGATGGTGCCTGGCCTGGCCTGATCTGTCGTGGCGTGATAAGGGGCGCCAAGTGAGGATGCCCTCCTCACCCTCCGCTTGTAGACTTACCTCCGGAGCCCGAGTTGCGTGCTGCGTGCGCATGGGCGATTGGCGGGGGAAGTTCTGCAGCCCGAGTGTGCAAGAAGCGCGGGGGTGGTCTGTGCGGGGGCGGAGGTGACGGATGGTGTGATTGAGATTGTGGATTGGTCAATGGCTTCGGCTGTTAAGCTACCACTGCCACACAGACAGACAGGCAGCCGGGCAAGCAATGGCGCTCATGGAGGAGGAGGAGGAGATCGACAGTCTGACACTGGGTCATCATGGCAGGATAAAGAAAGGGGGAACAGCCTCGTCTTCTTTTGTCCTTGTCCTCCTTTCCATTCTTACCACTCGTCCATAACTTCGAGCATTCTACACTACTCTACCTGACCAGACATCATGGCACCCATCGCCACCGCTCCACCTGTACACCACTTTAGCAATGCCGATGACCTCGGCGTCAAAGGCCAGGCCTCCGCAGCCGCCTCAGGTCGAGCACCTCCTCCACCTGGAGCCAAAGTCCCCTCGCTGGCTAACGTCCTTACTTCTGGCCAGTACGACATCGACGAGTCTGTCCTGACTCCTTACGAAGATCTGCCCAAGAAAATCGAGGGTCCGACGGTCTGGACGAAGGAAGAGTATGGCAAGGAGGAGAACAAGGAGAAGTGGGTCCGACGCTGGACGGACGAGGAGATTGAGCAATTCGAAAAGGCCGCACAGGACTGGGTTGCCAGTGGACGTCCCCATGAACAGATCGAGAGGTCCACCATCGACCTGCCCATCTCCCTCCAGGCTACTTTGCTCTCTCTGCGACACAAGATCCTTCACGGCCCTGGCTTCTACGTCTTCAAGGGTTTCCCTGTCCGAAAGTGGCCCATCGAAGTCACCGCAGCCGCCTATCTCATGGTTGGCGCCTACCTAGGCAACGCCGTCTCACAAAATGGCAAAGGTCACCTGCTAGGTCACGTCAAGGACATTGAAGGGTCCAACTTCACTGGGAACAACATCGACAAGATTCGAATCTACCGTACCAGCGCAAGGCAACACTTCCACGTCGACTCGTCTGGTGGCCTGATCGGTCTCTGCTGTCTGCACCGCTCCCTCGAGGGAGGCGAGTCGGACGCCGTGTCGAGCCACAATCTCTGGAACCACCTGCAGGAGCATCGACCCGATGTTGCCCGTACACTCGCTGAACCCATCTGGTACTTTGATCGAAAAGGTGAAGAGACTCCCGGGATTGGACAGAAGCCCTACTACAAGCGAGCTATCGTTTCCCTGGTCAAGGGGGAGCCAAGCAACCGTCTAGTGACGAACATTGACCCTTACTACATCAAGTCCACTACGCGCTTCATCGAGTCTGGTCAGATCCCTCCTGTCTCTGAGAAGCAGCAAGAGGCAATGAAGGTCCTAGAGGAGACGGCCCAGTCCCTTGCACTGCACATGATCCTCGAAGTGGGAGACTTGCAGTTTGTGAGCGATACCCATGTCTTGCATGCGCGAACGGCATACAAGGATCATGAGCCCCCTCACCCTAGGCGTCATCTGCTCAGACTGTGGCTTAGTACGCCTGATACCGAGGGTGGGTGGAAGATCCCTTTCCCTGACTCCAGTCACCCTAAGAGGGGTGGGATCCAGGTGGGCAACCAAAGAGGGACTTGCCCATTGGACGCCGAGTAGGCACAACTCAAAGGGAGGGGCTTGTCGGGATCCTGTGACGGAGCGCGAGCAGTGCGAGTCTTCTTGTTCCTTGTGCTTATGATAATACAAAACGCCATACTATCTCGCTACTGTCTATCCCTGTGTCAAGCCTGTCCCACGAAACCCTTGCCCTCCCCCTGTCTTAATGTCTCGAGAATTCCCCCTTTCCTTGCCCCTGCTCAAACCCTTCCCCATCCGAATCCCCCAAATTCCCACTTGCATCCCGCAAAAGCTCCGGATCTTCAGGAGCACTCACGCCAAAGGGTCTCTTTCCCGTGCGCATCTCGTGAGAATAGGCAAGAGCGGCCATTCCTCGCGCGAGCTCCGTGCGCGCTTCGAGGTAGGCGATGAAGCTGCCTGAGACTGCGAGGGCAGAGTGTTTGGACGAGTAGAGGCATTGAAGGTGTCAGAGGAGGTATGCGGGGCTCACAATGGGCGCTGCGAGGGGTTTGGACGTACCGATGCCGATCACTACGGAGGCGTTTGGGGTCATACGCATCGTCTTGCGTGCTCCTAAGCCGACTATGAGTGAAACGACGAGTAGTTTGAGGATCAGCAGAGAGAGGGTGTAAGTTTCAGTTTTCTACTCAACCCCTCTGCGATATCAGTTCTTTCCCCTGAGGTCTCACCGGCAAAAGCTCCCAATACCCCCGTGAGCGTAGCATTCATCTGTGCCCGCTTATTCACAAGTCCAACCTCTGCTGCGCTCAACTTGTCATTCTTCGAAGAAGCACCACCCGAACCCGAGGAACCAGAAGGACTGTCTTGTGACAATGAGCTTGAATTATCCGCTGATGCTGCTGCTGCTGATCTTTGTCGATCTCGTGGAGAGCTAGACTCGGCGTAGGGGTACGTCTTTGAGACGAGGCCTTGCTCGCGGAGGGAGTCTATCGGGTCTGGGTAGAAGGGCATGTCGGTCCTCTGGAAATAGAGCTTGCCGGTGGAGATAAAGAGATGGACTCAGGTCGTCTCCATCTCGATCTTCTCAAGTTGAGGAAGATCGGTAGCAGGGAGCGGGACAGGCGAGGCGAGGACCTTGGCGGTGGTGGTGGTGGTGGTGGGTGGTATTAGCCAAGGCTCCATGCACGCCGGGGTCAAGATGCGGATCGGAGATTAGACTCGACGCGGGAGGGTCTGCTTCCGTGCGTGGGCGGCAAAGGTGGATTGCTAGGCAGACAAAGTGTCAGTGATCCCTTCTCCCCCTTCAGCTTCCTCGTCATCGTCGTCCTTTCGCCTTTGTCCTCGTCGTCGCACCTCGTCTCGATACTGTCACCCTCTCAACAGCTGGTCTGGCTGCCACGGGTTGCGCCTGAACCCCCACTACCTCGGCATGGCGCCTTCCTCCCCTGCTTCGTCGGATAGCTCTGGCCTTTCCTCGGCACCACCTACACCTCCTCAAACCCCTGGCAGGCCCAGTACGCCCGGCAGAAGAGATGCAGACACCCAGCCAGTAGAACTCTCTATGCAAAAGGCAGCGCCTTCATCTAGGAGCAGCCAACGTGGTGCAAGGGCTAAAAGAGGATCTGAAGCTCAAGATACGCCTCAGCCCAAGGCAAAGCGCGGAGCAGGGTCAAAGGGCGAGGTCTCAAGCACCCCGGCTGCAGCGTCAGAGGATCCTCCCGCACCACGATCTCAGAAGAAGCTTACTGTCAAGCTCACCCGCAAGGGTAAGGGCAAGAACGACACCCCTGGCGCCTCGTCTGCCTCTCCTCCTATAGGGGAAGCACAACCTCTTCCCCCTGCTTCTTCCGACGCATCTCATCCTCCATCGAGTGACTTCCGCGCTCAGCTCAAGGACCTGGCCGATTCTGAAGATGAAGAGGGTGGGAATGTCGTGAAGCCGAGGAAGAGACGGGGAGGTGGGGCAGCCATTGCTGATGATGACGAAGAGGAAGAGGAAGCGGAGCCTGCCAGCACAAGTGCTTCGCGAACCTCCATCATCTTGAAGCGCAAGCGGAACCAAGCATCTTCTGATGCATCACGGAGAGATTCGTCGAAGAAGAAGTTCAAGAAGCGGACCCTTTCACAGCCGGAGAGAGCTACGGACAGTGACGAGGACTTCATTGGGCAAGGGGATGATTCGGACGATGTCATGTCTGACGTTGGGTCCGAAGAGAGTGCTAACGGTGGTGAAGATTACGCGGAAAAAGCGGCTGGGCTCGTTGATGGAGACGAAGACTTTGCGCCGGTCAAGGGCCAGAAGAAGCAAGGAGGAGCTAAAGTGGCAGGTAAGGCGGCGAAGAAGGGCAAGGCTGGAGAGCCTTCGACTGCGATTGCCCGTCCTCCTCCAAAGAAAGGAGACGCTAGTGCTGGCGCCGCTGGCACTGCTGCATCCAAGGCAGCCATCGCCCGCAAGGGATCAGTAAAGGTAGAGCCAAAGACGGTCACCTCTACGATCCGAGCAAGCGCAGCCGCTACATCGACCTCTACCACTTCCTCGCCAGCCGGAATTCGTCCTTCCGCTGCTGGTCAACCTGCTGGTGCCAACGTGCAAAAGAGACCGCCCCAACTCAATAAGCCAAAGGCGAGCCTGAGCATGTGGGACAGTCTCGTCGGCTCTTCATCCAAGCCTGCTGCACCTGCACAGCCGCCCAAGCCAGCACAGCCAGCAGCTGCGATCAAGGGCAAGGAGGAACAGAGGGTTGGCACTGAGAATCAAGGGGAGAAGGCAAAAGACCAGAACTCGACTCGTGCCACGCCTTCAGGAGGCATACAAGGCACAACTGGAAGTAGCGGATCTTCCCTGCCTCGTCCACTCGGCATCAGTCGTCCCTCAGGCCTCCAGTCCTCGACCTCGGCTTCACATTCCGGCAGTAACAGCCACGGCAACTTCCGTGACTCGACGATCACCATCCACATCACTCCCGGCCTGAATGGTCAACACTGGGACAAATCCGCCTACCGTTCTCTTCGTCTACTCGACAAGGAACGCTATCGTCTCCCTCCATCTCAAGATCTCTTTGATCTTTTAGAAGATGCAGAAGTCATTGTAGGATTCGAAGAAGAGTGGAGAGCTAAAAGGATTATGGCTGGTGCGGGGGTTGGTGGGCAGATGAGATATGCTAGCAGTAAACCCACACAGTATGGTGCTGGGAGAGAGTATGCGAGGGGAACGGTTAGGGAGTTGCTCAAGGGGAGGAGGAAAGTGACGAGTGCGCCTGCGCTTGCAGCTGCGAATGGCACTGCAGAAGGAGGAGCAGAGGCAGGAGGAGGAGGAGGTGGGGCGCAATCAGGAGAGGAGATGAAGACGAATCAAGGCCAAGCGGAACGGTAGCGGTGGAGAAACGACGTTGGCCAAACATGTATTTGTAACACTTATAGTAAATCCATTCCATTCCATTCCATTCCAACACAATTCTCCTTGCACTGCGTTGCGTCATGTCACAATATAGTACAGCAAGTCTCGCGCCTCCTCACCTCCCCACAGCCCCTCATAATCCGCTTCGCTTACACCTTGTCAACCGCAACCAGGACAGACGAAGAGCTCCCCATGGACATAGCTATCGCACTCCAAGCAAAAGTGCTTGTGGCACTTGGGACACTCGTACCGTCCCGATTGAGAAAGTCCACCTCCTGTCACTCCCTCGGTGGCGCCATTTGTACCATTCGCACCACCCGCGCTAGCGCTCCCGCTCGCGGTGCTGTTCCCATTGACGTGGACTGTCCCATTGCCATTCGTTGTGGCCGAGTGACGAGGAAAGTCAGCTGGGAGGGGTGGGAAGAGCTCATCGCAGCCTGTACAGGAGGGTCTTGAATTACCTTGTGAGGAGAGACTGGTGAGGGCAAAGAGGTGAAAGTGGAGGTGGAGAGAAAGTGAGAGAGGGTGGTGTTAGTGGCTCTCCTAGATTCGCTCTGGCTACTGCCGCGTTGCGCTGCGTTGCGCTCGTTCTCACCTTTCCCAAGAGACGCCCCTGAATGGTTTTACAGGAAAGAGATGTCGGTAGCTCCTCGCCAAGTGCGTACTCATCACCACCGTCAGTCCACAAGTAGGGCAGTCTGTCGGTACATCGCATATCTTCGAGTTGCACCTGGGACAAAGGAAACCACTACCCGCTCCAGAGTGCTTGTTCGAAGGTCGACTAGAGCCGGAGAGGCTGCTAGTTGCAGAGGAGGAGGAGGGTGGGAAAAGACGGGAGTGGCAGGCGCATAGAGAAGGAGGCGCGTGCGTGGGCAAACGTAGTGGGAAGCCCATTTGCATCAGCTCGGCACCTGCCTCGTCGTCGTCGTCTGACTCTTGGTCGCCAACTCGCCGCACACGAGGTGCTGCTTCCTCCTTCTTGATGATCTCACGCGGAGCAATACCTTCCCGCACTAGCTCCTCGAGATGATGATCGTCCAGGGCTACTCCAAATGTACCACCCGTCTCTCGAGCTATGTCCCTCATGATCTTCATCTCGGCAGTGAGGTGGATGAGGTCGACGCGGATACGGGAGGCCTTGAGGCTAGCAATGGTCTGGTGGATATTGCCCGGATCGCACGAGGTGAGGGATCCGGAAAGAAGCAAGATTTCCCTCGAGGAGGTGGTAGGGAGATGAGCGAGAGTGCTCTTGGCCATCTCTAGGGCATTTTGCAAGGAAGGGTCTCCACGAGGCTCCAGGCGGCGCTTGTTCGACAGTGCAGCTAGGTGATCCGAGGTGTTGCCGCCCATGGGAACAAGACGATCTGTAATGCCGTCTCGCATGAGTAGGATTGCCAGTTGTCCGATGGGATTCTGCTCAAAGTATTCATTGACGAAGCGCCGTGCAATGGGCAAGAGAATGTCGAGTCTAGAGGTGCAAGGATGGGAGCGGTTCAGACTGCAGCTCGCCTCGCTGCATCGGCTGAGCAAGACTTACCTTGTTCCTCTTCCACCATCCTTTTCATTCATATTCTCGCTGTCATCAAGTACCAACACTAGATGCCTGATGATCCCTCTCCTCACTCTCCTCTCCTCCTTTGCAGCTCTCCGCCGCTTGCCCGCTGCGAGGAGGTGCTTGACGGAAGCTTCCAATGATCCGCTCTCGTCTTCATTGACCACGTCCCAAGAGCGTTGAAAGGTCTGCTCCCAGGCATACGACCGCGATGCGTCCTTCGATCCTTTGGCGGCCAAGGCTGACTTGCGGGCTACTCCGGCCGAAGCAGAAGCTCCTTTGCCAGCAGCTCCCTTGCCTGCGGCTGCTCTTGCTCGGGAAGAAGAGGCGGCAAAGTTGCGAGCGTTTCCCGAAGGGGGCGGGGAGTCCATAAAGTCATCTCCAGAGTCGTCAGCATCGTCTGCCACGATGAAGTCGTCATCGGAGTGATCCAAGGCCGCAGCCGACGTCGATGCTCGCGGCGGCATGTTCGGTGGCAGGCTGGGGGCTGGATGGGTAGGAGGAGTAGCTGCTAGTCTATGCTCGCCTCTGGTCAGCGGAGATGAGCTGCGAGGGATCCGCGGCAAGAGTGGGACGTGCGCCAATCGGAAGCAGCGGGGAACGAGGGCAGAGTACAAAGGGAACAAGAGACAAAAGGCAGCCAAAGGCACACATCGTCGCTGTTCCTCATTGTAAAGATCTTCTCATGTAGTCATTCTTCTTCCCCTCCTTCCACTCCATCCTCACCACCATCTCATCTCATCTTACCATGCTCACGCAGGATGAGCTCCTCCACCTCCCCATTCGCCCACTCCAAGATGACACCCAGCCCACACCCACATCCAGCGAGGAATCATCAGTGGAGATCGACATCGCAAGTGTACTCGAGCCCTTTCTCCATCCACAGCCTGACCAGCCACCGCCTCCCATCGAGCTACATCGCGGCTCCCACGTCTCCTTTCTCTCCAAGCTCCTCGCCAAGCCACTCCCTGCAGCCTACGTCGGCTTCGACGGTACTAGACCCTGGCTCCTCTACTGGTCTCTTCACTCCTTCACCCTCCTGGGTCACGCCATCGACGATGTCACCAGGGCAAGAGCAGTTTCTACGCTCCTTTCTTGTCAAAATACTAGGCTGGGTGGATTCGGTGGAGGACCAGGTCAGATGCCCCACCTCATGGGAACTTATGCTGCCATCAATGCCCTAGCCATTGCAGGAGCACCTGGACCCTGCCCCACGGCCGAGGACTTTGCACAGATCAAGACTCGGAAAGCCACCATGGAGTCCCTGGGCAAAGGAGGATGGGATGACATTGACCGTGTCAAGATGTACCAGTGGATGATGAGGCTCAAACAGCCCGATGGCAGCTTCACTGTTCACGAGGGAGGGGAAGTCGACGTAAGGGCGAGCTACTGCGTCTGGTGCATCTCCACATTGCTGGGTATAGGCACGCAGGAACTCTTCAGAGGAATGTCAGGCTTTTTGACGAGGTGAGAGGGAGCGATTTTGCTCCAAGCAGATTGCAAGGCTCGCTGTCTCGTCTACTCACCTCTATCCTCCCTTATTACCGCCCCATCAGCTGTCAATCGTACGAAGGCGGCTTAGCCTCGACTTCATTCCCAAGCTACACACCTCAGCTACTCTTCAACTCGGCTGCTCCTCGTCCAGCTCTGGGGGAGGCACATGGTGGATATGCTTTTTGTGCTACAGCAGCCTACCTCGGTCTAAAGCTGCTTGACCCTGCATTGTACTCCAGAGGCAAGACGGCCGCGCCGGCGCCTATAGCTCTAGACAATGAGCGAGCTTCTGAGGCCAAAATGAACCTTTCGACTCTGACACGCTGGACTCTGTCCCTACAATGCCCCTTTCCATCTCAAGGTGGCGGGTTCAAAGGCCGAATCAATAAGCTCGTAGACGGCTGCTACTCCTGGTTCTCTGGCGCAGGCATGTGGGGCGTACTAGAAGCCCTACGCTCCCTCGAGTCCCCACAAGATAGCGAAGGCGCAGACGACCTCTGGTCTCGTCCGGCCTTGCAGCTCTACATTCTCCTCGTCGCCCAGAATCTCACACCAGACGGCACTGCTGCCCTTTCGGGTGGACTGAGGGACAAGCCGGGCAAGAAAGCCGATGCATACCATACCTGCTACAATCTCGCGGGGCTGAGCGCTGCGCAGCACGTCGTTAGGCCGTGCGCCGAGACGAGAGATTTCTGCTATACTGGCTGGAAGTCTGGTTCGGGACCATCAGCGAGCACAGCTCAGACTGAGGGCGAGCACGTTGGCGTAGCAGCAGCAGCAGCAGGCAGTGCCGCGGCCGAGCAGGAGGAGCTCCGTCGCAGAATCTTCTCCTCCACGCTAGGGTACAATCTCGCTCCCGGAAGGCAGAAGATCGTCGTAGGTGAGGATAGCAATGAGCTCCTCCCCACGCATCCGGTCTTGAACGTTGGTTTTCTGCAGGTGAGGAACATGATGGTTTGGAGCTACGGGCAGGAGTAGACGGCAGAAAGGTTCAGAGGGAAAAGAGTCCAGTGTACTTGTATCTATATCTGCGTTATCAATCATCGCTTTGTCAATCTCGATTCTCAAGTCGTCCAGCGCCTCTGCCCACGCTTCCTTTGCAAGCGTGTGCGTACCTACAACATTTATCACGCAAGCGTCGAAGGATGCAGACCGTGGGGCGATGTGTGATTCTTTGTTTTCTTTTAGCGACTCGAAGAAGAAAACGGATTCAAAGTCTTATCTATACACATGAGGGTTCAGATATGAAAAAAGAGGCGAAGGGACATCTATATATGGAATGATAAAAGAGGGAGAGGGGGGGCGACTGAAGTGCCATGGCGGCATCAGGCCAAGACGGGAATTGTTCCTCCTCCATTGCGTCTACTTTCGCTTGAACAACTTCTTGACAGGCGCAAAGCTAAGCCCAAATCCTCGTACACGGAAGAGCCAATAGAGGGCAAAGGAGGCCCAAACGTTGAAGATGACGAATCCTAGGAAGATTCCCATGCTCTGCCATCGGAAAGAATAAGGCGCATTGACCGTTTCTGCAAATTGATCACCAATGGTGTACTGGCAGAATCCACACCCTGCGGTACCTGCGCCATTCACCAGGTAACCTCCAGCACCTGTAGCCCAAGCGCCCGCATAGGCGTCGCAGGTTTGTCCTGGAGGAGGGTCGAAACGGTACAGGTCTTCCTCGTTGCACACGACGGGCGTGGCGTGGAGGATGGTGGCCATTTGACCTCGGAGGTAGTGGGTTACGGGGTTGACCCAGTAGACAAAGTCCCTCCATGGGTTGGGCATCATCGAGTGGGGTACAATGACACCATTGACAATGGCCAGGATGGGCAGGATAAAGGGGAGCAAATTGGCAGCAGTGATGGGTGTGGGTGAAGAGGCTGCAAGCATCAGGGAGAATTCGATTCCAAAGGCGTTGAAGAGGAGGACCATCAGGTAGAAGTAACCAGCCTTGGCGCTCGGCTCGGCGTAGAATGGTAGGTAGTAGGATGGAAGGAAGTAGATGACCGAGGCGACAAAGGCAATGGGCATCGTGGTGAGGATGAAAGACGCCATCATAGCCCACCATGGGTAGATCTTGGAAGCATTTTCTCGAACCTCGAAGAGCATGCGGAGCTCGAAGAACTTGGCAATGATACCGTTGACAATGGCTGGGAAGTTGAGGATGATCAAAAAGGCAATGAAGACGCGATTCTGGTAGTCCGTGGGGGAGAGGCCGAGCTTGGCAAAGGCTCCACCGGCAATGATACCAGTGACAAAGTTGCTGAAGAGGATAGCGTAGGGGAACGAGGGGTCGCGCCACATGTCCCTGTACTGTCGCATGGTCACCTGCTTCAGCTGAACCATGGGCGTAGCGGCAAATTCGCGCTTGGCTCGAGGGTCGTCCGAAGCGGGCAGCTGTGATCGCTCCTCGACAATCGACTTGATCTCCTCGCGAGTATTCTTGCATTCCTGGGATTCAAGCCACTTGGCTCCCCAGTCTTTGCCGTGTGACTTGCCACCACTGACCACTTCGAGGATATACTCGGCCACGTTGGCCTGAGGGTCACAGGGCTCGGCTCCGTTGGCCTCAAAGTACTCGCGGATACGGTCACTACCCTTGCCGTGATGCTGGCCGATTTGACCAAAGTACGAGGTGCGACCTCCTGGCTGCAGAAGCAAGACATTGTCGAAAGACTCAAAGAGCAGAGCAGACGGCTGGTGGATGGTGCAGAGAATGGCCTGTCCATCCTGTGCAAGACGTCGCAGCAGTCGGCAGATGGAAGCAGCTCCAGCAGAGTCAAGACCTGAGGTGGGTTCGTCGAGGAACAAAAGCAGATCTGGCTTGGCGGCCAACTCTACGGCAATCGTGACTCGCTTCCTCCTTTCAATACCGAGACCAGCACCAGGGTGTCCGATGAGAGCATCAGCGAGGTCCTCGAGCTCTAGCAGCTCAATGACGCGCTGAGCATCCTTGAGCTTCTCTTCATGGGGGACATCAGCTGGCTGACGAAGAATGGCAGAGAACTCCACAGCTTCACGAACTGTCTGCGTGGCCAAATGAACATCGGCCTGCAGAACGAGACCAGTAGACTTCTGGAATCCAGGTCCAAGGGCCTTGCCATCCACCAGAATGTCTCCAGTGACGACACCTGCCGCTCCACGTTGACTCAGAGCGGTCATGAGTGTCGTCTTTCCAGCTCCCGAAGCACCCATCAATGCAGTCATCTGACCAGGTCGGACCCAACCGTCGACATGCTGAAGCAGCTTACGACCGCCAGGCAGCTCAAGGTTCAGGTCGGACCAGGTGAAGATGGCTCGGTCAGGATGCTCTCGAGTGACCTTCTTGTCGACTGCATCGCCACCAGACAGACCTTCTCGACCCCCGTCGTGCGATTCGACGGGAGTAGCATCGGAAGAGCTTCCAGACTGAGAGCCAGAGGCAGCACCAGCACCAGCACCGGCAGCTGCCTCGGTGTCGTCGGCTACTGGAGGCTCTACTGCCTTCATCTGCTGCTTGGCGGCCTTGGTCTTGGCGAAAATGGTCACTCCTCCTGACCCCCCGCCGAGCGGAATGATTTCACTGGCGACGATCGTTACGATCAGGTACAGAGCACTAAAGGCGATGAGGACACCGATGTTGGGCCCTACAGCTGACTGACTGTAGTTGAAGGTGACTCGCAGGTAGTCCTGGGGTTGAACGATGATGGACCCGGGTACACTACCGGTCAGAGCACACGTCTGGTACGCAGTGTCTTGAGCTGCTCCAAAAGGCACAATGGAGCTTGCAACACACTGGATAGGATACTTGAGCTCGTTTGCCAGCATACCTTCGAAGGCATACGAGATACCATTGACGTAGTTGAGCCAGATCATCCAGTTCATCTGTGGTCGTCGAATGACATATCCGACAAAGACGATGATGATGTTTAAAGCCAGGACCGAGAAACGAATAGCTTCGTTGAACCCGGGGCTGAAGACAGCGACAGCTCGGTATAGCGCCGTGAGGTTGTACGCGCAGAGGAAAGTGTATACCAGGAAGATGAAGAAAGCTCCAGCGTTGGTTCTCAGACCACTGAGGAAGTAGAGGATGACTGAGCTGAGGATACACTGGACGATCAGGAAGGGGATGTCGACGATGGCTCTCGACATGCAGACTGCCGAAGGGCGGTAGAAGGCAAATGTCTGGTGTCGAGCAAGCATCGGTCGACCGGCAACGGCCTCGTAGGTCTCACTGAGCTGCAGCCATCCGTTGAGCAGACAGGCGAAGAGGATGATACCACCGCGAGTGAAGATTCCGGAAGAGTCTTGTGCTTGGCCGTAGAAGAGAGACGAGATCATGAGAGAAACGGAGATGATGGTGAAGAGCTTGATGTAGAGATCGCCTCGTGCGCCCCACTTGACAAGCAAGTCACGATAGATACAAGCCTTCACTTGCGTCCAGTAGCTGACGGTGAAGCTAGAGCCCTTGTGAACACCTTTGTTCTTCTCCCCTCGTACAAGATGCTTGACGTTTTCAGCCTCGCGTAGCTCGTCGTTCTTGACGGCCGTCTCGTACTCGTCGACTTCAGAGATCAGTTGGCGGTAGAGATCGCTTTCCTTCCAGGCCTTTTCACGCTCCTCGGAGGTGCGTGGAATGGGTCCCTTGAAGTCATCGCGGTGCTGCACCTGAATGGGATCCGTGACAGCAGTAACAAAGTCAGCAGTGGTTTGACGAGCTGGCGAGTAGTAGCCTAGATCGTGGAAGTACTGTCGCGCCTTGTCGCGTGGTCCGTAGTAGATGCAGCGACCCTCGTCGATGACGGAGATGCGATCGAAGAGGTCAAAGATGGACTCCGACACTTGATACAGTGTGGCAATGGTCGTTCGGCGGCCAATGTCAGTGACGATACGTAGCGAACGAGCGTAGTCGAGGGCGGTAGAAGCGTCGAGACCTCGCGTGCTGTTGTCCCAGGCAATGATAGATCCGCGAGTGATGAGAGCTTCTTGCAAAGTGACTCGCTTCCTCTCACCACCAGATACACCGCGGACGGCTGCATCACCGACGACAGTCTTGCGGACGTGAGTCATTGCAAACATCTTCAGCAGTACGTCAACGGCATCGTCGATGAAGTCGTTGCGAGATTGTCCTGCAATGCGCGCCTTTCCAGCCGGAACTTTGCATTGCAGCGCAAACTTCAGGGTCTGCTCAACAGTCATGGTAGGGAAGTGGATGTCATCTTCGTCGACGAAGACGGCCTCTCCACGGTACTTGCGAGTGATTTCGTCAGGTGAGAAACCACCGTATGTCAAATCCCCCTCCACTTGCAAGTTGTTGTGCGACCTCGACGTCAGCGCTCGAAGGGTGGTAGAGCAGCCAGAGCCAGGTCGACCAAGGACGAGGAGCATTTCTCCAGACTTGAGAACACCGTCGTGACCTTGGATCAACGACGCTGGGGTCGGCTTTGTGCCGGTTGCCCGACCCAGAATTGGGATGAACTTAGCGAGGATGTTGAGAGGATCTTTGGTTGCGGTGTTCACGATGGCCTGAGGCAAAGTCTTCACAAAGAGACGAGCACCAGCACCTCCAGGTGAGACGACCTTGACGTTACGCCAGGACATGCCTAGAGGCTTGTGGTAGGGGATACCCTTCTCTTCAACAGCCGCTTTACGACTGAGCATCCAATCTGCGAGATCGAATCCGTCATCGTTGCCATCCCCTTCTTGCTGTCCAGCTTGCTCCTCAATATCGTCGGCTCGTCCAATCTCGGTCATCTGCCTCCGCGACTGGCTTTGCTGCCTTGGCCGATGACGTGGCTGGCTTTGATTGCTTACACTCCGGGCCAGTCGGTAGTCATCCAGAGCTCTTGCGGCACTGATGGGATCCACAGGTTCACCCGTCTGAGTCTCACCCCAGGTCCCTGTGCTGATCTTCTTCTCGAGCGGCTGACCCCCAGTGAGCTGAGGCTGGTAGTGCTCGCGAGCGGCTGCCTTCTCTGCATCTACATCTGAGGAGTGCTTGGCAGTACCTGAAGGATGAACTTCCTCTCTGCCAGACACTTTTTCTGCTTCGGCTTTCGTGGTTTGACCTCGCTGGTCAGATGGTGCGGCCGAGGGTGGGGCAGCCCCGAGCCCCTCGCCATTGGACTCGGTTTGTGAAGAAGACATTGGAGCTGAACGCGTAGGGTCTATGTATGTATGAACGCTAGTGGATAAGAGGGTAGGTATTGATTGTCAGCAGTCAAGATGGCAGACTGCGACTGCGACTGGATGCTGAGTCCACCCAGTGACTCTGAAATCTGGAGGAGATGGCAAGGAAGAGGACCTGGATGCCTGGAGTTATGAATGGTAGAGATCAAAGAGGTGTACAAAGTCGAGGAACCTCACACACATTCACAAGTTACCTGGGCTGGACAGAGTGGAGCTGCCTCCCCAGATACCTGCGAAACGACGTCTTACGTCCGCCGTCGGCCCTCGGAGGAAGACCTCCCGAGGCAGGCCGAGGGCAGGTGATCGTCGCCTGCTGTTACGGGGTTTAGAAATCCAAATCGCCGGCTCTCTCTTTCCGCATGCGCGACCCTGAATTGGCTGCTGCCTTGCCCCTGATGACGACGCCTCCTGGGGCAAGGCGAAATTGCAACCCGGGCTCTGGTTCACGGCTGCTCGCCCCCCTGAGCTGAGCTGGGCGGCCCCGTGAAGCCGATGACCATGCATGCCAGAATGACGTGCAAATTCTGCCCATCGCCCATCTTTCAAAAATCTCCGGTCCTAAGAAATGAGGGTGCAGATGTCGCGGCAAGCCCTGAGTGAGTCAGGCGAGTCATGCGGCTTACAGGTAAGGCGATGTCATCCCTGACGGTATACACTACTGGTACCGTCTCGCCTCGACTTTTGTGTGAGTCACAGTAGGACGAAGGTGGGAGCCATCCACTGCGTAGATCATGGCTCTATGAGCTCTACGCCATTCATCAACAGCCAGACTTCGAATTCTGAGTCATCACAATTCAGCGGGTAGGGTTCACACATCGGGCGCGAAGTGGAGATTGCGACGGAGATAGATATGGCCGCCCTTCGATCGGGTACATGAGTGCGCTGCAGGAGTGCAGAAGGACACTACCAAGCGGCCTTACTCTACAACGGAGAAACTGACCTTGCCCTCTGCATTCAATTTGTCCACTAACCCCGTCTGTCCGAGCGCCGTGGCCGGAGTGAGTGTTCCATTGAGCACGCGTTCTCTCTCTCGAAGAATAGTTCTGGCAACGCCCACGAAGATGATCGGTGTAGCGACATAACCTACTTCGGGGCCGGAGACGCGCACGATGGACTTGACGTCGGGCCCGCTGGCCTTGTCCTTGACAGCGTTCTCGGAGTAACCTCTGCCGATGAGAGTGGTTGTGAAGCTTGATCCGTCCAGTTGCGCCTGCGAGGGGCCCTCGTGACTGACCGTGCCAGCGCTGAACACCCTTGGGTACTTCAACAAGAGAGACTTACCGAGCGAGAAGCTGGCCATCAGACCGAATAAAGTTAGCGCAGTGATTGTCAGAAGGAGCATGGGTAGGCTTGGGATAGCAATCCAGAATGCAAATTGCACTGGAGGAACGCCGTTGGAGTGGTGAGCGTCAAGGCTCTGCCCCAGACGCACAATGGAGGGGTCGGCAAAGAAGAACGGTATCACGTAGACACCTTGCTCCTCGACATAATTGATCATGCCTCCTAGACTACCCTTCCGGGAGGGCAGACCACTACCAAGTCCCTGCTCGACGGGACTCGGCTTGACCTTTGGCAGCTTGCTGTACAGCTGCTTCCTCACAGCTCCGAGCTGCTTACGCGTGGAAAAGCCATTGACTGCAGCTTCATAGGTAGCGTAGTGAATGCCCATGCCGGCCTGTGGAGCGGCCCTGAGTCTGACGAACACCTCAGCGCTAGTAGGAGTAGCACCCTTGCGAATCAGTTGCTGCTTCAGGTAAAGCAGACCAAGGTCAGAGGGGACCGAGTCGAAGGCAGCAGCATGAATGATGGAGCATCCCAGCCGAGATGCTCGCTCCTGGTAGCGCAGCACCATCTCCTCGATCTGTGGGTAATGTCAGAGGCTGTCAGAAGGAGCACCTCATATCTAGCAATCAAACACTTATGTTCTGCCTCACCCAAGCTGGCTCTCCGCATAGATCAATGTAGTCCGTCGGCGCCTCGTCCGACGACCGCAAAGATTCACTGGCGCTGAGAACCGCCTTGATGACAGGCTCTCCAAGAAAGGCGTAAGGGCCAACGCAGTTCATCACCACTGCAGTGTAGTCAGTAGGTCAGCGCAACGTCTGGAGGGAGCATCGTCTCTGCCATACTCACACTGCGTTCCCTCGGCCATCCTCTGTAGGCTAATCTGATCCTTGACATCGGCCACTACCGCCTTGGGTAGGAATGACGAAGACACCTTTCCCTGAAGTCCAGCTACGATCTTGTCTAGACTTTCCTTCTTCCTCCCAGCGATCGACCATGTGAAGTTTGGGTCCTCACGCAGGATGGACGGTGCCTGCTCGACGATGGTTTGGATGATGAAGCGGGCGGTGAACCCCGTAGCTCCGAAGACGGTGAGCGATGTACGTGAGGAAGGAGGCGCCATGATGACAGACTGAGGAGCAGATGAGTGACGAGTGACGATGATGAGACTGGCTATACAAAGGAGATCTGATTGAGGAGAAAGGATACCGGACAGCTCTGAAGAGGATGCAAAATATGGCTAAGTAGGGAGCAACGAGATGGTCATGAGCTCTCCTTTCCGCAAATGTCTCACGCAAGGAGGGACGTGCACGGTGGAGGATGCGGGGACAAGAACAGCCTCGTACGGCTGGCTTGGACGGTATTCGGCAGACGTCTTCGATATGGATCTACTACAATACAAGGACACCAAGACTAGGCCTTCTCTTCCTTCTTCACAGCTGCCTCCTCTGTCTCTCCTTCCTCGGGCAGCAGCTTTAGGTTTCTCCGACCAAGTAGTCCAGCCTCCTTGAGCGGGCACCCCCTCGCTTTCGCATCGACCTTCTTCTCATCTTCTTCCTCCTTCGCGCCATCAGCATCACTTTCATCGCTCTCCCACTTTGCGTCTTTTCCCAATCGACCACCTTTGGCCTTGCAATTGCTGCAGACTTTGCCGTGCTTGATCAGAAGGACATGAAGGGGGTACATGAGCTCGTCTTGCACCCGCTGGTTCAAATGATAGTACGTCTGCTCTCGAGATGACTTGGCAGGAACCCAGCCGAGCGCGATAGAGAGGCGCTGAACGTGTGTGTCGACGGCGAAGGAGGCGCGGCCAAGGCAAAAGGCTGCGCGAGAGAGAGGGGCACACAGAACGAGGTTAGTCTTTGATCACATACGAAGTGAAGCAACAATCCAAGAAACGTACCTTGTACACAAGACTGGACCTTCGGTCCTACTCCAGAGAACGACAAGAGAATCTCTTGGACTTCTGGGGTCGGCAGGTCGTGGAGATGCTGGAGTGACAGGCTGCCATATCGCTCCTTTGTATCCCGCAACAGCTGTGAGAAGAGAATAGGATATCACGAGCATCAGTAGCTGCTAAGGCAAGTCTTGACCCTCCATCTGCTGTCTCACTCACTGCCTGAATATTCTTGCTCTTGTTCACCGCCAGCCCACCGCATCGAATCGCCTCCTCCACTTCCTTCTGCGGCGCCTCCAGAATCGCCTCCCAATTCCTCACACCAAACCTCTGCACAAGACTCTGATGTGCAGCCGTACTGTTCCTTCCGCTGGTGTTGCAGCTCAAGATGGTCCTGACAGTGGCTTCAATGACATCCTTGACGTCTCCACAGCCGCCAAACTGCTCCTTCTCCTCTGCGGGGGGAGTGAAGCGCGGCAGGCCGCGCCCGCCTTCAGAAGTAGGACGGTAGCCATGGGCTCGCCCAAGAATCCAAGCGACCTTCTCTGCTTCTTCGTGTGTGGGTAGAGGCCAGCGGGGAAAGGGAGTGTTGTTCGCAGAGGAACGATGCTGGCTAAGCTTGCGCTCCGCGAGCGTCTTACCTGGCGAAGGTTTGACGTCCTTCGCGTCCTGTTCCTGCTCCTCCTTCTTGACGTTCTTCTTGGCTCCTCCCTTCGCTTTTGTCGGTGTAGTCTTCTTCTTCGTGGGGGTCTTCACATCAGAGTTTTCCTCGATCTTGACTTTCTTCGCAGGTGATCGAGCAGCGTCGGTCCCCTCTTCGTCCTGCTCCTCCTCCTGCTCCACTTTGACTGCCCCTCCAGTCGATCTTCGACTTCTTCTGAGACCATTGCTAGCAGTGCTGGCTGCATTCGTCTTGGTGTTGTTCGCTTTGAGAGCTCCATTAGACTTGGTCGCAGCTGCCATTGTGCGAGCTATCAGAAGTACGGGAGGCGGCTGCGAGAGGGACAGATGAGATGCGAGAAAGACTCGAGAGGTCCGCAGAGAAGGTAGGATGCGCCGCAAAGGCGGATACGGTGCAAGAATAGTGAAGATACCGATCAAGACGTAAAGTTCTGCTTCGGAGATATGTATTCTAATCGAGGATGGGAAGGAATGACCGCCGTGATACGTTGCGAGAAGCATGAGCTCAAACTCGGCTTCCCCACCTCCACAAGTGGCTTACCCAACCCCTTTCCGCATGTCGCGTGTGCATGGCCTCAGCGTCGCGAATCAAGCAGGCAGCAAAGGCATGGATAATGGATGTCAATGTGGATATGAGCGATAGGTAGACGTAAGAGACTGGTACGGAGTTACAGCGTGTGAAAGAGAGCGAAAGGGGTGTAGGAGAGTGTAGGCAGTTGTTCGTGTGTTTCGTGACTTTTGTACAAGTGGAGTCTGTGAAGAGACCACTGCTCCGCCTGTAAAAGGGCGTAATTGCTTGGAGTTCAAACGGTTGGGAGCGTTGACGATGTCGGCTGGTCTGTGAATCTTTCAGAAATGCCGTGAATACAAGATCGAGCTTTGCGATACCTCAACGTGTTCCATCCTGTGACTGCTGATTGGTTGACCAAGGACTTTGGAACGTCGAAGTTGCAAAGGGAATCTGACCAGCTGCACTAGCGAGGGGGACAGCTCCACCAGCTTCCGAATGACTAATTGCTCGTATGTGTCCATTAGTCGCAGCAAATCTGGCCGGACTGCTCGTACCGGAGGAGCTCGCGAGCCGCGACCGGAAGGGGTTGTTGGGACTGAGAGCCCGCGATGACGTTGACGGAGATCCGGGAGGCGTACTGAATGGTGACGCGTTCGCCGAGTTCGGCATTCGGGGCGAGGCTGCTCCTGACCATGCTGCCGACGAGGCAGGCGGGGGTGCAGCATTTGAGTGTCGAGATGGTCCAGCAGAGGCTGCAGACGAAGAGGGAGGCACCTCATCGCGCCTTTCTAAAATTTCCCTACGCGCTGCATCCTCGCTTTCCCTTGCCTGTCTGGCAGCCCTGTTTGTTTCGATGCGTCTCTTCATGTCATCATTCGGCTCATCGATCAGCTCAGCCAACTCTCCCAAGACATCGTCACGCAGACCAAAGTCGATGGGCGCGGTGGCCAGAGCTGGTCCGGCTGTTTGACTTGGGCTGGCAGAGCTTGCGTGAGGTGCTGCTTGGACAGAGACAGTCGTTGACCCGCTCCTCGCTGGTGAAGAAACGCTTGTCCCTGTCGCCTCGCTCAAAGGCGTCGCATTACGGATGTCTTGCGATAGCCGGTTCGCCCTGCGAGAAGCCGGAGCCATCGGCTGGCCACGAGAAGTCGAAGAAGACCGTCCCAGGCTGGCACTACTTGGGTTGATTGGGGAGGAAGCATGCTGCTCGGCCGTGCTGGAAGGTGCAGCCGCCGTATTTTGAGGTATGCTAGTCGCAGCGGCTGAGCTTTGCTGTTGCTGTGCTTGGCGCCTTTGCTGTTCTTCGTGCTCGAGGAGAGAAAGACGCATAGCCTCCATCAACATCATCTTCGAGCGTGAGAAATGATGTCAGCTAAGTGTCGGCCGTTGATCTGTACCGTCGTTTGCAACTTACCTCTTCCATGTCCTGTCCCGCTATCTGCGCAAAGCCACTGCCACTCGCACCACCTCGCCTACTGCTGCGACGGTTCCTGGGCCCATTGTCGCTTCCTGAGTAAGGACCCCATTCCTCACCCTCGCGGAGGATGATCGCACCACCAGGTCCTGTTCCCTCTGGGAGCTCGGCACCAACACGCGAAGATGACACCCCGATGGGAACGAGCCGCTCTCCGACCTGTCTCATGATGATCCTTCGATTTGCCCGCCTGAGGATGGTAGCCTGGGCATTTGTGAGCTTCTGCTGCCAATCAGGCCGCACCATGTCTGTGTAATGAGCGTGGTGTGTGGTCAGCTAGTCTGTCGTCACTCGTCTAGCAGAAGCGGTCACCCACCTGTAGTCAGCACATCTGGGTTGGTATGCGCAAAGCTCTTTCTCCTCGCGTGCGATGTGCTCGTGCTGCCTTCGGCATGTCCTTCCTCGGCGGGCGACAAATTTGGTTTTGCAAAGACGACACCAAAGTTGTCTGCCGTACAAAAGGGACATTCAGCTGGCTGCGAAGACGGTGGGTTGGTATGGTTCGGATCCGCCCTCTTGATCGCCACGAAGCACTCGGTGCAAATGGGTTGCGAGCAGCAGCGTGTCTGGTTCAGCGTCGATGGATAGTACTGAGTGGGTTTGAGAAGAATGGTATGGCCTGCGTCAGTAGATGTAGTAGCTTGCGGCATGGGCCCCTAACATGCGCCTTATGGAAGCGCTGCTGGCAGCTGCTCCCCCCGACAGAGCTTCTGAGGCACGCTATACCGTGTACCGTTGGGGCCATACCAGTGACAGCTTCGCTTGCTCAACTCACCAAGAAGCAAATGGGACATTCGGTATTGAACACTTGGCCAGAGTAGGCATCTTCATCATCTTGGCCCTTGTAAAAGGGCATGAGTTTCCGCTGTACGATGGCCGACTTGACTACGTCGTGATCGTAGTCGTGAGGTGGTGGATAGACTCCCTGAGGTTCCAGCGCTCCGCCGTCTACGGTTGAAGGGTAGGAAGGGGAGGTAGCGGAAGACGAGGAGCCATCGTGGGCATGGCGATGCTCCTTTGTGGCAGCCTGACCCATAGTGTTCTAATATGAGAGTCGGGGCGAGGGAGGGGGGGGGTGAAGGTGGAATAGCGGCTGGCAGATGAAGCGGGGTCCAGCCAAGCGATGAGAAGGGTCGCTGTCGCCAATGCTGTCGAGTAGGCTTGTGCGTTTCTTTATCTTGACCCCCTCACGCTTGTGGAGTAGGGGGGTGCGTGCGGCTTAGCTCACTCTGATTGCCAATGCTAAGGGGTTGTGAGGCAGCTGAGGAACAGAGACGGTGCCGTCGCTAAAGTTGTGCTCAGTGGGCGTCGAGGGGTGAGGGGGGATCTACCTGGCGCGGCTGATGTGATGTGATTGCTGTGGTAGGTATGCTCCTTAGGGTGAACAGAGGAAGGAGCTTGGCGGCTGAGAGCCTTGTCAGTCACGCTCCTCGTCGGCTGATTGCACCGATGCACCCTTGTGTGCCGCCCCCCCTCCGTCCACCCGTCGGGGCCGGGCAGTGCCATGTGCGCGTGGGTGGGCGTGGGGCCGGGAAGAGTGCTGGGCGTGCGACTTGGTCGGCCCTTTGCTCCGCGCGCGGCACACACGGGGGGAGATCTTAGCCCCCGCTTATGGCTGGCCACGCCTGGGCCTGAGCCAGTCACACAGTCACACAGTCAGCCAGTCGCCCACCCGCCCCTCCCGCCCCGTCGCCCTGCGTTGGCCCAGGCAGGGGCAGTTGGCCAAGCAACCACCACCACCACCAACGCCCCCCTCTACGCCCTCCAACCCCCTACCTACCCATTCCCACTACCCCACCCTGCACCTCCTCTCCCTGCATCCTCCTTGTCGTCTTCATCTCTTCGTCAAATCAAGTGCCTCTTGAGGGCTCAAGACTTCAGACCCACCCTCCCCTCAGCACAAAGAGATCTGCCTCGTCTGCCCCGCGTCACACAAAAGTAGACAGACACACAGACACACCTCCCATTCACTTTGGCCCATCTTCCCGACCTCGTCTCAAACCCTTCTTCTGCGCATACCTCCTGAGGCTCTCGTTCGTGTCCATCAAATCCCCTTCACGAACCCAATACCGACCTCATCGTCCTCTGCCAAATCTTTGGCACACGCATTCAATCTACCATCTGTCCATTGCGTGCTCTCCTCTAGATCACATCGAATCTCCCCGCCCCAAGGCCAGACTCCCAGCCTCGATTATCCAAACCACTCGAAACATCACAGCGCTCGGCTCCTATCCCTACCTCCTGTCCACGGATCTCGCTGCAGACACAGAGATCTGCAATATCATCGCAAAGTAGTAGATCACCCTGCTACTGACCCACAGCATCAACCAGCGCGGCTAACCAGTCGGGCCGCATTCGTAACAGCACCTAGCTCATTCTAGAAGAGACAGGGGCTTTCCGAAAATTATCAACGTCGGTCAAAAGAAAGGTGAGTAGCCTCACGCAGCTCACATCACACCACCGAGGGACGTCGCCGGAGATATCAATAGACCGTGCAGATGGCCAGGGGCATACATGGAGGGCTTCGTACGCAGGATCAGGCAGGAAGATGTTCTTGGCAGCCATTACATTGACTGCGACACGCAGATGAGGACGTGACGGTTGCTGTCGGCGCCAAATTCCCGGCAATTGCGGTCCAAGGGATCAATTGAGCTATGAGGTACAGCTCCCCCTCACTGCGCCAACACCAATTGGGCAGAGTTGCTACAGCTCAATCCGCCTTGCTCACACAAACCTGTTTTCTACTGTCCCTCCACACCTCTTTCAGACCGTTCAACATGCAGACTATCAAGTGTGTCGTCGTGGGTGATGGTGCCGTCGGAAAGGTTAGTACACGCCCTGCTCCGTTCGCCAGGCTAATCGACGTGACGACTCCAGTCGCTGACCCTCACCCATTCGCACATCCATCCATCGCGACGTCTACACTGGCCGACAGACGTGCCTTCTGATCTCTTACACCACAAACAAATTCCCGTCGGGTGAGTGCCTTGGACCCCCTTAGCAGAGCACGACTGGACGAAGGCAGTCCCTGATCAATCTTCTCCCCCTCCTCTTTTCAGAGTATGTCCCGACCGTGTTCGACAACTATGCTGTGACGGTGATGATTGGGGAGGATCCTTACACGCTGGGACTGTTCGACACCGCAGGTACGTCATCTACTCGCGTCCTGAGTCTGTGCGACCCCGTACTGAAAGCTCTCGCCGTCCCTCCGCATCACAGGGCAAGAGGACTACGATCGTCTGCGACCGCTGTCGTACCCTCAAACAGACGTCTTCCTCGTGTGTTTCTCCGTGACCTCGCCAGCCTCGTTTGAGAACGTGCGGGAGAAGTGGTTCCCAGAGGTGCATCACCACTGCCCCGGCGTACCCTGCCTCATTGTAGGAACACAGGTGGATCTCAGGGACGATTCGGCCGTGGTCGAAAAGCTGTCCAGGCAAAAGCAGAGGCCGGTGTCTCAAGAAGCTGGAGAGCGTTTGGCAAGGGAGTTGGGAGCAGTCAAGTACGTGGAGTGCTCAGCTTTGACGCAGAAGGGCTTGAAGAACGTCTTTGATGAGGTGAGCAGCAGTAGCAAGAAAGGCAGCCAGAGCTGCGGAGCAGGCGCCACGAGTCCACACATTGACCCTCTTATTCGCTATCTTTCTACTCTGCTCAGTCCATCGTGGCAGCACTGGAACCGCCCATCGTGAGGAAGAAGCCGAAGTGTGTCATCCTCTAAGTGCAAGTCAAGCTTGCTTCAGCTGCCCTCTCCCCAGCATCGACCTCCCCTTGATGGGTCAACATGATTGACGAGGACGCCTGCCTCTATTTGGCATCTGGCTCCCCTCTTTGTCGCTCCTTTCCCCTACTGCTTCTTTTGTCGTGCTACACTGCCCTGGTCGTACACGGCGAATGGGGTGGAGTAGCAAGCCCTCCTGAGTACCGCTTCACTAGGCACCCTTGGCTGCCACACTTCTGTCTCCGCCGGGTCAGTGTGAGCTGCGACCCTCATCTTCCACACCTTTCTTGACCCGAGCTGTTGGTTTCCGTCATGCCTGTTTCCCCGAGCCTCTTTCAACGTAATTTGTCATGACTTGCTTCTCCTTGTCCTTGTTCTCGTTTCCTGCTTCTGACACTTCTTGGCTCTCGGCTCGATCCATTCCTGTATAGATGTCGTCCTGCCATCAAGCCCCTGCCTGCTTCTAGTCCGAATTGCTCGCATGGATAAAGATTTCCTCCACCCGGAAACTTGAGATGAAGCGGGTCGACTCCGTCTTTCACGGGTGATGGGCGTGGGTGGGTGAGGCTGGCTGCAACCCAGAGCAGAGAGCAAAGCCGGCGGCGGGCTGCCTCGGCTGCGTCCCGTCCGCCCGCCCGCTCGCGTGCTCAATCTGTGCCGTCCGCATCCGTCAAGCGGAAAGCGGAAAGGGCCCTCACCCGAGCACCCGGCTACACGCCGCCTGGGACGTCACCGGACCACAATCAATGTCCCTGGAGTCCGTCAAGGGCAGAAGGGGATGCTGATTAGGAGCAAGTACGGGTTATGCTCCTTCGTGAGGCTACCATCACTGGCATCACAGCATAACAGCATATCAGCATAGAGGTTCGTCTCCAGTCTCTCTTCTCGAAGTTCCTATTCGACCCAGACAGCTCAGCCTCCTCTCCCGAGCACAAGCAGCACCTTTCCGAGCTCTCCAACACATCAGCTCAGTCGCAATTCGATGTCAGGCAAACGTCTCTCGGCCATTGAGCAAGGGGCTGCCGTGCGCCGTCAGGCGCAGGAGGAAGCTCGAGCCTCCCAGAACGAGCGCTCCTCCCGCCAAAATGGTCGGAGAGGTGGCGCAGGCCGCTACGGGGGCTCAGATTTCCAGGGCAATCTACCTCAAGACGACAAGTTGCATCGCCTCGACATCCAGCCTTACCGCCCACAGGAGGACGAAGAAGAGGAGGAGCCAGAGCGCAGGAGAAGTCACCGGCACTCTCGCCGTCAAGGGAACGAGGTCCCGGATCGCGATCGCAGGAGGAGCCAGAGGGCCCACCGGCGGGAAGAGGTCCCGGATGAGGCCCTTGATCGCAGAAGAAGTCACCGAAGGAGCAACGCCCCTCGCGAGAGGACGACAGAGCCAGTAGGATCCGAAGAGATGGAGGATACATCCATGGTGAGGAGTCGAAGTGACCTCAGCCGTTCTGTGCCCCCGCCACATCTCTCCGGGATCACACCTGAAAGGAGACGAGAGAGCCGGAGGAACAGCCGAGGAGCCGGAGTCATTGCAGCTGCTGGTGTTACTCCTGAGCGAAGGAGGTCCAGGCAGACATCTGGACAGTATGTCGACCCTGAAGACGAAGAGGACTACCCCGAGGGCGATGTGTTCAACGAAGAGGACGAACTCGAAGGGGATGTCTTCGACGACAATCCCCGGCGAAGTGCTGCCGTCCGGGCAGACGTTCCGCCTGCCAAGAAGTCCCTCTCTAGACGTGATCGAGAGGCTCCTAGAGAGGCTGTAAAGAAGCCTCCCGCCTCGAAGTCTTCCTCTCGTGCAAAGAAAGACACGGACGACTTCGCTGCTGTACCCATAGGCTCCGCCGCCCTGGGCTCGAGGAGAAGAAAGCCTAAGAAAGCGCGCGAGGCCACCCAAGTCTCTGAAGGCGGGGCCGGTACAGAGTCTGAAAATGAGATGACTCCTGCCTCCCCCGTTCACAGCAGAAGAGCGAGGGCAGCGCAGACTCACGACCACGACCACGACCACGATGCTGCCCTCGCTGGAGCCGCCGGAGTCGCTGGTGCTGCCGGGACTGCCGCTCTGGCCAGTGGCGGCAGAGACGATCGTCGACGCAACTGGGGTCGTAGAGGCAAAGCTCAGGCCGCCGCTGGACAGCAGGATACTCGAGACCCTGAGAAGGCTGAATTCGCTGCGATGCCATCGGGGCATCCCACCTCGGTCGATCAGAAGGGTCGCGTGTATCCTCTGACGGGTATTGACAACCTCGCTTTGCTGATGGAAGATGATGGCTATCAGACGGCTTGTTACAGCATGTATCTGTTCAAGACGGAGCTCGACTATGATACTGTGCTGCGATTCTTCCAGCAACTCGCACAGGCCTACCCCAAGTATCGATACGTCGTCGAGCTGAACCCGTCCGTAGCCAAGAAGAAGGACAAAGCAGCTCTCCGTGGAACGCAGCCCCAACAAGAGGTCAAATTTGACCCTGGGCGCAGAACGCTCTATTCAAAGACCATTGCAGCTGGAGGTCATCTGAAGCCGGCCAAGTGGCGTCTGGATGAGACGTTCGACATCGAGGACAATATCAAAGTCGTCAAGGCTCCTGGAAACGGCACGGACGAGGATCTCTTCGAACTCTGCGGCCAGGTCCTGGGGACGCATTTCGACTACAGCAGGCCACTGTGGGAGGCTGTACTTGTTCACGGACTCGACACCTCAGAGGGCGCTCGTTCTGGCTTGATGATCAAGATTCATCATGCCTTCTCTGACGGACAGGGAATGATCCAATCGTATCACTCTGCGCTAGAAGCCCTTTCGAAGGGCAAAAGCATTGGCGCCCAGCAAAATGAGATCGACCGTAACGCCATGAGCGGTGCTCAGGCCAAGAAGAACGCAGAGAAGCGCTCGGGTGGCAAGGAAGAGGAGCAGAAGAAGGTCGGCAGCCGAGGCGTGAAGCCGACGATGCTTGGCACAGTCAGCCACTCCTGGCATACCGTACGAGGTCTCTACTTCCGTAAACGCACTGCCTTTACATACTCTGACAAGGCTGCCAAGCATGCTGTGGACATCATGGGAGGAAAGCTCGCAAAGAATGGTCGACCATCTGGACGCTTTTACGGCCATAGCGACGGTATCAAGATGGACGACATCAAGCTGATCCGCAAAGCATTCTCCACCAAGAAGGCTGATCTCACACTCAACGATGTTGCTTGTGCGCTACTCAGTCGAGCACTCCGCCTCGCTGCCGAAGATCTAGCGGCACGGCAGGGCAAGAAGGTCAAAGACAAGCGCGTCGCCGTCTTCATTCCTGTCAGTAAACGTCCACCGGGAGACTGGAGCCTAGCCAACTATACTACGGGTGCTATTGCCTGGTTCCGCTTCCACTCTCCAGACAAGTTCGGCTTCGAGAAGCTTGTAGAGCAGTGCAATCGGGAAATGACGAGGATCAAGAAGTCACACTTGCCCACATTGACCTTCAAGATGTTCGACATGGTATGCAAGCGACGCATCATGATGATGCCCAACTACCCGGTAGCCAGGTCCTTCTTTCAGAGGGCATACACACAATACTGCGTCTTTACGAACATTCCAGGACCGGCAAAGCCAGTGAGGTTTGGAGAGCACGAAGCCTTCTCGTACCACTGTCTCCCGCCTTCCTCCCCCGGAAAGTCGACGATGGCCATTGGAACCATCTCGTACGGAGGAGCCTTCTCCCTCGCCGTCTCGTGCGACGCCATCGAGGAGTGGGACCAGGACCATCTAGATTTGCCGGGGACAATTTGCGACGCGTTCCAGGAGGCTTCGGAGGAGCTGATTGCTGCTGCGAAAGAACGCTTGAGCAGCGGATGAAGTGACGGGGAGGAGATGTCCGCTTATATTGTTTGATACCCCATACCCAGGCATATGCTTACAAGGCCGATGCGTCTCCTGTGTCTTGATACAATGTTTCTTTCTACAATAACCCGCCTACTTGTGACTGGCAAATTTGTCTTTGTTCTTCACCACTTACAATATGAAACAGATAATACTAACATGCCTGCACGCCATCTTCTGCTTGCATTCTAGTGCCCGAAGATGTGCCCGAAGCCTTTGCGCTGATCACACTTCTTGCATTGTCTGACTTTTCGATCGATCGATCCCGATCTCTGGAGGCGTGGATCACTGAAGCCGTCGGACTGACATTGAAGCCCTCATGCAGCTATTCTGAGAAGCGCGAGAGCCTTGCCAGTCATTGATTGGGGCGCAGGCGGTCAAGGGAGAGAAAAAAAAGGGCCTCAACAAAATTTGTTCAATCGATATGGGGCCGTAGCATCGCAGATCAGAGACCTATACGGTCTGCGCTTGCCTTGGGTGTGAACAAGATCGATGCTGACCGCACTGATGCTCACTTGCTTGCACTTGACTCCACTCCACTCGAGGGAAAAGTGGCAAAGAGCCACTGGGCTGCTACGCACGGAATTGTCGGATCAGCCCGGGAAGCCTCTTAGGCAGTGTCGCGGACGGGCGGGCGGGCGGAACGGCGCAGAAGCCAAGGAAGGAGAAGGAGTGGTGTGGAGGCGCAACAGCACGCACGCAGGCAGGCGCACTGGGCGCATCGTCACGAGGCAGGGAACATGAAAGAGATTGCACATCAACCCCGAGTTATCGATCTTCTGTTTCTAACCAACACTACGAACATCACCTCATACATACATACCACTTGATCACTCTTTCATCTCATCATGGGTATGTATCACCAACTGAAGTTGTTCCCTTGCTCTGCAAAGAGTACGACAGGATGCTCTTGACGAAGGAGAACGAGTCTGACCTTCTCTTGTCACCTTTGCCTTGCCTGCTTTTCTTTGACCCTCAGGTCTCACTGAAATCGCACCAGCTGGCGTTGTTGCCGGAAAGGACGTCGTGAGTATCGTCCAAGGATGGAAAGAGAGCTGGGTGTGCCTCTTTGGTGCTGTCTGGAGCTTCGAGTCAGTAGCTAGCGAAACGTCCGCTGACCACTTGTCACACCCCCTCTTTCTGCTTCTCTGCCACTTCAGTACAAGGTCTTCGACTACGCCAGGAAGCACGGCTTTGCCATCCCCGCTTTCAACGTGACGTGAGTGCTTCATGGCTTAGTGACGCTGCTTGTCTCGGTATTGGCGTACTGACCCTTACCCCTGCGCTCACTCTGCTCTTCCGCAAATAACAGCTCGTCCTCTACTGCTAACGCTGCTCTCGAGGCCGCAAGGGACGCCAAGGCCCCTGTCATCATCCAGGTCAGCCAGGGTGGTGCCGCTTACTTGTGAGTACCTCGAGGTGCAAGTTACGCAGAGAGACCTGCAGGCTCTAACCCCACGGATCTTGTCCACTTACCTTCCTGCAGCGCCGGTAAGGGTCTGCCCAACGACAAGCAGCAAGCCTCTATCAAGGGAGCCGTTGCCGCCGCCTACCACGTCCGAACCGTCGCCAAGGACTACGGCATCCCCGTCATTCTCCACTCTGACCACTGCGCTAAGAAGCTCCTCCCTTGGTTCGATGGTATGCTCGAGGCTGACGAGGAGCACTACAAGCAGTTCGGTGAGCCCCTCTTCTCTTCGCACATGCTCGACTTGTCCGAGGAGCCCAAGGAGGAGAACATCGAGATCTGCCTCAAGTACCTCGAGCGAATGGCCAAGATTGGCATCTGGCTCGAGATGGAGATTGGTATCACCGGTGGTGAGGAGGACGGTGTGAACAACGAGGACGTGGACAACAACTCGCTCTACACTCAGCCCGAGGACATCTGGGACATCTACAGCCAATTCTCCAAGATCACCCCCAACTTCTCCATTGCGGCTGCCTTTGGTAACGTGCACGGTGTATACAAGCCTGGAAACGTCAAGCTGCACCCTGAGCTGCTGCAGAAGCACCAGAACTATGTCAAGGAGCAGCTGAAGACCTCCGACGACAAGCCCGTCTTCTTTGTCTTCCACGGAGGCAGTGGATCCGAGAAGAAGGACATCACCGACGCCGTCTCGTACGGTGTGGTGAAGATGAACGTGGACACCGACACTCAGTTTGCCTACCTTGAGGGTATCCGTGACTACGTGCTCAAGAAGAAGGACTACCTCATGTCGACTGTAGGTAACCCCGAGGGCGCTGACAAGCCCAACAAGAAGCAGTTTGACCCCCGAGTGTGGGTCAGGGAGGGTGAGAAGACGATGAGCAAGAGGGTGACGATTGCCTTTGAGGACCTGGGAAGCAAGGGTCAGTTGTAAAGCGCTGTGCCTTGTTGCACGATAGTGAAGCTATTGATTGATCGACTGGAGAGGGTGGAACAGCAGCATGATGTGTCTGTCTGGACCCAAGTGAATCACATTGCAATAATAAACTATATGGAAGTGTGGAGTGAGACTGTGCAGTTGCTCATTGCCCATCCTTGCCTTGCCTTGCTCTGCCGAAGAGGTCCGATGGTGCGTGCTGGGGGGGCGGCTACCGTACCCGAACCTCCATTGCGATGTGCGTGCGCATGTGCGTTGCCCCCCCTTCTTCGCAGCCTCTTGTCGCTTGAGCTTCTTCGCGCGCGCGCCTCGTCTGGGCAGGAGCGTGAAATTCGCGCGTGTGCTTCCCGCTTGGCTGCCAGCCAGCCAGCCTCGGCAGCGGGCCGGTGTGGTGCGGCTCCAGTGCCGCTGCTACCTTGCCAAAGCTCTACAGCACCGCTCGACTGCCTGCGCCGGCGCCTGCCGCCCGCTTAGCACCATCACGACCAAAGGCAGGCAGGCAGGCAGGCGAGCGACCAGGCAAGCAGCAGCAGCAGCAGCAGCCAAGGCAGAGAGCCAGAGAGAGACAGAGACGGGGAGCGAGCACCTCACCCCCCACCTCACCACCCTCTTCCACAATCCCGGCTACAATCATCATTACCATCATCCTCCCCTTCTTCTACATCCACTATTCTTGACGACCCTCTCACGACCATTGCGCATAAAAAGGAGATAGCCTCGTGGCCACAGATCCAAAGTGATCCGCCCTTTCTATCTCTCTCGGCCCCTCCGTCTTCCACGCTCCTTTGCACTTCTTCTCACCGCCACGTCGCTCAGCCACGCTTTGACTAAAGTCGCTCCTTTACATCCATACTCGTAACACGTTCCTGGCGATTCGCACGAGCAGGCAGACAACCCCTTCAGCCCAATCAAGGCTGTGTTCCCGTGCCTTGTGCCTTTTCGGCCCAGTCACCGCCTCACCCGGCCGGCTGGCAACGCTGAGGCCCCCCTGACCGTGTTGGTCTCAGCACTTTTGCAAAGCCCCGCCTAGATACGACCGAGGACAAAAACAAACTGGCATTGAAGGCGAACAACGAACAGTGCCACCTCCTCTAGCGCATTGCGCCCAGCGGCCTTGCCCCCCGCAAAGTCGCTGTTGCTCATCCCTTGTCAAACTTCGCCCCGGATGAAAGCTGCTGCTGCTGTTGCCAGCCCCGTCATGGGTCCTGGCTTGGATACTCCTGCGACGGCGGCAGTCACTACCCCCGGAAGCGGTGCAGATCGACGGCCCGGATCATCGAGAGTAAGAAGGCCGCCTAAACGGTTGCTCTCACCGCCACCGCAACCCCGGCAGCAGCGACAGCACTCGTCCCTGTCTTCTTCCCCCGTGCCCCCGGCCCCATCATCATCATTATCAACCACAACAACAACAGCCACGCTCCCTTCTTCGCCAACCTCCTCCATTCAGACATCAGCGAACGCAATGGCGGCCCAGGCGTCCGACAAACCCACTCAATTACAGCGCTCATCTTCATCGTCTTCGCGTCCTGAGATGAAGGCAACTCGGGTAGCGTCTCCCAACGTCATCGCCAAGAGCGATGGCAAGAACACCAACAATAGTAGCAGAAAAGCATCATCAGCAAACAACACAACAGCCGACCAGACCACAGGTACCTCTCCCGTCGAGGCCAACGATTGCCAAGCAGCAGATGCTGCTAACGCAAGCCAAGACGACTCATCCACTGGTCCTGGCAAGCGTAAGCGCAAGCCTAGCACGCTAGGTCGCCCACCTTCCACCATCACCATAGCACCATCTCCTTCCCCTGCTGTCGCCTCAGGCAGCAGCAGCAGCGCCTGCAGTAAGCGGGATGTCAGCGTCGGTATCAGCTCTCAAAAGAGTAGGACTTCCCCATCCATCTCAGGAGCTTCTTCGTCGGAGCCAGGCAAATTACGTATCAAGGTCAGACACTCAGCGGGCTCTTCCTTAGTGAAGAGGCCGAATCTGCCTAGTGTACGCGAGAATACGGCAGGGTATGACTCCGACGGAGGGCAGGCTGCTCCGCTTCGAGGTGAAGGCTTGCCGTATTACATGGAGGCAAAGATGCGGGCAGCGAGGGACGATGGCATGGAGGTGGACGAAGAGGGAGACATTGATGATGTGGACCATCTCGCTGCCCCGCCGCTTTTCTACCAGCGAAGCCGATCGGGACATGCAGCCATTGGCAAAGCTTCTTCAGAGCTGAGGAAGTCTTCATCTGCCGCTACAAATGGTCGCAAACGGGCAGCGCAGTCCAAGGCCCCGTCCGGGATCTCTGCAACTGTCACGCCGCTACAACAAGGACAGTCTCGTCAATTGCTTCTCAAACCACAACGACAAGTTGGCCACCATCGAACCAAGTCGATGCCTTCCATCTCGAGTCAAGTGTTGCCTAGCATCTCCCGCTGTCAAAGGAGCTCACTAGAGACTGCAGACCTCGGAGACGTGTCTGGCGCAGAGACCACAGATGCCGAGGATGAGGACGACTTCCACAGGGAGATGATGGAGGCGGACTTTGACGCCTTTGACTCTGGGGAGAGCTGGATGGGAAAGTCGGGAGAAGTTGACACTCCTGCGACCACACCTCGGAGCCCTCAATCGACCTGCGATCCTCTTTCTGATCACCACGAGGCGGCCTCCTCTGGCAAAGCTTCTGTGCGAAGCTCTTCGGATCCAGAGATTTCAGCCGTGGCTCCTGCCATGGTGGACACTTCAAGCAGTGAAAATAATGGCAGCAAGACCAAAGCTTCTTCGAAGTCTGACAATGCGAAGGCTGTCAAGAAGGAAGTGGACAGCAGTTCTACCGAGTCCTCTCGGGACGCAGTCTTTGCCCATGCACTCCCTCCTTCTTCGAGAAGGACGCAGACTCATGCTGGACTTCTGACTCTGTCGCTGCCATATGATGAAACGAAGGTCTATACTTCACCCATTGGCAAACAGGGCATGACTACCCCTACCCTCAAGCGCAGTGCAACGGGGCATGGTGGCGGAGTCCGGGTCGTACGCATCAAGGAGGAGGACGACGAAGAGGATGAATCAGCTTCGCATCAGCTCTTGCGTCTACTGCACGACAGCGCTCAAGCACGTCTCGAAGGGCGCTCCAAAGCTGACGAACATGACGAGACCACCTCTCCGCCGCTGAGCCCGACTCAGGCTCTTCTCAAAGCTGGTCCAGGCCGTGAGAACCACCTGAACCTACCAGGCACGGCTTCCTTGACCAGCAGTCCATTCCTTTCTGCTGTGCATCACCATGCAAGCAGCGTGAGCCGCCCCGGCACCCCTCCCGCTGGCTTCAACCTCCCGCCATCCATCGTAGCAAGGGAAGAATCGCCTGCCGCCTCACCTGCTTCGACACGTCAAGACCTGCGCGACGTCTCTCCATTCCCCAGTGGAGCTGAGGATGAAGGCGAAGGAGTGGATGGTTCGTCGAGGAGGACAGATAGCTCGCCTCTGCACGCTGAGGATGACGAGGACGGCAACGATTCGCCCTCCCACCTTAGTGCCTTCTCGCCAGAAGCCACCACCGCCGACTTGCGCGACCCACTGTTTAGTCTGCCGGAGACGATGGACCTGGATGACATCGATGTTGCCTACGGTGGGAATGGTAGGGCTGCTCTGCTCAGCTCCTCTCAGGCCAGGCATGCCGCCATGGTGTCGAGTGGACAAAGCATCAGCTTGCGCGTCGAAAGCGTCGTCGCACCCGAGGATGGCAGTCGTCTTGAGCAAGAACAGCAGAAGGGAGGACTGTCGCAGCTACCTAGCCATGTCACGGAAGAGACAGCGACGACCAGTGAGGAGGACAAGATGACCGCTCAGCCAGCTGCAAAGGGCCGACGTCGCGGCGTCAAGCGGGCATCTGACGTCTTCGATGACAAGGTTGTTGCGGCAGAGGAGAAGGAGGAAGAGGTCGCCCCTGTGAGCTCTGCACACACCACACCAGCGCGCAAAACCCGCAAAGGAGCTGGCGAGGCAACTGCCTCTGCTGCGAATGAGCAGATCTCTACTGTCAGTGTCAACGACGTTGAAGCAGAGGTAGCTCAGAAAGCTGTCAAGGCGACCACGCCTCTGAAGAACAAGAAGAGCAGTCGCAATTCTAGTGGCGGAGCGGCTGCAGTGCAAGTGACGCCATCATCAGGTCGCAAGACAGCAGCGAGCAAAGCCACTAACGAAGAACAGTCGGCGGCAGCACTAGCGGAACAAGACGCAGAGGATCTCGATGCAGCGGAACGAGAGGAGGTGGAGAAGCAGCACATGCCTGTTACCCCTACGCCCGCGGCGAGCACGCGAAGGAGCGTCAAGACACCTAGCTCTGTTCCTGCCTCTGCAAAGAAGCAGAAGACAGTTGTGGACGTCGTCGAGAAGAAGGAGGAAAAGGCGGCAGTCACTCCTCTGAAGAGGACACGATCCAGAAAAGGAGGAAAGTAGATTGAAGCCGATGAAGCGGATGAGGATGAGGATTAGGATGAGGAGAGAATAGGCGCGATCGTCAATAATATCAGGCCGCACGTGCTAGGCTAGAAGACGGAGAAGGCAGGGCGTAGGCAGGGAAAGCCAAAGGGGGAGTCAAAAAGCGATAATGATACTTGAAGATATTGAAAACCCACTCTACTTAACTCTGTATTACCACCATCCACCCACCACTTGAATTGACCTGCTTGTTTGGTTCGTACGCATTCTCATTCGCGCTCAGTAGAGTCGGGCTGGCCATTGCTCGCTATTGCTTTCTCGGGAGATTGGAACTAGAACTGGGATTGGCATTGTGATTCGGCTCGTCTTCGGTACGCACGCGTGATACAGTACAGCACAGAGCCCACAAGTGATCCAACACAGTCCGCCACCGAGACAAGCGTCTATTATTGCACCTCAGAGCATCTCCCTCCATCTGAAATGTCGGGACAATTTAGCTCAGTTGGTTAGAGCGTGGAGCTAATACGCTTCGACTGGTACAAACAGTCACAAGTCTTACTCCAAGGTCAACAGTTCGAGCCTGTTACTTGTCATCTTCTCTTTTTTTTTTTTTTTTTTTTTTTTTTTTTTTTTTTTTTTGCGCGAGTGCGATTCGTTCCAAGGCGGGAAAGGAGGTTTTTTTTTTTTTGGCTTCCACTCACGCAGTCTCCTCTTCCAATCGAGGCAGTCACTACGCTCGGTGTCACTGTTTGGTCAAGGAATTGTTGAATATAGTCATTACGGTAATGCTGTGAAGTTGGTATCCAAAGATCGGGTCCGCCGCTTCCTCCTCTCCAATTCTTCCACTCCCTCCTGTTCCGACGAGGTACCGGCTCGCAGTCTTCCTCATGGACGCCTCCTGAACCACAAGACATACGGGCTATTGCTCATAATCCTCCTCTCTCCTTCGCTCACCGCACTCCCCGAGGGACCCACAGTACGTGAATCGTCGCAGTACCACCATTGGCCTGCACTCTTGATGCTAGCGGTGTAGTGACCAGTATTGAGGCTGCCAAAGTGATGCGTCACGCTGTACAGGTCGTACACAAAGGGCGGCACCTGACTACGCGAGGTGGGCACTCCTTGGCTGGTTGCATAGGACTTTGCCAGGGCGGGGGAGAGGGGCGCAGGGACGTAATTGGTCAAGTCGAGCCCTTGGATGGGAAACGTTACCTGCGTCTCGATCTTGTCTGTAAAGGGACCCTTGAAGGAGAAGCGCTTGAGGTGGATCAAGAGGATCATCGGCAGGCGAGAGATGCTCAGCCGCTTTGTTGCCTTGCGAGGCTTCTTGCAGGCGGGACAGAACCACGCGTCGGCCTTGTCCATGACTTCCTCCTTGACAAAGGCGTCCAGACATTGGAAGAGCGTCGCCTTGGTCACGCCGCGCCCACTTGGAATGGGCAGCGAGAGGTACATAAAGGCATTGTACGTCGTGGAAGTCTTGCCACACGTCAGACAAGTCATCTTGTTGCGGAATTGACCTTGGAACCAGTCCACGATGAGGGAGTCGTTGCGCTGACGGTAGATGGTCCACTCCTTTACGCTTGCCACTTGTTGCGGAAGCGTCTCCAGCTCCTCCTCTCGCTCCGCAGTCATGTCTACAGGAGGAGGCTTGTGCACGACGTAGTTCAGGTCCTCGTGCAGACCGTCTAGCAGAAAGGCTAAGAACTCCTGACTGTCGTGCTGGTCATAGCCTCGGAATGTCGAGGCAAAGCGCGAAATGGCTTCCCGGAACGTCACCGGAGATACAAAGGTATACTGTTCTGACCACATGACTTTGAGCAGATGCGCAAAGGCTTCTGCCAGGGCGCCCTGAGTACCAAGAGGGTTCACCGTATTGATGGCCTTCTTGTAGCTCCCGTCGAGCATGAACTTGGCCAGAGGGATCGTCGCACTCAGGCACTGCAGAGTCGCATTCTGATAACAGCTGTTCCCCACATTCTTGAGACCGGTAAGTCCTATCCGTAAGTCGTCAAAGGCCGGAAGCATGCGGATGTTGGTCCTCGAGCCTGCGGATGCTAATGCTGTGTTTGGGATGTTTGGAGGCCTACGAGATACTTCCGGTGAAGTTTGACCACGCGCAGCAGCAGACGCCGGCGATGACATTGACTGGGTATGGGCATGAGACGTCATAGACCGAGTAGAGATACCATTGGAAGGGACAGCAGCAGGAGGTGGTTGTGGAGCACTTTTCAGTTGGGGGTAGTCGAAGCCGCCAGACATTGAGCGGCCAGGCATAGAAGGCGCGGATGAGGGCATAGCGCTGCCATATGGTATCGAGGGCTGACTTGGGAAGAAGCCATCCCTTGCACCTGCAGAGGGAGGGAAGCTCGGTGCTCCAGCAGGAGGAGCTGAGCCCCCAGGCGTCATGGGACCTTGATACGCCTTTGCAGGGACAGAGAGACCGGCGTACTGGGCACCAGCCGAGAACCCACCAGCGCCCACTCGATATGTCAAGGTGGGAGACTCCCTGCCAGACTGCTCTTGGGCAACAAAGCCCTGCCGCCTTTGCTTCTTGAGCAGCTCATCCTCTTCCTGTACCGATTGTCTCCGGAGCGAGGCTACTGGCGGAGGACCTCCTCTTGCAGCCCTGCCATTTGTATTTGCCCCGTGCGAAGGGCCGCCAGCAAGAGCAGTCCGGTCCTCTACCTTGTGTCTCCAGCTTTCCCAGCCACCCACAAGCAGCAGTGGAGCATTCTTCAAGGTCTTTGTGAATTCTTGCTCGTAGATGGCCTTGACGACGATGTCAAGATTTTCCCAAGCTCTCAAAGCCTCGTCGTAGGTTGGCCAGCCATGGACCGCAGGGTTGTACCCGCTAGCATTGGGCAGCCCCAGTGAGCGGGTACTGCGATCGTAGACCACCACAGCATCAAAGGCGTTGCGATTGGCAAATGCGTTCTGCTCGACCGAAGGCGCAAGCAGTAGCTTGTCCTCCAGCTCGGCGGACGTCATTCCCCTCCGGAGTATCACTCCGCCCTCGAGGCAGACGGCTTCTGCGACTGAGCCTATCCCGACTCTTCCGGCCTGGAACTCCTCCCTCGATCGCAAATCCAACAGCAAGATGTCTGCTCCGCGCTTCCGGACCATTCTCGTCTCGCCCGTGGCCCCGTTCTCGTGAGGAGAGGCGCCGTTGCTAGCCTGCACTCTCTCGAAGCCTGGATTCAGTAACGACCAGAGCTCTTCAACTTTGATGTGGTTGCCCCTAGGAATTGCCGCCTTTGGGCCTGCTGTCTCTGCACTCTTAGGCCGACCGGGAGCTCTCGAAGCAGATAAAAGCGCTCCTTGACGAGGTGCTGGCGCCTTTGGCTTCGAGCTTGGGGACGGCAACGACGGCGGGGTTGAGCTTGACGGTGCAGCGCTGTAATCAAACGGTCTCGGCACGTCGCGGCCAAGCGATAGCTCCGTAGGCAGCGCAGGAGGGTTTGGCAGTGGTCTCCGAGCGCCAGGAGCGTGCGAGGGCGCCATCGGGAATGCGCCCCCTTCGTCATCTTCCAGATCGTCCTGATCAGCGCTTTGAGCTTGAGGATTGGTGGTTGGTACGGGAGGGAGACGGTCCGGATGGGGTATCACCTGGTCGAACTCGTCCAATGTCGGGTATGTATGCTTGAAGTGGGCTACGTTGGATAGTGGCGCAGTCGATGAGCCGATGTCTTCCCCGGATGTTATCGTAGATCTAGCTGGGCTGCCGGGTTCGCTGAAGCGTTTATCCATTGACACTCCACCCATGCCTCCTGACCGTAGTGCTGCGAGTCGATCTGTCAGACTGCTTACATGGTCGGCATCTCCCGAAAGTCCCCCTGCATTGAGGATTGGGGTTTGCGAGCCGGAGCCGGACCCGGTACCTGCTGAATCACGTTGCGCCACTGGTAGGCGGATGGTTGAGTTCATCAACACCGAAGCCGCACCGCCTGCATCTCCTGCCCCGTCCGTCCGGAGCTGTTTAGCCGGCCCAGGCTCTGCTGGGGGCGGAGGTGCTGAAAGGGCTCCGCGATTCAGTGTAGTGGACGTTGAAGGAGAGAGCTGCGCGCTTGATGCTGAGGCTAGTGATGTGGAAGAGGAAGCTCTCTGTCTAGCCTGAAGGGAGGCATTCATCTCCTCCCTCTGCTTTAGCGTATCCTCAATCCTGGTTGCCCTGGAGATGACATCTGTCAGCCTCTGCATGAGATCCTGATACCTGTAGTACGTCTGATTCCTGGAGGCGACAATCTGTGGCCATTCTGGGTGCTTGCTGATGAACGCAGCAACATTAGCTGCCTTGATGTAGTTGACAAAAGCTGATTCCAAGTGGCCTTGGCGATCACTGCCCTCTGCCTTTTCCAGAAGGGCTGCTGCTGCTCCCAGATAGCTTCTGACGGAGAAGGAGGGATCTAGGCTGGCTCTTGCCTGTCTTCTTAGATTGATTGGGTGGTTGGGCGACAAGACAGATGACCCCGAAGAGGCAGGCAGGGCAGACGAGGATGAGGAAGGCGCAGTCGTCGTCTTGGCCCTAGGAGACGGTGCCGAGGGGGGCAGTGGTGATTGGCCCCCGTTGGCCGCCGTCGAGGGCGGCATGTCTTAGGAGAGTGGCTCTAAGCGTAGCGGTGAGAGGATAGCCGAGCTAAGTCTCGATGGGCCGGCTCGAGTACCAGCTCAGCAAGAGTGGCCCGAAAGATGTCTGGAGGTGGAGGGCGAATGTAACAAGGTACCAAGAGCTGCAGATATTGCGAGAAATACTGAGCAGTCTGCGATAGTGTTGGAGCTTCTGCTTGACCAACTTGCCCGCTGTTCCAGGCAGAAGTACGCCAGACGTTTCGCGCCAAGCGAAGCAGGATAGGAGGCGTAGATTGACAGTCGCGAAGGGTAAGCAGCTACGCTTCCGTCTGCTGCTCTCTGAGGGGCCCAAGGGACAGTGCCCGCTGCAAAAGGCAAGTGGGGTACAGCTCTAGACTGATGGCCGGTCGTCAAGGTCGTGATGAATGAAGAGACGAGCGTGGGGAAATCTAAGCGAATGGCAACTCGAGATGGTCGCAGAGATCGTTGGTGGTGAGTGCCAAGGTGGAAGTCTCACGGCCACCGGTCTACCCACGCCTGCCTCGGTCCGGAACGCGCAACCCCGCTGCCTCATTTCCGCGCCTGGAGGTCCTGCTACAGTACGTTAGCTCTTACGATACAATCGCAGTGATAAGTGCATTGCGCCTTCATTACTGTTCAGTGCCCTTGGTAAGATAAGCTGTATTTCCGATGGACAGAAAAATCTAGGTGACTGCTACAAGCGATGGGACTTTCTGTAAGTCTCCTGATCTATGCTTCCTTGGGGCATTGTCCGGGGATTTCCCAACTCCACTTCAGTACCCAGATTCTCATGGGTACCGCTCCACCAGCATGGAGGAGCCAATGAGAGGCATACCGACTCATCTACTCATCGCTTCTTACTATTACGATTGGAGCCGCCATTGGCAAACACCCCGCTCGCCTTGGCCACGCCATTTTCACGCGGCCCGCTATCCAGCTTCTTCATCTTCTCTTCCGCTGCGCTTTCTGCCCTCTGCACACTAGACGTAGCAGAAGTCGTTCTTTGTCTGCTGTATGAGCGTACAAAGAATCTTAAAAAGAGTATGATCAGAGGGAGCATATAGGCTGTGTTGAAATGCAGAGCGAGGCCCGATCCCGCGTATTCGAGACACTGCCCCGGGAGGCGCGACGAGGCCCGTGCTGCAGCCGATTGAAAGAGCTCCCTCCCGGGCGAATACGAGGATGTTGAGGAGGAAGAGCTCGATAGCGGCGGGGCCACGGACAAGACGTGCTGTAGAATCTCGTCCGCCGACTTGCCCTTTACAGCGTCTAGAAAGCCGAGCTTGGACAGGCCAATGAGCATGCTCCGAGGGTGTAGCGTAGAGACCCAGTAAAGGTTTGTGATCACCACTCCTGATGTGATCTGAAGGATTTGCAGCGTCGTGAGGTTCCTCTTGAGCTGGCGGGGGAACGGCCACTTCATAGCTGCACAGAGGTAGTAAGTATACATGGCTGTGTGTACGCCCGAATTGAAAGTGACGAAGACCCAGACCGGCGTGGCTTGGTATCTGTAAGCAATCCACATGGCTAGGAGAGCCCCAGCGTGATGGTAGGACTGGAGGTTCGAAACAACTTTGCCCTTGAGGACGAGAATGGCCGAGTCTATCACCTCGTAGTACTTTGACATGTAGAAAAGCCAGGCATATGGAGCAAGCGTGACGGTGTTGGTCGGCATAGAGCAGAGAGCGAGCCTCATACCGGGGAGCCCAGCAGCTCGATACCCCACAAGGAAGGAGCGAAGGACTACGGGGAGCATCTGGTAAAAGGTCCATGCGCTGTACAAAGCTAAGAAAGCATTGTGCAGGATCACTAGGAGCCTCAAGAAACTCGCAAAGATACTGCTGCCTTTTGTGAGATCCCTGCTGGCGGCTTTGCCATTCGCGGGTCCGCCCTTGTGCTCCTCGGCGAAGAAGTGATTCGCTGCGTGTGCTACAACATAGTAGACCAGTGAGAAGACGATGGGAACCGAAGCCTGCAAGGACCACTCGTATGTCGAGTTTCCAATCCGATCTAGCGGTGCAGGCCACGAGGAAGGACCTGGAGGATAGGGCACGGCCTGCAGGCGCTCGAGGAGGGTGGAAGAGGGATCGTCTCGAGGGCCCGCGGCGAGCAGCAGCTGCGACACCACCGGCACAGACAACGACGACGACGACATCGTGAGGCTATACCGCCGTGGCGAGGATGACTAGGTATTGATGGACGAGCGTGAAAAGACGAAGATGCTGATCTAATACTGATGCTGCGACAGACATCATGCATCGGGTCTTCTCTGTTTCCGTCGGCGAATTGTCTACCGCCGGGAACTCCACTCCCGGAGTCTCCTCGTCTCGCTTCTTCTAATCACCTCGCGTTGATTTGAGGAAGCTCACGTACAACCACAACCACGCCACTACGATCGGTCCAATGGGCCGACATAGCGTCTTCGTCCACCCCAGAGTATGCTCGGGCCACTTCGTCCAACCAACCTAAACAAAGTATATAGTGAGCCAACGTCAGCGTGGTCTTCGCATGTGGACTTCACTCCGTTCGGCGTAGTGATGAGCTGGTGAGATCATGGCAATGTAGATTAGATGTTGGAACGTTCCTGCTGAATGTGAGAGATATACAACATGTCTATGCCTGCCGAGGGTTCCGCTGGACTGGCATCATCTATAGTGCAGACTGATCTGCACTCTTCTGCTGAGGCGATGCCGGCTGTCTAAGAAATTTAATCACCATCCCATCCCAGGCCACCCTCAGGGCAGGTACATGCCTCTCATCACCGCTAGCGCTGCCTCCGATCCTGTTCGAAGTACCGTCACTCTGGTTGTTCTTGAGCTTGGACGCTAGACTGGGCTCAACCTGGATGCGCCCTGTCATCTCTCCCTTATCCTCATCCCAGACTTCCGACCACCAGCGGGCACCACTACCTTCCCCTCTCCTTTCTCGGCTCTTGCCATTGGTCGTATCCTTTTGCTCCGTCGTAGCAAGCGAAGAGGGTGAAGTAGAAGAGATCCAGCTCTTGAGTGATGAGCAGAATTTATCCAAGTCTTGTTGAAGTGCATGATGCTCGATGCGATGCGTGATGTCGGTCAAAATGCCCAAGGATGGTCCTGCTGAAGCAAAGGAAGGCTCGTTCTTGCCGCCGCTTGTACGGGACTCGTCCTGGGGCAGGCTCAGAAGCAGGCTGACAGCCTGAGAGGTAGAGAAATGGCTTGGGTGTCTCCGAGGCATCAGTGAGTCTATCACTACGCAGTCCGATCCGGCCATGAGCTTGGCTGTAGAAGGTGGAATATGATGACAGTCTGACACGTAGCTCATCGAGTCTATTCTGAAGCCTAGTGTGTTGAAGGGAGGGCCTCCGCGACTGGCAAAGCCATGATACACCGGCAACGGAGTGATCTGTATGCGTTCAGAACCTTTGCCAATGAAGAAGGGCTTGTTGGGATCGATGATGTTCCAACGTAGTGCCCCTACACCTCCTCCCCCGGTAGCTTTACTGACATCGGCCAGGTATGGAAATGTGCTGACCGCCACGTCCAGGGTCTCCTTTGTCACATAGACGTCTACATGGTTCTGCAGTACACCTCCCATTGTCCATGCTCTCAGGTTGTCCAGACCTAGAATTGCATCTGCGTGGCCATGGGTCAGAAGAACTCCGGCGATCGTTCGGGGTACCTTGTTCGGCCGGAAGTAGTCCACACAGGCACCGTAGAAGGTGGGACCAGCGTCGATCACAATCAGCTGCTCATCTTCGTAGGCGCTGTCTGGCCTTGACGACTTGCGGCCGCCTCCAACAAGGGCTACACTGCAACAACCCCTTCTATTCCTGCTGTCAGGCTTGATAGCATCGGCGCAAGCTTCGCAGTCTATGACATCCGCGGAAAGACAGTGAATGGCGGGAACTTGGCCTGAAGTACCTGTTCCCAGAAATACAGCTCTATTAAGCCACGTGGATCGAGGGGAGGGCAGTTTAGTGGGGACCTGTGAAGAGGAGGAAGAGGAAGAAGGTCCATTTGAAGCCTCGAGTGAGGTAGCCATGCTGAAGATGAGGGGCGAAGGAAGAACAAGAAGCTTATGAAGGACCGCCAAGCGGCCAAGTCATCCCCGACGAGCGGAAAGGCACCACAGATTCTGACTCCACATCGGCTGGCACCGCACCTTGTTGCTCCAGCATACAGCTTCGCCTGCAAAGGCCTTCCACTCATGACCTATGAACAGTCCTAAGCGATTAGTCAAGCGATTCCATTTGCAAGTACAACTATTTGCGATTCAGAACGAGGGTGAGAGGGGCAATTTACACGGGTTTGGAGGAGTGGCAGTAGAACGAAGGATTCAAGGAGTCAATGTAGGGTAGTGAGTGGTAGCGGGTACATAGTATCGTGGCAAAGGGAGCAAGGCGTGTTAGGCAGAAGAGTTCGGTCGCTTCGAAGATCCACTGCCCATGGCAAGGAGTCGATCATAGCTTTCTCTTTAGGCGGCAAAGCTCCAAGCAGCCAATCCTCCGACCATACTGAAGGCCAGTACGACCGAAGAGAGGGCCGCGGACCGGCTCGCTCCGCTGGTACTACTAGTGCTGCTTGCGGTGCTAGTGCTGCTAGTGGCACTACCATCCGAGGAGGAGGAAGCAGCATTCTCAGCTGGCGACGCAGCTTCAGTGCCCCCGCCAGAAGCAAAGACTTTGATGTGGTTGACAGCCCAGTAGGCCTCTTCGTACGAGGAGCCGTTGTAAGCGACCTGGGAAGAACAGCTGCCGTAAGTGGCTGCACAGGAAGTGTCTCCGTAGACGGAATTGGCCCAAGTACCACAAAGAGTAGTAGTGAAGACAATCTGATGAGCTCCGAATTGAGAGCGGCAGTCGGTGACGGGGAAGTCGGCTGCTGGCGTGGGCCAAGCATCTGTGTCTACGGAGGTAGCGTTGTCCGAAAGGCCCTCAGGTACATCGTCGTTGCTGAAGTACCACATGCGGATGCCTTTGCCAGTATCGCCAAGGGTCCTCTCCATTGCGTAGATCCCGCCTCCGGCCTTGTTGAACCCAGTGGCAGTCTCGCCGACTGCGTTCGTTCCGTTCATGAGGACACGACAGCCAGTGTCCGCGGTACAATTCGTGTACTGGAGAGTGCCTGTCATGGTTGTGTCAGCAGAGGCGACGTTACAGGTGGCGTTGGTGTGAACGACTCCGAGATTGGCAGTGTACTGATCGTTGACATTTTCCATGATGTCGATCTCTCCTCCGTTTGGCCAATTGTCGATGTCGGAGGTGACTGTCCACCAGGCGGGCCAGACACTGCATCCTGTGGGTGTGTGAGTGGCATTGAGACTGTGGATGGCGCAGAGCCATTTTCGAGTGGTGGAGGTGTCAGTCTTCTACTCGACAAGAACTTCTGCTGCAGGCTCAGCTCAAGCTCACATGTAGAGTCCATCTGTGAAGTTCTTGTTCGAAAAGATACGGACAGAGGGTCTGCCTTCAAGTTGCGTCGCTGTAGTGTCCACCCTCATGACGAATTCATTGTTATCGTTGATGTAGCTCAAGTTCATTGCCACAGCATCCTCCATATTCTGGTATGTGACGAGACCTGTTCGAGGAAAGGCATGGGAATGAAGTTTTGGGATGTCAGGTAAAGGAAACGGCTTGGCCCAAGATTGTCAAAGTGTTGCTGCTCACCGCCATTAGGGTCGGCCTTGTCCCAGTAATTCCATTCATCGGTGAGAAAAGACTGTGGGCTGTAGTAGTCTGTCATAGACCAAGTCGCAGCTGAGACGGCGGCAGGAAGAATCGCCAGTGCCCAGAGGGCGGTGGGAATGCCCGCAAGAGTTGAGCGCATCTGGGTGGATGTTGAGAGAGTGAGGAGGAAGCAGATGAGGAAGGAAAGAGCTGTTGGAGACGAAGACGAAGCTAAGCAAGATAGACGTATGATACAGAAGGAAGAGGAAAGAGTACGACGACGGAGCCCGGCAATGGCGATGAAGGGATGTCGACGCTTGCGTCGTGGTGGGCCACCATGTTGTCAACCTTTGCGGAGTGCCGTATTTTCCCACTTCCGGTGCTTGCTGCCGCTCTGCGTTTGCGCCTTCCGTCGCCAAGGCGCCGAGAAGCCGATCGCGGAATTGTGCATTGGCGCGTGCATGGAAGGGCATCAGTGGCGCGCAGCTACTGAAAACCTCCGAGGGCTCAGCTCCGCCCCCAAAAGGGCCCGGCAATCGTTTGTTCTTCTCGCAACCAGCCAACAGAGCGGTTCACCTCCAGCGAAGTCTGGTACAAGATGAAAGCAAGGTTTCGTACCGCTAGGCAGGTAACGCGTGCACAGCCTTTTGGCCCGACGTAGCATGGTGAGCCTACCTTACTACATTTGGTGAGCTCAGCCGGAATGCCGTCGCACAGGCATGATCTTATCGCTCTTCGCAATCGGATCGACAACGGCGTGCGAGTTTGAAAAATGTCTATAGCATGTGGTATATATTCGGAAACGAAAGCACGATGACAACGGAAGTAGAACACAAGCGCGAAGGGGTCCACCAGCACGGATCGTACCGAGGGCTGAGTAGACTTACACGAACGGAGCGACGATTCAGTAGCCCACCCCAGACTTGTAGACGGAGAACCCAATCTTCTTGAGCGCCTCCACGTCCTTGACGACATTACGGCCGTCAAAGATGAAGGCTGGCTTGGACATGCTCTGGTAGATTGCCTTCCAGTCCACTTGTTTGGAGCTGAATTCTGTCCAATTGGTCATGAATACGAGTGCAGATGCACCGGCACAAGCCTGCTGCATGGACGGCTCAACAATGTAACCCTTGCCCTTAGTCGCCGTATGAGAGCATGCTCCTTTGGCCATGAGCGCTCGATCGATGGAGGCTTCCGATACTTTCGGGTCGTAAATGTGGACCACGGCACCGTCCTCAAGAAGGTCCCTGCAAACATCGATGGCGGGAGCCTCTCGTGTATCACCAGTGTCGGCCTTGAATGCGAACCCGAGGACGGCAATGTGCTTGGATGTGATCGTCGAGAACATCTTCTGGACGATGTCCTTCGAGAAACGTCGCTTCGTCCATGCGTTCATGACAAGCACTTGCTTCCAATATTCAGCTACCTCGGGCAGACCGAGACTGAGAGAGAGGTAGATGAGATTCTGCAGGTCCTTCTGGAAGCAGCTGCCTCCAAAGCCGACGCCTGCTTCGAGAAACTTGCTACCAATTCTCAGGTCCAATCTGCAAGCTGACGAAACCTCGTGCACATTGGCCTCGGTCTTTTCGCAGATGGCGGCTATGGCGTTGATTGAGGATACCCGCTGAGCAAGCAGCGCGTTGGCTGCCAGTTTGCTCAGCTCGCTCGACCAGAGACCCATGGTGATGATGGCCTCTGGCCTGACCCAACGGGCATATACTTCTGCCAAGCGTTGTTGGGCAAGCTGGCCTCCAGGGGTAGGCATAGCTCCGATCAAGACTCGGGCGGGATCGAGGAGGTCCTCAATGGCGGTGCCTTCCGCCAGAAATTCCGGGTTGGAAAGGATCTCAAACGATGCGTCGGTAGAGGGGCTGACCGCCTCGAGGATCTTGCGCATGCTTTCGGCTGTCCTGCAGGGTACTGTCGACTTCTCGACGATGATCGCGCCCTTCTTGCTTACGGTCGCAATGCGTCGAGTTGCAGCCTCCACGTAGCACAGATCGGCGGCGAGACCTGCACCGATACCGGCTTCCTTCGTGGGAGTGTTGACGGATACGAAGATCAGGTCGGCTGCCGCAATCGATCCGTCGACATCCGTAGAGAAGAACAAGTTGCGACCGCGAGCCTCCTTGACGACGGCATCTAGGCCAGGTTCGAAGATGGGGAGCTCCTCGCTGTTCCAAGCTGCAATGCGTTCTTCGGAAATATCGGTGATGGTGACCTTGATGTCAGGGCATTTCCACGCCAAAACCGCACAGGTTGGTCCACCGACGTAGCCAGCACCGACTGAAAAGCGATTCAGGTCTGTGTCAGCCTCCATACTCTTCCTCAGTACTTCCGGAACCTAGAACACTCACTGCAGCAGATGTTCTTCACAGGGCCTCTTGGTGCATCCCTGCTGTTGTGGTTGAAGTATGAGACGTTGGGGGACATGGTGACGGAGGATCTAGTGTATCGGGAAACAAGAAGCTGCTGCTGACAGACACTCCAGCACAGTAGGATCGGGGAGGTCTTATAAGTCCTTTGACACACATCACACAATCTGTTGCTCTCAAGACGTAGCGACGAATAGAGCCGGATCCGGCCAGGTCGTATCGGGTCGTCCCGTCCTACACCTGCACGCTCCACAACAAATTCTTGCGAGATAAGATGCGTCGATTTGACACCGCTGAGATAGTCTTTCTGTCAACATACAAGTCTGACCACTGGACTGAGCCCTTCTCGGAGGTGGAACAAAATGCAGACATGTCTGGTCGAGCGCAGACGAATAGGGCGTCACTTCCGGAAATGACCGGGAGATCCGCTTTCGACGCGTTCTCCCGCGGGAAGGTGTCAGAGGCGCTCGCCAAGACATCTGGCCTTCGAACGCGCATCAATTAATGTGATCGGGCGGAGTCCGAGTGCCAGACACGGGAAGGACATCATCGGCGACCCATGCAGTGCCTTGCCGACGATTGCTCGCACGAGAGAACATTTCGCAAGTCCGACGACAGGACGGGCGTGAGACGTTGAGATCTGACACGTTTGTCGGCAAATCTCACCAGGGTCTGCCTTTGTCGAGACAGTCGGAGTATGAACAATTTGTCATTCGCCTGATCTCGGAATGTCAGAGACTGTTCTCGTCGGCAGATTGCTACACCTGCTTAGTCGCCGCCTCAGGCCCGACCACCATCCGATGCGGGTCCGCTGGCTCTTGCAAGTAAAGTGGTTTGGACCTGCAGGAAGCCTTACCACATCAGGGAACGCAAGAAACACATCGCCGGGCACCAGACCGTAGCGTTGGCCCGCCGCTCTGCTGATCTCTGCAGACCTCTGGGCACCAAGGCAACCAGAGGCAGTCGAGTTCTTGGCAAGCACTTGCCCTGGTGCGGGTACGTCGGTGCCACAAGTCCTGGTATTCGCTTAGCCGGGATCTATGTGGCTACTCCGATTTTCCGGCGACGCCCACTACAGAAGCTCCCCATCACTGGCCGTATGCCTGCGTCGTCAACGTCGGACACGTTCCATTTGCCATCAATGCGGACCTGGTGGACGTCTTCCATGGAAGTATTCCGAAGCGAGATTCTACGCCCAGATCTTACTCGCCAATTGCTATCGAGTGGTCACGCATCTGGCGTGCAGCGCTGTGGCTGAAGGATGCACTGGGACGGCTACCGTGGCGTAGTGCCTTGAGCAGCCACTTGGGCCCTCGACGAATGTACGATACGGTCCCGATCCTGCCTACGCATTCGAATTCAACGGAGACCAGCAAGCAGCGATGTGTAGCACTGGAGCGCAGTAAGACAAGGAGAAGTTTGGCAGCGAAGACGTGTGCACAGGATGCAGCACAGCAGATTGCTGAGATCTAGCACTGTGTCTCGCGTAGATGCTCTTTGCACCGTCTGTGCAGGCTGAGCCTCGACGACGGACTAGAGCAAGGTTCTGCTAGGAAAGAATGAGCAAGGGAGAGCGTACATGCCTCATGAGTAGACATCCGCAAGCGGACCATCTGCTGATGGTTGCACGTAAAGCTTTGTGAAGGTGAGCTTAGGCTTACGGAGAACCGGAACAGATCCAGGGTAGCTTTTGGTTCGGTGAACTTTAGAGCCCGGAGAATGATGCTACAAAGATTCCTTACATATATGTGGTGGGCGACTGCCAGGTCATTTTCTTCTCCCTTGCCTCGAAAGGATACATTCACCCTCTTGCCTTCTTCAAATCTCTCTCCTCTGGCGTCCTCAAGTCCCCCTCCTCTCGAAGTCTCCAAGTCGCCCCGTTGCTCCGGATCGCCTGCCCGCCACTACTCCCCTTCCACTATCGTCCTTCAAGATGACACCAGGAGATCTCGCCAATGGCCGCTACGTGCCCTCGCAAGAGCTGCGACGAGTACCTGTCGCACATGTCCGTCCCGAAAACTACGAGAGCGATTCTAGCAACAGCAGCCCTGCATCTGTCATGGCTACGCTGCCAAGCTTAGCAAAGGAGCCGGAGTCGCCAGCGCTCGAGTCTCCTGCAGATTCCCCCGCATTGTCTAAAGCGCCAAAGGCCCCATTCGTGTACATGCGTGCCGATTCCGAGAAGACCTCGCTTAGCGACAGCAAGGACATCGCAAGTAGCACACCCCGCTCTGGATCCGAAATCGACTTGGAGAAAGCTGCCGGAACTCCCCCATCGCGCACCAGGAGATTCTTCCGGGCCATACGCCAATACATCGACGGCCACTACATCCTGACCACAAGTTCTCCGGCGATTGTGCTACCCGTAGCACCCAACGACAAGCAGAAGTACTGTTACATCAACACCAAGAGGCCCATCTTCCTCTTGATTGGTCTCTTCGCCTTCTTGAGCTCCAGTGCCGGTCTTTGGCTTTTCGCTCTGAGCGCTCACTACTTTTTGTGGTATGCTCCCATCGTCCTTCTGCTCCAGCTCCACATTTTCCTCTCATACGCCTTGGGAGCTTGTGCCAGAGACTACGACGTCGCGAAGCACAACGAGGTCCTAAAGGAGTTCCCCGTCGCCGCCAATCCTGCTACCGTGGACATCTATCTACCCGTGTGCAAAGAGCCCATGGTCATTCTCCGCAACACCTGGAATCACATTAGCAAGCTGGAGTGGAACCACGGCAAGCTTGCTGTGCACGTTCTTGACGATGGCGCACTCGATGAGGTTCGCGCTATGGCAGAGGAATTTGGCTTCAACTACATTCGACGTGACGACAGACCCTACTTCAAGAAGGCTGGCAACCTGCGATACGCTTTCGCAAGGACTTCCGGTGACTTTTTCGCTGTCTTCGATGCCGACTTCTGCCCACGACCGGACTTCCTTCTGGAGCTCATGCCACGTATGCAGCAGGACCCCAAGATCGCTATTCTACAGACCCCTCAGTACTTCAAGACTTGCCCACAGAACACCTGGGTGGAGCGAGGAAGCAGCGAAGTACAGGAGCTCTTCTACCGCTGGTCTCAAGTCAACCGTGATAGGTGGAACGCCGCAATCTGTGTCGGCTCTAACGCGTTGTATCGCCGAGAAGCCCTCAAGGATGTGGGAGGCACCGCTCTCGTCGCTGCTTCGGAAGACGTTCACACCGGTTTCTACGCCATCACTAGAGGCTGGACCTTGCGCTACATCCCTCTCTGCCTCGCCGCCGGTGTTAGTCCCGACACGCCACGAGCTGCCTTCTCCCAGCAGATCCGTTGGTCTCAGGGTTCCACTTCGCTCCTCATGAACAAGGACTTCCACACATCGGGTCTCGGCTTCATGACTAAGGTCTGCTTCCTCAGCGGCATGCTGTTCTACTGGACTACGTCGATCTCTATGTTCACAACCCCTCTCCCTGGACTGCTCATGGTCTGGCTCAGACCCGAAGCGATGAGGTACTACAACCTGGCGTTCGCACTGCCCTCCATCATCTATGCCCTGTTGGTCTACCGAATCTGGTCTGCTGGCGCCTACTCACTTGCGACCGAGCACATTCGGGTGCTACAAGGATACTCGTACCTCTTCGGTATCGGCAACCGAATCATGGGCAAATCTCATGAATGGGTATCCTCCGGAGCCACAGGAAAGGCACACAAGGGCACCAACACGTACACCAAGGCAAGGATCTTCGCCATCATCTGGACGACCTTGTACCAGGGAGCGTGGCTCTCAGGTCTGGCCACCCAGATCATTCGAGGAGGGCTCATCTGGTGGCACGTCGCACCTCAGATTGTCCTCTATGCTTTCGACCTCTACGTAACACTGCCCTTCCTTCTTACGCCTTCGCACTAGGCAGCGAAGACTTCAAAGGGCTCGCGGCTCTCTTTCGTTTTCTCTTTTTATCTCTTTCTCAGCACAATGGTGCCTTTCATACCCCTTCCGCGCTGCCTAGTTCTTCCCTAGAAAGGTGCTCTTGCCCAACTTCCCCAAGATCGGCGATAGCACTGACGGCAGTCGCTTGCAGAGTCTGTCGACTCACATGGACAATAGAGCCCTATACCCCAGGATTCCTTTCAGAGCAGGCTTATGCTCTGCACAACTGTCACACTTCAGTCCCCTTTTTGACCCGTATGGACAATTCATAGATGCATGCTTTTAGAAATTCCTTGTGCTAGGTCGTGAGCTTCCTGGCCCCGCGTCGGTCATTTCCAATCTTTATGACACACACGTTCTCTAGCGTATGCTTTGCATGAATGAGATACGAGGCGAGAAGTACAATTACAGAGGTAAGGTTACCACGCTCGTGACGCTACAGCTACATCCACGTCCCATCTAGGTCGCAGATCTCTGCTGATCCGTGACGGTCTCTACACCTTCGCGCTCCAGCTGTCTCTGCAGTACCCACCGACTACCCCCCACCCTGCCCGATTTCCATTGCTCCCGACGCCACATTCTTGGCCATTTCCAGTCGTCGTCTCGCCATGTCTTACCTCTGCGAGCAGTGAGACAAAGCCACGCCGTTGTCAGCGCAATCAAGACAGCCCAGCCAGTCTGCATTGCCCCATTGCCGACGGCATCGAGAATAGGCTGAGACACTTCGCTGGCAACGAAAGCTAGCAAGCCACGACAGGCGGAGTTGACGGCGACTGCCCCTGAGGTCCTTCCTGGGTTTGAGTCTACCAAGTACGAGAGGGTGGTGCTGTATGCATGCATTTGTGCGTACCCCAGAATGACCAGAATCACTACCGGGACGGCAACGTTGGTGTGGTATTCGATTGCCCAGCCATACCCGACAAAGGCAGGCAAGACGACAAGCATCTGTGTATGACGACGACGTAGAGGATCAACGTAAGTCATTGTTTGTTGTTTGACCACTGACGCATTCGGCATCGCGCAGGACTCACTGGTATGATGATCGTCTTGAGCCTTTCCTCTGGCTCGGCCCTCTTTCCGGTCTTGGCGGCAATGACCCTGAGGCGGTGATCGCTGATTCTGCCTCCAATGACAGAGCCAAATACTCCACCAGCGCCGAGAGAGAGCAGGACGCATCCAATGAGGATAGGTGAAAAGTTGTAAGGGGCGGCCTGGAAAGTCGTAGTGGCGGTATAGCTGAGCGAGTATTGAGCTGCGAAGACAGTGCCAGAGTACAGAAGAGCGGCTAGATTATGAGGTTGCTTCAGGACGTACGTAGCGGAGCCCAACGGGGAGACATCAGCTAGGGAGGGCTTGAAATTCATTTCCGCACCATCTCTCGTGGTGATACGACCGACTTGCACGCTGTGTGCGGACATTACCCGCCGGAGTGTATCTCTCCGTTGGACATTGGGTCGGCCGTTAGCCTGTTCGGCTTGGTGCGACAGTGTCACGCGACGGTTGCCCATGTCAACGGGCCGGTCAGCGTGCGTCTCATGATGTGTGAGGGCATATTCGTCGGCTGGACCGTAGAAGCTGGGCGGCTCGTGAGGGGCATGGGGCCGGGTAGGGAGCTCAGCAACTGGCTCGCTTGACTTGTCACTTGAGTTTCGAGCATCCATGTGCACCAGGTGTTTCACGCCCTGTATGAAGTGTGCTGTCTTGCTTTCCCCTTCTCCGTGTTGTCCGACCTTTTCAGAGTCTTGGCCTCCTGCCTTCTCGATGGCATTCTTCCTGGCTTTCTGCCAAGCTGCGCTCCTCTCAGTCCTGAAGGTCTCCTTCAAGCAGCAGTAGCCCAGGAAAGAGGCGGCACCTAGAGCAGCCAGAAAGTAGAATACTGCTCTCCACCCGCCGAGTTCCGTAAACGCACCTCCCAGGATTGGTGCGATGGCAGGACCAGTAATAGGCGCACAGTAGTATATGCCTACTATCACACCTCTCTCTTCCACTTCGAATAGATCTGCTAATGTGCCTGCAGCAATGGAGAGACAGGCTGACGAACCAGCAGCAGCAACGGACCGAAGGGCGATGACAGTCGCCATGTTGTGTGAGAGAGCGACGAATCCCGAAGAGATGGTAAAGAGAGCCATGGCTACGCAGAAGACCAACTTCCGACCTATGAGCTCTGATACTGGAGACCACAGTAAAGGTACCGTCCCTTGAAAGAGAATGTAAAGAGAGAGGGACAGCGTGATTGATGACTGGCTGGCATTCAAATCGCTTTCCAGATCCGAGATTGCAGGGAAATAGGCATTGGCCGCCATCGCAGGGACTGTGCAGGTCAGGTACGTGGGGTTAGCGATAAGGCAGCCAACGATAGCTTAGCTGCGGAGGCAAGACTCACTCAAGGCTCCAGCCGAAACAATTGCAACAATGCCGTACTTCCTGCTCTTCGACCAAAGGCGAGGATCATCATGTACAGGCATATGCTCAATGTCATACTTCACCTCTGCAGGGCTTTCACTCGAGGGTGTAGTGGCGGCTCGCGCTTCTACATCTTCCGGGGAGATCCCTGGCTCTACTGCCGACGATGAGCTCCGCTGCTGGGTATGTTCCAGCTCAGCATCGCAATCGGCGCCAGGTATCGCAGCGGTAGCTGCACCCGCGACAGCGATTTGAGCTGCTTCTTGCTCGATACCAGCATGTTCCCCAGCCATCGGACCAGCCGGAAACGGGAAGAAAGGTGCGCGGATGTGCGGAAAAGGAACGATACACCTTCCCTGCGACGATGATAATGAGATGAGGGATTCAAGAGGGAGAAAAGTCGAGCAAGGGACCAGCTACATTTGAGGAGGAAGACGTTGATATTCAAGGAGTAAGAGTGTCAAGTGAAGGCGGCGGTTTCGGTATGAGTCAGGTGCCGATCTGCCGAGGTCGCGAGTCACGGAAGGCGAACATTTCCGAAGTGATTGCCGAAACAGCCGACGGCCGCCTTCTCCCCGCACTTTCCGCGTTCCTGACCCAGGATACGATTGGAGCCGAGATAGCCCCGCTCAGAGGGCTTTGTATGAGCTGCGACGGGATACAGGAGAGATGTCACACAAAGTCGCCAAGTGAGCAGCTTCATGCTCATATTCCTCATCCGCAGACCCGTCGGGTGTGGCGCCCGGCGAGCTGCTGTTGCTGACTAATTGCGACATCTTACCTGGTCTCTAGACCCCAAGACTGCTGCTGCAACTGCGCTCCAAAGACGCAGTCGGCTCAGTCGTCTTTCCGCCATAGTGAATGAGCCTCGTATCTGGCCCTCTAGCCTGCCATGTTACACTGTCAGAAGGTCAGGGAATTCTCGAGTGGCAGACATTCAGCTGCCAGAGTCGCCGCCGTTTGCCAAGGTGGCCTTGTAGCATTGATCAAGCAGCGTCAGTTCCTGCTGCACATGAATGATCCGAGCCCCCCGCCCTGGCTATCGCCACGGATCTCCAGTTGCAACATATGTGGCTATTCACTGTTGCTACCGCTTCCCAATTATAGAAGAGTAATGCTGAGATTGCTACGCATCGGACAAGGTGTCGCACAGACACATCTCGATGGATCGTGTCAACATCTGGGGTTGTCTTGCTACTGTTGATTATTCTCTTGTCTTCTCTACTCGTCATCCTCGCCGCCATTACCCCCTGATTCACCGTTGCCAAGCCTTTCCCTGTTCCTCAGAATCTGTTCCTTCTTTGCTTGAATTAGGGCCCCTTGCCTTGCCTCGAGCCCGTGTGCCCAATACCCGACACCGCCGAAGGCAGCCATGAGCATTGCGTGACCTCCGAAGTCTACAGAGAGCAGCGGAGAGAACGAAGGAGATTGTGTGAGTGGACAGTGAATAGACGGAGTGGCTCTGCACGACCAGACGAGCAATTTGTGTGGCAGACTTCCATGTTCGCATTAGCATGCGGAGTCTGACGTCACATGTCACCTTGGACAATCACTACAGGCCTAGCAGAGAATCTCGCCTGCGTTTGACAAGGAGCAGCACTGTATCTCTGCTTACAGCGTGTAGACTGTAGTATGAAGGCGCTATCACCCTTCAGAGGGTGCATTCACCTGCCTCGGCAACCTCATCCAGCCGCCCTGTGCATCACTCTGACATCTTGCCTACAGTCCCTGACACAAGCACTGCCCTGCTTGAGAGTGTGTGACTTGCTCCCGCCTTCCTTTGCAGGTCCCTCTACTCACTCTCGAAGATGTTCCTCTTTTGCAGACCGAGCTGGTAGCACCTGGTGAGGAATCCGACCGAGGCCCATCCGAGAACGCTAGCTGTGGCCATCGTAGCAGAAACCGGACCTTTGCGAGAAGGAGTGTTATGTAAAGAAGAGAGAATGTGCTTTTGCGGTCGTCCAGAGGGACAGCGATGACGATCGATGGGGAGGATGATCGGGCGGAGGATGGACGGACTTGCGATGGAGCAACGAAGCAGGAGGCACAGAATGACGGAACGGAACATAGGCGGAGTCAGAACCCGTCGCGTTGCAAGGGGCTCGGCAGGCGAGACACGCACAAGCACACACGCAACACACACACACACACGGCGGAACATCACAGTTGGCACTCATACCCTCTTCGACCATCACCTTCCCTTAGCGCAACCTTGCCGTCGACTACAGCCCACGAGATTGACTCTGAAAGATCGAAGGTCAGCTTTGCTTGCCCTGGGTTACCCCACTTACAGAGCGGTCACCTCGCCTTCTCCAAATAGCCCGCGGCTTTGTCTGGTCCTTCGAGTACGATCACTGGCGATTCCGCAAGTCTTGCCTGGTACCTTCCCCGAGCTCGCCTGATATCCAAAAGTCAACGAGGGTCTGCCGAACCCGCCTCGATTCAGTAGTCACATAGGTATGGAGAACTACCAGAAGTTGGAGAAGGTTGGAGAGGGTAAGTGACAGAATTGTAAAGACCTTGCCTGTTCCTCAGAAATGCTCATCGTCGGTATTGAAATGTCTTTCCTCCCTTTCGTCCATTGCTTACCCTCTTTCGTAATTGCTCAGGAACATATGGTGTCGTATACAAGGCTCGAGACCTTACAGCAGAAGGAGGAGGCAGGATCGTGGCTCTGAAGAAGATCAGGCTCGAGGCAGAGGACGAGGGAGTACCGAGCACAGCAATTAGGGAGATCAGTCTGCTGAAAGAGCTCAAGAACGACAACATCGTGAGGTGAGTTGTCCAAGGCGCCCGAGATCACTGTCGCACAGGCTCCGAAGATCGAGTACGTCGGCCACACAAGAGAAAGCATCTTTACTACTAGCCGCTGGACGATCTGGGACAAGGAGCTCCTTCGTGAAGCAAGACGGAGAGCAACCCGAGACTGACTTGAGATCCATCTCGCTTCGCATGTGCCCTCTGACAGGCTCTATGACATCATTCACCAAGAATCAAAGCTATACTTGGTATTCGAATTCCTCGACCTAGATCTCAAGAAGTATATGGATAATGTTGCTGGTACCGCAGATGGACTGGGGCCTGAGATCGTCAAGGTCAGTGAAACAGCTCGGCGGTATGTTGCCATCTCGAGAGATTCGTGCTCACTTCTGGCGCCTCCTGCGCTCCTCCCCAATCACAGAAATTCACCTTCCAGCTGCTCCGAGGTATCTACTACTGCCACGCCCACCGAATCCTTCACCGAGATCTCAAACCCCAGAACCTGCTCATCGACAAGACTGGCAATCTGAAGCTAGCTGATTTCGGTTTGGCTCGAGCTTTCGGCATTCCCCTCAGGACATATACACACGAAGTGAGCAGAAGCGATGTCCTGGTATTCTGTTCGATACTAATGAGCTGACGTTCTGCTTCGTGCATCTCTAGGTTGTCACTTTGTGGTACCGAGCTCCCGAGGTTCTTCTGGGCTCTCGTCACTATTCCACCGCCATTGACATGTGGTCGGTGGGTTGCATCTTTGCTGAGATGGCAATGAAGTCGCCGCTATTCCCTGGGGACAGTGAGATTGACGAGATCTTCCGCATCTTCAGGTAAGTCACTCACGCAGATTCGTCCGAAAGCGAAGAGGCTCGAGGCGATGGAGCTGACACCATCCCTGTGTGGTTTCCTTCTCAGAACCCTGGGCACACCCACGGACGCAGTCTGGCCCGGCGTCAAGACGCTTCCGGACTACAAGGCTTCCTTCCCGCAGTGGAGTGGCATGCCTCTTGCCAAGGCTGTGCCCAACTTGGATGCCAATGGAATCGACCTGCTCAAGGGTATGCTGGTCTACGACCCTGCAGGGCGCGTCAGTGGTGAGTCGTGAGGCGTAGTGGGGCAGGGGAGGGAACGTCGAGACGAGACACTGATGAACGAGTCTTTCCCTTTCTTGCGCACTTTTCCCCCTGCAGCCAAGCGAGGATTGAACCACGCCTACTTCCAATCGCTGCCGGGTTCAGCCATGGCTTCGTAGGAGAAGTAGTCTGCCAGCCCAAGCTTATTGATCCTCATCTGTGTAGCATCGAGAGGCATTACAGACTCTCTGCTTTCTCCCTCCTTGTCCGCCTCTTTCCTTCTCCTCTGGCTCAGCTCTCACTTGTGGATGCTCAGCACCTGGATCCCCATTCTCACCTCCCTTCGGTTCTTGTCTGCAATCTTTGTTCATCCGTTTTCGCAATTCAGGTCCTTCGAGTGGCACTCAGCAACAATTCCACGAATGGTTTCCTTCGTTGGCCCTCCGTCCGTCCGTCTGTCAGTCAGCGATGACTATGAGTGAGATTTGTATAAATTCTCAAGAAGTGCTCCATTGCTGCCACCTGTCTGTCTGTCTTTCTGTCCGTCAATCAGTCTGGGACCTATGCAAGTCAAGTCAATTTTCGCCCTACCCTCTCCTAACTTCCGCCTGGTCTGGCCCCACAGGGCTAGATATGGCCCGTCGAGCGCTTCTCACCCTCGACTGAAGTGACAGACCCAAGAGCCGTGCCGAGCGGGCACTTTGGAGCACCGTCACTTACTGTGGAGCAACTTTTGGACCTTTCTGAAAGACAAGCAGATCCTCTGCTGGCTATGTGAGAATGAAGTTACCACCACGATGAGGTGTGAGAGGAAGGAAGGCGGGGAGAGAAGTAAAGAGAATCGAGGTGGCCCCTGCAGGCGGCCTGTTTTGGTTCTCGGCCTTGGAGCCCCCGCATCCAGAGGCGGCAGCAGAGGGGAGAGGAGAGGGGGGTCTCAGTGGTGTGTGCCGACAGTACTGTACTACCGTACTCCAAGGAGTGGCTCCGCTGCCCGCTGCCGTTCACCCCTCTCTATTCTACTCGCCAGTCCCGCGGCGTGTACCGCACTGCTCTCTCGCTTATTGTCCCGCTCTTGCACTCAAGATTTCCTCACACTGACATTAGGACGACAGGAAGACGGCTAGCGAGGAAATAGGAACCGAGACAAGATAGCAAAGGGCTGGGCAAAAAGGAGGCTACAGCAGCACTACAAGTGGAGCTTCAGCCTTCTGGAAAGCCAAGGCTTTCCATGCTAGACTCGCTCCTAAAGCCTCGTGGCGCAGTCGCTTCAAAAGCTCAGATCATAGCAGGACAGCTTCGCCAGAGCGTGGATTTCCAGTACCACCCTCAAGCCTCTATACCATCTGCTCTCATCCAGTCACCTAGGAGCACATCAGTACGACCTTCTCCATGGCCGAGAGACCTTCATCTTCCACTCTGAGCCGGAGCGAGGCAGGTGGACAGTCGAGGCAAGCACGAGGTAGCAGGACCGCTCATCCGGGCTCAGCAAGTGCAAGTCCCTCTCGCCGCGCCGATGTAGCTAGCCGCAACTTGCTCGTACAGAGCGCTCGAGAGGCTCAGAAGCCCAGGCTATCGAGAATGTGTGAGTGAAGAAGAGAGCGCAGGTCAGCTCACGACTTCCGCCGAAGCTGACACTCCCGAACGTCCCTTGGCCTCCCTTTGCTTCCCGACCAGCCTTCTTCCGAGATGCCCTCCGCCTAGGCAGCTCCTGCCTCCCGCGTATCCTCCCTTCCGTCCTAGGCATCATCCTCTGGTCCGCCTTAATCTACATATCCGACCACTTCTTCGGGCGTCAATGGTTCTCCTCTGCCTCTGTCGCCGCACCATTTTCGGTAGTAGTAGGATTGCTCCTCGTGTTTCGCAATAGTACATCGTATGATCGATGGTATGAAGCCAGAAAGGTTTGGGCATCGGCTACGGCTGATGCGGGATGGCTGGCAAGATACCTTTGGGCTAATGTACAAGTGGATGTCATCGGACCGGAGCCGACGGCAGGAGCTAGTGCGGGGAGCAGAGCAGCGAGTCAAGGAAGTGGTGGAGAAGGAGGAGGAGGAGGAGGGGGAGAGGGTCGATCACATTCGGTCATGTCACCTCATGCTCCGGACAACATGAGCCACCACAGGATCCGAACTCCGTCGATGCTCTTCGATACCATCTACGACGTCAGCTCCTCGAGCGAAGGACCGGCAAGACCAATCAGCACAGTAAGCACCAGCTCCACGGGCGCTTCACACTACGGTTCAACAGCGCCAGCCGGCCAAACAAGGGGTCAAGCAGAGGGAGCTACTGGCCCATCTGCGCCTCCTCCGACTCGAGAGCCCAACTCACCTCGCACTGCCTCGGTACAAGACATTGCTCGACGCACAGAAAAGAAGCGGAGGGCGATCCGACTGCTCGTCCTCTTTATGCAGAGTGTCGCACATGAGCTCAGGAGAGAAGAGGGGATAGACTGGGCAGACTACCAAGGTCTTCTTCCCGAGGACATGAGAGCCTTTTGGACTGCACTGCCTGAAGAGGACGACAAGAGTGATGATGAAGAGCCGGCGCAACGAGCGGGTGATCAGGAGATTGGCAGTCAAGGGACTCGCTCACCTTCAGAAGCTGTTGGGCGTGGCGGCAGCGGCAGCGGCGATGAAGACGTGGCGGTCCCAGCTACCTGGCCCTTCTTCTCCTGGTTTACCGCTTGGAGGAGTCAGAAAGTTGACGGGGTGCAAGAAGACGCCAACGATGAGACGAGTCCGCTACTCCCCACACATGCGCAAGTAAGCGGATCTTCAAGGGCGACAGTGTTGGCGACGACCTTCCCTGCCAGCCCCATCAGCCCAGCAACCCGCGCAGGTCTAACCCTCTCCACTCACACCCTCTACGAACTCGGTCGCTACATTGCCTCAGCCCGGAAAGCAGGCATGCTCAATGATGCCGGACCCGCTGGAACCTCCCTCGCAAATGGCATCCTGCACTCTCTCTCCCTCTCCCGTTCCTCCCTAGATCGAATCGCCCACACGGCCATTCCCCTCGTATACGGTATTCATCTCAAGCAATGTACCCTCCTCTACCTTCTCGCTTTACCTCTTACCCTCGTCTCTGAACTCGGATGGAAATCAGTCCCTTTTACAGGATTAGTGGCAATTACTCTATTGGGATTAGAGGGGATCAGTAGTGAAGTAGAGATGCCCTTTGGAGATGATCAGAGCGATCATAATCTTGCGCTTTGGTGCGCGCAATTTAGAGTGGAGATTGAAGGCATCTTGGAGGGATTGGAAGAAGGGGCGGATGTGGGATTGTGCTTGTAGAGCCCTGCAAGGGGGGGTTTGGGCTGGGGAGGCCCTAGTGGTGTTTTCGATGTATGTGCGCGTTTCTCTCTTCTCGATGTGGCTACCTACCTATATATACCTGCTATCCACTCTTTCTCATTCAGACCTTCCTGTTCATATCCCTTTGACAACAACCATCAATACTCTTGATAAATAACACTGTCAATCTTTTCTTACCCGCCTTCAATGGCATCGCATCGCATTGCCTCGCCTCGCAAGTTGTATGTAATGATCGCATAGTATTGCAGGGAATTGAGTCGAGACCGTGATGTAGATAGAGACAGAGAGAGGAGGAGAGAGACATACACACACATACTCAGAAAGGTAGATGTGAATAGAACAGGTCAGAAGTGATGGAGCTCCTCCAAAGACGATGAACAGGAAAAGAAAGAAAGGAAGGAAGGAGGGAAGGAAGCAATGTTCCGAGATTGGGCGGAGATGCCTTGTACGAATCTTCATCTGTTGGTGGCGGAGAATTGCTTTCTTGAGTCTACATTCGCCGAAAGAAGATCATGCAGGGGGAGAAGAGGCAGAGAGTTTGGTGGATGGAAAAGAGGTAGGCGATGAAGAGACAGACGATAGAGTGGAGGTCCAATAGAAGGTCCTTTGTAGCTTCTCCCCAACGGGAAACCTGATGATGTGCTCTAGCTCTGCACAAAATCCCGCTACCTCTCTCTTGCTTCGGCTCCTACTTCTAGATCGAGTCCTCTATACTCGACTTTTGGCTCTACCAATTGGCCGATTACTTTGATCGGGGCCAAACAGCAGCAATGAGGTCCCGAGCGGTATTGACAATCTCCACTGCCCTGCCAACGATTCCTCCCTCGTCTTCCTCTACAAAGTCGTCTGCCAGTGGCACTCTCACTCCCGCTTGTCGATCCGCATCACTAGGAGCTACGAGTGCGCCTGTAGCGCTAGTCCTTCTGGGTAGGACGGGACTGGATGGAGAAGGGCCGGTACTGCCTGATGAAGAGGGCCTCTTGCCGGGCGCGCCAGATCGGGAAGAAGAAGAGCCACCGCGTGACCTGGCTAGCGCAAGGGTAGGAGTGTTCAGCGGCGTCGGTCCGCCGTTGCCGCCAGAGCCTTGACCAGAGGGAGTCGAAGAGAAGGAGCCAGGGTCATTGCTTGGTAGATTGTCGAGATCTACGCTCAGGCGCTGCGATCCAGCCGGTGACATGCTGCCGCCAGAGTGGGCCGAAGAGCCCCTAGCTTTGACACCGGCAGCTCCACCGACGCTGCTGCGCTTGCCTCGAGCCTGAGGTCTCCCGTCTGCCTCCTCTTCCGTTGGTGAAGATGGCAAAGAAGGCGATGAACTGTCAACTGCCGCGTCGTTGGCAGAGGCTTCGGCTCCGAGTGCAAGGCGTGCAGCTGCGTCAAAGCGTTGCTGCCCATCGCTGTCCCTACCTCTAAAACTGCCCCTCCTTTCCCTCTCTGGTGGCGACTGAGGGCCGCTTATGGATGCACTGCTCGATCCAGCAGCTGAGCCGCTGATACGGCTGGCGATACCACTTGGGTTTTCTAAGCTTCCCGACGGGCTTCCTGAACTACTCGAAGAGCCACTTCGTACACCGCCTCGTCGAGCAGCTTCTTGGATGCGCTCATAGCTGGTAGACCCTAGCCGCTGAGAAGGCCTACCGCGAGCCGATTCGCCCTCGATCGGGTCCGCAAGATCGAAGTTCGTTGATTTTTGCTCCGATGGCTCATATTGATCTTGATTCTCAGCAAGGAAAGGCGACTTGGCGCCCACTGGTGTGCCAGCGCTGTTGTGGTCCGAAGAGTTGCTGTTGTAGCTCCATTCCTCTTGAGAGCCGTCATGTTCTGATGATTGCCCTTGCGGTCTGCGTTTCAGAATGCTTCGAGGAAGCGCAGGTGGATGACTGGGTCCAGGTGATGTGCCAGAGGTGCTGTTTGATGATGTTGATCCGGTCGAAGACGAGTCTGAAGGATTCGCATTGGCATGATCACTACTCTTCGGTGCTTCGTACGGCGGCAACGCCGCTTTCTTGGATCCTGCACCTGGTGTCGATGCTATACCCGACGGCGACTCGTCTTCTGCGCCCTCTCCATTGAACGGCCCATTGAAGTAGTCGAAGCCTCCAGCAGCGTCATCTTCCCACTCGCTCTTGGGTTGGAGTAGATGCTGTTGATCATCATCGCAGTCGAAGCGCGATTGAGGCCGGGAACTCTGAGCGCTCCCTGATGAGAAGCCTGTCGGATCCACCACCGCAGGCGAAGGAGCCGGGTACACATCAGTGGTTTTGAGCATTGTCGGTGCTAGCTTAGCGATGGTGTGGTGGTCAGCGTAACCGTTGTTAGAGCTTCGGCTGGATAAGCTCGCCGATGAAGACGATGCGCCGGCTCGACTGGATCTCATGGTGAGCACCTCGCCTTCATCCGAAGCCGAGTCATCGTCAGAGGGCTCGTCATCGTCATAGTCGCCATCGGAGTAGCCAGGCTCCTCTTCTATATAGTCAACTGCGATGCACTGGTCCACTCTTTGATTGAAGCTAATGTGCCGCTTCTCATCAGACGTTGTCGTGTCGGATCGGTGGAGGGAGGGGTGGCTTAGTAGCCTCTCGCTTGCGGGTGGAGAGCCTCCACTCCTGCGCTTCTTGCTAGTGAGGTTTGTATCAGACTTGACGGACAAGATCTTGCCGTTGCTCTCCCTGGCTTCCGGTGTTGAAGTGCCACTGCTCATAGACGGTAGCGTATCTATTCCCGGAGATGCGGATCTACCGGGAGTAGCAAGCATCTCGGAGATGGTGCGATGCTTCAGGATGGACTTCTTCTGCATAGAGACCTCTAAATCCAGTCTATCCTGTGTACTAGCAATCTTTGGCGGTGGCACGGGATCAGCGTGTTCATGCAGCGGTCCGTACAGCCATGTCACATCACTGTCTTTGAGCCTGTGGAGGTACGTAAGCGTGGTATGAGAAGCACGAGAGTCAGCATTGTTCTTCTTCTCAATTCATTTCGACGTGCGGACTCACCAGTTCAGGGTCTCGGGATTGATGGTCTTGAGGTTGCCCCTCTGCTTGGCCCACGTCCTCCAGCTAGCATTCTCGAGCCTCACACCATTTGCAATCTGAGTAGGCAGAGGATGGGTGTGAGCACCGATCCTAACACCTGCTTCGCACTCTCTCAGTGAGACCAAGGCTACCCCCATGCGCTGCACCTGCCCTTCCTCTCTTCTCTTACAGACTTACTTCGTTCTTCCGCTTCGTCATTGCCCTCCAGCTCTGCCACACATCCTCCTGAGCCCAATTGTGTGATAGGTAGTCTACGCAGATGGATGGCATCTTCTTTGTGATCTGCGCATCATCTGGGGCAGGGGCATTGGCACCCACGGTGGGGTAAGGTTGAGGAGCGGACATCATCTTGGGCAATGTTCGGTCGAGCTGTCACACCGCTCAGGCGAAGGAAAGGGGGGAGTAAGGTAGAAGGTGGAGACCCGCAAATGCGGAGAAGGCAGCCCCGTTGAAGTGGCGTGCTATCACTGAGAAGAAGTAGACAGTATTGCGAGAGTGTATACTGTAGTGGGGTGTCGGTGTGGGGCACCAGTGGCGAGGTGTGCTGAGCGAAGTGGCCCGTATGCGTTCGGACGACGATCGGCTAGATTACGTCCGGAGCAAGGCGGTAAGGCTGGCCCTGTCCGCTGGGGATGCAGCAGAGGCGGGCAGACGGCGCGCGCAAGGTTCCGATCAGGTGCACGACTCGAAGGTCGAACGATGATCGATGAAGTCAAGGGGCCGAGGGTGCAAAGGGACGATGAGTAGAGGGAGAGAGAGAGGAGACGATGGAGCTACGACGTCGGCTTTGCTGAGAAAGGCGGCTGCTTCACCAGCCTCGATAGGACTCGGCTTTGAGCTGGAGCGCACACAAGGCAGACCAGCCAGGCAGCCCAGGCCAGGCGGGGCCAGGCGGGGCGGCAGCGGGTGGCTGATGTCGAAACCTGCAGGCGCGTTGAATTTGAGCCTAGGGCGGACACACACGCACACACGGGGACGGGGCCATCTGGCTCATACACCCTGCACAAATACAGCTGACCAGCAGAGGTGGGCAGGCAACACAACTGCAAGATGTCGTGCAATGTTCTTTCGGTGATGCTGATCAATGATTCACACAGTATACGATCACATCTGGACAAGATCAGGGCCAGGCGGATGTTCCCCGCCGGTCAGGTACGTGCGGGCCATCTCTCGGCCATTTCGGAGCCGGAGGCGGAAAGATCATCGGCGATTGTTCCGCCACACTGGGGCTCGGGAAGAAAGGAGGCAGGGGGACCCGCCGACGCTCATCCTCCGTCCTATGGCTTCTACTCCCTCTTCTGGCGGGCTCGTGCTGCCTCATCTTCATGCAGGCACGCTACTTTTGCTGCACCACGCTTGCATTGGCAATCTTTTCCATGATTTCAGGGAGCCACAGCCGGCGAAATTCGCATGAAGCTCCTCGCATTCCTCGGTCTCTTTGACACCGAAGCTGCCCGACGGAGTTTACCCGCCGTACCTCACAGCTTCGACGCTGTTGCCTGTCCCTTCTTCCTCAGCACGCCTTCCAGGTCAGCGTACGGTCTGTACTCATCCAGGGCTTCGGGATTGGCAGTGGCCTGCAGGGGTTGGGAGGATAGGGGAGAGTGCAATCGTAAGAGGGAGAATGTGATGACGTAATCGTTTCTTCTGAATCTGGCCTGTAAGATTACTCACGCTGCTCGGCTTGAAGTCAACCTGTCCGCAGACGACCGACTTGATGGCAATCTCCGTCTTCTTGCCCGTCAGCGTCACTGGCACCGCCTTGACAGGGAAGATGTGGGCAGGCACATGTCTCTTGCTATGCGCCTGAGCGATGGCATCCTTTAGCTCTGTAATCCTGTCGTCTGTCAGCTCCTCTCCCTCTCTCATCTGCGCAAAGAGCAGCACTCGCTCGTCAGAGTCTTTGCCCGGTCGCCTCTGGCCCACGCAGACCGAGTCGGCTACATAAGGGAACTTCTCGATGACGTTGTAGATCTCGGCTGAGCCAAATCGAACTCCAGATGGATTGAGGACGCCATCAGATCTACCAGTGATCTCATAGCCTCCGGTGGCCACGTCTTTCAGGATGAAGTCGCCTTGAGCCCATACCTACCGATACGTGTGCGATGGGCGAAGAGGTCAGTATCGGGAGTACTATACCGCAGACAGGGTGACCTCGAAGCGCTCACCTTCTTGCCTGGGAACCTCTCGAAGTAAGATTCCTGATACTTTGCCGCTAGGGCATCCTTCTTGTCCTCTGGGCCAAAGAAGCATATCGGTTGCGTCGGGAACGGCTTGGTGATTACCAACTCTCCGGCTTGACCACTGTCTTCTACGTTCTCTCCCGTCACAGGATCCCAGATCTCGAGGGCGATCCCGATCGTCTTTGACTGCATGAGATGGCCGTAGAGGGGCAGCAATGCCTGTGGACCGGTGATTGTGCCAGCCAGATCTGTACCACCGCTCATACTTGCAAGATGCACATGAGCAGGGAAGGCCTCGTAGAAAAATCTAGCATTCTCGATAGACAGCGGAGATCCGGTCGATGTCATGATGCGCATTGAGGACAAGTCAAGATCCCTCTTCAGCCGCAAGCCAGAGCTGGAGCAATATTTGGCAAGCTCGGTGAGGTAGCGAGGAGAAGCACCAAATCCTGTGAGCTTGTGCTCGGCTGCCAGTCGAGGGATGTGCGCCGGGTTGGGATACAGAGGAGCACCGTCAAACAAAACGGCTCTCCCACCGACACCAAGCGCTTGCAGATGGTAAGCCCACATGATCCAGCCGCAGGTCGTGATCTGAAGCCAGGAGTCGCCGGGGCGGAGACCATAGCTGAAGTGAGCTTCTTTTTTCAGGTTGAGCAGCATTGTCTGCCCTTGAAGCATACATTTCGGTTCTCCCGTTGAACCGGAAGAGAAGAAGATCTGTACGGGATGCATTGCACCAAAGCGATCGAAACGAGGGGTAATACTGTCTGTCGTGGACAGCCCCACGCGCTTGACCAGCTCTTCGTAGTTGATGCTTTGAGGACGGGAGAGATGGAAGAATACTTGTGAGAATTTACTACCTGACACCGCCAGCGCACTGTGACTCACCCTTTGACATGCGATGAAGACCACTCAGGTGCTTTGCCTTCTATTCGTCGATCGCTTCTGTAGATGATCACTTCGAATGCTTCTGGATCGTCTAGCTTTCCGTCCTTCTTGAGTCTCTCCGCGACAGCCTGTACTCGACCAAGCACATTCACCGTCTTGCCGTTGTATGTGACCACGTCGTCCGTCGTGATCAGCTTCGGGCGAATCTGAGAAAGTCGTGAATAGATGGCCTCGGGTCCAGCGTCGGTCGCAACGAGAGCGTATACAGCACCGATGCTGTTCAGTGCGAGCAGGGTGACGATGGGATTGGCGGTATTGGCACTGATACTAGCCACCCGATCTCCGGCCTTGACACCTTTGCGCCTCAAAACTTCGGCAAGGAGGGCGACGCGACGTCGAAGCTCGCCCCAAGTCACCCCGCGGGCCTGTAGGTGTTCTGGGCTATCCTTGAGACCCCCGCCTTCTGGAATCTCTAGCAGGGCTTGATCTTCGGGAGAGGGCACTGAGTGTACTGGTTTGCCATTTCCGTCCAGGTACGACTGAGGAAAGAGCACATTCTCGGCCAAGGAGTAACGGGCGCCAATGAACCATTGGGGCAGGTCGGCGGGCAGGGCATTGGCGTCAGAAATGACCTAGCATAGCGAGGGAGAGGGTGAGGAGAAGTCAGTCCGCAGTCAGACAGAGCGGAGCTTGACATCAACGTCTTCGATACTGACCTTGTCGAATTTCTGTCCTTGGATCTGAGCAAATTCCCAGATCAGCTGCCAGAACCTTTGATAGTCACTGGTGGAGAAGTCGTGCACGTCCTCATAGGTCTGCAGATTCAAGCCGAAGCGCTGCTTAGCAAGCCTCATGAAAGCCTTCAGGGGATGAGCCTCGATCTGTTCCTTGGTCGCTGACCATATTGGAGTAGGTGTCGGCATTGTTACCTCGTGTCCGGTGCAAATGTGGAAAGGAAAGGGCGGGGTAGAGCTCAATTCGGCTACCGGATAGGCCAAAGTGCGGGGTAATGGCTGGTGCCGAGATTGCCGGAAATCAGCCTTGGGGGTTTGAAAGTCCGACAGGGATGCGATCCTTCCGACTGGCTTGCGCGTCACCCTCCTGCCTCTACGACCAGATCAAGCCTACCATGTGGCTCCCAGGCCTGGCCTCACTCGTCGTCTTCCTCCTCCCTCCGATAGCTCAGCTCGCTCATGCTCAGACCATCTATTCAGACTTTCCGTCGCGGAGCAATGTCCTCGCCTACGCTGAAGGACCTCCTCAGGATGGGTCTTCGAATCACACAAAGCGTCATGAGGATTTAGATGTGATGGCGTACGTCACGCCGTGGAACCAGGAAGGCTACACACTGGCAGAAGCATACAGAGGAAGACTATATTCTGTATCTCCTGTATGGTACACGATCACGCCGTCCGGCGATGACGTGACCAAGTACTCTGTTCTAGGCGGCCCTCCTCGCAGCAGCGATGCGGAGTGGTACCTCCGCTTGTCGCAGCCAGCAGTAGACAAAGGTACCGGCCGGACTCTCCCCCCTGTCAAGATTCTACCTCGCTTCCGATTCGAGGGTTGGCAGGCACAAGATTACAAGACGCTTCTTAGCGCAGCCATCGAAGGCATCGCTCTGACGGAGAATATTATGATGGAGGTCATGACGAGAAAGTACGACGGGGTGGTGATCGAGACTGGAGCCATGTGGGCACTCAGGGAACCCATCAAAGTGCTGGCAGACAGGCTGCATGGAGAAGGCAAACAGATTGTAGTGGTCATGCCAGCTTTGCGAAACGAAGCTATCACCAGTGAGACGGATGCTCTGATCAAAAGTGGTGTCAAGGACTTGGCGCCTTTCGTGGACAAGATTCAGATCATGGTGGGTCAAGTGGCCGAATATGCGGGATGGCACATTGCTGACTCTTCTCTCTTCTGCCCTCGTTCCACTAGACGTACGACTACACTGGTTCTCAGGGCACTTACTTCGATCCGAGTACAATGACTCTGCCTGCCGATAGCATACTTAGGACGGATGGTATCCGCCTACCCGGACCCAACACGCCCTTCTCTTACTTGCGGAACAACATGGAGGCATTCCTTGGATCTTCTAAAGCACAAGCCGCTTTTTCAGATCCCCTCGGCCAATTCGGTGTCTTTGACGACCTTGGAGAAGCAGCCTACAACGACACGGATCGAGTGCCTGCAGACAAGCTGATGATGGGCGTGGCCATGTATGGCTATACGTATCCACTGGCTCACGTCTTGGCATCTGGCAACACACAGGCCGTCAGCCCTCCCACGTCACCTACGGCTGCCAAGGACAACTCCACGGAGGAGCAAGAGAAGTACCGCCTCAGAGCAGATCAACGGGAGGCCGTCCATGCTCTTGATGCAGCGAGAATCCTCGCGGCAGTCGGAGATCCAGTGACGATCCGTGAGATCCGCGAGGTCTTCACAGCAGGCAAGGCACTGGTCAGGAAGGACGCCTCGAGCGGCGAGGCCTACTTTGACTATCTCAAGCTCAAAGAGGATGGATCTGTGCATACGCGGGAGGATGGCAGCACAGCTCCGGTGGCATGGTATCGACGAGCGTACTGGCCTACGCCGACTACAATCAAGGAGAGGATCGAGGTGGTAGAGGAGCACGGCGTGAAGTCGGTTGCGCTGTGGGACATTGGCCAAGGCGGTGCCTGGTTGCTGCACTCGTTGTGAAGACGATCTGACGTCAGTCAATTGTATTTTGTCAGCTTGCCATGCCGTTTGCCCCGACGAAATCCATCGTTGAACAACGCAGGCTAGCTCTCCTCGGCTCTGCTCAGGGCACGTTGTCCGATTGTAGATTGGTCGGGGCGTGGGAGCGATCTGTGCCTGAACATGTCTAAGCGATGTATGGTACACGATGGAGGACCCTTGACTGAGCCGTCCTCGTCGCCTTTTTCGGCGGTAAGAGGGTGGGGCGAGCCATTGCGAGAGATCCTGGATAGCTGAAGCAGGAGAGAGTCGGCGGCGCGACGATGGCCTTAGCCCCGCGTCTTGGACATCGAGACGCTCAAATTGAGGCTGCCATGCGGGGCGAAGGATTTAAGCGAGTGGGTTGAGCACGTTCGCTCGTCCATCCTTTGCGCCCAGAGTGGCGGGGGCGTCGGCGGGATCAGGGGGCGACAGCACCTCGGCCCGCGACGGAAGCAGCCACTTTTGTGGCCGTCATGCACGTCCAGTTCGCCGAGGCCGCGACGCACCTTGGCAGAGGACCGCACGGGCACCAGCCCGGAGCCAAAGGGACAAAGACGAACTTTGCCCCCGCCCGCCGCCGCACGCAGGAAGTTTTGAACTCGCGGATGTGCCCCCCTCCGTATGTATGTCTCCTGTCTTTCTTGCCAGCCTTCCCTTCTTTACCACTCCCTCATCGGTTTGATCATCTCTGCACTCCCTTTCTCATCGAGACTCACAGAAGCAAGGACTCACCAGACTGCAGACCACCATGGCACAGCAGGGTGAGTAGACGTGCGAGGCTCGACCTAGCATCTGTGCAGGGTGAGGATAGCGGGAACAAATTACTCACACCTCCGAGCCCATCCGACTCCTACCCCTCTTCCCCTCGCAGTCTCTCGAACCCCCAGCGACAAGTCTGACGGCATCTCGTCTGCCCAGACGGGTCCTTCTGAGACTCCCGCGGCCAGTGAGACCTTCAACTCATCCTCCAATGCAGCACTGGACGACATCCTCTACCCTGCCGACTCTTACACCGCGGAGCGCGTCTACTGGGCGGACCTGCCCTGGGCCCAGAAGTCAGCATGGGCCAACAAGCAGTCAAATGCCGAGGCTCGTCGAGAGCTGGGTGTCATTGGAAGCATGTTCAAGAAGGACCCTCTGAGCCCCGTCAGGAGCTACTTTTCCAACTATGTCGTCACTGGTCTCGGTCTCTTCGTCGAAGGCTACGTCCTCTTCTCTGTCGGAAACATCAAGCCCCTGTTCCAGGCCGTTTGGCCTGCTTGCTGGAAGACACACACGATCTGTGACGCCAACAGTGTCGCCGCCGTCGACTACCTGCAGATCATTGGTATCATCGTTGGACAGATCCTCGTGGGTATCGAGGGAGACTGGATCGGAAGGCGCTTTGGTATGGTCCAGGATGCCCTCGTCATGACTCTTGGATCCGTCATGCTCACCGCAATGTGGGGTACCAGTCAACAAGGATGGGTAGCCCTCTACGCTATCTCGCTCTTCATCTATGGTATCGGTGTTGGTGGAGAGTACCCCATGACATCCACTCGAGCCATGGAGGCCTCTGTTGGAGCCGGTGCTGGCGCTTCCGACCGTATGCACCGTGGAAGGAAGGTCGCTCTGGCATTCACCATGCAGGGTTGGGGTCAATTCATCAATCAGGCCGTCTTGATCCTCCTCCTGCTCATCTTCCACAACACGCTCAACAGTCCTTTCAGCAAGACTTCAGTGCAGTGGACTTTCCGTGTCTCGTTCGGCATCATCATCATCCCTACGCTGTACCTGGCTTACATTCGATTCTACAAGCTCGCCTACACTGATACGCAGCTGCGGGAAGCCAAGGCCAGGAACAATGTCTCAGGTTACGATGTCAGGTCGCTCAAGCTGGCCACCTCCCACTACTGGCACCGCATGGTGGGCACTGCACTGGTCTGGTTCGCCAACGACGTCGTCTTCTACGGAGCCAAGATCTTCTCTGGTGTCTTCATCTCGATCATCACCGGTGGTACCGCCACCGTTGGCAAGACGTGGCAGTACAATCTGATCAACACCGCCGTGTCTCTTGCTGGCTACTACTTTGGTGCCATGCTCATCGACCACAAGATGTACGGCCGCAAGTGGATGCAGGCAAATGGTCTCATCATGATCTTCATCCTCTACCTCATCTCGGCTGCCCTCTACCCTCAGCTCACTCAGGCGGGCTCTGGCGTCAGGTGGTTCCAGGCTATCTACTTCCTGTCTTCGTTCTTCACCCAGTTCGGCCCTAACACCACCTCTTTCCTCTTGGCCGCTGAGGTCTACCCGACTTCGATCCGATCCACTGCTCACGGTGTGTCGGCTGCCGTCGGTAAGCTCGGAGCTCTGCTGCCAGCCGTCTTGTACAACTACATTGAGAGCCGCACCAAGTTCTGGTTTGTGTGCTGGTTCGGTCTGGTCGCCTGGGCCCTCACGCTCGTCTTTGTGCCCGACACTACCGGCCTGGACCTGCGAGAGCTGGACCGCTACTGGAACTACGTCATGGATGGTCGTGCAGAAGAGTACCACGGTGTGGCCGTCAACCCTCGTCACCTTTCCCTTTGGGAGCGTGTGGTGAACAAGCGCCACCTGGCCTACAACCCGGAGCTGGACAAGGCTGCCAAGATTCAAGAGCTGCAGAGCCTGTATGCTAGCACCAAGGACGCCACCAAGGAGGGCGGAGAGAAGGAGATGACTCAGGAGCAGAAGATGTTCATTGAGAGCGAGCTGGGCACCAAGCTGGCTCCCGCCTCTAACGAAGCTGGGTCATCTACCCACCAGTCCAAGCTGGCTGATCTGGAGCGCAGGCTCAGCTGAACAGCCACTCGTAGATAGAGAGTCTCTCGGAGTTCCGGACCCCGAGGGTGTTTGATATATCCGAAGATCATTTTCGCCCGCATGTATGCGCTATTTCCCATACTCATGTCCCCGTTCTCTCTAGTCGAAGCGTATGCATCTTCACATTGTCACCATTTTCTTCATTCATTCAATCAATCAAACGCCTCATGATGTCTATGCTGCGCGTGCGTCCGCCTTGCTCAGCAGCTTGGTAGGTAGGAAGGCAAGAACTGTCTGGCTCTCGATCGAATCCTCCGGCTGTTCCTCCGAATGTACTCCGCCGCCATTGAATTGCAGGCTTGCCTTCCGTCGGCGCTGCCTCGTCTTGCTGTTCCAAATGCCAGGCAGTGAGTGGTCAGGCCTGCTTGGTCCGGCAAGTGGTCGAGGTGAGGACACGGCGCCTTGTAAGCTCCGCCCTCGGCTTTGCTCCCACCGCCGGCCCGCTTCTTGCCGTGTGGGTGTGTGGGATGCCGCCCGCGCCAGGCTGCAGGCGTGGCCGTGTGAGCCAGGTGCCTGAGTTTGGCTGCTGCTTGTGCGCCTCTGCTGAATCTCCTGTCTGCCTGTCTGCCTGCCTGCATGCCGCTCCGCTCCGCTCCTCTCCTCTCCTCGCCTGGCCTCGTCTCCCCGCGGCGGCGCCACTCACTCGCGCCTCCTCTCTTCCCCCGTCCAGTAAACCGAAACCAAGGTTGCAGGCACAAGCGCCGCCATCCTCGCCGCCCCATCGCCGCCGCCCATCGCTTACGGTCCGACATTCACCGCCTGCCTGTGTCCCTCACCATCCGTTGCCAACTCCTCCTGAGCCAGCCATACCATCATCCCTCATCAACCTCACCTGCTTCCCTCCGCTCACCTCCGCGTCTGCGTCTGAAGAAGAGACGAAGCGACACTCGCAGACCTGGTCGCCGTCTGGGAGCTCTACACAGGAAACGAGTCCAAGCATGGATTCTAAGCCTGGCCCCTCTCGCCTGGGGCCACGGCAAATGCTCTTACCATTGCCGCCTTCGCCTTCGCGGCCGCGTCGCACAATGAGTCCCACATCATTCTCGTCGACATCATCGCTGCCATCTATGCCATCATCGTCATCATCATCATCATCAATCACGACAGTTGAGACAGACGCGCGGCAATCCCCACCTTTATCATCCTCATCGACAAATGGACTAGGAAAGAGGCAAAGGCGCAACAAGAGCACTGCCTCTATGCGTCGGGTATGGCTTGCCACCGCACTTGCCTTCATCGCCCTCTCTGGACAACAACCCCTGCTCGGCGCTAGCACTGCTGCTGCTGCTCCCTCGCCGTCGCATGGAGAGAGTCTCGAGCAGCGAGATACACGTTTTGCATCCTCGTCGCCCTGGAAGGGCAAGGCGCGAGATACGTCGGGTGCATACACCGAAGCAGGCAACAATGGTCACTTCCTAGCCGCACCGGTCGGCGCTGGCGCCGGCCCCATCGCCGATGCTGCTGACGGTCAGGAACGTATTCTGAAAGCAATATACCCCGACAGGAACGGGGTCCCGTCTCAGCAAGCGATCGTCGAAGCCAGCCTGGAGAGACTGTCCGGCAGCAAGGTTCCCGTTGTGCACCCAACTCCAAGTGCAACGACTGGTATATTGCAACGTCGTGATACCCCTGGCATGATGAATGAGCATGGGAACAACGTAAAGAGAGGTACGAGGCTGGTGCCGCGGCAGGCTGCGCATGCTTATGCGAGTGGGATCATTGCAGAGTGAGTTTGCTGAGCGTGGCAACGGCCGATACACGAGACCATTGCTCACCCTTGTGTCACCATACATCGATCGTTCAGCTGGACTCATCAAGGCAGGAGCGTCTGGTTCCAAAGGAAAGGTGAGTTGGCACGGCTTCCACACAGCTTGTCGGGCAGTCGCTGACCCCTCTCCTTCACTGCTGCCCACGACACCTGTAGCCATCATCATCGTCTCTTGCTTCCTGGCCATCTTCATCGTACTCATCATCGGAGCCGCCGCCTTTCTCAGAAGTCGGCAGACAGAAGAGGAGCTCAGTCTAGAGGAGCAAGAGAACCAAGAGCTGGCCGATGAGGCTGCACTCAAGCGTATGAAGGAAGAAAGGAGGATGAGGTCGGGAGGAAGACGTCGTCGGAAGGACTTGGACGAAGATGAGAAACAAGATGCAGATGAACTCGCAGCCGGCAAGAAGAAGAAGAAGAGGATGAACGGCAGGAGAGGGAACGCCATGACAAGGGAGGCCACCAGTGGGTCTGGGTCTTCCACTGCCGTCAGCAGGATGAGAGTCAGCCGATGGATCAAAGCACCGGCAGACTTTGTCAGAGGCAACAGAGGAAGCGGCGAACAGACACTCGCCGGCGACACCAACGACGCAGCTTCCATTCGGTCCAGTCAGTCCTCGTCAAGGAGACGTCAAAGACTAGGCGATGCAAGGACGGAGAGAACGGAAGTGGAGTACTCCACCCCTCCAACTACAGGCGGCGACGGCAGTGATCTGCAAGCCGTCTCGTCCGACCCTAGCTCTTCATCTCCTACGACGTCGATGGACACCTCCAGTGGATCAGGTGGCTCTTCAAGCAGAGCAGTGGCTCTTGATGCGAGCGACTTCCAGGCCGCAGACGCCGCTGGTGCAGCCCCCGAGCAAGTGCTACCGCCTGCCTACATTCCGGCTGCCGGTCAGTCAGGTTCAAACCTTCCTCCGCAATCACCGCCTCCCGTCGACGGTGGCAATGCATCTCTTCCTCGGCCTGAGTATCAGCGTCCCCTGGCCGGCAGTCAGGTGGTCACCGATGCCAAGCACCCATCAGGTCCTGATATGGGTCCACTCCCTCCTCCGCAAGGCTCTTCAGCTGTCCTCCTATCTGACAATGTCGACGAGACGACCAATGCAAGCCGTGAAGGTGCAGCCCACATTGCCACCGACGACAAAGCTCGACTGGCTGCCCTCGCTGCTGCTGCAAGTGCACCTGCCACCACGTCTGCGCCATTCTACTCTTCCAGAGGCGCAGCCAGCGCACCAACAGAGGCATCCGACGCCTCACCTTCTGCTCCTGCTCTCGATGTCGACGAGGACGGTTTCGAGCAGGACGCATTGGCAAGTCTGGCCGGCGTAGCCCCTTCTACAGACCTCGACGGCCGTGCATCATCGCAAGTCGCTCCATCGTACACTCGCGCAAACGACTCGAGAGTATCTGCTGGCAGCAGTGGAGAGAGCGCGCAAAGTTCTCTGCTACCACAGCCACCGCGCCCTCACAATCAGGCATTCTCGCCCTTCGATAGGCCGTACCATCACATGATGCCTTATACCCCATCTCCCAGTCGTCGAGATGAGAGCAACCAAACGATGTCTTCTTCAGTCCCGCAGTCATCGACAAGCCCCACTACAGTGCCAGATGCCGCCGGAAGCCTCTCAAGCCCCTCGGCACCATCCAGCAGTACCGACGATAACGCTGACGAGGAGGCGACGATGAGTGCCGAACGCAAGCGCCGTCGTGCCGAGAAGCAGCGCGAGGCGGACGAAGAGAGTGCCCTCAGTCCCTCCTCGCCGGGCGACTTTGCCGCTGGTGGTCTTGGTCTTGGTTCGGCAGGAGCAGCCGCTGCTGGAATATCCCTCCCCGCCTATTCGGGTCGCTCCTCGTACGGCGGAGCTGGTGCTGACGCTGGCGCCGGCGCCGGCGCAGATGCGGCTACAGCTACGGCTCCTGCCATCGAAACGCTCTTTGAAGAAGACGAAAGCGCGGCAGCGCCCCCTGATGTAGGGGACTATGGTGCTACGACGGACACTCCTGCCCCTTCGGCTCCTCCTCATACGGACTTCTGACGATACCCAGGCTGAGAACGAGGAGCTTCTTTTGTCCCTTTGCGTACACACACAAACACGTATGTGTACACCCATGGCGCCCCCCGGACGAAGACGACGAGTCTGATAGCTACGGACATCTACTTTGCCATTGCCTGTGCCTTTGTCTTTGCCTTGTCAGATCGGTGATATTCTCCTTATTCCCACTCCCACTGCGTCCTTCCTTCCCTTCTTGCTCGCTTGCTTAACTTTTCTCGACTTCTTTTCCATTTTTGTTCTTTCATCTTCCATCTTGTTGTAACACTATTCCCTGACTGCTGCGATTCATATTGTCAATTTACTTGTACATCCCTTACTTGCGAAGCTATTGAGCTATTGAGCTTCATTTGTGACAATGTGTCTTCGCTGTAAGTGGCAGAGCAGAGCGTACACAACGTGGGCGGTAAAGGGATCTCGGAACGGGAGGGGTGGCTGCGCCTCGGCCTGCGCCTCTGTGGCCTTGCGCCCCCGCCTCATCTCGCGACGCGACTTTGGGCGGGGTGCGTGGGGTGCGTGCATGCAACCAAGGGAAAAGTGGGCCCTTGCTTCCTCGGTGGGCATAGACTAGAACAGGATATCACCCTCTTGGTCGGGCTTAGTATCCAGCTACTGTCATTGCCACTGCTGCTGCTAGGCTCTATACCCCTGCATCGTTGAGCGTCCCCTCATATACAGGTCGCATTTGCACTCGCGCTGCTCCTGCTACACACGCATCGCTCCTACTCGCACTCGCCAGATATGAGGCGCTAAAGCACCACACACACTCTCTCTCACCTCTCAAGAAGTTCAGCCCGATCAGAGTGGCAAGAAGACTCCATCATGGCCGCTTCCGGCAGTCCGCTCTTCTCTGCCTCCTCTTCATCGTCCCCGTCGTCCTCGGTACCCTCATCGCCTTCCTTCTCGAGACAGGTGGTCCGCACATCGGCTCCTTCGAATGGTACCACGCCGAGGGATCGGTGGATGGGGCGACGTGGAATGGTTGAAGCGGACGACTTTGACTTTGATGAAGATGAGGAGGAGGATCGCATCAAGTCATTCACCAAGAACACCCCTCCTGCATCGCCTTCACGCTCCCACATTGAGGAGCAATGGAAAGGCAGTGAGGCCTCAGGCTCATCATCTGCCGCGGCAGAAGTAAGACAGAATAGCATTTCGAACCGCTCGCCTACACTGGAAGGTCCTGCAAGCGCTAGCAGTGCGAGAAGAAATCGGCCGCGAAGCTCGCCTTTCTCCAGCCCACGCAAGAGAGAAGCTACCTACGAATCCAGGGAAGCTCGTCTGGCTGGCCTTGCGACCTCTCCGGACATCCAACCTTCTCCTCGGGCATCAGCTCAATATCGATCTACTCAGCGCTCTGCGAAGAGAGCAGGAGGCTCTGCTTGTCCAGACGACTGCCGTTGCTCGGACAGGGAGATTGAGATGGGCCGTTGTGCTTGTGCCCTTGGCAGCGCTAGCGCTAGCGGAAGTAGTAGTCGGGACAGCAGTCCGGATGTGGGTGAGGAGAGCAGAACATTAGGTGGACAAGTGCGGATGAATTGGCAAAGGGGGGAGAGAACACCCGCTCTTTCTACCGCTCGGACTCTGCCATCTCTGGAGAGGGTTTCGGCTCAGGCCGTGGGCAGCTACAGCACTGCAAGGAGGCCCCGACCTTCTAACAACCTCGCCGCCTCGACTTCGGAAGCAGAGAGCGTGGATGCTGGGGCATCGCATAGCTATTCGAGGGTCTCTGCTGCAGGAAGACCTTCACTCAAGGCAACGCTTGCTCGGCAAAGCAGAGCAGAGCGCTTGTATCCGAATCAGACTGGTGGCGCGAACATCCGGACAGCGCCCTTCTCGCTTTCTACACTCGAGGACGAGGATGAGGAGACTGACGCTCGTAGGAAGAGGCGGAGAGAGGAAAGGGATCGTTTGATCCGGCAGCGGATAGAAGAGAAGCGGAAGAGTCGAGATCAGCAGGAGTTGGGCCTGGGGTTGAGTCCCAGTACGACGATACGAGTGCAAGCAGATGGGGCTGACGATTCGCGGGAAGGCAGCCAGGCTGATGCGAGGAGAGAGCGCACTCTCGAAGAGGACGTGACGCGTATACGTACGCTCTCAAGACCTCCCAGCAGTAATTCTATAGCGGCCTTTGCGGCTAAGGTCTCTCCCTCCAGGATCAACTTACGGAGAGCCCCACCTCTTGCGTCTAGCGACGGGGCTATCGAGCAGGATGTGCTACAGGAGAGCATCAAGCTGACGCCGAGCAAGACCCTGAAGGAAGTGCTGTCTCAAGAGAGCGCCCTGGAAGAAGCCAGAAATCCCACCGGTCGTACATCGCGCGCACCATCGATTGCTTCCTCTTCTGGCTTCTCCTTTTCGCCTCAACGCATGTCCGTCGAAGTCCCACCAAGCAGTCCTTCAACGCCAGGTTCCTCTCCGAGGAGATTGGCGCACAGACGTACCGGAGGTGGAGAGGGGGATGTTGTGAGCGTCGCTGCCAATTTACCCGCCAACGATCCGATGGAAGCAAGACAGCGTCTGCGCAGCGCCTTCCGCTCGCCCATCATTGGCTCCCCTGGGTCTCCTCATTTGGTACAAGAAGAATTGTCCACATCCGCTCCCGGTGCGGGCAACAGTAGAGATGCTTTCAACGTCAGCAACTCTCGTAAGTCGGTGAGGTTCAGTCCAGAAGCAGAATTCGTCGAGGCTCAGAGAATGGATTCATCAATGAGCTCCGCGAATGACGAAGACGCGCAGGCCGAGGAAGAAGACTCGAGTGAAGATGAAGAGTCGGTGGATGACGATGCCAACGATCGAGGCGAGCAGACCACTGAGCTCCAAGATGCTCAACATGCCGACCAGAGTCCAATCGCGGTGGATGCGTCTGTCATCAAGCCTTCCGCGCGTGCTTCAGCACCGACGTCCTCGCCCGGTCTTGTCAATACGCCCATACGTCTTCCTCCTGGCGCATTCGGCTCGCCCTTTGCTTTGGGCAGGCTTCCTAGAGAGGACCGGGAGAACCAACCGTCTTTCTCTGTCTTCACGCTACGCCCTCATGCCAAGCGAATTGATCAGAGTGGGCGGCAGAGTCCCTCATCTACGCCTACACGACCTCCGGCCGACAATACGCTGCTACCCGAGACACCGATGCCGCCAGGAGGACTACGGGTGCTCAAGGGTAAGCTCCTTTCGTCTGCCAATGCGACAAGGCTTTCTCCAACCCCAAGAACGCCCTTTGCAGTCTTGCAACGACAGAGTGCATCGCAAGTCACAGGTGAAAGGGGCCTCCCGCCATCGTACTCGGCCATCGCCGCTTCCTCTCCGGCTTCGTCAAGTTTCTCGATGAGCCGCTCCAATAGTGTCGAGAGTGGGCTTGATCAGCTCTCCCTTCAGCAGCCGATAGGGGAGGAAGGAGAACGAAGCAATCAGACGGATTTGGATGCGGATGGCAGTGCCCAACCTCGCCAGTCGACTCCTCCCCCTTCTCAAGCACCACTTTCCCCTTCCCTCTCCTTGCCTCGACCTCTGCCATTGGTCACAACGAAGAAGAGCGACGCTCAAAGTAAGCGCGACTCCCTCGCAGACGCTGTTCCCTGGACGCATATTGAGGAGCTGCGTGGAATTGCCAGCCCACCTGACTCCCGTGCTGCGACGCCTCTGCACAATCTCGATACTGATAGGATTGCGGAAAGCGAAGGTCAGCCAGGTGGTGGAGAGGAAGACTCGATTAGGGTCACACTGGCAAAAGTAGTCTCTGCCCTAGCCTCTCCACCCAAGATCTCCCCGCCGCTTCTCCCGGATGAGGGCGCCACTGCAGGTCTTCCCGACCTGAGCATCGCTACCAAAGCTCAGCAAGCCGAGGAAGTCGTCGACGCCTCGACTCTCGCCACTCGAAGATTGCTCCTCCAAGTCAAGCTCGAGGACGAACGCGCTCGGGAGCGTCGCGCCAGTCGAGCCCTGGTGGACCATAAGCAGACGGGCCGACTGAGGAGCGCACAGGCGGAGCTCTTCTCCCGTATCGCCAGCCTGGGAGTGGGACAGGTTTGGACTAGCGAGGCAGGAAACGGTAGTAGGGCACCGGCTCCTCTCTTCTCTCCGAGCAGGATTCGACCTGCTCTCTTCTGGCTCAGCGTACAATTGCTCATTCTTTGGCTCGCACTTCTAGTCATGCGTCACGGAGCAGACCATCTGCATCGTACCGTGTACTATGACCCTCTGTATGCACATCTCTACGAAGTCGACACGAGAGGTCACTTGCGGTATGGGACGACCTCGCGCTCCAGCTGGATGTGGGAATTGCTCAAGAGCAGAGGTACTCGGTGGCTCGTTGCGAGCACCTCACACCCCCACCACGCCTCCTCAATGTCAACACCAGACTCAAAGACTAGCTTGGCGCAAGACTGGCACAGCTGGCCAGCCCTCTTTGCCTCGCTACAACACTTTCCCCACTGGCTAGCCTTGAATCTCCTGACGGTAGAGGCAGCAGGCGCGACCGGTGCTCCATCTTCTTCCTATACCCACGTTTCACACTTTGTACCCGTCTGAAGTGTAAGTGTAATTGTATTCATCGTTTGCCCCGTGAGTCATCACCTCGCGTGAGTGTCGAGCTTAGGTAGGAGGTGTGCATGCAATGACTCATACTGCAAGCTGGGGGGATGAATTGGATGGAGAGTGCTTACATTGACAGTACTCGAGGTAGGAATGCAAACGCTTTCATAAAATAGGGCTTATGCAGAGCGAAATAGGGTACACGAATGAGGGAATAGCAAGAGCAAGGGGAGGCAGGGTAGGCAGTTCCTAAAAGAGAGAAAAGAAATGGTGGGCAGCTCCATCAAAGACGCAGCAAAAAGAAGAGGATTGGGCGACCAAGTTCGAAGAAGCAGCGTACACACACGGCAATTTTCCCAATCTATTACTCTTCGAGAAAAGTAGATCGTCTAGCTGGGCTCACCTCGTCCCTTTGCCTCGACCGACTGCCTGATCGACTTGCCACTCTACTCTTCTTCTGTGCAGCGCCAGCTCCAGCAGGAGCAGAAGCAGAAGCAGCAGAAGCAGCGGGAGTCGAGCCACCATGCCTGCTGACAGGCCTGGGAGGTAGAGCAGTGAGCGTCTGTGGTTTTCGCAGACGTATGAAGCACAGGCACAAGAAGCTAGCAAAGAAGAAGGCTGCTCCTGCATAAAAGATTGCGTGGGGCTTGGTGTGCACATACCTCTTGAAGACCCAAGTGAAGATGACGGGTCCAACGACGTCGGAGCCAATGGCCGAGGCGATTCCCCATGCTCCAAAGAGCTTTCCTGCCTGGCTGGGCTTCTGCAACAGCGCGAGGGCGAGGGAAGACATCGAGGCGCCACCTCCTGCTCCGAGGGAAGTGATGGCGCTGGCAATGATGAAGATGGTGGGACCTCGGAAGAGGGAAAGGAGGACGTAGGCTATCACGTTGATGAAGAGTGAGACGCGACCTAGCTTCAGATCAAAGTGAGAGTCGTGTAGTAATCGGAGATGCTTTGCTCGCATAGTCCAGAGCTCCTCAAGAGTAGCCTCGTGCTGGGGATCGTGAGGATCAATATGGGTAAAACCACTCTGTTCAGGTGTTGCCGTCTCGGTAAAGTCGACGTGGCGCTGTGTTGAGCCAGTCGATCCGTACGCTGCGAAAGACGGCCTTCGCGAGTGACCTTCATCGTCCAGTAGAGGCTCTTGCTCGTCGTTTCCAGCGTCTTGCGGCAGAGACACTGCTCGCGGTGGTCGATGCCAGACCTTGATGACCAAGGGAAGGATCACAGTCAGGCAAAGTACTCGAGTGATCGATACGAATGTAAAGAAGTATCCAAGCTCAGTCGCACCCCAATGAAAGACATTGATCGCATAGAGACTCTTGAGGGACAGGATGCCCATGCATGAAATCTCAATGGCGTACGAAAGACTCAACCAGAAGAGATTCCAGTCTCTCTTGCGTGAGCGGGAGATATGAGAGATGGACAGCATGGATGAGGCTGGATCCGGGATGGTGGTCCTTCGCAGATCATTGACCGAGGGCATTCGACTAGCAGGTCGAGACTGGAGCCGTTCCACCTGCTCTACTGTGCGTGGCAGAAGCAAGACCAAAGGCTGCAGTGGAGCACTGAAGCGCAGCAGCAGGCTCTTGCTCTTGGCCTTCACCTGACCCTGTTCGTCTACTTCCTCTTGTGAGAGCGAAGTCTCCTTTTGATGCTCCATCATTGCCGCCTTGCGCCTCTCTGAGCTCGTGCTCTCGGGCATGACAAACAGGGCAATGAAGAAGTAGAGAACGTGTCCAGCAGTGGCAAGCAGAAAGGGAGCAACGAGACTGTCTGTAGCTTTGACCATCCAGCCTCCGACTGCCGGACCGATGATGAAACCAAAGTAGAAGAAGCCCGCCAACCGAGCAAAGACCTTGGCTCTCGTACCAGCAGGCGTACAGTCCGAGATGTAGGCCTGGTGAGCTGCGAGGAGGGTTGAGAGCCCTCCCAGAGCACCATTGAGGGCCGCTGGTAGCAGCAAGAAGTTGCTTCCGAAGGGTAGCGATGTGATGGGTAGCAGACCAATGGCAAGATAGCTAAAGTCGAAGGCGAGGAAGCTGACACATACGCAAGCGAGAACCTTGGTTCTGCCCCGTCGGTCTGATAAGCCGCCCCACCAACCAGTCGTGGCGGCCGAAAGGAGACCGACCATGATCGCAATCCGCATTTGCAGCTCTGCAGACCCGGCGACGACGTCAGGGGTGCGGCACTCCTGGCTCATCGGAGGTCGCTCATGCGGAAGGCGTAGCAGCATGGCCGAAAAAGGCTCTTCGCTCTGCCTCTGCTTGGCAGACATCTCTTCGCAGATGACCTGCGTGAGAAGCTCAATCCTAGCGGACATGATGGATCCGATCTGGAGACGGTAGGAAGGAATGGGTCAGGTGTTTGGCCTCTCTGTGCCACCATCAATCGGACAGCCTGATGCTCACTGCAATAGCTAGAAGAGAACCCATGGGGACCAGCCACCATTGGCTAGGTCTCTTCCACCATCTCCTCCCTTCGAGCCAATGCAAATGGCTATCATCTCCCGCACTGTTTCTTCCAGCTGTCGATACATTCGGCTGCTGCTCTGCCTCTGCAGCATCGCTTGCTCTGAATTCAGAATCGCCTCCGTTCACGCCATCGTCATCTCGTTTCAGATCCTCCTCCCTGTCATCGTCGTACCGGTAGAGTACATCACCAATGACTGGATCTGCTGAATCTATGTTGTAACCTCCGGATGGATTGTTGAGCTCGTGATGGGGTAGTGAAGGTTGAGGAGGTGGTGGCATTGGAGATGCGGAGCGGGGACGTCCACGTTGCCGCGCGGCGCTGCTGCTGCTGGAAGAAGGATGGAGGCCATCGCCATGCCTGGCGGAGGATGTAGATGAAGATGGTCCTGACATGTTGGAGATTGTAGGGAAGTATGCGTAGGATGCTAATGCTGAGCGTGCAAGGGGTGGCTGTTCAAAGCATTGTCTGCTCCAAATTTGTCGAGTGTGTTGGAGATATGATAATCCCGCTGCTGCTCCAGAGAAAATGACCCGGCAGAGGTCCGAGTGGAAGGAGAGAAGCAAGGAAAGGTGAAGAGACACTGAGCAAGCAGAATATGAGAAAGGAAGTAGCAGATGAAAGTGAAACGGTAGAGAGTGGGATGACCAAAGATACGGGGTGAGCCAAGAGGTGTACACGCAGCTTGCAGGGTCCACTGCATTTCTGAGCCAATGCCTTTTTCCCACCGGGCTTGGTCAGCGGCCGCTTCTCGGAGATAAGGCTGGGCATCGGTATACTCAGTCACTCAGTCACTCAGCCAAGCGGCTGAGACCACGACCCAGGGATCCTCGCTAATGGCGCACAGCAACCAACGTGGGTAAGACAAACAGACGATCCAAGGCGACACCACAAACAGGGGGCGTTATGCTCAGCTCATGCTCAGCTCAAACGCGTAGTCATGCTCAGCACGGCACGCATCGGCCCGCGTCTCGTCGTGAGGTACACAGGGACACAAGGGGAGGCAAATGCAGGAAATGAAATGTATTGGCTGCAGGCATCATCTTGCAATCAGAGGGAATCAATCTCTCACATGGACAACAGGAATGACGGAACAGCGACAGCATGAGAGAGTGAGAGGGGGGAATCTCGGGGGAAGACGACACTGGGAACGACTTTGTGTATGAGAAAGCAGTACAATTGAGGCCACCTAGACCTAGTTCCGCCCAGCAGACTAGGAGAATGGCGCCAATCCCGTCCATTTGCAGGACAGCGAGATAAGAGTGAGAGAAGGAGGAGGTGCAAGGGGAATGCAGCTCGTCGTCAAGGTCGTTAAAGTACAAGATGTCACACCGAAACTCTTCCGATCTAGACGACGGTCAGATGCAGCACCGTCGTCGAGAAGGGCAGAATCGCCACTTTAGACGGAGCGAGCACTTCGACGAGAGGCAGCGGCAGCCCTGCGAACGTGACGTTGAGCGTGGTTGCCACTGATGGCACGCCTGCGGGATGTGCTCGAGTACTTGGAGATGGCAGAAAGGTAGGCTTGTCCTGCCGATGTGAGTCCACCAGACGAAGTCAATGTACCATTGGGTCCATTGTCGGCATCGGAGATGAAGTAAGCCTTGACCTTGTCGAGACTCTCAAAGTAGTCAACGGCCTGACCAATGAGGTCGTCGGTCTCAGAAACGGTACCGTAGTTGTGAGCACCGTTCTGGTAGTTGGCATAAGCAAACTCGGTGACCCAGAAGCAGTCGTAATCAGAGTAGGTGTTCAGGTAGTGGTTCATGGTGTTCTTCATACCGTCGAGACTGTCGCGGAAGATGTGCACGGCAATGCAGTCGGGCTTGACGGTGGCAGCGGCAAGGAAAGGGGCAAGGAGGGTCTCATCGGCCTGCTTGGCACACGAGGGCGAGATGAGAATACTACCAGCGTCCTTCCAGGGGCCAAACTTCTCGTCCCACAATGAAGCGGCGGCGGAGGCTGTCATCAGTCCAGACGAACCAGTGCCCTTGAGGTCGAACTCGTTAAAGCCCATGACATACTTCTGGGATCCAGCAGTGAGTGCATCGAACTGAGCCATACGATCAGAGTTGGTGGTGCCGGAAAGACCAGTGTTGGCAGAGTTATCACCGTTACCCCACAGCATAGGTACGTAGAGGGCGGACGAGCTCTTGTGGTCATTTGCACCAGCAGCTCCCCAATCATTCCAGGAACCAATGTGGGCACCGAGGTACTTGACGGAGTTGCCGCCGGAGACACCTGCCTTGATACCGTTGGGCGTGTAGTCAGTGTTTGATCCGGAGGAAGTGGCATTGCCCGATGATGTGGAAGTAGAGGAGGAAGTGCTGGTCTTGGTCGAAGAGCTGGCAGATGACGATTTTGTAGACGAGGAGCCAGAGCCAGAGCCGGAGCCAGAGCTGGAAAGTGTAGACGACTTGGCCTTGCACTTCTTGGTCGAGGCGTCGACATCGATGGCCTGCATCGAGACGGCGACGAGAAGGAGGGCGAGAAGGGAAGGGAGAGAGTACTTCATTGTGGTTTGGTGCTTGGATGGACTTGAGGCGATGTGAGTTCCTGTACGAAGGCTTTTTATTTGCTTATCTCGGAAGAGGCAGGGAACAAGTCAAAGCTACCAGATGAGCGTGAGACTGTGAGAGATGTTCAGGGCAGGGGGTGGTCGTCCTAGGCGATCAAACGAGAGAATGGGAAGCGTGTAGACTGGAGAGCAGAGGGGAGCGGGAGAGAGAGGGAGAGAGAGGAAGAGAAAGAGAGACGATGGGTGTGATGATGATGTAGGGGAGGAGTGGGAGTGGGTTAAAGAGTGAGTGATGAGATGTTGAGGGCCAGCGAGGGAGAGCGGAGCAGGGCGAAGGTTGCGGATGAAGAGGAGGCCGTTGCGGGACAATTGACACATCCCTCCCTCCGGCTCGGCATCGACGCGCCCTGCCGCGAATCAACACTGCCCCAGGCACTGCGCCCGTCTCCCGCGCGCGTCCAGGGCAACAACACGCCCGCACCCCCCCTTGTCCAACACACAGGCACTGCACCAGAGGCTGCGCCACACCAAGTGCGCCTTGTGCCCCCCAAGCATTCCTGGCTCCGCAACGTACGGCGTTCCCTTGCATGACCAATGGGCCGCGTAGGTCAATCCTGGACCTCGAACCTCGTCCAAACCCCCGCCTCACCCAGTGACATGGCTCACCTACGAAGGCAGCTTTACGTCTTCGGAGAATGGGTGATGCTATACTAAGCCTAAGCCAGTAGTGGAAGACTCATGTGCCTGTCAAAAGGCTCTATCACCCCACCTGATGACGTCTGATCACGAGCGCTAAACCGGACAGGTGAAAGAAAACACTGCGAGCGTCACATAGCAAGGTGTGATCTGCACACTGCACCTTCCGAAAAGGGGCGTGTGGGTTGCGCGAGTGTAAGAACGGGCCGATGCGCATGGGTGGGTGTCCATTGCTTGTTTGTCGGCTTGTAGGTATGCGCTTGATCCTCTTCAACCCCCTGTCGTCCCCTTCAACGACAACAAGGGCTGCCCAAGGGCGCATGGCCTGGACAGTGAGTGGTGCAAGGGGTCAGGAACCTTACAGCCACAGCCGCGCCAAGAACAAGGGTCCTGGGCTCCTGGCGCAAACTATCGGTGGCTCCAGGAAAGCCCGGCATCCCAGGCGCTTGGGTTCCTCGCTTAGCCCTTGTCTACTTTATCGGCACAATTCACAGACTACTCCGATCTACCAAGATCTGACGCCGAGTGCAAACAAGTGCCACTCCTAGTGAGATTTGCCGATGAGCAGTGATTCCCTGTAGGCAGAGTGGCAGCTTGACAAGGCTGAGTGGCGTCGAGCTTTGACAAGGAGATTGGATCACGATCTATATCGTTGTAATTGAAGACATGTCTGACATCGTACCCAGGGTCCCTGCTGCAGACGACGGAGGGGTCAAGGTGCCGCGAGCCAAGCAAGAGAGAGAGAGCGCGTGCGTGTGACAAAAAGATCTTCGAACGTCGCTGAAACGCTCCCGGGAGTGCACAAAGAAGCCCTCGACGCCGTTGCGAATGGCAAGTCATCTGTTCTGCCCTTCCGTCTTTCAAAAGAAGGTCCGAGCGCTGTGTGATTGCTTCCAGACAAATCTGACACTGGCCAGGCTCTCATAATGTGTGCCGAAAGAGAGCGTCTGCGCAGAGTGGTTCTAGCGTCTGCTTCTTTTGACAAAGCTCGCCGTTGCGGAGAGTACAGTCAAGTGGGACCGCAGACCGGCGACGAGACGCACCGTGTCGGTCCTGTGCACGACTGGCCACTTCAGCACCGTTCAGCTCCTCCCAGTTCTCTCAGCATAATTGTAGCGAGCTCGAGACTGACGGGAAAGGTCGATTTGTCGTCATGCTTGCGCTTGCCCGATAGGCTCCATTGAAACCGCAAAGGCTTTGAACGTAGGGCACTAGGTATCTATGCATCGCACATTCCAGATGCTGACACTCGCTATGATAGGCGAGAGCCAGATGCTCTATCACTACCCCGAAGACTCCTGTGCAATCGGCACTTGCCGACATTGATATTCAGCACTCAGTCTGCTAACATCACATTGCATACGAACACAGAAACATTTCAAGACGATGGATGTGACGACGAAGTCTGCACGAACGATTGGATCCAGGTCAGTGTATGACGGGGGCATATTTCGACGGTTGTCTTGCTAGGCATATGTCTGAGGGTAGGGCTGCTATTTCAAACCAGATCTGCTGACCCAAGGTATTGGCCATGCTGCTGAAGTCCTCGGCGACTGCCCCCGTCGCTGTATGTGTTCCTTCGCGCTTTGAGTGCAGCCGTCTAGGTGCGACACGCAGTCGGAACAGGTGGCGTCGAATAGTATGTCTGGTCAGGATCCGAGCGCCAATTCTGTCTACACACGAGCTCGTCGTCGAATCTCGGATGTGCGCGGACGCAAGGTCCCATCACCCAGGGTTTGCTCTCATCGTCCTTCGAGCCTCCCAGCAAGAGACTGTCCACGCCGCAAGCCTGTCAGTACTGACGAAAGCTTTCAGTCACATGTGCTTCATTGTTCCTATAATCACAAACGCTACTGATCAGACGAGCGCTTGACGACTGCCGTGATCTGTAAGACCTGCCTGTCGTTAGCGATGGATCTCGCCCGCCAATCACTTCAGGCGGGGTGAGGCGAGTGCGCGGTGCGCTGCCCGTCGCGTCTTTCCGTCGGATGAGCCTGTACCAGATGCCAGACTACCTTCCCATCCACCTCGTCCACCCTTCCCGCATTCATCATCATGAGCCACCCAGCAACGGGCACTCCTCACAACTACGGTGGAGGCAGCTATCCGCCTCGAGGTATGCCTCAGGCTTCTCCGGCGGGACAACATCCGTACAACGCCCAGATCCCTCCTCACCTCGCTGGTAATCCCCAGGCTGCCAGGTACCTTCCCCAGCAGCAGCCGCAACCACCTCAGCAACAGCAGCATCACCATGTCAATCACCAACACGCCGCTCAGGTCGCCGCTCAGAACATGAGGAAGAGGCATGCAGTAGACTCGACAGTTGTGGACTCGCTTCGCGGGCTCAAGAAGGGCAAGCCTACGAGCAGAGTGATACCGCCGAGTGTTCAGAGGCACGTGCCGGAGAGCGCCCTATACGGGCAATTGCAGAAGGACGAGAGAGCATTAGATTGGACGCTGAGCAGGAAGAGGGCAGAACTGACAGACGGGATGGGCAAGAGGCCGCCAAAGGTGAGGAAGAGCTGGTCCGACTACGAAGGTCACCTGGATCGTGGCTGACAGTCCTTTCCTATGATCGGGGTAGACAAAACGTACACTACGAATCTTCCTCAGCAATACCTGTGCAAACCAGCCATTTCAAAAGGAGGAGCAAGCTGCAATTGCTGCACAGCAGCGCGGTCAGGATGCTCCCCCTCCTCCCGCAAGCAATGCCGAGGCAAGCACATCAGAGGCGGATGTGCCATCTTGGAATCTCCGCATTGAAGGCAGATTGCTCGAGCCATCTTTCAGATCAAGAGCATCAAATGCTAGGGCAGCGCAACAGACATCGGACCGCATCGGCGCTCAGAAGTTCTCCAATCTCGTCAAGTCGTGTGTGGTGGAATTGCAACGCGATCCTCACCTCTATCCTGCTGAGGAGAATCTGGTCGAATGGCATCGCCCGAACCCCACGGCGGCCACATCTTCTGGGCCAAAAGATGGCTTTGAGAACCCACTCATCGCGGCTGCTGAGCCCGGCTTGGATGGTTTCGAGATCAAGAGGAAAGGGTCTGAGCCGGTGAAGGTCAAGATTGCACTGTACCTCGCGCACACTCCGGAGCGATATGCGCTTGCTCCTGAGCTTGCGGTCTTGCTGGACATCCGCGAAGAGACTCGCCAAGGAGTCATTTCGGCACTGTGGGCATATATCAAGGATCGTAAACTGCTGGATGAGCGCGATAGGCGAGTCGTCCGCTGCGACGCCGAGCTCGCCCGTTTCTTCAGGACCGATCAGATTGCCTTTCACCACATTCCAGAAGTCATCAATCGACATCTGCATCCGCTACCGCCGGTGATGCTAGAATACTGGGTGCGCACAGATGTTGATGTGAACAAGCACTCGTCTGCCTATGACATTGAATTTGAGATGGACGATTGGAGTATCAGGCAGAGGCAGGAGAGAGTCCTGTCACTCTTTGACGGCTCAAGTGACAAGGCGAGAGAGATTGCTGATCTCGATGAGAAGGTAAGTAGGCGCGAAAAGTGAAGTCATTGAGCGAAGTCTCAGGCCTTGACCTTACACTCGCGCTGCCCTGTGATCCTTTCCACAGATCTCACAAGCCGTCGTCGCTCTTCAGAACCACTCTTCTGCCCGAGACTTCCTCCACACCTTTTCCCAAGACCCTTTGCAGCACCTTCAAACCTGGCTCGCCTCGCAATCCCGCGATCTAGACGCCATCCTCGGAGCTGCCTCTTCCATTCCTGGCGCTGGAGTCAACTCGAGCTTGTCAAATGAAGAGATGAGGCGGGCAGATACCTTCCATGGTGCTTGGTTGGATGAGGCGATTACGGGTCATATTGCGTTGGATACCGCTAGGAGGAAAAAGGAACTGGAGAGGTCCACGGCGAGACAGGCCATGGCGCAATCTCAGCAGCAGCAGTAGGAGTAATAGTAGTAGTAGCAGTCGTAGTAGAGCAGGCAGAGATAGCGAAGGTGGCATGTGTACGCACTGAGTGCACGCGGAATGATTACCCAAAGTCAACCTAGCATTGTTCCTTGCGAGAGTTGCTTGTATGCGCGTTAGAATTGGCTTCGTCTCAAGAGTGACTGGCAAACATGCCCAATCCCCATCCACCTCCAGCCACAATAGGCGGCGGTCTGAACCCGCCACTCGTGCCCGCTCCAGCCGCACCCCCTTCAGCAGCTCCCCTCCCAGCCCCCAATCCAGCACCCCCTCCCACTCCCCCTGCACCCACTGTCCCGCCTATCCCTCCGCTCGTGGCAACACTGAAAGCCTGCCGAAGCATGAGCAAGCTCCTAGCCTGTGCCGTATGCATTCCATGGTGCGTGCGTCTAGCAAGGGGCACAGGCGCGACTCGCTCGTCGGATGCGCGGGTACGGAGAGCGACGAGGAGAGCTTCTAGCTCGTTGCGCACACGGGGAGAATCGGTAGAGTGAGACGCTAGGTCATTTTCGAGGTAAGGGTCTTCCTCTTCTAGAAGATTGGAGATGAGAGTACTGGGCGCATTGCTGGCGTTGCCATTGCCGCTGCCGCTGCCGTCGGCGCCAGCGATAGTGCTGCCTGCGGCTCGATCCCGAGAAGAGCCTTCTCCGTTGGTATTTGCAGTGGTACTACTGCCAATGTTGATGAAGCTCCTCCTCGAGCCGTCGGGATTGAAGAGTCCACCTCCTTTACCATCCAGTCCATTGAGCAAGAGATTGAGTCTCCTACTCTTGCTCTGCGCACTAGCCAAATCTCCACCTTCTTCTCTCCTCTTGGCACTGAGTTTCTTCTTATTCTTCAGATCAGACTTCTTGCTCCTCCTCATCTCCTCGGCTCGAGCTGCCTTTTCTTCTTCCTTCTTTTCAAGCTTGGCAAGGAAGGCGGGATTGTTTGCTTTTTGCCATTCGAGGAGGAGATCGTCGTACGACTTGGAACGACCTTGGACGGAGCGTTTGGCGCCCATGGAGTGGGTCTTGCAGGTCAAAGAGCGCAGGCAGGGCTGGCCATTGTCGTTTAGCACACCACACTGGCGGTTGACATCCAGTGCTTGCCCTAAGCGAGGAAAGAGAGACGACAAGAAGATCAGCAAGGTCTTCAAAGCGTGGTCTGATCGGATATCCGCCAACTCACCTCTTCTTCGCCGATTGTTCTTGGCCTCTTCTGCCTCTCGCAGCTTCCTAGCCTTCTTCTCCATCCGAGCCAATCTCCTCTCCTCAACCTCGAGTGCTCTAGCTGCCTTCTTTGTGAGCTTCTTCTGAGGGCTGACACTACTCGATGCGGATGCGTAGGCTCCTGTGTCTGTTTGCGAAGGTGTATCCGAGACTGAAATGGGCAGGGAAGTAGAGGGTTATGGTGAGTGTACGCCTCGTGCTGTGCTCGTCTGCTTCTACTCACTTTCCGATATGGCCCTCTTTCTCTTCATACGATCGGGATCAAGCAGACTCGGAGATGCCCTACCATCACGAATCGCCCTGATGAGCTGACAATTGGCGCGGTGAAAGTCCTTGTACCGTGCCAATGTGGGCTTGTTGCAATCGGCACACTTGACCACTTGGATGTAGTCGTCCAGCCGCTCCGGACCCAGATCGGTCACGTCCAGGTCATTGGAGCGCCATGTGGTTGGACGTGGGCCGGTGGATCCGCTGGGCGAGGATGGCTCACTCTGTACTGCGGCCTCTATGTCATCCCATGATGGATGTGATGCCATGTTTCTGGGAAGTGTGCTGCGTGGATGAGCTCCTTGTTTGCAAGTGGGTGGAACTGGTGTCCTCTGATCTCTGAGGATGGCTACGGGTGGTACTTGGCGCCCCTCGTCACCTCGGCCATTTGTGCGGGCGGCGCGGGGGCGGAAATGGGATTTCAAAGTCCGAGTCCGTGCTCGACTCGACTCTGTCCCAGCGGCGACGCGGCCTGCCACTCACCCACACCCACCCCGCACACACTCCACTGCCACCATCACCATCTCCTACCATACCTACCATACCTACCATCTCCCTCACTCACTCTCATACAGCATGGCAGGTCTGCCAACACTCCAGGAGATGGAGGAATGGATCGAGCAGGCACTCCAGGACAACGTCCCCAAGAACCTGGTCAGTGCCAAACCCCTGCGATACTCAGCACATGACCTACAAGTCAGATAAGCCATTGAACACTTTCTGACTCACCGTTTACTCCCTCTTTCCCCCACCCTGCTCTCACAGCAAGAGCTACCATTCAAGATCAGCGAAACCATCGTCACCTACTCCGAAGCAGTATACAATGAGCTCACAAAGTACGGCAGCCCAGTCAATCTGCCCTCGCTGCAACAGATCGAGGACCACATGCCATCCAACCCCTTTGCAAAGTGCCCCGTAGCGCCCCTCCCACCACCGCCGCCCCCTCGTGGGATACTTGGAAGGTCGGTAGATTGCGCCCACGCTCACAGACGCGCATTCGCCATCGCAGGTGGAGTCGCCGTACTTGGGCTGGGTACCACTGCCGCTTATCAGAGGGGATTCCTATGGCTCCCACTACTCGGAAAGAGGGACCAGAAATTCATTCAAGCGGCCAACAAGAGGAAGATGCGTACACCAGAGATCAGGAATGGAGTCAGGAAGGAGGCAGTAGGTGAGTAGGACTGTCAGCCTCTCGACTTTCACTTGACCCTTCTGACTCTCCACCCGTCGCATACCCTCCCATTCGCAGTCGTTTTGGGAGCCGACACGCCCCTCGGCAGAGCTCTGGCACTACACCTGGCCTCTGTAGGCTTCATCGTCATTGCCTCCGTCTCGTCCTCGGCCGCCGTGTCCTCCTTCAACTCGATCATCGCGCCATCCTCGCGCGGCTACATCAAGACGCTCGTCTTCGAGACGTCTGACGTCGCCAGTTCCCTCAACAAATTCATCCGTTCCGTTGATGAAGTACTCAAGCTTCGCTTCCCACTGCTGAGTGCTGGTGATCCCTATGCATCCCCTGGAGAGGAGGTCAGTCTTGTTGGAGTCGTCAATGCCCTCAGCTACCTCGCACCTGCCAACGACATCAGTCAGAAAACCAGCACGGCGTTCCAGTGCAACCCTGCCGAGCTAGCCGAGTCGATGGAGAAGCACGTCGTAGCTGCCCTCTGTGCCCTCTCCTCTTTGCAGCCGCTCCTTACCTCGCCAAGTGCCCGAGGGTCGCTGCGAGCCTCGGAAGCCAACGTCAGGACTGCTGGTGCCCAGTCTCCGTCTGCTGCCACTGCAATCACCCTCCTCAGCTCTCCCTCTAGTCATACCTCGCTTCCTGGAGCCGATAGGGAGAGTGTCATCGCCCAGGCTGCTGCTGCAGGCATGGAAGTAATCAGGCGAGAAGCCGAGGTGCGCTCTAGCACCACATCATTGTCCTCAGCCTCCGTCCACGCCAGGCGCTCGCTTCGCGTCACCACAGTCGAGATTGACGAGGGCACTCCTTGGGGCTATGCTGCGCGTCGGATCCCCTCGTCCGGCGAAGCAGAGACTACGGCCTCATCGACCAGCAGCATTGGCGGTGGCTCCACCGCTTCAGTAGCCCCTGCACCAGCGCGACCTGCCTACATGCGCAAGGCCTCTTCAACCCTGACCTGGCCAACACGAGACAGCTCTACCCAGCTCGTGCTGTCCAAGGTCACGTCCCTTCTGCTCACACCCGATGCTACTGCTCGACTGAAGGCGACATACCGTGTCTACCTCCCCACGGAGAAGGAGACTTCCTACTGGGGTCAAGCTCAAGCCCTGTGGAACCGCGGTACCCAGCGTCTGATGAGAGTCATTCCCACGTCTTGGGTCGACGTGCTGCTGAGCCTGAGAAGGCACGTCAGCATGCGGAGAGCTGGACTGATTGGGCAGGGTCCAAGGGGCACGAGGACAGCCTCCCAAGGCTCATCCAGCAATGCTCAGACCAGCAGCGGCAACCTTTCCAAGAGTGCTACCAGCCAAGCAGGCGGAGCCAGGCGTGCTGGAGGGAGCGCGAGCGCCAGTTCTCTTGCGCCCCCTCCTACCGCCTCATCGAGGAGAGGGTATTACTACCCCTCCAACTCCAACTCCGGTTCAGCGCCCACCTCTGGGCCCCCTTCTCTTCCCGACTCAAATTCCGGCGAGTCCACCTCCTTCCACGGAGACACAGAGGACGGAATGGTCTCTTCTGGTGTGCTGGACAGTCATTCTGAACCAGAGGGAGAAGGGGGCGCAGGTAGCCGTGGTGGTAGGGCTGTGGGAGGTGGGGTAAGCAGGTCGAACGCGACTATTGGAGTTGGTTTTGAGCATGTGGGTGCTGCCGAGGGGCCTTGGATGGGACCTGACGAGCCTCAATCCGGTAGTGAGCTGCTGCACAGTCAGGCGCACGCTGATGACGAGGTGGAGCGTGACGAGGAACACGAGCACGATCGCGACCACGAGCAACACCTCGAGCATGAGCACGAGCATGAGCATGGAGAGGAAGAAGGCGATCAAGGAGAGGGATCCTCCTTTGTAGGGGAGAGCTGGGTCGCTCTTGGTGAGAGCAGCAGAAGGGAGAGGGGCGAGTGAAGGAGTGAGCCCTCCCACTCATCCTTACGCTTCCTTGCTCCCTTGCTTCTTGATCTCCTCACGCCTGCTCTCTCCCCCATCGAGCATCGATTGCTACGCCGTGCTGTGCTATAGTCTCTATTGTATTCCCACTTCCTGTTCCCTATCTCGATCTCGTCTCTTCTGTTTCTCCTTCTCTTCTCTCTCTCCAGCTCTTGCTTTCGATCTTGTTGTCCAACTTCCTATGTCCGTGCCTCGTACTTGTCCTTGTCCTTTGTTGTAGCTGCTTCTTGTCCCCCTTTCCCCTTCTCTCTTTTCCACTTTGAATCACAACAACTTCGTATTGCCTCGTGTTGAAAGCTCTTAGCTCGATTGCCACTAAGGCTACCCCAGTCTTGTTCACTTCACTTCACTTCCCTTTAGCTCAAGTCAGTCAAGGTGATGATGGGTGATGTGCAAAGCTTGTCTATTACAGGAAACACAAAGAGGCTGTCTAAGGCCATGCAGAAGACCGGGAAAGTCGTCGAGGTTCTTTCGAGAAACAGGTGGAGAACCAAAGAAGGGTGAAAGGGCCAAGGCGGGGGGGGGGAGCAAGAGGGTGAAGAGGGACGTTTAGTCTTGACTGTCTGATCGGGGTGATAGACCGATTCGGGGTGTGGCGAGCAAGCGAGTCGTTTCCCTCTAATGTAGGCGAGCTCGACTGTGCTACGCCCACTAGCGCTGCGCTAGGAAGCGCTTACCAACGACCACCACCACCACCGCCGTAGCTGTCTCCTCCGTATCCACCACCACCACCGCCGTAACCACCCCTGACAGGCATGGCATTGGCGCCACCACCGTATCCACCTCCTCGTCCACCCCTACCACCCCTACCACCACGTCCACGTCCACCACCACCACGGCCGCCGTAAGGAGCCATCTCCTCGAGCTCGGGAGGAATGGGCTGGTTGGCCTCGCGGAGGATGGAGAGGAGCTCACGGGCCTTGCCTGCGTCGCCAGTGGTGAAGAAGGTAATGGCAGTACCCACGGCGCCGGCTCGGGCTGTTCGACCGATCTGGTGAACGTAGTCTTCAGTGTTGGTTGGGTAGTCGTAGTTGAGGACGTAACCTGTTGAAAAGGGAGGCAGAGAGGCTGGGTCAGATTTTCTTTCTTCTCTGCTTCAGTGGATGAGAGCATTATTCTTCGTCTTACTCACCGATATCCTTGACGTCTGTTTGCCAGTTGAAGAAAAGGGGTAAAGAGTAAAAGTTGACCGAGGGTAAGATTGAACAAGGGTGAATCCAGTTGCAGTAATTTGCGTAGCGGAGCCAATCAAGGCAAAAGGTGAATCGAAAGATATGTAGGGAGAACGACGTAGGATTGCAAGAGCAGAGCAAGGATGATCAAGTGAACAATTGATCAAAGCGAGCAAAGCAACAAGCAAGCGCCGAAAAGAAGTGTGTGAGGGGGAGATGCGGGGATAGAACGGTGAGTATGCTGCGCCCGACGATCGCTAAAGTGCCTCCGATTATCCTCCTATCCTCCAGTTCCCAGTTTCCTCCCTCCTCGCTGCCTAGCGCACAAGAGCAATCCTGCAGCAGATTTTCTACAGCTGCGATAGCAGTTGATGCTATCGCATTGGCGACCGAAGACGCAGAGAGGTAGATGCTTTGCCAGAAGGTGGGGAAGAAGGGGAGGCCTGACGTGTGCCAGCAAACCTCTCGTGACTTCGTGCCATCCCAAGAACCTCCGATGCTGGGCGATCGTCAGGCCTCCCCGTGCAGGAGATCAGTAGCAAGCGCGACGGCAGGGCAAACGGCTGCTGCCTGTCTGACAAGCCTCACACTCGATGCCAAGCAGAAGAACGAATTTTGCCGCTCTGCTACTCGTCATCGAGTCACCGGCCTTGTACAAACAGAAAGGCCGCAATCCCTGCCGGACGTACGACAACGCAGCTTTCGCTCTTACCAGTAAGAGAACGAGAGGCAACATAGTGCTGCCCTGCTGGTCGTCGGCGTGCCACACAACAGCTAGCGAGAGAACAGAGCTCCAGAGAGTCCGATCCTGTCTCCCGTTACCGGCGAGGTAAAAGCTAGCTGCTGTGACTCCCTCGCTGAAGCAGAACTGCAGCAGAAGGCCAGACCTGTGGCAAGGCCTGACTCCTGCATCTGTCTCGACGCTTGCACTGACTCCTTGAGAGAGGGCCATTTCGGTCGAACGACGTCTGACCGGCTACCTTGAGGAAGCTCAATGGCCAGAGAAGCCTTTAGAAAGCTACCAATGAACTCTCAAGCACTGCATCTGCCCTGAATCGCTCCCTTGACCACCTTTATGGAAGCAGAGGAAGGGGTCACGAGCCCGCCCCTGAACAGCAGAAATCGAGAACCCTCTCCACCTCCGCTCGAGTGTGCTTCCCCAGCTTCCCTACAGAAGGCAAGCCTTCTCCCAATACACTACCCCACACAACCACAATATCTCGAAAAGTACGTACCTAGACCACGCGATGCGACTGCTGTCGCCACCATGATGGGGCTCCTGCCACTCTTGAACTCGGCCAAGACCCAATCACGCTCCTGTTGCTGCTTGTCTCCGTGAATGGCAAGGGCGGGCCAGCCGTCCTGTCGAAGGTACTTTGTTAGATCATCTGCGATTCGCTTTGTGTTGCTGAAGATGAGTACCTTGGCATTCTCTTGCGAGATAGTGTCGAGATGCTTGATCAGTCGACCACGCTTCTCAAAGTCTGTGCAGACCTCAATCACCTGCTTGATCCTGTGGTTAGCGGCGAGGTCAGTTGATCCGATGTTAACCTGGACGAAGTCGTTGAGGAAGTCGTGAGCGAGACGCTGCACCTCCTTGGGCCAAGTGGCGGAGAACATGAGAGTCTGCTTGTCGGGTCGGATCTGAGAAAGAATCTTGCGGATCTGAGGCTCGAAACCCATGTCCAGCATTCGGTCGGCCTCGTCCATGACGAGGTAAGTGACTCGCCTCAGGTTGGTCTTGCCGCTCTCGATCATGTCAATGAGACGGCCGGGGGTAGCAATGACAATTTCAGCGCCTCGCGAGAGGTCACGGATCTGGGGTCCCTTGGGCACACCACCGTAGACGGCAACGTTGCGAAGACGACTGGATGCTCCGAAGCGACTGCACTCAGCCTGAATCTGAACAGCGAGCTCACGGGTGGGGGCGAGCATGAGAGCAATGGGGCCGTCACCAGGTGCGAGGAGAGGCTGTGCGTTGATGTGGACCATGGCAGGGAGAGCGAAACCAATGGTCTTTCCGGATCCGGTTTCGGCAATGGCGACGACGTCACGACCGCTGAGGGCTACCGGCCAGGCCTGTGACTGGATAGCAGAAGGCTCAGTGAAGCCCATGCGCTTGATCTCGGTCATGATGTAGTCGGGGTAGCCAGCTTCGTCAAAGTTCATGACTGGCTTGGGTACGTTGGTACCCTGAATCGTCATCTGCTTCTTGGCACGGAAGTCCTGAACCTCTCGATCGCTGCGCTCAGTGACCCGGCGGTCCTCGATGTAAAAGTTCTTCTCGAAGCGTGTGAGGTTTGCGGAGGCCCAGTCGACCTTGCCAAGACCAGCGCCGAGATTGCTCATTCGGTCACCGCCGCCGAAGCCACCACCGCCGCCGCCGTAGCCGCCGCCACCACCTGTAAAGAAGAGAAGACATGGAGAGGGTAAGGTTAGCGCGTGGGAAGAGGCAAACACCGCGACAGTGAATGAGTATTAGTCACTCACCGTATGAGCCTCCGCCGTACCCACCTCCGCCGTATCCGCCACCTCCACCGTAGCCGCCGCCGCCGCCGTAGCTACGAATTGAGAAGGCAAAGAGAAATGGGTGAGTGTCTCATATCAGATGGATGCAAACGCCACGACGCTGAACATACCTGTCGCGACCGCCGCCGTAGCCTCCGCCACCGCCTCCGTAGCCTCCGCCACCACCATTGCTGTAGCCACCGTAGCTCATTGTATCAGGAAGAGAATGTGTTTGTGTTGTTGTGAGGGTAGGGGAGAGGGATGATGGTATACGCGGTGGGAGGGAGGAGTTTACGAACGTTCGAAGTTGAAACGACTGCCCTCGATATTTCCTGAGAGCAACTCCAGGCTCAAAACTTTCTGAGGGACATTGCGCGCATGCGAGCGGAGTACAAATTCTCCCTTTCCGTCTGCCCTTGCGTTCCTTCGTCGGAGCGGATCAGTACCGACGGACCAAGGCCACGACGCATACCTCAGCTCAAGATGGCCACGGAGCTGGTGTAATGACGACTCCCTACCCATCAGCACTGGGTAGTATTCCTCCCATGGGCCCAGAGATAGTTGGGTACGCTCATGGACCAGACGACGGCCCCGTCGCCTCGTCATCCTCGGCCACTCTTGGCTCAGGCGCGCCTCCCACAGTCTTTCTCTCCACGAGCACGCCCAATGGCGCCTACCTGACTCCAGCGACCTATCAAGCTATCCTGAACAACACACTGGCGCTGCACACGAACCCTTCCGCCATACTGACCTATGAGTCTCGAAGACAACAAGCTTGTGGACTTATTGCAGCTGTTGGCGCAAGAGTGGGACTGCCACAGCGGACGGTCAGCACAGCCTTTGTCATATGGCAGAAGTGCGGCGTGAATAGAGGCGCACCTTCGGGGACATCTGCTCAACAGGTCGCACTGGCTGCCCTATTCCTTGCTTGCAAGCTCAATGATACCCCAAAGAAGGCCAGGGATCTCATCGTCGCCTCTTATGCCATTCGGTACCCGGATCTAGTCAAGCTTGGTCGAGATCCTTCCTCGTCAGCCAGCGGTGCAGCAAATCGTCGCGAGCAGCTGCAGCAGTTGGCCCTTGCGTCTGTGCAGGAGTCTGATGTTGACGCACAGATGCTGGACTCGGAACGCAACAAGGTATTGAGCTTAGAAAGGACTCTTCTCGAAGAATTTGGCTACGACTTCAAGATCCGGCATGGCGTGGAAAGTGTTAGTAGAGGAATTCTCAAATTGGGCAGAGCGTGGGGAGGTAAGTAGCCGACCAGACGTGACACATCTCACGATGAACCAGCGGAGCAGTGCATTACCAGTGTATTGACGACCCTTGTCCTACTCAACGCTTCTGAACCCAGCCGACAAGGACTTCATACAAGATGCTTGGCAATTGGCGTCCGACGTGTGAGTAGGCCTATCTTGTTGCTTCGATTGTTCTCATGAAGGAACCGACATACTCACTTCCCTTTGCATCTTTCATGCCGAGAAGTCATCGTACCTCAGCACCCCTCTTGTATCCTCCGATCATCCTTTCCCTGTCTGCCCTCCTTACAGCATCGCTCCTATGCCCTCGGAACGCCTCTGCATCACGTGCAGCAAGTGCACTACGGATACGGCGTATCTTCGGGCTGTCCAATGCAAAGAATTCCTTTGGCGAGGCTGTTGCGGGTGAGGCACTTTCTCACAAGGCTCACTTGAACGACAATTCGCGACATGGCGAGCAGCAGAATGGCAAGTCCGCCTCGAAAGGACCATCAGTACCGGAGCAAGCTTGGCGCTGGGCAGAGGATACTTCGTGGGAACTGAAGCTCCGGTGTTTTCGGGAAGAAATCGAAGGTAAGTGATCATAGCCTCCTCGCATCTGCTTCCACCGCTTCCTGACCTGAGATTGTGCTGTGCTTCGTATTCCTCAGAGGTCACACACTCCCTGTTAGATCTCTACCTCTCCTCCTGCTCAGCAATCACTTCTGCCCAGTCTGCTAGAAGCGCCTCCGGTGTTTCTCCCACCTCGCCATCTACGACTCCTCTTTCTCCCGCTTCCCCCTCGGAGTATGGAAACTTCATCACCTCTTCTGCTGGCAAGAAGGGCTCTTCAGGGGCTAGCGGGCAGTCGCTACGCCTGCCCGCGCACACGTTCAATCCACCTCCCTTTGGAGTCATCAGCTGGCTCCATGCCCATAGTGCAACGGATCAAGACCAAACGCAGCCAAGGGGAGCTGCGGATCTGGCTCGAACACTGACCGATTGCAAGATCGAGCTCAGAGGGGCAGAGGATCTACGGAAGCGGCAGGATGAGGAGGCGAGGACGAAAATGGCAGGGAGTAATGGCGCTAACTTGAACGGGAATGGACTCAGGCCAGGCATGGGAGACTTGGCATTGGACCAGATTGCGCGACGTCTTGCCCGGCGTGCAGCCATCGAGCAAGAGAAGGCACGCGTGCAGACAGTCAAGGTGGAAGTCCAGACTGTACTGGGGGAAGGCGAGGACACTACAGCGACGACGGTGCTTCTGCCAACAACGAGGGAGACGAGTGGATCGGCAGCGACTCCCTCGGCAACGATGAGCCTTACCCTCACACCTCTGTACAACACGGCGAGTGGGCAAGATACTGCTGCAGTCGGGGCGGCCTCGTTCAATGGCAGGGCTGTAGACGACTCGCAGCTTCAGAACGAGGGTGGAGACAAGTCTACCGTGGTGACAGGTGCAAGTGGCGGCAAAAGCGGAGGGTCCGGCAGTGCATCTGCGAGGTCCTACAAGACGTCGAGATTCTTGTTCTAATATGAGCAGGGCTAGTCTGTGCAATGCGGAGCGGTTAGGTCAAATGGAGCAATTGACACAAGGAAGCGAACATTGCCCCTTGACTGTTAATGTCCATTGAGTGTGACTATTCTTGGTCCTCTGTTCTAACCTCTGTGTGATAGACCTCCTCGGAGCATAGGGTGTGACCGGGGAGGTGTGGCCGCTCTCGCGCGCTTGAGGGTCGCCCCACTGGTCCCACTTTCCTTCTCCGCCACCCGCCTTCTCTGCATCGACGGCTGCTGCATTGCTCGCAACACTTCTTCCCGTCACGCTGCCCCCCCCCCCCCTTCCGCTCCTGTCCCCAACTTTCCCCTCGTATGCCCCTATTACGACCATCACCCATCCTTCGTTTTACCGCCACCCTACACAAGATGTCGGGCGTTCAAGATGTGTACATTCTCTCTGCTGCCCGTACGCCGGTAGGCTCCTTTAATGGCTCTCTCAAGAAGGTCACTGCACCTCAGCTGGGTGCCACGGCTCTCAAGGCTGCGCTGGAGCGCGCCCAGGTCAAGCCAGAGCAGCTTCAGGAGGCCTACTTCGGTAACGTTCTCCAGGGAAATGTCGGACAGGCTCCTGCCAGGCAGGTCGTAATTGGAGCCGGATGCCCACCCGAGACCGAGGCTACCACGATCAACAAGGTCTGCGCCAGTGGAATGAAGGCCATCATGCTTGCCTCTCAGAGCATTGCTCTGGGCCAGAGGAAGATCATGGCTGCCGGAGGAATGGAGAGCATGAGCAACTCGCCGTGAGTGAGGGTGTGGATCGTCTGAGCTAGTCGACGTCTGGAACTCATCTAACGACCTTTCCACCCTCTCAACCCTCCAGCTTCTACTTCCCTCGTGGAGCAGCCTTTGGTCATCAGCAGGTCGCTGATGCCATTGTCAAGGATGGTCTCTCTGATGTCTACAATGGTGTACACATGGGCAATTGCGCTGAGAAGACGGCCAAGGACCACTCTCTGACGCGTGAGGCTCAGGATGCCTATGCCATCGAGTCGTACAAGCGCGCCGCCGATGCTTGGAAGGCCGGCGTCTTCTCCAATGAAATTGCCCCAGTGACCATCTCGGACAAGAAGGGCGACATCATCATTGCCGAAGACGAGGAGTACAAAAAGATCCAGCTGGAGAAGATTCCCACCCTGCGCCCCGTCTTCCAGCCCAAGGATGGAACTGTCACTGCTGCTAACGCCTCAACGCTCAACGACGGAGCCTCTGCTGTGATCCTGTCCACCAAGGCTGGAGCCGAGGAGCTGGGTGTGAAGCCCCTGGCTAAGATCATTGCCTTTGCCGATGCTGCCGTTGCCCCCATTGACTTCCCCGTCGCCCCCGCCAAGGCCATCCCAATTGCCCTTGAGCGAGCTGGTATCACAAAGGACCAGGTGGCTCTGTGGGAGATCAACGAGGCCTTCTCTGCCGTCGCCCTGGCCAACAACAAGATTCTGGGACTGGACGCCAGCAAGGTCAACAAGTTCGGTGGAGGTGTGTCCCTGGGCCACCCGATTGGTAGCTCTGGCTCGAGGATCGTGGTCAGTCTGGTGCACGCCCTCAAGGCGGGCGAGTACGGCGTTGCTGGTGTGTGCAATGGAGGAGGTGGAGCTTCGGCCATTGTGAGTTTGAGGGGTAGAGGGGGACAGAAGGTCCTGCCGGGGAAGGCGCCTGGCACAGAGCAAGTACTGACATTTTACCTCTCAACCCCGCGCTGCTTGCAGGTTGTGCAACGACTGGAGTGACTAGCTTCGGATGCCGATGAGAGAGCGACGAAGAGGGAAGAGGAGCAAAAGGGATCTAGCCGATCGGCCAAAATATAATCAATGGTGCGGCGTAATGCTGCCTTTCTCACTCTTAGAAAGAGCAACGCTACAAGAGCGGGTGTGAAGAGCGGGTGTGAGCTTCTCAGGGAGCGAGGGAGCGAGCAACTTCCTGCTCAAGCGACGTGCTCTGTGACGATTCTTTGTGACGAGGGGGGAAGTGATCTGTGAATGCCCGAGTGTGTGTGCGCCCATGTATCCGCTCGTGGCTGCAAAGTGTGCTGTTTTTGGTCTCATGCATCGATCGGCACGCTTACTTGCTGTCGGCGGCACGGTAACAGGGTGCAACAAGTCAGCCACTCCTCTCCCCTATAGGCGGGGGCGCCCTTGCCATTGGATGAGCACGAGGGTGGGCCACGTCTATTGTATGTCATGGCAAGCCCTGACCCTGACCCTGACCCTGACGCCTTTTACCCAGGCGTGGGTCAAAGGTGGGTGGAGAGCAGAGGTCAAGTCCTTCGGCAGTGGCGCGCCTCCGGTCGTCGCACTTCCGCTCCGCATGACTGACTTTGACAAGGCAATTTCCGCCCAGGCATTTGCCATTGGGCGCTTCATTCCCGCATCGGGGCCCGGCCCCACTCGGTATCCGCCTTACGCCCAGCCTGGTCTCGTCTTGTACTGCCCGCCTGCGATGACCTTGATTGCCGCGGCAGGACAGCTAACCTCTTGTCCTTCTTGGGTATTCATCAATTCATAGTCACTTCCCCTTACTCTGACTCTGCACTCTTCACCTCACGTTCTGCTCATCCTCTTTCTTCCCTCGGCATAGCCCCCATCCCTCATCCGCTCCGCCTCTGCATTTCCCTCCTCCTCCTCCTCTTCTTCCTTCTCCTCCTGCCCGGTCGGTGGTAGCAGCGACAGCAGCAGCAGCAATTCGTAATGTCACTGCGCTCAACCTACTTCGCCGCCTCGGTAGCCTTGCTCTCCCTCCTCGCTCCCATTTCCACACTTGCCCAAGTCGCAGCACCTAGTGCAGCATGGGAGCCAGCTCCAGCATCTGATGGGAACAATGCGACTGTGGCGGGATCCAGGAGTCAGTGGGAGAACACCTTCGGAGATACCCTCTGGTTCTACGATGCACAGCGTTCTGGAGTCCTACCGGATGATTTCAGAGTGACTTGGCGCAATGACTCGGTGTTAACAGATGGAGAGAGTGTGGGCTTGGACCTCTCTGGAGGCTTCTTTGATGCGGGCAACATGGTCAAGTTCATCCACCCACTCTCCTGGGTCCTCACTCAGATTGCCCATTCCGCTCTTCTCCATGGAGATGCCTATACTACTGCTGAGCAGGAGTACTACCTCGACTCCACCCTCCGCAATGGACTAGGGTGGATCATGAATGCAAGCTCTCAAACTGACGAGCTCTACGTCGCAATTGGCAACGAGTCCTCCTACTGGGGTGGGGATCAAGGCATCCCCCAGCCGCGTCAGATCTTCTCCGTCAGTAGGCAAAAGCCTGGTACAGACGTCTTTGCAGGCTCAGCAGCTGCCCTCGCCGCTGGAGCGATGATCTATGCAGGAACACCTCTGCCCTTGTCACAGACTCAGAATGGTACTGTGCCTACTGGCCTGCTGGATACGGCGTATGCTACTGAGCTGAGGGAGCGTGCGGTGGTGCTCATGGACCTTGCTACGACTGCTGAACCTCAGCAGGTGTATCAAGATGCTACGGATGGCGTCGCCTGGGCTTATCCTTCCACCAACTATGAAGATGAGCTCGTGCTAGGAGCAGCCTTTACTGCCTTGGCCACTCGCAACATCTCCTTGGTCACCACTGCCATTGATGCATACGACTTCGGATCCTTCCCCACCAACAATGGAGTGCTCAATTGGGATACCAAAGATCCATTGCTTCCCTCCCTAATGGCCAGGCTGTCAGTCGCAATGCCCGGCGCAGACTCGCGTGCCAACTTCACCAAATTCCAGACCGACTCAGAAGTCTATTTAGATCTTCTCGTCAATGGAACCATGCAAGGTCTCTCGACGACTTCCGGTGGTCTAGCCTGGTGGAAAGACTACTCCGAGGACTCTTCACTGAACCCGGCCCTGAATGCTGCCTTGCTCTGTCTATGGACTGCCAATCTGACGAGCAATGACACAAAGTCTACCTCGTACCTCAATTGGGCCCAGAGTCAAATTGATTATTCTCTCGGTCACAACCCACTGAACACCGTCTACCAAGTAGGTCTGCATCCCAATTCAGCATACAACCCACAGTCCTCCCTCGCCTCAGGCGGAGATGACATTGATCAAATCGACACGGACCCTCCAGTAGAGCGATGGGTCCTCTACGGTGCCGTTGTGGGTGGTCCAGACAAGGACGACCAGTACTACGACGTGCGCAGCGATTGGCAACAGAGTGAGCCTGCACTAGACACCGTCTCTCCCATGGTGGGAATCTCTGCCTACTTTGTCAACCAGGGAAGTAGTGCTGCTGAGCCTTACTATGTGGGTCTTACCGCAAAGAGGATCGTACCAAAGATGTCCAGTGGCGGACTCAGTGGAGGAGCCATTGCTGGTATCGTCATTGGAGTCATCATCGCTCTTGCGCTTCTTGGGGCGGCACTATGGTTCTGCCTCAGCAGGAGAAGTCCACTGGCTGGCAGACGTCGAAGGAACAGGAAAATCATGCAGGGATGAGAGAGGACTTGTTTGGAGGAGATCGACTCAATGTGCTCTCCCACTCTCTCCGGACTCTCCTGGATTCTGATCCTGACTGCATACCGCCGCTTTCACTCATCTTCGCCCTCGCAATACCCACCTACGCCCCCTCGCCCCTTCTCTACACTACCTTCTCGACCTCATACTATTTATTGCACTCCACTCCAACGAACAATTCTCCACTTCCCTCCCCCCCCCGCTCCCCCCC